ATATTGCATATGAATCCTGTATGATTCCTGAAGGCAGGATTCATTTGCAAACTACCTTCTATATGAATCCTGTACGAATCCTGAAGGCTGGATTCATTTGTAAACTATATTGCATATGAATCCTGTATGATTCCTGAAGGCAGGATTCATTTGTAAACTATTTAAACAGCGAATCCTGTATGAATCCTGGAGGCAGGATTCATACAGGATTCATATGTGCATATGAATCCTGTATGAATCCTGACTCCAGGATTCAGTGGTTTGATTCACATTTTTTGCTGTGATGTATTATGGTGAAAGCATGCATTTTAAAGATGTTATATACCCATTTTACTCGATTTAGATTACGTTTATACTATCTTACTTTATGAAGGCTACTCTTAACGATGGTGAACCAGCAACCCTTCCAAAAGGTCATGATATCTGAGACATAAAGTCAACACCTGACTGTTTTCGCGCAAAACTGATTTCCTTTTCAGAGCAGAAATTTTACGTCACGTGACACGATTATCAAATGAGCTCGATTTGCAGCGAAATACAATTTTAAAAAATAAAACACTGGGCTCAAAAAGAGTTGTTTACTCTTACATTGGACCAATATTGCATGACTTACGGCTATTTTAGTTCCTATCCACGCAGGTTTGTAAGTGCATTTCAATTTAGTTGCTCCCACTTTTGCCCATATATCAAAACTCTTACATGGCTTTGATATGAAGGGTTTTGTTACTATAAAATGTTAAAACTAAGTTTCCAAATAACAGGATTCCAACTAGAAATTGGATGACTATTTGCGAGAATCAAATGCTCAAATCACGAAGACAATACAATATTTTCAATCGAATGTAGTGTAATGTAACCATGCATTAAAGAGATCAATGAACCGAAGCAAATTCCAAATTCAGGCAGCCATTTGCATTTTCTGAAGCACAAATCAGATAAACGACATCATATTTGTGAACTCTTCTAAAATGAGTATAATATAGCCATACTTTGAAGAGATTGGGAAACTATTGCGAAATTCCCACATAATTCAACAATTTTGAATTCCCCACCCGAGGTCCAAATCAGGAAAATGATACAATATTTGCAATCTACTCTTAATTGCCTTTCAATTGAGTATAATAAAGCTACTTCAGAAAGATCTCAAAACAAACGAAAATTTGCTCCCAATACACGGCCCTTCGGAGTCGGACTAAAAACGCAGAATATATGTGAAAGAAAATGTAGTGAATATACATCCAAAATTTCAAACAGTAATATTCATTACTTTTATTGAAAATGAAAAACTCAGATTCTTGAGAAAAATTCCAGTAAATTTTAATGCGGAGGCCATCTTGGATTTTTTGCTTAAAACTATTCACCGATATCCATTTTCAAGCATATATGGAAGAAATCAGGCAATTAGTATTCTAGTTATCTTCCAGACGAAGCATACTGACGGATGGACGGATAGACGGAGGGCTTCACTATATTCCTACCTAACTTCGTTCGTTGGGATAACTATAGGCATACCTGTCAAAACTTACTGCCAATACGTAATACACCATTGCTATTTATGTCTAAAGATTGGTGTCATATGGTATTAATATAATGGCAAATGCCTTATGTTATATTGTCTCTCATTTTTCAAATTAATTAAAGAATTGAATTTTATCTTGTGGTATCTTGTTTCAATATGCAACACCATGTGATGACTAAACCTATTTCTCAATTGTCGCTTTATATTATGACCAGATGCAAGTAGAAATGATCTTAATTCATGAAATATTCAATATCTAATCGAATTTATATTTTAAAATCTACTGAAATCTGTAAAATATCATCTATAAATGAGGTTTTACATGCTTGCAGATAGGTATATCAAAAATAATGGACTAGAAGTTTATTTCAATTGTGGCACCATTCTCAGTAAAGGAGGGCGAGTTGTTTGTAGAATGAATCGGGGGATTTTTTTCATGAATTTCGCTTATGTTTTTCATCTAAAAAACATCAATACACTTTAAAACATTTTGTTTACTTTAAGATTACACCATGTAATCCAAAAATATATTTCTCGTTTTCAAAGATAATCCATGGATTAACACCCAGGTATTTTTATTTTTCAAACTTCAGAGGGCTGGGAATCATTGATGCTCAACGCTTTTGAATATGATAAATGCTGTTTTAAATAGGTTTTACGTATGCCATTAATTTCTCAAATTATGTAAGCTGAATGCGCCCTAGAATATTCTCTTGGAGGAATCCAATGGTAATCCAATGGTAGTTCCAAGCAGATTTTTAGATGGCAGGTAAGTAAATTCTTTAGTACTCGCCTTATTGGGTTGAGTTAGTTTATATTCAAAAATTATATATGATTCTGTAAAGATGTCAGTGTGGATGCTATATAGATTGCACACGTATGGTAAGCTGTATAATCCTATATTATGTAACACGAGTACAGTTTTGGTTGACATGATTGTGACTGAGTGAGAGATTAAACTCTTTAAGGTAGTTCTGCATGTTGATAATTTTTACTAATTTTGGTGATGAATAAATTATCTGATATTTATAAATTGGGCAAAATTTTTTACATTTTAAGTGGATATAAAGAATTATGGTAACATACACATGGACCATGCATACACATACAATTACAAATGTGAAAATATTGTCCCTTTCATTGATTATCGGTATTTATAATCATGAAAATTATTGAAAAATATCGAGACATGTCTACCTTAAAATCAAATTGGCTTACAAGTACCCTAAGCTATTTTTACATTTTTATTGCAAGAAAATCTTTTTGCAAGGGTAACAAAGGTTGAAATATTGTGGTGGCTCTATTTGGCTGGAGTTTAATATTCAGACCTAGCTATAGGTATTATTACATTTATATGTACACTAGTATCTTGTTGACCTATATTCAGCACTGTATTGATGAATGGGCCACTTATTAGGGCCAATATTCAATCATAAAGTGTACAGGGGTAGAGATGCCAAACCAAAAAGTCTTTTTGTGTCTGTCAAAATCCATTTGCATCCTACACATCCCAACATATTATCCAAATATGTTATTAATTAATGAAACATAACAGTATAATCTTTGGATTTAGAAAGTTGTATGGGATTTCATTAGTATAAAAGTTGCTTTTGAAGCATTTTTCTATAGCCATTTTGTAGGAAAAAATGATGGAAAAAATGTATAATCTTTTAATTTGAAGTATGACCTGAATCGATTGCAAACTTTATATTTGCACATCTGATGTGATATACCATTTGTGTCATACTGTGAAATTATTTAATTTGCAATCGATTCAGGTCATAGTGTATTTTAGGTATTTTTGTGAAAATCAATAGAAACCAATGGCCTCAATTGGAATTGATGATATCCACATGTTAAGTCAATGGAGCCCATTCAATGGCAAGTCAATACACCCTTGCTGAACTAAATGACCTCAACCTCAGCCCATGTGGGTCCAAACGCCCAAATATTTTCCACAGTATTATGTGACATTGAATTCTTTATGTTACACCTAAAAATGATTCATTTTGTTCATGGGGATATCATAATGGAAAGTGCACTAGACCCTTATTGTAATTGTATGATATCGTATTTGTGATTTGAATATACACTGTGATATTTGAGAAAAAGAATGTTTTGTTTAAGTTTCATTGCAATTTATAACCCTAATATCCTTCCCAGAATCCTTCCTTGTCTTCCAATTTTCTAATAACCTCAGAAGTTCCTACTTTTTAAAAAAAATGCAATTTTCCATGATCATTTTTATGTCACCACCACAAGTGGTGACATATTGTTATGGTCTCAAACTATTTTGTGGACGGTGTTCAGTGGTTGGTGTTTATCATTTGGCAGTTGGTGTTTGGCAGTTGGTGTCTGTAACAAATGGCAGGTGTTGACATTTTGCATGTGAATGCCTTGTCTTATAATGTAGCCAACTGCAATGGATGTAAAACGGATACAGTTAACTAATACATTTCTTGGCATCAATTCAAATCATATGCTAATTTTAAATGAAAATGCTTTTTTTCATGTTTTACCACTCATAAATGCCATAATATCTCGATGTCACATTCAGGAAAATATGGCTATCAACAAGTTTTGAATTCTTACAATCCTGGAAGTTGTACATGTAAGCGTGCACATCTGTCAGTTCAGTTTATGTGTAAAAGTTAATCCCCTAAGCCTTAATACCTGATGCATGAAATATTATGAATAAGTTACATAATATGTACTCGTGCTATTTAGGTAAATGTTGTGCTGTTTCACCAGATTTGACTGACATCTTTAAATAACAACAATTTGATTTGATGATCAGACAGCAACAAAACATATTAAGTGGCCAAGACAAAAGAATGTTATTATGATAGGCATTCTAGGGATTAAGGAATGCATTCAGCTTACATAATTTGAGAAATTATTGGCATACGTAAAACCTATTTAAAACAGCATTTATCGTATTCAAAAGCGTTGAGCATCATTGATTCCCAGCCCTCTGAAGATTGAAAAATAAAAATACCTGGGTGTTAATCCCTGGATTATCTTTGAAAATGAGAAATATATTTTTGGATTACATGGTGTAATCTTAAAGTAAACAAAATGTTTTAAAGTGTATTGATGTTTTTTGGATGAAAAACATAAGCAAAATTCATGAAAAAAATCCCCCGATTCATTCTACAAACAACTCGCCCTCCTTTCGATGAACATGCGAATTGTGTATTTTTGGCGCAGTAACTGTGCAGTAACTGTGACGCAGTAACTAGCGCTGATAACGATTTTATTACAATAACGCTTTGCTTTCTGGCATAAAATTGTACAAGACATAATTTTTTACATGGATTTGGGCACTCATTTGTTAGTAGCGCCATCTGCAATATATACTTCAAAATATATTGGTCATCACTGAAGAAGTGAGGCAAGATTATCATAATAGTGCTATGCATTAATGTAAAATATGTAGGATAAAACTATGTCAATGACCAATTTTCATTAAATGACCAACCTGCCTTCTGTTCACATGTTCGACCACTCAAGCCTTGAGCGCATTTGCATGTAAAACCTGTTTGTGTGGCTGTGCATTTTCCACCATATTTGCATGGATTCGGTACACATTTGTTGGTGGTAATAGCTGAAACACATTTATATTAAAAGATATATTTGGCCATCACTGAAGAAGTACGGATAATATAACCATAATAGTGTTATGCATTATGTAGAATATGTAGGTGAAAGTGGAATACATGTCTATGACCAATTTACATTAAACTAGATGAAACAGCAACTCCAACAGAACATATTTTGATAATTTGTGGCCATCCACTGGAATTTGATATTATATTTTTTCCAAATAATGGCAGCCATTTTGAAATTCAGCTGCCATGTTCAAATTTCTTCTTGGACAATGAAAATATTTTCTTGAGCAGACCTTAGATAAAGTTAGTTATCAAAGATTACGTTTATAACAAAAAGGCAGCCAATTTGAAATTTAAGTGTCATCTTGAACTTTATTTGACCCAAATCCAAATAGGATAGGAAGCCGTTATTCAAACTCGATACTCCGACTAGAACTGCTGAGGAAGCTTGAATACTACCAAAATATTCTTAATGGCCATCTTTCAATGAAATACTTGGTCCAGAGAGAACCTTATAGAAATATTTTTACTAAATTGTTCCACTGCAGGCAACGGAGTATCGAGTTTGAATAATGGCTGCCAATCCTCCTTGAACCACATCCGTTCACTGGTATTGAGTAATCATAAATAATGTTTTTTTCACGAAAAATGGCGGCCATTTTAATATTCAGCGGACTTCTTCAAAATAACTTCTTGAGCAAAGCTCTTGGCATCAGAATATAGAATTTGAACCAAATCCATCAACTAGTACTGAGTTATCTAAGATTACATGTTTTACGAAAATTGCAGCCATATTGAATTGAGCGCGATATTGAAAATTCCTTCTCGAGTAGAAGTCCTATATCTCATATATAAGGCATAAGCCTATAAAATTTCAATCAAATCCGACAACCGGTATTAAAGTTATCGCCTGGACAGACGGACGGACGAACGGACGTACAGACGGATTTCCTATATCCCCCTCGAACGTCATTCCTTGGTATAATAACCAACCTGCTCTCTGTTCACATGTTCGACCACTCCAGCCCGAAGCACATTTGCATGTAAAACCTGTTTGGGTGGCTATGCATGTTCCTCGATTTTTACATGGATTGGGTGAACATTTATTCTGTGTACATGTTGAACCACTCCAGCCCAAAGCACATTTGCATGTGAAACCTGTCCTTGTGGCTGTGCATGTTCCTCGATTTTTACATGGATTGGGTGAACATTTGTTGGTAGTAATAGCTGCAATAATTTCATACTACAAAATATATTGGTCATCACTGAAGAAGTGGGTCAAAAGTACCATTCTAGAGCTATGTGGTAATGTAGAATAATTATGTAGGATAAAACTAGAATAAATGTCAAATACCAAATTTACATGACATGACCAACCTGCTCTCTGGACACATGTTGGGCCTTTCCAGGCTGGAGCGCATTTGCATGTAAAACCTGTTCGTGTGGCTGTGCATGTACCACGATTTTTACATGGATTGGGAGAACATTTGTTGGCGGTAATAGCTGCAATACATTTATACTACAAAATATGTTGGCCATCATTAAATAAGTGAGTTAAAATTACCATTCAAGGGCCATGCCTTAATGTAGAATATGTAGGATAAAACTAGAATACATGTCAATGACCAATTAACATTACATGACCAACCTGCTCTCTGGACACATGTTGGACCTTTCCAGCCTGTAGCGCATTTGCATGTAAAACCTGTTCGTGTGGCTGCGCATATTCCACGATTTTTACATGGATTGGGAGAACATTTGTTGGTGGTAATAGCTGCAATACATTTATACTACAAAATATGTTGGCCATCATTAAATAAGTGAGTTAAAATTACCATTCAAGGGCCATGCCTTAATGTAGAATATGTAGGATAAAACTAGAATACATGTCAATGACCAATTTACATTACATGACCAACCTGCTCTCTGGACACATGTTGGACCTTTCCAGCCTGTAGCGCATTTGCATGTAAAACCTGTTCGTGTGGCTGTGCATATTCCACGATTTTTACATGGATTGGGAGAACATTTGTTGGTAGTAATAGCTGCAATACATATATACAAAAAATATATCGGTCATCATTAAATAAGTGAGTTAAAATTACCATTCTAGGGCCATGCCTCAATGTACAATATGTAGGATAAAACTAGAATACATGTCAATGACCAATTTACATTACATGACCAACCTGCTCTCTGGACACATGTTGGACCTTTCCAGCCTGTAGCGCATTTGCATGCAAAACCTGTTTGGGTGGCTGTGCATGTTCCTCGATTTTTACATGGATTGGGTGAACATTTGTTCTGTGTACATGTTGAACCAGTCCAGGCCAAAGCGCATTTGCATGTAAAACCTGTTCGTGTGGCTGTACATATTCCACGATTTTTACATGGATTGGGAGAACATTTGTTGGTGGTAATAGCTGCAATACATTTATACTACAAAATATGTTGGCCATCATTAAATATATAAGTGAGTTAAAATTACCATTCTAGGGCCATGCCTTAATGTAGAATATGTAGGATAAAACTAGAATACATGTCAATGACCAATTTACATTAAATGAACAACCTGCTCTCTGGACACATGTTGGACCTTTCCAGCCTGTAGCGCATTTGCATGTAAAACCTATTCGTGTGGCTGTACATGTTCCACGATTTTTACATGGATTGGATGAGCATTTGTTAGTAGTAATAACTTTCTGTTCACATGTTCGACCACTCCAGCCCGAAGCACATTCACATGTAAAACCCGTTCGTATTGCTGTGCATGTACCACGATTGTTACATGGATTGGGAGAACATTTGTTGGTAGTAATAGCTGCAATACATATATACAAAATATATCGGTCATCATTGAAGAAGTGAGTTAAAATTACAATTCTAGAGCTATGGATCAAAAGTACAATAGTACAATAACGTCATTCTGAAGGGCAATATAGTGAAATATTGGACCGAGGGCCATATTTACTAACTGATTTATCCTATACTTAGTAGATTATGAGAATTAAATATGCATTGAATGTTAGGGAACCCTACTGTAATTATCGTTTGTGATTTTTAAATAAAAAATCATCAAAACATGAATAATATTTTATCTCAATTTAAAGTCCTCAACAATATTTTCACATTCAACAGTGTGTGAAATTAATATTTATCAAATAGAGCCAAAGTATATCCCGGGAATTCAAAAAAGCGCCGAAAGAAATTCCCGGGGATCGCTGATGAGCGGGTGATATATATGTATATCTCCCGCTCACCCTAGCGGGAGATATATATATTACCCAATCACCTCAGATATCGATTATATTCCAGTATGTTATTTACCTATAACACTACTAAGTATGGAATAATTCACTATATTGCTCGCAACTAAATAGTGATATGAAGGATTAAATATATAACCAAAAAAGTAGAGGACCAAAAAGCAGCTCTATTTCTGTAGGATTTCAACCATAACTGATAAAGCCTAATTTGTCATGAAATGCTAGATTTATTGCAGCATTCACTAGTTCCAGTTGCAGATTCATCATTTCAACTTGCAGAAAACTGCTGTATTGAGTCGATTAACTCATTAGGGTAATAGCCAGGGACAACCGCATAAGGATACAATTGGATATATTGTAGACTATTATATTATTATTGAATAATCTTTAATCTAATTTGATTAGAATAAAGCATATCATTTACCCTTTGTGTTACATGTAGTTCCTGTCCATGCATTTCTACACGTGCATTTAAATTTAGTTCCCACGGTTGAACATCTACCAAAGTTCTGACATGGGTTTGGTAGGCAGGGTTTTACTAAAACATGTTAAAAACTAATAAGTATCAAAGCCTCGTTTGTTATAAAAACGCAAAATATATCTCACAGAATTATTGCGGCATTTGCAGAATTCATCATTTTGACTCTCAAAGATGTATTGACATATTGACAACTTACTGCAAAAGGATACAAAGTACTTTTCAGTAATATCATGTCATGTCATGGATAGACACATTCAAATGGTATAACAATGATCTGACGACTAGAAAAGATTTGACAGGACTGAATGATAAAACATTGATACCATTTAATAGATAATCTTCTACTTGATTTAAAGGGGCAATAAGGACTGTAGAGAAAATATGAAAGTTTTTTCATTTTTTCTGAGCTATCAAGGCAACATTTGGTTTAACATCTTCTTTGACATACCTATTTTCTTAAAATGTATGGATAAATTATCAATTTCAACATTAAGAAGTGTAAATTCAGTTCAAAGCTTCAAAAAGGGGACTTCCACTTTTATATTTTTAATATCCACCATGTTTCAAGAGGAATATCAGCTAAAATAATGTTTATCTAGGGGGTTTCTTTGTAGATAATAAAAATAGATGTTAGTCTGATGAAATATCCAAACTTAAATATATTTTGACACTGGTCCATGATCATTGAATGACCCCTCTGCACTAATTATTGCACCTTTAATTAGGAATATAGCATATAACTTACATTTTGTCTCACATATAGTTCCTGTCGATCCAGCTTTGCAAATGCATTTAAAGTTAGTTCCCAGTTTTGCACATCTACCAGCGTTCTGACATGGGTTTGGTAAGCATGGGTTTTTTACTATAAAATGTAAAAACTAGTATTAAAACAACAGAAACAGCAACCATTCGCATTCCTCAAGGCCAATTTTACTGGAATTAGGCAACACCTCATTTCTATTGAAGCCTTAAGATCCAAGTTACACTATATTGAAATAATGGTAAAATAATGCCACGTTTGTGTTAGTTTGGCTGTCATTTTTGATATACTGTAAAACATAATAAAGACCAGAGGCCTCATTATCATCTGGTCGCAACGCAAAATCGCATGCGAATCGCATCGCAAGACATCGCAACGCAACTATTTCCCAAAAATGTTATTATCATTCCATCGCATCGCAAGTCTGACGCAAAGTTATCGATTTTCTGATCGCAACTAAACAAAAAGTTGCGACGACGTTTACCCTGTCGCAAATCAAATCGAATATCTAGTTCATCTTTGAGCGTTATACTCAAGGGGCGAGGAGGAAAATTCTCAATAAATGGTGTATAGTTGGTTTGGCAGCATTTTCAGTTAGGGGAGAGTCTTGGATGAAACTTCCACCTAGGTGATAGCTTCACAGAGTGGTAGGAAGTTCTTTTTTTGAGGAGTTAGCCCCCCATCCCCTGAAAACACCCCACCCGGGGAAAAAAATTGTTCACAGTGAATAACCTTAGATATTTTGATGTTTGTAAGTGACATACATAGATATTATATATATGAATCACTTGCAGTATAATTGATGCTGATTGCTCCTAAAGAAATTGAATATTAGTACAAAGTGTGTACCCCAGGGGGCAAATTTGTGACTCATTTTCTTACTATTTTGATCCTAACTTTTCAATTAGACATTGTAAGAGGTTGAAAAAATTCATGGGAAGTACCCAATAGGAAGTACCCAATAGCAGGGTTAGTAAAACTGAAAGATGCAAAGCCATTAAAAAGGTAGGAGCTGAGAAAAAAATTGTTGATTTTTCGAAAAATTTGACATTTTTGACAGTTGGATTTTGTGAATGACTATAGCTGACCCCTATAGTTTCTAGATCCATCCCTCTATAGTGATATTTATGGTTTTATAGTGTGGAACTAAGATGTAAAACATAATTTAGATGGGTTTTAAGGAAGTTAAAGGTTTTAAACAAGTCCAAAATTTGAAAAATTGTAAATATAAGGTTTCAAATTTACATATTCCAGGTATAGCCATGGCGGACCCCTATAGTTTCTAGATCCATCCCTCTATGATGATATTTATGGTTTTGCCATGTGGAACTAATATGTAAAACACAATTTAGATGGGTTTTAAGAAAGTGTAAGGTTTTAAACAAGTCCAAAATATGAAAAATTGTGAATATAAGGTTTCAAATTTACGAATTTCAGGTATAGCCACGGCTGACCCTTATGATTTTTACATCCATACCTCTATGATTAAATATACAGTTTTAGAGTGTGGGACTAAGATTTAACATATCCAAAATGAATTTTAAGGAAGTTTAAGGTTTTAAACAAGTCCAAAATTTGAAGAATTGTAAATGTTAGGTTTCAAATTTATGAATTTCAAGTATAGCCAAAGATGACCCTTATGGTTTTTACATCTATACCTCAGGGATGAAATATATAGTTTTAAGAGTATTTAATTAAAATGTAAAAGATACCTAAGATGAGTTTGAAGGAAGTTCAAGGTTTTAAACAAGTGCAAAATTTGAAAAATTGATCTCAAAATTGGTCTCAAATTCACGCTATTCAGGTACAGAGTTGAATTTGCCCTGATAATTGAAGGTTATGAGCATAATAGTATCAACTATGATATCATAGCTTAGAGACCAGGTGTAGAATATATACCTGTTGCAGCAGTTAGTCTGCTGCATATAGATGGAGTGAAAAGTCGTGAATTACAGTAAAATCTCTCTAATCTGAATGCTACTGGTATTTGGACCAGCTAAAAGCATTCTAATTAGGAGTGTTTTGAGGTTTTTACATTTACAATACAAGTTCTGGATTTTGAAGAAATATGAATGCATTCTCAATGAAAAATATTAATAATACGAGGGATGATCCAAAAGTCTTGGACGGCCTGATCTAATTTTGTTGGTTTTTGATAAAATTACTTTAAACTTCCCAATAATAAAGACCAACAACTGAACGACTTTGTGTATTAATTTCATGGAGAAATGATATATTTTATGTAGTTTTCTAAATAGTTTTTAATATAGGGACCCTGCCACCCGGAACGGTATTCACACATGGCAACTTTCAGCCTTAAATGTTGCCGCCATTTGACTTGTTTCGCAAGTCTTGATCACTATCTTATTTTGAATTTTGAATGTTAAAGGAATATTCCTTGCCAAACCATCTCTCTCCTCATATGGTAGCCATAACCGTATATATGCTTGCCATGTTTAGCAAAACACGCAAAAATGTTTTGATATGGTCAAATTTGATCACTTAGAAATGTGATGCTCAATTCCAGTAAGCTAGAGTAGAGTTGATGACATCACTTCCTTCAAGAAATTTTAAAAGATGGCAGCTCACTGGAAATAAGCACTAGATTTTTAAATGATCAATATTGACCATATTAAAACATTTTCCCATGTTTTGCTAAATATGGAAACTATATATATGATTATAGCTACCATATCAAGAGAGAACATGCAGAACATGAAAGAAATCAAGGTGGAACAAAGAATACTACAAAGATATTCTCACTACTACTGACCTTGAGTAGCAACCATATGCACGATGTAGTCTAGATATGGCTCCGTGAGATTTTCTTCCTTTTCTCCAAGTTGAAAAGGAGGGTTGGAAGAAACTGTTTTTATTCATTTGATAAGGTTTAGAGTGGCACTCCAGCAGCGTTTGTATCATATAAGCAATGGCAGTTTCATAAATATCTTCCATTCATTGGTAAAGACTTTGTGTTCAAATTCGTTTAAAACATTAGAAAAGTAGGTATTAATATGTGACGATGATGATGACAGATGACAATTAGATTGAAAATCTGAAATTCTCTCATATCATGACCAGTATTATAAGGCTGTGCACCTGCACCTAAAGTATTTGCCATATTAACCGTAGGTGTGACGTGCTTTGCTATATTTAAATACCGTTCCGGGTGGCAGGGACCCGGTATTTAAAAATATTTAGAAAAGTAGCTAAAATATATTATTTTCTGTTGAAACTCATACACAAAATTGTTAAGATGTTGATCTTTATTATCTGAAAGTTTCATGTAATTATATTAGAAAATAGCAAAGTTCAAGCAATGCGTCCAAGACTTTTGGATCACCCCTCGTATTTATACTGACATCATAAATGACACTGATATTCTAATTTTATGACTATCATTTCAATAAATGTAAAAAATTCTTCAACTGCTAGAAAATGTCATCTGCAAAGTCAGTATGTAAACATTTTCTACAATGTCTGTTTGTTTGAAACATATTGATCATGTATATCACCATATATACTTTTTTGATCTACATGAAGATTTTAGTGTGAAAAGACCCTTTTACCCTGGAGTTCCTAATCTCATTGCACTAACGGGAGTTTCTAGGCCAAGCGGGGTATGATCCTTATAATCCTTATTTTCCCAAATAATTACTGTTGCCTGATGACAAGTTGTTTTATTGGGAGTGTAGTGATTATAATTTGATAATTTATAATAATAATATTTTGTATTAGGAGATGCATAACAAAATATAGAGAAATCATGTAGAACATTACATCGAACATGTTGATGTGAAAAAGTAAAAATGCTATATCACATAATAAATATCATCAAATAATAATTAATTAGTTATAATCCATTTAATCAATCAATTTCTACACTGTATACGATATCCCTAAGAGCAGTTACACTTTAGGGGGGGGGTGGATTTATTAACCTCTCACCCCCTTAGGAACTCTAGGGTAAGGTCCTCAACTCTAATGATTTTTCTTTTAACAATACTAGTAACATGGATCAAACCTGACCACAATATTTTCAACATCTAATTTCTAAGCTAAAAAGTCATACATTCAAAAAAGAGACATCCAAGGCAATACCTGAAATCGTAAAGGAGGACTGAAAGTATCGCAACAGATTTAGGACAGTTACATGTTGGATTTTTGCTATTTTCTGAGTATTTAAGGAGGTGCATATGTTAGGCCAATGCATTTCCTCCAGGAAAAGCACTCATAGAGTACCCTTTGCATTCGTTTGACTTCACTTCTTAAAAGAGAGCTGCGTCTGTAGTTTAACTAGACTCTGCAGGCAGGGTACTCATAGAGATGATAAAATAATTTCTATTTGAGACAGGGTGCAAACATAACCAACCCACATGCATCAATATGTTGTGTTTTGACACAGTTAACCCTTTAAAGAAATAATGCATTCCATCAGGGGTTTAAAAGATATCAAATATGGGTGACCAAAATTAAGCTCAAAGTAATGGAGCACATGAGTTTTCCCTATGGGAAAATAACAGGAAAATATTGTTTTCTGCTTTATCTAAAAGAAATTTATTATTCCTTTTTATGGGTTAACTATGTCTCAAAATCGCAACATATTGATGCAACAAAAATTTAAAAAGCAGGGGTGAAAGGGCGTGAAAATCAGGACAACATTTCCGAAAAAACATGTTGTTGGATTGTTTGCACCTTCGATGTCTCAAAGTCCAAACTATTTTATCATCTCTGAGAGTTCTTTTCCTGTAGGTAATGCAATGGCCTATCATATGCACCTGGTTAAGTCCTCAGGAAACAGACGAAATCTAACATATGACTGTCTGAAATATGTTGCGATACTTTCCGTGCTCCTTTGAGACCTGATATTTCTCAATTTTTCAAACATTGCACTTGTTAAAATTCTTAAACTTCCTTAAATTCATCTTCGGTATGTTTTACTTCTTAGTTTCACACTCTAAAAATATATGTTTCATCATAGAGGTATGGATGAAAAAGCCATAAGGGTCATCCATGGCTATACCTAACATTCGTAAATTTGAAACCTTATATTTACAATTTTTAAAATTTTGGACTTGTTTAAAATCTTTAACTTCCTTAAAAAACATCTAAATTATGTTCTACATCTTTAGTTCCATACTACAAAACCATAAATATCACCAAAGAGGGATGGATTTAGAAACTATAGGGGTCGGCCATGGCTATACCTTGAATTCGTAAATTTGAAACCTTATATTTACAATTTTTCAAATTTTGGACTTGTTTAAAACCTTTAACTTCCTTAAAACCCATCTAAACTATGTTTTACATCATAGAGCCACACTATAAAACCAAAAATATCATCATAGAGGGATGGATCTAGAACCTATAGGGGTCAGCCATGGCTATACCTGGGATTCGTAAATATGAAACCTTATATTTACAATTTTTCAAATTTTGGACTTGTTTAAAACCTTTAACTTCCTTAAAACCCATCTAAATTATGTTTTACTTCTTAGTTTCACACTATAAAACCATAAATATCATCATAGAGGGATGGATCTAGAAACTAAAGGGGTCAGCCATGGCTATACCTGGAATTCGTAAATTTGAAACCTTATATTTACAATTTTTCAAATTTTGGACTTGTTTAAAACCTTTAACTTCCTTAAAACCCATCTAAATTATGTTTTACATCTTAGTTTCACACAATAAAACCATAAATATCATCATAGAGGGATGGATCTAGAAATTATAAGGGTCAGCTATAGTCATACACAAAATCCAGCTGACAAAAATGTCAAATTTTTCGAAAAATCAACAATTTTTTTCTCAGCTCCTACCTCTTCCATGGCTTTGCATCTTTCAGGGTTACTAACCCTGCTATTGGGCACTTCACATGAATTTTTCCAACCTCTTACAGTGTCTAATTGAAAAGTTAGAATCAAAATAGTAAGAAAATGAGTCACAAATTTGCCCCCTGGGGTACATACTTTGTACTAATTTTCAAATTCTTTAGGAGTTATCAGCATCAATTATACTGCAAGTGATTCATATATATAATATCTATGTATGTCACTTACAAACATCAAAATATCTAAGGTTATTTAGTGTGAACAATTTTTTCCCCCAAGGTGGGGTGTTTTTGGGGGGTGGGGGGCTAACTCCTCAAAAAAAGAACTTCCTACCACTCTGTGAAGCTATCACCTAGGTGGAAGTTTCATCCAAGACTCTCCCCTAACTGAAAATGCTGCCAAACCAACTATACACCATTTATTGAGAATTTTCCTCCTCGCCCCTTGAGTATTATTTTATCTATGTTAATGGATATTTTGTGGTGTTTTATATCGGTCATTTCACTACCTGTTAAGTATTAATCAATAGTATCGAAGAAATTGTTCAATTTTATTTATCTAATATGATTAAAATTGAACATTTAATTGAGCCTGTAAATCCTTAAAAATCACGTTTGTTTCTAAATATTGCGAACGCATCACATACTGTATACGTCTTAGATTGGTGCCTGCAATATTTCGTGCTCTTTGAAGCATAGGATTTTCGCCAATTAAATATTTATCTAGCTAATAAAGCTTGTTTGGTGAATTAATCTTGGCACTACTACACTAATGTTCTGAGTATTCCTAGTGTATATGTACCTCACCTACATCGTCTGCAAAAGTGCAAGAACACCAAGATGTTTCATTTCATTCTGGATCACCACAATCGTATTGGCCGAAGAGCATTTCGAGATAGGTTTAACCATGTTCCCAGATATAGATTAAATATTAAAGACATTTTATTTGATCGAGTTTGAATATGAATAGAAACGTTGTTAATTCTACATAATAGAATAAATGCACATCACTGCAATTACTAAGTTGTTAAATTTAATAGTTTAAAAATGAAAAAGCACGATTTTCTTTTTTACATAGACATGTACTCTGTATCTGTTGTTCGAGCATCACCCATCGCATTGAAGTTGACTCGTCAGAAAGAGTTAGATTTTCAATTTGAAATGAGAGTTCGTCTCAAAATTGTAGATTTTCACATTTTCATCCCGACCCTGATTCAAACATGATTTGCTTTGATCACAATGCAAAAGACGTGTTTCATATTTTGTTCCAAAGGAAAATAAATGCAATACACTGGAGACATATTTAAACATATATCGATATGGAACCCACAACTTGCAATTTTCTTGCATGTGTATAAAATGTAAAATATACACCACCAAATAGAAAACTCATTAGCTGTTATCGTTTCATTGTCTGTTGAAAAATTATGTTGACGGATTTTAGATAGAAGCATTGTAGAACACATACAACAACGGCCAAAAGTTCATTTTATTTCAGTTAGTTTCAGTAACATGACAACTTCCCGTTTTAACAGTTATTTATTTTCAGTGATGTGTGACATACATAACGTTTTTTCTAGTCCTCATTTTCACACCAAGTGAACTTATTTTTTCAGCTACCCTTGCCCAGCAACTATCCTGTGACTGTATTGTTATTTGACAGCTATGTGGTGCCAAAAGAATATTTGCATCCTTCTCAATGAGAGATACTATAAGTTATTGAATGATTTGAAGTGCAATACAGGATATATTCTGATCGAGAAATTCCGTATTGGAACGAGACGAAGTCGAGTGCCAATACAGAATATCGAGACAGAATATATCCTGTATTGCACTTCAAATCATTCAATAACGTTTTTATCGTGTGGTCCTCTGTATTGCTACTGAGATCGTCCCCTCCGTACCAATATTTTCTGTATTGCGACGGAGATGATTAACGGGAACAATCTCAGTAGCTTTACAGATTGGTACAGCACAAGAACTGACCGATCAGAGGTCTTCATTTTACAGATCATACGATAAAAATAATTCTTGTTCATCATTTGTCCAATTCCTTGCCCTCGACATGTTTCTTGACTACCGTCTGTTCAATGTAAATCGATTTGCATTTTGGCGCACTTATGTCTTGCACAAGTGTAATGCATGCGCAACCAATCAAATCATATCAATTATTGGATTTTTATCAATTTCAATCAATCAATGTCAAAAACTAGCGCCAGTGTCCTTTTAAATTTCGCGCCAAAATACACTCTAGACTTGCGATCGCAACTTACGTTTTAATTGTTTTGCGATTGCTTTGCGTCTGCGATTGCGCTCAATTGATAATATCACGCATCGCATGCGTTACGAATTGCGATCGCAATCGCATCGCAGACGCAACGCAACTATTTGCGACCAGATGATAATGAGGCCTCAGGACGGTATGGTATCGCTTAGTGATTTTAGGCAGTCATATTTTTACCATGTGTAATTTCTGAATTTTAATATGACATTTCTCATAAAAAATATGTTATCGTTCAATTAAATTCTCAAGGATAATAAAAATAACAATCGAACCATTTGTTTTCAAAATCTTGAACCTATTCACCGAAAAAGGATCATTTTTGAAAGAGGTCTTAAACTTCTTCAAGGGTAGAATGGTATTGAAAGTCTAGTTTTGAAGATGACCAAAACTATATGCTGAAAACAATGGACAGCATGTGGTTTCCCTGTTGGAAATAACGTGGGATAAGTGGTTTTAACTTTATCGTATTTTGATACCCTTCCTCTTCAGAAGTTGTTAATATAATGTAGAAGAACATTATGATATATTTAAATTGAGAAAAACGACACCCTCTTTTTAGACAATAAGCCTATAACGTATTTTAAAAGTGACAAGATGGGGTACCTCGTCCATAATTTTTCATACAGTTGGATTGATATTTCATTATCACTGGGACTTTACTTGAAGGGAAAGGATTTTAATAAAAACACAGTATTTATGGCCAGTAATTTAAATCATTGAGAAATAAAATCATGCTTTATGTAGTGATCTCATCAAACGTTTAACTTTCAACAATTCAACGAAATTATATTTTCTATTATTACCGACTAAATTCAAGTCTTCTGTCTTACCGTCGCCGTGCTTACCTGTCTATTGGCTTTTGCGCTTTACGTTGACATTAAAAATCGGTATCTAACTTTTGAAATGATATACAGTCAAGAAAATTGAATTCAATCTGGTGGATCTTGTTGTTTTATGACTGAAGCATATCTGCAACACCATGTACCGAATAAACCCATTTCTTACATTTGAAGTCAGTGCAAACCAGGTGCAAGTAGAAATAAGCTTAATCACCTTTATGAAATATTTAAAATCTAGTCACAGTCATTTATGAGATCGACGTGTAATATTATATCTATAAATGAAGTTTAAAATAGTGTTCACTAACTTGAAAATATGCCTTATAAGTCGGGTAGAGTCCCTACAGACCCCATGTTATAAGATCTTCATTAGTTATTATAGAAAAACATATTATTCCTTACAGCTATTGAGAGCACAATGTACCTTCACATATACGTCCAGTATGAGTGGGTTTGCAGATGCATCTAAAGCCACTTCCTGACCGTAAACATCTCCCAGAGTTTTTACATGGGTTTGGTTGACATGGGGTTGTCGCTAAAATTTCAAATTCTAATTGAGTTGTAATAAATATATAAACAAAAAATAAATATACAGGGGAGTTCTATTGGTCCGCCACCCTATTTGATGATATATTTTTGTTTTAATATAGCAGTATAAATGAAATGTTAGCTTAGTTTTTATCAACCTGTATTAATTGCCAGCTTTAGTTGAGCAATTTTCTAGATTGGGTACCTTCATACAATCTCCTGGAGACCTCCCCATACCCTTTACTCACTGGGGTTTGCATCAGGGCTATTAGGTTGGCAATCATCAGGCCGTATTAGTTCAGGAATATTTTGCAAATTATGCTTATTTCTCATGGCACACCACATGTTTAAGTGAGACGCTGGTGATATATTTTATTCAAGTAAAATTGTATAATTCATGATCCATGGCTAGATAACAACCTCAAGTTTCATTTGGTATGCAAATTATGATTTTGTATCAAAATTTAAAAAATTTATAGCACTTTGAAAAAAGTGGCGTTTTTTGGCCCACCTTGTATATATATTATATAATCTTTTCTTCATACATTTTGTTTCAAATCGTTAGAGAACTTATGTTATGACCTCGTGAAATGACTCAATGTTTTGTTTTGATTAAATAACATTGGGAATTAAAACTGGGTACTAACTTTATAACATTTGAGAGTAACGTACGAATTATTAAAAAAATGATTTTTCTATACTGCTTGAAATATGCATTGTCTTTTACTAACCTAGATTAGAAAACTCCATTACTTACATTCTGAAGCCTGGACAGCTTCACATCTGGTTTTCTCCCCATCATATTTACCAGACCGACAGGTACGTGTAGCCGAGCCGATTAAATTGAACCCATTTTCGCAGCCAAATGCTGTGCTTGACCCTTCCAGTCCTGTTCCTTCTTGGATGATCATCCCATTCTTTGGAACAGGCAAGGCCTCGCATTTGGAAACCACTATAACAGCATTACAAAGAACATTCTCACACGATAATATGTATGGTGTATTTAAAGATTTAATTCAACAAAAAATATTTAGTTTTTCTTAATTGGTAATCATGATTTCAAAACGTATAGTCTAGTGAAACAAAGTTTGATATCTGTAACTTTTAAACCAAACCTCAAACTGTGTTACTCTTTGTTTTGATATTCACGTTCTTACTAGCATTTTAAGAAAAGGAGCTCGGTATACGATTTTTCAATTATCATTTCAAAGTTAATACAGTATCCAAATGATGTATTCGTATTTGTGGTACAATATCTGAAACTCAAGAGATCATGACACATATTTAGTAATTAAATGTATGATATCTCACCTTCTGCAACATCAATTGTATTATCTCTTACACATTTAGATTTACCCCCATCATATTTGCCACCAACTTGACAAGTACGACCTTTTGACCCAACTAATTTATACCCAGGCAGACAATCAAATATAAAATAGGATCCTACATATCCAGTTCCAGGAGTACTTATTAGACCATTTTTTGGAGCAGTCAATGGCCCACATTTCCAAACTAAAAAGAAAATATGTTTTTTGGAAGTGGCAATATCTTATGAAGATGCAGATTATACGGAACTATATCATCCAGTTGAGGTGATGACAGAGATATGAAGAAGCTCTTCAAATTTTACATCAAAATGTGCCCTTTTGGTACTTGTACATACATATTAGAGTGCACTTTTCTTTCATAATACATGCATTGCTACATGTTGTATTTTATTATCTGTAACATACCACATTTATTTTGTTCACATGTATTTCCTTGGGATTTTGAGCAGTCACTGTCAAGCTCACACCCTGCATCTTCTGTTGACACTTTTTTCGTTTTAGCTGGTTTTGATATCTTGTTCGAACATTTGCAATTTGAGCAGGTACCACTTTTACAATCAGAATCTTGCGTACAAGCATCACCTTGAAAGTAACATATGTATGAATGTGGCTGCAATATAGTATGGGAGAACCTAATGCTAAATCACATGCAAAACTGGATAACAGTTACGCCAAAGCGTTGCAAATCCAATCGAACAGCAATGGCTGACTTGTTTCCAAAATCCTTCAACTTCAAGCAAAAATATTAAAGTAACACACATAAAAATGGCCATCATTTCAAAATGGTCGCTATAAACGCCTCTAAGTAGGCACATATAAAATTCAAACAAAGTCGCACACATGTACATGAATATGGTAGCCATTTGTCATAATGGCCGCCTACTAGCCAAAGTGTCATAACACAGTGTGCCCTATGAGTATCCAGATATCAAATACCAACAAAATCGCTCAATTACTTTTTGATTTATAATAAAAAAAAGGAAAATAACACATGTAAAAATGGCAGCCATTTTGAAATGGCCACCTTCTAGTCAAAATTTCATGAAACAGGGTACCATGCTAATGAATACTCACATATCAAATATGAACAAAATTGCTCCATTATTATTCCATTAAGTTACAGCAAACATCGTAAAATAGTGTGTAAAGCCCGCCATTTAAAAAATGACTGCTATGTGCTTCTTAAATATGCACATTTCTAGCTTTATTAATGTCTTATATAATATTTTTACATTTAAACATATTGTTTTTACAGTATTTTATATTGTACCCAAATTACTGTAAAATCAGCACTGAAAACGCCGCCATTTTTTAATGAGCCATTTTGAAAATTGAATTTCGAGCAGAACCTTTACTCCCATAGGGTATATGTGTGAACAAAATCGGGCTAACGGTATTTGAGTTATTGCCCGGACAGACAGACGTAGGTACGAACGGAATCGTTCCCTGTATCCCTCCGAACAATAATAAAGCCTGATTTGCTGTAAATAACGTTTTTTCACATTTTTAATAAAAGCTGATAAAAGGTCAAAATGTTGAGTTTACCTTTAGGTTCACATGTTGCAATTATTTGTTTATTCCAGGATCCATTTGATCTGCATTTCAGTTTTGAAGAACCGTTTGCTATATAACATTCATTACATTTAACAACTGCTTTGCAATTAGGGTCATAGCAATCCACGACTACATTTCCGTTGATTGGGTTTTCTATGGGAGGACATGTTGCTGAAATTATAAAATAATACCCCATACCAATCATTAAAATTGAGCAATTTGTGACATTTTGTTTAAATAGTGTATCAACAGGCTCATTATTCGGATGGCACATGGAAAAATCATTACAAGTGTTTGTTCATTATTCTGTCATCGTTCTTTTAATGTTTTACTAGTTATAATAAGGTGTTTAGGTCTCAAATATCTAAATTAAAACACACAATTATTTTACATGATTACATTGTACAAAATAAAAATTCATATTAACACTGCCATCTTTATGATGAAAATAATACATACAGTATAATATATCAAAGCGTAAATTGACTTCATGTATTAACTGACTGGAAGTTTGATCTTATGTAAATACAATTAATATTGATCAAATACTGCATTAACCCCATATTATTACCACTTTGCAGGGCCTGTTCTGGGGGTTTTAGTACTAGTTGAGAAGGCATTTAAATTGCTATATTGACGTGAGCAATATTGTGTCGGGCGTTAATGACTTTAGTCGGGCAATAATGACATTATCCGCCCGGCTGTGTTTCCCAGGAAAAGTGATATCGTTCAGTGCGTAAGATTTTCTATTTCAAATTTGCTATTTCAGCCCTGGTCATTAACGGTGGAAATAATAGTAATAAGGTCATTTCTGCGGGCAAAATAGTGAAATATTGGACCTTGGGCCTGCGTTATTGTACTATTCTGCTTAAAATATACTTTTAAAACAAATCAATATTTGTTTATGTGTACGTTACGGCAGATATAATGCCAGGTCTTCTATTCATCTCATGTCTGACCTTTAGAATTCAGTTTCAAATAAATACAATAAAGGAAAATCCTGAAAATAAATGGTTAGTTTTATTAATAAAACTAAACTGTGTATATTGGTTAATCATACAATCATCAACTTCAACTATCCATTGCATTTTGAAGCTGATATAACATAACAATAACAATCAAAAATAAAATACAAACAAATATCACATCAAATGTTTTGGTATAAATTGTTTGTGCGGTTTAAAGATTTCTTTTTTATCCTTTTTGCTTTTTAATTCAATTAATTATAATGAAATAAATAACAGGAAACAAACCTTCTGCCTGTCTTTTATATCGTAGATTTGATTCAGCCTGAAAGAAAATGTCATAATAAAATTCGTAATGTCATCCAAATAGGTTCATGGATAAAGATTGATTATGAATTGAGATATCCATTAAAATTATGCATTAATTGATTTTGAGCAGTTCACATACAATTAATTACCATTATCCCGAATCAAACAGTATTAATAAGATAGATTATTTGTAAATTATAACTTTATATCCATAAATAACTTTCAATGGGGAAACGTGTAAAAATTCATTATATGGTTATATCAAACGTCCATATCACACCGGAATAGCCTGACAACGGTAAAGTCAGATGCCGTTGTCACAAATGGCGGGCATAACCGTCGCTTCAACTGTTCAATCACTTAGTCCTCATTTCATTTTTATCGTCGCTAATTCTGTGCACGTATTAAGCTCTTGTGATGATGTTTCATAAGCAATCCCAATTTCGATCAAATCGGGTCGTGAATCGCCACAATATAGCGTCTTCGATATCGTCAATGACAACGGAATCTGAATTTGAGTAATTTAGAAAGACAACGGCATATGGTAATTACAGTGTCCGTTGTCCCGTATCTCATTTCGATGGTAGAACATTATTAACTGTACAATGAGTACTAAGACACTTTGGTTGATTGTTGTTCCAAAGAAATTTAGTCTAGGTGCTCTATTAAACATACAGTTCATGAAAATGTAATTGAAGCGACAGTTATATCCGCCATTTGTGACAACGGTATCTGACTTTACCGTTGTCAGGCTATTCGGGTGTGCATATGAATTATTTCAATGTGGGATATTGTGAATTGTTAAGCAGATGAAAAGCACTTAGGGAAAAATTAATTAATACTTTGACACTGTGGTTTAGAAAACAAAGTGCGCTAGATTAAAGAGGTGTAAACATTGAAATGATTAAGATGTACTGTACTTACACTGTATAAAGCATAATCTCCAAAAGTGAAATTAAGCAAAAAAGTGATGAGTAACAATACAGAGTTGAAAAACGTCCATTTTAACTCCATGTGGGATGTCTTATGTTGTCCTTAGATAATAGTTTCAAACGCGTATCCTTGGTAATATTTTAGGATCTGCTACCTTTGTTATGAACTTGTATTTATTGTTTTTAATGACCTCCTTGTGTTGTACAAATCTGAAAAAGTAAGGTGAGTATAATAGGTAAAGAATATAGTTGTTGAGTAGTAGTTGCGATAACATTATTTCATTATCTAAATTTTTATTTTTTATATGGTGTTCCTAAATGACTGTAAAATTGGCAATAAAATGGCGACCATTTTGAAACTGGTTGCAATTTTAAAATCAGCTTTCGAACAAAACTTGTACTGACATGGGGCATATACATAGTACTATAAAATATAAACGATATTGAGCCAACGGTATTCACTGGTCAGTATCAAGCGAAGGTTATGGCCGTCGCCTTCGCATTTAAGATGGCGGACAGGAAGTGTCGATTTCGATATTTTTAAGTTATAGTTGATGCAATGCTTTGATATCTGAACTAAATCAGACTGATATGACATGGAAACTCTGGAATGCGCCACGGTTCAACGATATTTTCCATCGCTTGGTCGCAACATTCGTTTGATATTGACCAGTGGGTATTGAATTTTTTGCCCAGATGGACGGACGGACATCCAGGCGGAGGGATGGAACCGTTTGCTGTATCACCCCGAACTTCGTGCAATTGGATAGTTAAGTGTGTTTAATCTTTAAAATAATAGTATACTGTTAAGGCTGGTAAGTTGACCAATTCTTATCGCAACCTTATTTGGGAAATCAATTTGAGTGTCTTTTTGGATTTCAGGACAGGGGTGTTTTTAAGAGAACGCAATCAAAGAATATGTGTATAAAGTCCTAAACTAGAAATAATGTAATACTTATTTGATTTCATCACTTATTTACAAGCAATAATTAATAATCGGATAGTTTCGAGAGTGGTTACTGCTTATTTAGATATTGTTTTTCTTTCTCGTTCCTTATGTTTTTGATTGTTACAATCAAAAGTTATATGAAGTTGAAATAAATCTTATGTACAGTGTACGAACCCAGTACAACATTAAGTGCATTAAGTACAACATCAATGCATGTGTCTAAGGATGACATTATTCCAGCTAAGCATATCGCAAAGAAAGGATAAATTACTGACATTAATAAATATTTTGAAACATCGAATTGCTAGAGAAAATTCAGTTTTGGCAAAAGCATAATTCGAAGTATGGACAGAACATTATATAACTAGATTTTAATGTTTTTGATAATTTGGTTTGGACTATGTTGTTTCCATTGCAATCATTAACTTTGGCTATACTTCATTGCAAAACAATATGAGTTTGTAATCATTGTTAAATTATTTGCAAAAAATCGTTATGGATGTTTTCCTATTTTACACATAACTTAAACACACAAATGGGATAGTAATCAGTCTCTATACCAACATATTAATCTTCAATGTCAATGTTTTTATTATGCCATTAATTAAATGATCTTAGCATAATCATTGCACATTAAATCAATACAATATACTTTTTCCACTTTTGTTGATCTGCTATCACTTGAAACAGAGACAAAAAGTAAAATATAACTTTAAAAAGAATGTAATTAACATTAAATAATTTTGCCACCAAGATAACTGATATCGCTATATAGTTCTACCAGGTTATCATTCTCTTCAAACACTCGAGCATTGGCAAGTGCCACTCAAAAATATTTGAAGCTCCCTCGACACACTGTATGCATCAGATAAAAGAAATAACTTTTGTTCTTGCTATTTATGTTCTGACTATGTCTAAGTCTTAGTGCCTCACTTACAAACATTATCCTATTTTGTTATATATATCTAAGTGCCGACGGGAGAGAACCAAAACTGTAAAGAAACCTATACTAGCAAGAAAATCAAACATTAAGTATCAACCTGTCGTAAGAAAATAGACTCTATGTATCCCAAACCATGATCTTTATACGTGAAAAGAAATAATGTCTAGCATCCCCTTCCTCTACACTCGAGAGCCAATACCACATTCCAGGACCAGAACACCAAGGGATATTTCATTTATACTGAAGTAGGCTAGTTACAATACATGTTGAAGAAAAAATTGAAATAATTGATAGCCAATAATACTCATAACTTCAAAAAACAGTTGAATATACTAGAATATAGTACTCTAAAAGTCTCAAATCATGTGGGATAGACGAAACCCAGTCTCGAAGTCCATAGGCAATTCAAAGGGCATATTTAATACGAGCCTAATTTTGTTTACGTTCATAATGTATTTAATCGTTAACACAAGCAATATCACGTACGTTTCTGTATTATTTGCTTGCGTTTGTAAAACTACAGGGGCTGGTATGGGAACTAACAAGGGGGGGGGGCAAATTTCAGGTCAGAGAAAAAAGTTTTGGGGCTTAAAACCCAAAAGTTAAAAAAGGCCCAGTAATGGCCAAAAATCACTGATCTATGTCCATTATCTTTGAAGGCATTCACTATTTATTTATAAGTATATTTGGTCAAGGCAGCTTTTAACTGCTCAAAAGAACTAGGAGAAATCAGAACTTTTTAGACAGATTTCAAAAATGATATTCCTCAAAATCATAGGATATCCTATAATTATTGATTTTGAACATATATCAATCGTATTCAAGGTTTTAATCTTAGTGTACACCAGGGTATAAATGTTCATGGGAAAACAAACCCTGTCGTTTCTAAAGTATGATCTTACATGAAATACCCAAGGGAGATTTTATCCGTACAACAAGTGTACAATATTTGTAAGTGTATAAGCAAGTGTACAATATATGTTGTCGAATGAATATACATAGATATAAAAGTTATAACCAATACTCATACCATCAAAAATAGTTGTAGATAATGTATTCATACAAGATAGGGCAAGATAATTAAGATTGTTAAAACAAGGCAAGGAAACAAATTCAACATGGCCGCCTATCTCTATCTAATTATCCTGCCATGAGTTCCCGACCTACCATCCCAATCAATCTATCGTTTCTATAAACAGAGATCTAAAATGATCTGTTATTGCCGATACTGCCGATTCTAAACACGGTGCAAAAAAACTAACCACATGAGCACACCATGAAAGCCATCATTGTCATATTGAATGTAGTTTCTACCAGATTGGCGTTTGACAACTGAGAAATCAATCATTACGTAACGTATCATTTTAAAAAGACAAATGTGTATCAAGAATTCAATTTAATTGTTCTGAAACATGTTTCGACAATTTGAATGTTTTCACTAAACTATGGATTTAAACTTTGTGTTCACAGCTCAACATATTTAAGTAATAAAAACGATGTTTACGTTTTATTATGAATGGGACCAAATAATAAATGAATAATCTAGAAAATAATTAAACAATTATCTATAATAATTCAAATTTTCTACTAGTAAACATTTTGCAATAATTAAGAATAATCTCTACTTACCTTTGTTTGGAGTACTTCGTTTTTTCTACCTGAAATGGAAAATGCGCCAGTAATATGTAACCACCATCACCAAATTGTCTTATATTGATGTGCGATATTTTACTTTCATACAGCGTGATTGTTGTTTGTTAATTTGCAAGATTTGAGATGCAGTACCACATAGAAAATGAAATGCATCGACAATTATACTCTACCTTAAAATCCTAAATTGTAGACAATCCATATTTCAAAAAAGTGTAAAATTCAAAATGGCGTCAACATATGTAAAAAATGGCAGCCTGGAAAATCTTTAGTTTAAGGTTATTAACAGTTGACACTACAATTAATCAGTATTTATAGGAGTATATGACAAAAACTGATATTTATTAAATAATGCGTAACACTGTTGTAGCTTATATTCATATGGAGTAATTAGATCATCATGAATGTGTAATTACAATCGTTTAATTTAGTGAGACGTATGTGACTTCATTAAGGTGGTTAGTGCTTCATCAAATGTGAGATGACAATTTTTATATATTTTTTATTCTTCTTTATTCAATTTTAGTACAAACAAAATACACATGTAGTGACTGCCAAAGTTGAAAAACATTGGTGGCAGTTTGATGATGACAGTTTGAGATGACAATCAAAATATACAAGAACACAAATGTGTATAAAATGTCCCCACCTATGGGTGATCCCGCCAAATGGTTATCCTAAAAATGAGTAGACAAGACTTTACCGACACAATTTGAGGACGGAAAAATTCAAAATGGCCACCTTAAAATTTACCCAGAATGCCAAAAATAAGTCAGTTCTAGATTTTCATACTAAGAACCATCCCTGAAAATTTGAAATTGATCCGTCACACAGTTAACCAGAAAACATGTAAACAAAACTTTATAGACAAGATTTGAGGACAGAAAATCCAAAATGGCTGCCTTGACATTCATCCAGAATGCCAAAAAACTAATCAGTTCAAGATTTTCATACTAAGAATCATCCCTTAAAATTTGAAATTGATCTACCAAACGGTTCACCTGGAAATGCGTAGACAAGACTTTACAGACAAGATTTTAGGACGGAAAATCCAAAATGGCTGCCTTGACATTTACCCAGAATGCCCAAAAACTAATCAGATCTAGAGTTTCATACTAAGAATCATCCCTGAAAATTTGAAATTGATTCACCAAACGGTTTCCCTGAAACGCGTAGACAATACTTTACAGACATTATTTTAGGACGGAAAATCCAAAATGGCCGACAATAAAAAAGTGATTAATAGTTTTTGCTGATTTCTTTTTACAAAATTATCACATATAACTACTGTTAACAATAACATAGCTTTTACAACAAAGAACACCTGAAATTATTTATAAAGCTACTAAATAGTTAAAGTATGAAAACTGAAAAACACCATTCAATATGATACAAAGTATTATCGTGCGCTAACTTTTCTTCAAACATTCAAAATTGCTGACATGACTGAGCTAACAGGTCCAAAACCTAATCAGATCTAGAATGAAGTGAGCTGAACAAGATGTTAACGTTTTAAAAGCAACTGTGAAGCCGTTTTCTTAAAGTTTGCAGACAAGGATTTTAGCATTTGACTTCAAAATGGCCGACAGGAAGAAGGTATCACGCTAATTTTATTCATCCACATCTATATGCACTCATGAGTTATCCCTGAAAATTTGAAGGTGATATCTGTAGCGGTTTTGGAGAAAACTGCCGGACGTACGGACAGACAGACGGACGCGCCTAGGCCGACAATATGGCCCCACACTATGTGGTGGGGACATAAAAACTACTAATATGAGTTTTCTAAGGTGCTTCGAATAATGAAAACAATATATTGGAAAAAGATTACAAAAATACAAAACAATATTTGTAATGTTCTTCATTATATATCATATGATTTTATGTTCATTGTGTCACAAATGAATGTGAAAGATGCATGCATCTCAAAAGAATAGCAAATTCAAATAAACTATTTTGAAAAAAGCTGTCAGCAGATACTCATATAAAATATATTTACATATAAATTATCAGCAAAATCCTTAGAGTGGTATTCATGTAAAGAAGTCAACAATTTTTTAATAAAAATAAATTCTCAAATGAAAATTATTATACTAATTAATTGTTCACATAAACAAAGTTAAAAAGGGTTTTAAACATAACGTTATGTTTTATCATAACCCCTAAAGTTGAAACTATCTGTGCGAGTCTCTTTTCACAAACAATTCTGGTATGGAAGATATGTCATCCCACTAAACTGTACCTCCAGGACACATAGTATAGGTGATGGTGCCATCTTGGGGACACATGAAGATGCCCTGGCAGTCAGATGGGTCAGCCATATACCCTTTCTTCACATGAGCAACACCGAGATAGTATGAATATTAATTTTGTGCATAGTAGTATTCTTAAACCATAAATTACATGGCTATTTAAGATCAAGGAAACAGCTGATGGGTTGCATAATACTTTCCTACACTTGGAATGGTTGTCTCAAACAAATGTCATAATTGCGTCATTTTGAAAACAGCAATATTTACGATTCTCAGAGTCAACAAACGTTTGTGTTTTATTTAAAGAAATGTAAAAGGGTGATTTTGAAAATATAAAATTCCTTGTTCACATATGTAATATATCTACTTCCATTGAACATAGGGTCACTGTGACCTTTGGTAGCTTAATTCAGATGTCATCATTTTCAATTGATACATCGATCAATTAATCATTAAACTGGGTTGTTAAACTGAGACATAAACAACACAAACATATTCACCGGTAGTATCCAAAGCCCCGCTATGATTTCAAAGTCGCGAGCAAGTTCCCGCTGAAATCGCGAGGAATAAAAAAGTGATGGGTTGTCTTTTGTTTACTTGAATTTTATGATGTACAAAACGTTTTCTTTTTAATTTTCCGCAATGATTACATGGTATTGAGACTAAAAAGGCAACTGATGGAAAAAAAAGTATCACGAGCGGTCGTTCTGTGGTTCTTTATTTGACAATTGAAGAGAGAAAAGTATCATCTTGAATATCTTTATCTATATATTTCTATACGTTATAGGTGAAGAACGACGTTGTCCTGAGGTTGAAATAATGGTAGTGATTTGAAATCAAAATGTAGTTGAGTTTCACTTCCTAAAGCTTTACAGAACACTTTATATTTCAATTTTATCATATCGCTCAAGGCCCAGCTTCTAGCGTAGCAAAAAAAGCAAAGACCCCGCTGAAATCATGAGGAGGCCCCGCTGAAAACATGAGGAGGTCCCGCTGAAAACAGGAGCAAGTGTCTCTCAAAAATGGAATGAATCCTGATTATACCTTGTAAATCTCCCACTATCGTACCCAGCTTGATCCACTATTTTACCCAGTTTCATGAATACATCATTTGTTGATACAATTCTCAAAAACAGCAAATACTGTATTGATATAGTACATATTATGATACGTTGTAATGGAAAATGTGATGAGAATTAGATCGGATGAAATGTTAAAAGTTTAACCTCATTTTCATAATTACGATGTGAACATAAATGTTGTTGATTTTACGCATCAAATCTAATCAATTCAACTGTTTGAAAAGTAAGTGGAATTCCATCATTAATGAGTACAAGTCGATATGTAGTAAGATTCATGCGTAAGCTAAAACGATTAAGTCAGAAAAATGTTCAGTTATACGATTTTTGTCTCAATCTCCTGTTGCCAGCTTAGATACTCACTAACTCACTCACTCACTCACTCAACCACCCACTAACTCACTTACTTTTTCCCTCCCTTTTCAGAAATGAACGAACGCACGAACGAATGCAAAAAGTATTTACCAACATATAACGAACGAACCCTCGCACGTACGCACGCACGAACGAAGGCATGCACGAATAAATGCACACACGCGCTAACGATCGGACGGACGAACGCCCGAACGGACGGTGGGACAAACAAACGCACGAATGAACGATTGGACGGTCGGACGGGCGCTGTCACGAACGGACGGTTTGACGATGGCACGAATGGACGATTTGACTATCGCACGAATGCACGAACGAACGAACGAACAAACGGTCAGACGAACGCATGCCTGAGCGAACGAATTTCGAACGAAAGCACCAACGAACGAACGGAAGGTCGAACAAACGCACACACGAACGTACTGTCGGACGAACGCATGCACGAACGGACGAACGCAAGCAAGAATGGACGGTCAGAAGAACAAACAAGCCAATGAAATATATGTGTCTTCAGGAATTCCTTGGAACATAGAATTATATAGAATTTACATTTAACTGTACAAGTGTACAAAGTCTGTTTACACATTTAAACATTTTATTTTATGACGACGCTGACGGATGGATCAAACTGCCTGAAGTTGCAGAAGAAATAGTTGCGATGTTGACATTGATATGTTATAATGGTATTAATACGTTATTGGCACGTTCTTGTACGTTCATATAAAGAAACTCAATATCTTCATGGAATAATAATGAAGCTTTCCTCGCGATCGAAGCGGGACCTCCTCATATTTTCAGCGGAACCTCCTCATGTTTTCAGCGGGGCCACTGAAACACCTTTAATGATGTATTTCGACCCCCATGGCAGACGTAATTGCACAGTTAATCATCAATACAGACAATATTGATCCAATATGTATTATGGAGTATGTAAATCGTATTTATTGCCTTTATTTTAACGATAAAAGTAATGAACAGTAAATTATGCAAACGTGCATGTTGACGTCCCTCTTTTCAATGCCAGTGAAGAAGAATCATTTTTTATGTCATTGTTTGTCAAATGTATCTGTTTTTAAAGTATTGCTGGAGTATGGAAGAACAGTAATAAGTATTTTCTCCCTTATTTATTTAGATCGATGATTTTATTATAAAACTGTAGCAATGAAGTCAAACACCTCTTAATTTCAAGTCTAACGTTTCATATATCTTTATTGTTAGTTATCAAGTTAAAGTTTAAAGTTACATCCTACCAAGCAGTGGGACAATTCTGGCGTCGTATCGCATTTTTATTTTATTTTCAATCTAATTTCAATAACTTTGCCCGGTTACGCCGGGGTTAGTTCAAAAAATGGCGTTGTACCGTTACATTCTATGGGAAGGGCTACGGCACCCTCTATGTTATAGTCTTTAGGACACAATTTCAAGTCAAATTGGGCAAGATATATGTTGTGCCTAAAATACAGTAAAATAACACTAAAATGAAACCGGCAGCCATTTTAAAAATCGGCTTTTGAGCAGATGCTGTCCTCCACGGAGGGCATATAATATGCAAGAGTTTGAGTCGAATAACGTTCTAGATGCTATGACACAGTGGGTGCCATAGCCACAGGTTCTGTCATGGCACCATCCCATGAATTGATTCGAAATTTTCAGGAAATTTCTATCAACATGAGGCATAGAAATCTGCACGAATTTGACTCCAGAGGTCTTGTAAGTCTTTCGTAAGTCATTCTTGACTCTTGTACTTTCATTTTTTCCGGACATTATATAACGCAGATATATTAAGTATGCAAAAAATTCATTTAGGTCCGATATCTTAAAGTCCGTGATTCCCACATATGTCATATATGTCCTAAATTTAGTTTCTCTGGAACTGCAATAAACGTCAAAAAAATGAACGACAATGGAATATGAGAACTAAAACAATGACGTCACATAGCTTATCGAAACTTACTAATTTCGTAAGTCTCAAAAAATTACTAAAAAGTTACAAACTTTCGAGATATACAATTTGCGATTTCGTAACTTTTTGGAACTTACTTAATTAGTAACAGTACTAATTTTAGAGGAATAGACCTTAGATTGTATTGTATTCGCGAATGCAACTAACGCCTGTCGGCTACAGGATTAACCTTGAGTATTTTATGACCAACTCATGTAAATATGATTGGAATAGTGGCAGGTACTATTCATATTTAAATGAGTTTCCAATAAAACAGAAATCTAATCCGGTAGCCGACAGGCGTTAGAAAATGCCCGCCATTTGAAAATCCACCGGTCATTTCTAAAAGTTCTTTTGATCAGAGCTTATTAGTCCTTTCGATCAAATCCATCCTTCAAGATGGGTCCTTCACTGCGTTCATAGCAGTAATGAAATGAATTACTCTTGGGCCAAGGATGGATCAAATCTGTCTACTGGTATTTGAGTTGGAATTTTTATGGAACAAGGTCGACATCTTTAATTGAGCAGCCATATTGAAAATTCGTTGTGGGACAGAGGTCCTTCAGACCTACATTCATAAGGTATATGGCTAAAAGCTATAAAATTTCAGACAAATCAGTCAGCTGGTACTTGAATTATTGCCGGAGACACTACAGTGCTTAATCAACTGCAAACAGAAGGACCGCTTCTCTATATCCCTACAAACTTCATTCGTAGGGATAACTAGACAAGAGCAACGCCAAAGCGTAGCAAATCCCATCGAACAGTCATGGCTGGCATTTTTTACAAAGTATATAGCATAAATGGCAGCCATTTTTCAAAATGGCCACCTTCTACTAAAAGTGTCATAAGACAGTGTGCCATGCTTATAGTATTCACATACCAAATATGAACAAAATCGCCCAAATATGAACAAAATCGCTCAACTACTTTTCAAGTTATAGTAAAATATGGTTAAATGGTCGCCTTCTACCAAAAGTGTCATTAGACAGTGTGCCATATGCTTATAGTATTCACATACCAAATATGAACAAAATCGCTCCACTACTTTTCGAGTTATAGTAAAAATAAGGAGGGAAAACCCCATGATTCAACTGATGACATACGATTTCCTCCTTCGCGCACCTCCTTTCCCGGAAGTACGTATATTTATACTTCCCTCCATCTTGGTTTTCAAATTGACCTAGTTTTAATTATAAACCAATCAACGACCGACTCGCTAAACCAATCAGCGATGACGTCATCTCAATACAGATTTACATTATAAGCGTATGTCATCTTTGAACCCTGGGGTTTCTCCCCCTCTTAGTAAAATACGTTAAAATGGCGGCCATTTTTCAAAAAGTGTCATTAGACAGTGTGCCATGCCTATAGCATTCACATACCAAATATGAACAAAATCGCTCCACTACTTTTCGAGTTTTTTGAGTTTCGAGCAAAAATCGTAAAATAACGAGTAAAGGCCGCCATTTTCAAGATGGCTGCCATGTGCTTCTTTAATATCTCAATTCTAGCTTTATTAATGTCCTATATAATCTTTTTACATTTAAAACATATTGCTATTACAGTTTTACATATTGCACCTAAACTACTGTAAAATCGGCACTAAAATTTTGAAAATCGGCTTTCGAGCAGAATTTCTACCTCCATAGGGTATATGTGTTCAAAATATAAACAAAATCGGGCCAACAGTATTTGAGTTATTACCCGGACGGACGGACGGACGGACGGACGGATGGAGGCGTTCCCAATATCCCTCAGAACTTCGTTCGTAGGGATAATAAAAACATAACTCCTAAGATACTTTTATCACACACAATATAAATATATTCTGATAAAACATATCCATAACAATTTCATCGAAGGTAGACCTGAAATGAATAAACCAATGTTCAATTCACCCAGGATTAGGGTAGTAGTATTATCCCCGTCGTGGAGGCGAGATTGGTTCTGGCCTTGCTCGGCCCCTAATATTTCGTCCACCCATCCTATTGGACCTTGTCTGGAAGCCACATGGCACCATAAACGCAGGCAGACATTTCTTTTCCTCATTACTGAACGTATATCCCCCCTGGCACTCCCTATGTGTGATCTCATTGTTAAAACATTCAATATATTTTCTACAAGATGGGTCTGCTTTGTCTATCACCATTACCTTTAAATTAGGGCATTGCATATCTGAAAATATATGTTGAAGTAGTCATGATGAGAATTAGACACGTGCGACAATACAGTGTTGACATGAATATTAGTCTATTCCATTAATTTGGCTTGACTAAGATAGCTCTGCCTACATTCTTTAGAAACATGTTCACAAGTTTAAATTGATTGATACCAACAGAGTTAACGTTCAACTATGTGAAGAGTAAATCCCAACAACAGAAATGGTAACTATTAATGGTTGATTTCATAACGGCATAACTGAATCGTAGAGTTGAACCTCAAATAATAACACAAGATAACAGCAACGCCAAAGCGTAGCAAATCCTATCAAACAGCCATGGCTGACATTAATACTTCAAATAGTTTTTCATTTACAGCAAACATCATAGTATAACAAACATAAAATGGCCACCATTTTCAAAACGGTCCCTCTCTACATCTACATGGCGGCCATTTTTCAAAATGGCCACCTTTTAGCCAAAGTGTCATAGGATAAGGTATTCACATATAAAATATGAATAGAATCACTTTCTTACTCTTTGAGTTATCGTAAAAACATAAAATAACACGAATAAATAGTGGCCATTTTCAAAATGGCAACCTTCTAGCCAAAGTGTCATAAAACAGTGTGCAATGCAAATGAGTATTTACATATCAACGAGAACTATCCCCCTTTGAAAGGAACGGGCCTTCGGGTCATCCCCAGAAGTGTCTTACTATACACATACGCAAAGAATACAACCAATGCTTTGATCCCACTTCTGACAACAATTTTATGATGACCCATCTGTACTAAATATGAACAAAATCGAGCCAACGGTATTTGAGTTATTATCCGAATGTATAGTTGGGGGAGTTCCCTATATCCCTCCGAACTTCGTTCGATGGGATAATAATATTATAATATCAATGTTAGGCCCAGTACCGTTTCCATCTCCAAAATCTTCACATGTCACTTCATCTCCTGACCATTTTCCTTCTTTTGTACAAGTCCTCACTGCGTCTCCTTTGAGGATATATCCAGGGTTACACTCATACTTCATGTTCATACCAATATAGCCTCCAAAGCCAGTCACTACTCCATTGCTGGGGTTCTTCAGGTCAGGGCACTTCTTAGATTCTGAAAGTAACAAATGTGACTATTTTGGTTGTTTAAAAGAATCTTTTAAAGAATGACCCTTAAGAAATGTATGACAATGAGAGAACAAACGAAAAGCTGAAACTTGTACATGTAATTGATTTTTATCAAAATCTTATGATCAGTTCCATAAGTGTTCATTTTAATAGTAGTTTAAGCCACCTTTGTAAGTGTTATTGAAATTTTATATGATTTTTTTTATTAATCTTCTGAGTTTGAGAATTTATTCGACATCTTTAAAAAAGAACAGAATCAGCAGGCCCGTAACCAGGGGGGTGCGCAGGGTTCAGGCGAACAACCCCCTGGCCAAAAATTCTTTCAAAATCATGCAGTTTTTCACCATTTTGAGCACTTCTCAAGTGATTTTCACCATATTTGGCCCAAAATTGTCAAATGTGAACCCCCCTGGAAATTTTTGAAAACTGAACCCCCCTTGGCAAATCCTGGCATCGGGCCTGATCAGTTCATGTTGTGATTAAAGACTCACGGAAATCTGATTGTTTGCTACATTTAGGAGGAACGCCTGAGTATTCGCCACCTATTTCACACCTCCTGGCTCTTGAGCCTTCCAGGGTCTCTCCATCCTTACAGTTATACCGTACTATAGAATTCAAGTATCCATTGGATGGTACCTCCTCAATAACTCCAGATGGAGTCCTGGGTGGAACACACACTGAAAATAATTATGTTCCATCATATAATATTAGATCTTGTCATGTCAGTAGAATCTGGGAGGATAAAAGGCCAAGAAAGAAGGACTTTACCAATTTCAAATATAATAGATCTAAAATCTAAAAGAGGTCATGATGGAAGGACACAAAAAAATCAAATGAATTCTAAAGTTGAGAACATTTTCAGTTATTAACTGTCTTAACTATCTTGACCCTCTAACTAATCTCTAACAGACTACTGTATATTCATTCAAAGTAAACACGTTGTTATTTTCCTTAATCTGCTGGATTACCTTCCTGGCAGAGATCTCCTTTAATGCCACTAGAACAGGTGCATTTGAAGCCTGGTTTGGCATTGACACATTTACCATTGTTCCAACAAGGGTTGATTGGCTTACACTCATCAATATCTGGAATATAATTTATTAGGATCTGTCAAATTATGTATGTAACAGGATTATCACTTATCACAGATATAGCCATGCCAATATCAGTAGCAATACATGTATGTGCTAATTTTTGTCACCATATATACAGGGTGGTCAAATAAAATGGCAACCCTGCCACCATTTTCCTCATATTTTTGTCATTTTAGGAAAATACTCCCTGATATTTGGTATCTGTGTACATCATTCAATCCCCCGACGGCCTACAATATTTCATGACCATCAGATTGATAGTTACAATGTTACAGCACTTTTTATAACATGCTCCAGAGGCCAATGTTGCACTGTGGGCAAACCTGCTCCCGTCGTCATCCCTGTGGGATATGCCAAAGATAAGGTGTACAAAAATGACCTCGGGACAACAGACTTCAAAAGGCAGATCATAATTGTCATTCAGGCCATACCTACTGGGGATTTCATTTGGGTCATAGATAGGTTGTGCAGGTTTGCCTAACTGCGATGATGGCTACATCTGGGGCATGTTGTTTAAAGTGCTGTAACATTGTGACTATCAGTCTGATGGTCATGAAATATGGTAGGCTGATAGGAAATTGAATGATGTACAAGTGTATAAAATATCAGGGAATCAAAAATGACAAAGATACAAGGAAAATACAGGGTTGCCATTTTGTTACCACCCTGTACAATATTAAATATACAGTACATGTATATTATATATACAAGACTTAACACTCGTCACAGTGAACTGTATAAGTGGTATTTAATCCGAGTGGTTAATTTGCCAAATGGTCAAATTTCATCATTTTCAAGAAAATATTATTCCGTACCTGTTTCACAATGCTCACCAGTCCATCCTTTCTCACACACACAGTTCACTCCATTTACTGCATCAATACATGTGCCACCATTCTGGCAAGGTTTTGGAGCACAATCATCTATATCTATAGTGGATAAAAGCATGTATTGGTTGATTATAGGAAGTGATTAAATCTGATGTCATATTGACCAGTTGAATATAGTCCTTCTAAGAAACTTTTTTTATTTGTTTACAAAAACAAGGCCAATGACGTGAAAGAAATCACACCACCAAGCACAGGGCGTTAACATCCTCTATCATGTGAACGAATTTGGAGAAAATCCAATGAGCAGTTTTCCTGAAATAGTGATGACAACACTTTCAAAATGGCCACCGGAAAACAAGATGGTTGCTCAAAAGTTAACTAGCTCAAAACTTTATATCCTATATCATGTGTACAGATTTGGAGGGGTTGTCCTGGAATCACAATGACAATAAACCGGGATGCCACATGATCACACTAATGATAAAGGCATCAACATGACAACAATATAACACCAGAGGTGTGATAATAACACCAGAGGTATGATAAAAAAAGGAATGTCTGTGTACATTCTCCAGTAAATCATATTGCATACATGCATTCTGGGAACTTACCTGTCTCGCAGAATACCCCCGTATATCCTACTGCACACTGACATTCAAAGCTGTCAGCCCCATCCACACAAGTAGCAAAATTTCTACATGGTCTTGATAAGCACTCATCAATATCTGAAAGTAAATATCAACATATCAAATATCTTAAATCATGATGATAAGGATGCCCAAAAGTATCAAACCTAAGCAAAAAATTTCAAAATTTGGAATCAAAAACTATAAATTGAAGCATTCCTGCTATTATAATATGGAATTCTTTGACCTGCATCAAGCCCTGTGTATCCCACTATCTACACATGTGTAGGGCAATAAATAATGCAAGAGACATAATGCAATACTACATTTTATAGATAAATCTATGGGTACTGGGCTCACATGGAGTTTCGATATAAGTAAAAATGTGAAAGTAATATTTGACATTTTCTAAACAAATGTTGGACAAAAATAGGACTTACCATATCTAAGTGATGACTTAAACAACGCATTATATAACATGCAAACTGTCATCACCTGCCATTTGTTACAGACATTTTCCACTATTGTTGACAGACAGATGGACAATAGTGTTAAAGGAATTGACAATAATTTTAAAATTACCTCCTGTTCAAGTTGCAATCATTTTTATAGATTATATTGATAGAATTAATATCACTGAATATGGTATTGCTTGTTGAGAACCACACACCATTACCATTTATCATTTATTTGAGATTTAAGCAGGGGTCCATTTTTTAAAGAAATAATCATTTTAAAAGATTTCTTATGAATAGATAATAAATAAGTGCAAAAAGTATGAATTATTATATATCAAGAGCATAATGTAAAATTTCAACTGAAAAGTTAGATCAAAATGGAATCCAAGTTCACAGTGGGGGGTATAACTCATCAAACACTGTATAATTTTTTTTTAAACTTATTGTTACAGCCTTATGTTTTTAATTTGCTTTTGTTAGTTAGGATTATATCATTGACCATTCATGAATTTTTGTGCACCATACAAGGTTACAGAACTTCATTTATGAACGATTTCAACAGGGGTCTATTTTACGAAAATTAAATATCTTTCCGGATAGTTCTTAGATGGAAAGCTGGTACATTGTTACGATTAAATTACATCATTAAGGTGTATAAATCATGAAAACAGGTTTCATCCTGATGTCTACAACCTAATTCGTATAAGGCCATGTCACAAATGGGGGGGGGACATTGACCTCCACTTGGGGATCTTTATTACTTGTATGATTTCAATATTACAATAATGTCGGCATCATTATAAACAGGCGCTAAATAAGTGTAGAGTATTATAAATACGTTAACAGCAAGAAGATCTATACAATTGAAACTGTAAAACGAGATAACATTTGGGCTCTAAAATCACAATGATTGGTATAACTAGTCAAATGTTTACTTTTTAAGGTTATTATCATATCCTAGCAATTTAAATTGTTTTAAATAGTTATAATTGAATTATTTGCAGTTTCTGAATTTTTGAATATCTTAAAATGGTTCAGATTTTCATTTATTGAAGATTTAATTTAAGTCTAATTCAAAAGGATGAATATTTTTGTGGATAGTACTCATATCAATTACTATTATTACCACCTTGCCGGGAATGTTATAGGGGTATTAGTGCTAGTTTAGAAGGCATTTATGTTACTTTATCGATCTGAGCAATATGTGACGTCATAGTGGCGGGCCATAGTTGCGGGCCAATTATGCATTAACGCCCGGCAATTTTCCCCGTGAAATGACATATCTTTCAATGCATATAATTTTTGCTATTTCAGCCCTGGGCATTAACTGTGGTAATACTAATAACCTCATTTCTGCGGGCAATATTAAACAAATACTGGATGATCAGGAGCTTGATATGGCAGAATACCTATTCGAGAAAAAAATATTGGGCGAGGCGGTATTTATTAATTTCAATACAGAGCATTTGGGTTCTAGCATTGCCTCATGGGATAGTCTATTTTCTACTAAATAAAATAATCTACATGTATTACTAAAGTTTTGCAAAAGCCGATTCATAAGTAAATAATTCGTTGTAAACTTCAAAAGTGTCAATATCTAATATTTTTCATTATTATGGACCTCTGTTAAAACCCTCAATGATAAGTAAACGATAATGTTGACAGGTCCTCAACGGATGAAAACGAATGTAGGAATATATGTTTTATCATTTAAACATATCATTTAACAATTGGCGGATCAACGAAAAACAAGATGATGTTAAAATAAAGTGAACTAAATGTAACCATTATTTTTTATCATTTTGAATGCAAAATATAGTCAGACAGACAATCTTAGTTTCAATTAAACAGATAAAATCAATATGTCATACTAATAAACTTTCCAAAAGCTGATAAATGAGTAGATAATCTGTTGTAAACTTCAAAAATATCAAAATCTAATATTTTTGTTGACCCCTGTTAAACCCCTCAATAATAAAGAAACGGTAATGTTGACAGGTCCTCAACAGATGAAAATGTATATAGGAATATATGTTTTATCATTTAAACATCAAAACAATTGGCGGATCAACAAAAAACAAGATGATGTTAAAAGAAAATGAACTGTAAATGGAATCATTGTTTTTAATCATTTTGAATGCACAATATAATCAGACAGACGATTTTATTTTCAATTAAACAGATAAGATCAAAACGTCATACTAATTAGAAAATGGCAACTTCACGGAGTAGCGAATCCCAACGAACACCATATAAATCATCAATATGTACAGTCACAATGTAATATTTACCATCTACTCTTTCCTTCAATAAATATTTTAGATCATTGTAACCATACTTTAAAGATGACTCTAAGTAATGGCGAATTTCTGCTCTAGTCGGATATTTTGAATTTTCAGAGGCACAAATCCGAAAAACACTGCCATAATTGTGATCTACTCTGAAATTCCTTCAATTTGAGTATAATATAGCCATACTTTTAAGAGATCAGAAAATAATTGCAAAATCCCGCATTAGACAGCCATTTTGAATTTTTGAGGCCCGAATCAGAAAAACGCTACAATATTTGCAATCTACTCTAAATTGCCTTTCATTTGAGTATAATAAAGCTACACTTCAAAAACATCTCAAAATTAATGCAAATTTGTGTTTTCCCAACCCAATTACGGCCCCTGGGCATCAGGGTGAAAAATCCAGGAAATATGTGAAATAGATAGATATCGTTGATATACTACCAATATTTCAAATAATTATGTTTCTTATTTTGGTTTAAAATGAAAAACATAAGATTTTTGCGAAAAATTCCCGCCATTTTTAAACTGGCGGCCATCTTGAAAATTTTTTGTTGCGTATAACTATTCACCAATATACATCTTTCCACCTAATATGAAGAAAATCTGTCTATTAGTATTCAAGTTATCTTCCGGACAGACGGACGGATTGACTGACTGACGGACTGACGGATGGAGGGCTTCACTCTATCCCTACTGAGCTTCGTTCGATGGGATAATAAACTTTCCAAAAGCCGATTAATGAGTAGATAATCTGTTGTAAACTTCAAAAATATCAAAATCTAATATTTTTGTTGACCCCTGTTAAACCCCTCAATAATAAGTAAACGGTAATGTTGACAGGTCCTCAACAGGTGAAAATGTATGTAGTAATATATGTTTTATCATTTAAACATATCAAAACAATTGGCGGATCAACAAAAACAAGATGATGTTAAAAGAAAGTGAACTAAATGGAACCATTATTTTTAATCATTTTGAATGTAAAATATAATCAGACAAACGATCTTATTTTCAATTAAACAGATAAAATCAATAGGTCATACTAATAAGCTTCCCAAAAACCGATTCATTAGTAGATAATCCGTTGTAAACTTCAAAAATATCAAAATCTAATATTTTTTATTTTTGTGGACCCCTATCACACCCCTCATAATAAGTAAATGGTAATGTTGACAAGTGCTCAACAAGTGAAAACGTATGCAGGAATATATGTTTCATCATTTGAACTCATCAAAACAATTGCAGGATGAACAGGAGGAAACAGCTTAATTAAGGCTTATCTGAAAAATTCCTTTATCCCTACAAGTGAAAGATTGCAATAAAAATAAATAAAAAACATACCTATTTCACAGTCAAGTCCAACAAAACCTTTAGGGCAGTCACACTCATAAGTGAGTAGAAGGTCACGACAGGTGCCGCCATGGAAGCATGGATCACTAGCACAGTAGTCAATATCTGAACAAAAGCATATAATGTTAAAGATTCAATCAGTTAGGCGTCCCTCATTTATTTATTCATAATGATGGCGAGCAGAGATATATATTGTATATTTGCATGATGTTACAAAGGAGCAAACAGAGCTATTCTCACACATGATTTAAATATTAGCCTATTTTAAGGATATAAGATAGCAAGCTTAATCTTCTTACCTCCATCACATGTTCCCCCAGTGAAACCAGGCATACAGTCACATGAAAAGCTTGCTATCATATTATGACAAGTTCCACCATTCCTGCATGGCTTTTCAGCACACTCATCAATATCTGCAATAAAAAGGACATATTCTCTAGATTATTTATATTTCGAATGATTCACAATTACCAGATAATACTGTGCATGATGTTAACAGCTGAAACACATGACTGGTTTTGGGCAAATATGATATTTTTTGCTTAGAAATGGAATCAGATAAAATACCTAAAGATCATTTCAAGATATTTCAAAATAGTTATCTAAAATCAACTCAAAGAACAAAATCCTTAAAATCTTTTGCTTTTTAGTAATATAATTAATAAACTGTAATAAACTGTTTCAACAGCATTAATCAACTAACATTTATTAAGGTCTTTGTTAATATATTCTTAAGATTACTCAATATCAATTTTAGGGTTATCTATATCCATATATTTTTGATGTTTATTATATCTACATACAACCTTCTGCATTTTATGCAATTTACTAATAGTCTCAAGAAAATAAATAATTGAGAAAATATCAAAAAGTATAAATAGTAGCTTCTGACTTCATGTACATGTATGAAGATATACCTTGTTCACAGTCCTTCCCTGCATAACCTCGTTGGCAGGCGCATCTATAGTCCTTCTCCATATCTATACAAGTACCATTATGCCTGCATGGGTACGGGAAACAGTCATCCTCAAGATCTTGAAACACACATATGTAATCCAAACTACTTGACATAGAAATTTACAAATAACAAGCATTAACGTGAAAATGTCACGACTGGGTTGAAAATGGTTACATGAAAGTCATACAGTTTAGTTACTTACTGCTGACCACAAATTTCACTTTCGGCTATAACAGTATGTCACCACTTCTTTGTTGAAATTTTCCTATTTAAATTGTCTTATTTTACCTTTTTCACATTGTGGTCCACTGAAGCCTTCTCTACATGCGCAGTAAAATCTATCTGGCAAATTCTCACAAGTTGCACCATTGAGGCATGGATCACTTTCACACTCATCAATATCTAATTTTGCAAAGAAAAGCTGCTTACATATCATTAAAACATTTTTATAATCAAACAATATAAAAATAAAAAAACTAGTCTTCTGTAATGCGATTGATTATGAATACACACATTGATTAGCTACATGTATGTTTGAACTAATAATGAACATATTCACACACAAAATTAGCTCAACTGTCCTTAAGAATCCAGAGTGGGTTATTAAAGGTCGTATTGTTTATCTAACAGTAAAATATGACATATACAGTATTTACCAATATTGCATGTTGATCCTAAAAACCCTTGAGTGCAATTACAGGTGAATTTTCCTACGAGATCTATACAGGTTGCATTATTGAGACAAGGGCCTGAAGCACACTCATCAGTCTCTGTAAGAAAATGTGCATTCCTTGAGTCCAAAATCACAAAATGATACATTAATAGAAGTTCAATGTAGGTTTATTATATGCAACCATTCCTAAACTACATGTTTGGTTTTCACTTTTTCCACAAAACCAAGAAATAGTATTTGATTAAAACATTACTGAGGGTGTTCAATGGGCAATAGACCCCTAAAGGAGGCAAAACAGAGAATAAAAACACAAAACAATACTAAAGAAAGATAATATTACACATCTGTAGGATCAATATTACAGAGACTATTGTTTTAAAGATAGTACAGACCTGCTTCACAGTTTTTGCCAGAGTACCCACGTGGGCAGCTACAGCTATAGTCACCAACCAAGTCCCTACACCTGGCACCTCTCTGGCATTTATTTGGTACACAGTCATTAATATCTAAAATGAAGTGTATTTCCATGTAAATCTTGCCGTATATTTCACTACAGTACCTGTATTGTATATCAAACAAAAATATAAACAAAAAGCCATACTTTCAATTCACTGAATGTTCTTTGACCAATTAAATGAAGAGTATTCAAAATACAGTACTAAGAAATATCTATAATCAAACAATTTGTACATCTTGTCAGGCAATACTTACAGAACGATCCCAAAAAAGAACTGCTCAAAAGTTAAATAATGTCTTGATCATCTATATAACAGTATCATTTTTGTAAAAATTATGCACACACTGTATATATACATGTATATTTCATTTTTCATATTGAAATTTTCAAAACTATACGTCTTAAGAAAATAGTTTCACCTTTATCATCTATAGATTCTAGTTTGAAAATAAGGTAGATAGCAGGGATAGTAAAAAGAAATTATTGCAATTTTGGCCGATTTTGTTTTTTAGGAGCACTCCTGTATTTGATGTAATTTGTTATTCAGACTTTAATTTACTAATTCTTTCATAGCGATCATATAACTGTATAATATTCCTGTAATAACATGTGTAAAAGGCTGATATGTTTCATGCTTTTTAAAAATCAAATATTTGAACTGCCCTTTATCCTATTATAACATTTAATAGCCTATTATTTGCTCAAAAGTAATTTCATCAATATATTGCCTTATATTTTTTAATATTTCTACAATTCATATTCATTTGTATTCAGACTTACTAGTTTCACAGTGTTTCCCAGTGTACCCTTTAATACACTGACAGGTGTAAGACCCCGTTCTGCTCACACAGGTAGCCTTATTTCTACATGGATTAGATTTTCTGTTGCCAAGGCTATCCTGGGTACAAAGGTCAATTGCGTCCATAGCTAAATTAAAATAAAGGATCTGGTTTATCAAAACAAGTCTATGAATATACATCATACACAGGCAGCTAGCTACAGGGGAAACTGAAAAAAAACTGTATTTCAATCTTTAATAGAGACAACTGAATCATATCACAAAACTTAAACTGTATATAATTTATAAGCAAAGTTTCAACATCAAGACATTTCCAGAAATGTATAATCAAAAGACATTCACCTTCTGGCAATAAAACACTGTGATACAGTGACTTTGCTTGGAGGTATCATAGCTAAGGTTCATGTACACAGCAATATGTATTGGCACACTCAGCAATATGATCACCTCAACCTAGATCCCAAAATGCTCATGGTATGATGAGGTGAGGGAGAAACCCATGGCAAAACCCTTGTAGGACATGAAAAGGTTCTACTTACGTATTTCACATTTTAGTCCTCCCCATTGTGATGTACATGTACACTTAAAGTTTCCTGGTAAATCTTGGCACTGACCACGATTTAGACATGGGTTAGGTGAGCATTCATTAGCAACATCTAATAACATGGAGTAATATGTTAGTGAATGTAATCACAACTTATATAATTTGACTCATAATAAACAAGTTGTATCAGTGTATAACTCATGTTAAAGTTAAAGTGTAAAACTTGCTAAAAAGTCGTATAATGTAAAACTCATATTACAGAAAGTGTAAGAGTGTTAAACTCAACAATCAACAATGTATAACAGTGTAAAAGTTTTAACTAGTGTACATGTAAAAGGGCCTTACCTCTTTCACAGTGAGTACCAGAGACACCTGGAGGGCAATCACAAGTATACCTGTTTACCCCATCAACACACTTTGCACCATTTTGACATGGGTTACTGCGACATTCTTGGACATCTAGAAAATCCAGACTTGAAAATGACTTGATCCAAATACAATGTGTTAATGTCAAAGATTTGTATTCATGAAGCTATGAATTTAATATTTTGAACACATTCTCTTTAAAGGAATATTCCTTGCCAGACCCTTTCTCTCTTGATATGGTAGCTATAATCATATATATAGTTTCCATATTTAGCAAAACATGGGAAAATGTTTAATATGGTCAATATTGATCATTTAAAAATCTAGTGCTTGCCCTTATAAAAAATTCAACCTTGAAAGTCCGAATTTAAACCGTTGCACAATCATTGATCCGATCATTTATGCAACCATGTCAACCGTTACAATGCAACCATTACAATTTTGGTTGTAAACTCATTGAAAATTTTCAATCATATGTAACCATTGTAAACGCTTGACAATTTTGATTGAATTTCTTGCAACCGTTTCAATCGATTGCAACCCTTTAAACCTATGGCAATATTATCTCAATACAACATAAAATAATTATATTGCTCTTTAAAATATATATTTCAAATGTATGTATTTCATGCATACATGTCAGAATTTAAATTTTTTTGATCAAAAAGATATTTAAAGTATTGAAATAGTTTAGTAAACTTGTCTTGTGAATGAAAATATATTGAACCAATTTCCATCTAACCTTGAAGGATGGTGATTGTCCCACTCACATGTATATTATCTAGATAACAGCAATGCTAAGGCATAGCAAATCCCCTCGCTGTCATGACAATCATTTTTACAAAATCCCTTCACTGCTTTTTAAGTTATTGCAAAAACATTTGAAATAATTTTGATTGGGTCAAGTCTTGAATTTTACAAATTCAGACACTTATACTTCACCTTCACCTGAGTAATTATCACAATTATAAAGGAGGGAAGATCTGTCTGGAAGAAATCCTTCAATCAGAAAATAATCTGTTTATTGATTTGATATTTTTGATTTGATAGAGAAAATGCAATCAGACATTACAGGATGTGTTTAAATAATTAAGTCAATAAGCATAACTTAAAAAATTCTGATTACAGAAAGTCTCAGTCTCTTTAGTTTGACAAGAGTCTGCTTTGAAGGATGTGTCTAAAGAAACTTTATTAATCCATTAATCCATAAACAAAACAAAACAAAAATAATTCGGCAAGGCAAAACAAACCTTATAACAGAGAGACTCTCAGTTTGATTAGAGTCTGCTATAAAGGAAGCATCCTATGTAATTTAATTATTCCATACACAAAACATGATAAATAATTTGCCAAAGAAAATTTCCTATATTTTCTTCCAGATTTTTCCAAGTTGAGAGTTTTGAAAAATAAGCCCTGTTTTTTTTTATTTTTTAATCATTGACACATATTATTTAAACTGAAAACAAGTTTCAGTACAAATGCTATGCCCTAGTGAATACAGTGAAGCCATGAACTTTCAATTTATTGAATGCCCATGGTAAAAAGAACTAAATAAAAATGAAATAAAAAATTCTGAAATTAGTATTTGCAGTTTCATATATTTGCTATTTGAGATTTCTCAGCACTTATTAAAGTAATTCAATAAAGAAATAAACCCTCAAAAATCTGAAAACCCTTTTTAAATTTCCCCCCCCCCCCTCTGCATGAAATAGAGAAAAAAAATATATATAGTATAACACAATATGAAAATAAATATAACAGAAACTAGGAATATGAACCCTATTTCTGGTCAAGCATTTTAATTAGCTGTTCAACCGTTTTAATTAGCTGTTCAACCGTTTTAATTAGCTGTTCAACCGTTTTAATTGGCTGTTTAAGCATTCTGATTTGCCTAAACCCATGAGAATATCAACATGTAGTAGATATTGTTGTGTTGAGCATTGTTATTAAACATATTTGCCAAGAAAGAACATGGTAATTAAATCTGTTGAGAATAATGTGAATCAAAATCGTTCTCTTGTTTGTATTTTTTAAATTTTAGTGAGCCATACATTTGATATTAGGTGTTAACTACACATGTATGGATACATTTGAAGACCCATTTTGCTGTGGGGGGGGGGGCTGGCTACTGGCCTGTTCATTGTATATAAACTTTTGTGGGGGTCCTAAGCTAAACCCTCTGATATCAATATGTTCCCATACCGATCTATCATACTGCATCAATATGATCCCATACCAATCTATTTGTATATCATGGGTGTAGCAATAATTCATCTACCTTGTCTAAATTTTACTGAAATTATTAATTCAGATGTTTTCCAGTTGAAATTATATGTTTGTATTATTTTGTACATCATATCCTGCTTCTTTTGATCATCAGTCTGATCATGAACAAAAACCATTGTGTCTCATCTTGTGATTTTGTTAAGTTTAAAGGAAATCTTAAGATGTTCCTTGGTCAATTTCTTAATCAAATTAGAATTTTGCTCAATTCTTTTCATAATTAACATAATTTTGGCAATATCTGATAAAGGGAAATAAACACTAAATATGGTACTTTTAATTTGTGTAAATAATGTAAATGACAGAGAACATAAATTATCATATGCCATTGAGTGGAAAACTAGTCTGGTATCGCATTCCTAAATTCGTACTGGAGAAAGAAACATATTAACATGAATTAAGTTATTTACTATAATAAACATGCATGTATGCTTGCAGAAAGAATATCCTAATATACTATTGTTTAATAGAGGTCGGTTCGAATCCTTACTTAAAGATAATTTTAATTCAGGTAAAATGATAATTTATTGGAACGATACTAATTCAGGATGGTTGCAGGGGTTGAACTATGTAATCATTGAACAAAACAAATTGCAACCATTTACATTTCAATGTGAAATGGTTGCAGTTTACAATGATTGCAGATTACAATGATTGTATTGAAACGGTTGCGCAGTCGTTGAAAAAGAGTTGACTTCGCTTGGTTGAACACAATGGTTGCACAATGATTGCTTATCATCGTACAATGGTTTTTCCTTTGATCTTGGTAGTTGAAACAATCATTATTCAATGATTGGTGGAAACGGTTTAAATTCGGACTTTCAAGGTTGAATTTTTTATAAGGGTATTTCCAGTGAGCTGCCATCTTTTAAGATTTCTTGCAGGAAGTGATGTCATCAACTCTCAACTTCTATAACCTTGCCCATAACAGTATAGGAAAGTAGCACAAAATCACTTCTAGACAAGTGATCATTACTTTCCGTGCAAAAATATTTTCAGGGCTTGTCAACTTAGAATAAAGAAGAGATTTTCAGAAGGATTAAATAAGATACAAAGTTGAAAAAGAATATTTAGCTGGTTTTGCAATTCTTAATAGCTCCTCACCTAATGCTATATGCAAAGTTGAGAGTCGATGACATCACTTCCTGTGTGAAATTTTAAAAGATGGCAGCTTTACTGGAATTGAGCATCACATTTCTAAGTGATCAAATTGGACCATATCAAAACATTTTTGCGTTTTTTGCTAAACATGGCAAGCATATATATGGTTATAGCTACCATATGAGGAGAGAGATGGTTTGGGAGTCCTGGGAGTAGATGACTTTTCACCCAAGTGAATATGTTTTGATATTCAACTGTCCGAAATGGCACCCAAAGGTTCACATTCTAATCAAAAGAAGCAAAAGTAGCTCCATAATTATTTGGTATTACTTGGTATCAGAGATTTTCCTTAACTTTCCCTCCATGGTCTTACAAGCCTTATATCACATCACATAACATTCAAAATAGCAGAAAATAGTAAGTTACGTAGATTCCTCTATGATCCTATAAGCTTTATATGGAACTATCACATTGATTACCATGTGACCAAATACCATCTCTGAACTTTGGGGAATCCCCCTCTGCATTTTAATAGGTTTTCTTATATCACATGTTTAATAAAGCACTTGGATTAAATTCATATGGCACAACAATTAAAAAAGTGTCTTTACAATTCCTTATCAGTACAATAACTACATGTCACTAAACAAAAAATATGGTACATGACAAAAGAATACTGTAAGTAACACCACTGTATGTAACACTGCTGTCCTCGTTATATTTTCAAATTCTGTTCAAAATATCTGTTTTCTTTGATGATGGAAAATGGTATATTGTGGCAAAACGTGATTTCAATTGATCTAAATTAGTATTTTATACAATACCTGGGTACAAGAGATTAATACTTGCACAGAATTAGCGCTGATGGGGTTGCATGAAATGAGAACTAAGCGATTAAAGAGTTGGTACGTCTGTCATTTTGGCAATGGAATGTGACATCCCCATTGTCCCATTGTCAGGAGGTTCCTGTGTGATCTTGCTGTTCACATCCAAAAGATGAGTAAAAGCATTTCATTGTTGCCAAAAAACAATTGATAGAATGACTTAAGGCTGCCCATCGTTGAGGCTACTAACAGCAAATGATGAACTTACATGTATTTTCCTTGCCCATTAATATCAAATGAAAATATGTTTCTTACTTGAAGAACAAGTTGTTCCTGAATATCCAGGGACACAGGTGCAGGTAAACTTCCCTTCTGTATTTTGACATTTTGCACCATTCAGACACTTTCCAAGAAGACATTCATTCACATCTACAATATAAATATTCATCGTTTGACTTCGCTTCTTAAAAGAAAGCTTCACTCTCAATTTACAATGAATATCTGAACTCGCCAAGCCTATCAAAGTTTGTTGTCGAATTAAGGATGACTTTCTATATTTGATCATTTCCTCTGATGTCATTGCATAGTTAATGAGCATTGATTTAGCACATACTTCTCTCAGCTTGGTTGAAATTGGTTGAGAAAAGGTCAGCACAGTAGAATAGATTTAAAATAATTTATGACCTTGGGTGTCACGGGCATAGGTCATGGGGGCAGAGCTGCTTAACTGTAATAAAGTCTTTACTAGGTAGAGGGTAGTTTATAACTAGACTCTGCGTACAGGATATACGAGGGGTGATTCAAAAGTAATGGACAAACTTTTATAGGCATACTAAATTTCACCCAATCAGGCTAATTTTTTCACAGTGAATAGATCAATCAATTCTCTACTTTGTGTCGAATTCTCATATAAATGCATTTGAAATTGTTTCAGCTATGCGTAACCATGGTAACAAGGGTAAGCATGGGTGGAATTGGTTTTTTAATGATAATTGAATGTTTTTGTCATTTTTGCTTGATTTCGTTTTGATGACTCAATTACCACACATGATATGTCTAACAAGCATGGTAATGTAATTGTCAAGCAAGACTCACATGCCCATGTGTTTGCTGTTGAGTTCTAAATTCAGCAACCAATTGTGCTATGACATCACAATGATATTTCTAAGACAGGCACTTCAAAAGAAAAGGAAAGACACAAGAGACAATCGTTTGTTACACATGGACAATGCCCCAGTACACAGGTCCAAGCTAGTTCAGGATTCTCTTGCAGCATTCATGGACATGCCTCAACTTCCACATGCTCCATATAGCCCTGATACTGCTCCTTGTGATTTCTATCTTTTTCCCACCCTTAAGATGGCATTAAAGGGACAATCCTTTCAGACATTAGCTGAGCTGGAAATGGCTGTACAAAAACAGCTGAACACCATGGCTGCTGATGGATTTGGGCATGTGTTCTCTGCATGGGTGCGCCGACAGAAGAAAGTAATTGAACTTGGAGGAGAATACATTGAGGATTGAATATACAAGTAATTCAAATGGATGATCATCAGGAATAATAAGGAATGATATGGATCATTATTGAACTTACTGCGATATGCTTTTCATATACATCTTGCATTGCAAAATATATTGCACCAGCAAACTTTTCATTGAAAATCCATTTGTTATTATGATGAAAATAGCTTTAAAATGGATTCCGGGTGTATGCACCATGATCCAAGAGAAGTGCTCTATCTCAAAATGTATTTGCATTTAGTTAATAAAATTTTAACATCTAATAGATAATTGATTAATCTTTATTTGTACAAATCTGGTAAAGGTAAGCGTGCCTATAAAATTTTGTCCATTACTTTTGAATCACCCCTCGTATAAACATCACCTTGGTAAAATCATTTTGATATGAAATTAAAATTTGTTTAAATGAAGTTGACTCCCCATATGATCCAAACAATGTATTTACAAGTATACATTTCTTATAAAATCAACTAATGATATGATAGTTATTGTACCTTTCTCACATAGTTTGCCCTCCCAAGCAGCTGAACATGAACAGGTAAAGCTGTTAACACCATCTTTACACCGTGCTCGATTTTTGCAGGGATTCGGTAGACAGTCATTGATATCTGAAAAACATATTTATATAATTATATACCTCCCTGCAAGTGCAATATTTAAGGATTTAAGACTATATATTTTTCACAAAGATTGAACAAAGGAGACACTATGACATATCTTATGTGCTTCTTAAATGTTTTAGCATTTTTTTGAAAAAAAATGAAAAAAAATGTTTTTCTATGTTTATCTTTTCTAAATATGCTAAACTTTTAAAATAAACCATTGTTAACCCTTTGAGTGCCGGGGGTTTTTGGAATTGTTATGACGTCAAAATGCCACAGAATTACGACTAATATTGATGAAAAATGTCGATTTTTATGTTTTTGCCACTCCATGATATTTCTTCTACTGGTATCTATCTTGATGATATTGCAAGTGTTAAAATGCTTTATTCTCACTTTTAGTTACTATGGTAACATGTTGAACGTCACTTAATCAATACATATTTCAGTTCTTAGAGGGGTTTTATAGCTAAAATTAACATTGGAAATATCGCACGATTGAAAGAAAAAAACTTTGAAAACTAAACGTAATTACTTTTAATAATGGCAATTATTGTTTCTTGCGCAACACATTTGGCGTAGCTTATTAAATATTTTAAGACAATAATTCAAATTAAAATATGATACAAATATTTATCCTCTTTCTTTTATTATTCCTTCTTTCAAATTAAAGAAATTGAGCATATACGAACAATACACATGCTATGCACAAAAACAATGAATAAATATACAATATCAGGATAATTCAAATTCATACAAATTCAGGATAACTTTAATTGGCTGAACATTTGTGATGTGTATAATGAACCATGGTTTAATTATGAAAGCCTTCTTGTATTGTACTTGTTTGTATAAATCGTAAACGTGAAGCTAGTACCATGCGAAACAAGTGACCAACAAAAGCCACATCTTATACATTACGTTATAAACGAATCATGTCAATATGCTAGTCTGTTAGTATTTTCAGCACACATGGTGTCTGCAACAGTCCAAGTGAAGACCCTTGGCACACTTGGCGAATGCATTACGGAATTTACGCCTCCTGCCTGCATCTTTATCACTCCAAATACAAACGCACCAGTCCTTTTCCCGCGTTCCAGGAAGATTCAGGACCCTCACGATCGGCTGGTCAATGATGGATATCTACAACTAGGGAGGCGATGAAGGCCATGTGAAAGTCTAACCTTGAAAGCAGAGCTGCATTGTTTTCATTAGAAATTTTATTAGCATTGAGCAACATTCTCTGTATGATGTACACTTTCACTTTCTTCATGCTGGATATCTAGGGAGGCGATGACGGCCAGGTGAAAGTCTAACCTTACAAGCGGGGCTGGTTTTTTCCTTATAACTTTAAAAATAATCAATACTGCACTAATCCATTTTTATTTTCTGTTGAAAGTATACTGTGTGATATCTCAAACGTACTCAGACAACCAATTTTACTTTGGATAAACAATATTCCAAATCAGCCTATAGCATTAAGTGATTTAAATGACTGATATCTCAAACGTACTCAGTCAACCAATTATACTTTTGATAAATTATTTAAATGACTGATTTGTTAATTACGAAAATAGATCGAACATAGTCTGATTCCATCCATCACCTGGTATGAATGAAAAAGTCATTTTTATATCGTCCATGCTTCAACGTAGTGTAATACTTAAAATGATCAACACTGCTTTGCGCTAAACGCCGATCTCAAACGTACTCAGACAACCAATTTTACTTTGGGTAAACAATATTCAAAATTAGCCCATAGCATTAAATGATTTAAATGACTGATTGTTTTAATTATGACAATAGGCCGAACATAATCTGATTCCATCGTTTATCAAGAAGATGTATCAATTATTAGTCAGTTAGTATGGCCAAAAGCATTGTCAACTATATTTCGAGATAATGTTTGCGATATGAAATCTGTGAAAGATTCAGTTAAAACAAAAGATTTTTCCTTGGGGGAGATAAGGGTAGTTACGGAAAATAGTAGAATGTTTGTCATTATCCACAAAAAAAACTTTAATAGTATCGTCCTAAAATGTTTTCTGCAATGAGGTACATGAAGGCATGCAGTTGATTATGCAAGTATTATAGAACCAAATACATGAAATAAAGTTTTCTTTGCGTGCAACTGCAACAGAGGTTTCAAGAATTTCTTGATAATATGAGTTTATTTCTCCATGTATTTGAATGAAGTTTGTTTGATGTACAAATCTTTCCTCGCCCAATGTTGAAGTACATTTGTACATTTTCAGATGGAAAAAGAATATCCCCGCTATTCTATAATACGAATTAAGGTGTAATAAATAGAAATGAACAAATATGTCAGCATTTTTCAATCTACGTGGATTCTGTAAAAGAACACGTAAGGTACGGTTTCAAAGTATACTGAAAAGGATATCTGCGTATACATTGATACATGCGCGGCCTTGACAGAACAAACCTACTAACCCACATACGTGGGCTACTAACCTAGATACGTCTAGCTAATTTGCATAAAGTTGTAGCAGTCTGAATCCACTTTTTTGCTCGAAACTCGCTGTATAAAAAATGGAATTTATTAGTCTTTAACTCTGCCGTTGATTGACAGACTTCGAAAAAATAATACCATGGCTTTGCTCGGAAGTATAGCTTTCCGATGGTTCCACTTTTGTAATGACCAAATTGCGAGAAAATGGAGGAAATGGAGAGTAAAGGTGATTTCTCGAATGCCAAGTTTCACTTAAGAAATGCTGCGTTCTGATTGGCCGACTTTCTTGCAGTCCCAATCCACTTTAGCTCTCCAAACTCACGTTTTACAGAAATGACACTTATCGGTCTTTTCTCCGCCATTTTTCGATCGATTTCTAAAAGCATAATGTCATAGTGAAGCTTACATTGCCAGTTTCCAGATGGTATCACTTTTGAAGCGATCCACGTGCGAAAAGAAGGTAAAATTTGAGTGGGAAAAAGTTTCTCGATAATCGAAGATTCACTTTAGAAATACTGAGGAATCTGGCATTCTGATTGGTCAGTTTTCCTGCATTCTCAAGCCACTTTTCCGACTCCAAACTGAGTTGTTAGAGATGGCACTTACATCTCTCGATTTTGTTTCACAAAATGACTAATATCTGAAACTGATATACCTGAAACGTCAGTGTAAAGGATGAATCAAATCCGAAATTATTCAAGAAGACGAGGTTATATATAAAAACGATGAAATAAAACTAAAAACCTCTCTGGTTTTATGTAATTCTCGTCTCTGGAATGTCTGAAGACTACCTAAACCCCAAAGACTTTTGCCAAAAATAAATGAAACTAAAAATATTATTAGTAACTAGAACCCACAGGAGTAATTGTATAGGTTCTAAATAGCTGACTAACGCTGATATAATAGTTATCACTTTTGTTTGTTTTTGACTTTACTTGGGCCAGACCTCCATTCACTTCAATGCTAGAAACGTGCAATAGTCACTTAATTTCATGATTTATCAAAAAGTGTTGGTTGAATCTGTCTGAAACTCGAATGACATACTATTGGATGACCCTGTCAATGTACATATTGTGATTAAACATGAAATGTTGGTTGTCATACAAATTAGCCAAGGTTTGAATGAATTTTAGCATTGCTCCAATGGGGATTTGGCCCAAGTTTTTTCAAATGTCATGGAAAATGATTTAAATGACACAACTGTGTAAATCAAAGCTATATTGGAGAAAATTTGTCACTGAATTCAAATATGCTATCAAAAATAGAGATAATAGAGATAAAAAGTGCAAATCTCTTAAAATCTCGACATGAAAAAACGAGAGTTTTCTATTGCACACGGTAGAATTTAAATGCACGCGAGTAAATTGTTATTTTATATATGTTCTTCTAATATGAATAAAAAAAATTGATGCCATCTCTATATTTATCATTGCCGAAATTATGTACAAGGGAGGTACTGTATATTGTTGCAATTCACAATTTCAGGGAAAATAGGCTGTAATCGGCCCTTGTGCCCTGGAGTAGAAATAAGCGATATCTAGGACAAAACATTTCGTATCATTAAATTTAAACCCCTTATTTATGTAAAATTCTTTAAAATTGTACTTACTGCAATATGATACTGCGAGCCCATCGTCTTCACTGGTAGGGTAAAACAGGTTAATTGTATTAAATAAACACAAAACTAAATAGTGGATTCTTTATATTTATGATCATTCAAACACTTTTTATTACTAGTGCATTTAATCATCTCAGCGTTTGCATATTCTTTGACAATATTGTCTGTAAATCCAGATCCCCTAAACGTATACGTATATTGCTTGCTATACTCACGAATGAACAAATTATTTACCCAAAGAAATATACATAATGTATCGCCTTTTTTAATGTTCACGGACGTTAAAAAATCAGATAAACTAAGGAAATGGTTAACTCATTTTATGTTTGATTTGTTTGATAAGGCGTAATGTAGGCCTACTTGGCTACCGCAGCGTCCATCGTACAAACGCGAAAACGGACGCTCTTAATCAATGATCAGTTCACATTTCCACATCCAAAAGTATTTCATTTTTATTTTCAGTTTATACATAATGTGTAATGTCATTTCTGTATATTCACATGGATTATAATGATGATAAATACATGTTTTACATTCTTACAGTTAATTTCATGTTTCAAAAATGTTAATAGTACGCAACAATTTCAAGACAACAGTAAGCGTTCTAAAATGCTGAAAATCATATGCGTTCAAAGTATAATAAATAATACACTCATTTACAAATAAGTGACTTTGGTATATTTGCAACGAGTTACTTACAAATCAACGTTTATAGGGACAACATTTTGGGCCAATATTAACGAAATCCTTGAATGCCAAGCTTGTTAATAAGCATTAATTTTTCGATATTGTAAGATGCCCAGCGTTCGTAAAATATAACTACATTGTATACTGTATATGAGGCATAGATCAGGTCGAATTATTTATAATGAAAAAAACAAACATTACGTTTCATTCATATTCATGCATATCTTATTTCCAATACACAAATTTCAAGTATTTACTTCATTTGCACACTAAATTACGTTAACAGATACAATCTAACAAACATCAGCGTTTGCAAAAATACGAAAATCACGTGCGTTCATAGCATAATAAAAAGTTACCTCAGTTAGTTTGCAATACAATTTCTTTAATTACTTGACCAGTAACGTATTATTCACCATTCATAGGGACATTATTCAATCTACTATATTCGGGCCGATATGCAATTAAACCTTGTCAACTTTGTTGAAACGCGTTTACTATACGATGTTGTAAGATACCCAGCGTCTGTTAAATCAACTTAAATCAAACTGAGACCGAGTCGATTTATTAAGACCGACCTAAACAAACATAAATAAATAAGAATAGATTATTCATTCTCAGTTGATGACATATTTCCCTGTGTATATAAACGCGTTATTTTGGGCCGATTTTGGGCCGATCTTGGCACTTTAGCGACATACATTTTCCCATCGGCCGAATCGGCCCAATGGCACTCAAAGGGTTAATTGTCTAATCAGGTTAAATGGAAGAATATGTTATCTTTTGAATATCATTGTACCATTGGTTTCTATGAGAACTAAAATTTTGAAATGCATTTTTGTCTAAACCATTTTGATGCACAAATGAGTTAGTTCCTCGCTTATTCATGAACCAATTTTCTTAATTTTTTGGCACAAAACACAAGGGAATGGATTTTATGAATTGAAAAAGTCCTTCAAAAACCACATATTGAAATTTAATTAAGTTACACATAACACATTTTGATAAAATTTGGTAAGACTACAATATAAGCAATACAATATAAGTGGTTTTAACTTTATATGGGGGCTTTGAGTATTGATTATTCAATGCAGTGCAGTTATATGAAATACGGTGTTCAGATGGGCTGGAATCGAACACACCCTACCTAGCTATGTGTGAAAATGACTTTTCAGTAAAACCTGAGTGCAAATAGTGACATTTTGCCCTAGTTTTACAAAATTAAAGAATATAAGATGAAAAATAACTTCTTAATTCTTGACATCTACTACATAATTTGTACACCTACTTGTTGCACAAGTTGCTCCAGTGTAACCAGTCTTACAACGACAAGTAAATCCACCATCTTTGGCAGATCCAGTGTTAGAGCATGTTCCATCAAATTTACAAGGATTTGGATGGCAATCATCCCTGGCTATAACAAACAAGCAATATTTATTAAAACCTTATTTCCATTCACAATAAAATAATTATATAAAAATATTCTTGATTATTTGCAATTTTTAATCATATATTTTTAAATTGGACACTGGGATGTAATAATAAAATTTAAGCTTTGATTGGCTTCAATGGTATAATTGTTATCTTCATAAAAATATACACTGAGCAACTATTCATTCCTGATTTACTTTCAATGGTTTTCCATGATTGTATATGGCACATGTTTAGGTTGAGAGCAATAAATATGTAAATCATTCAAGGGCAGCAAACAGGGAAACAGTATTACAAATTAAAAATTAGTCAATATTGGGATTCTAGTGATTTAATACATGTTACAAAAAATAATAAATGACTCGAAAAACAGCAACTATCTTATTGGCGTAGCATATTCAACTGTAGCTATATTTTGAATTCTGCAGCCATCTTGAAAATACCCTCTATACTAAAGTCCAGCATATAATATTAGGATCAAATCTGGCAATTGAGTTATTGAAAATTTTGTCCACTCAGAGACAACACCAATCTTTACCAACTCAATCTATTTCCACCCATTGATGATAAAAATGATATCTCTCACAAATCTTTTATAATATATTAATGCATAAAATAACTAATATAGTACTACACCATACCCCAGCAATCATAATTATACATACCATGTTCACATAGATCACCAACGAATTGGGCAGTACATGTACAGATTGCTTTCCCAGGTCCATCAGCACACCGTCCACCATTTTTACATGGATTACGATCGCATTCATTCAGATTGTCTAAAAATAATGAAACAGACATTCAGTAGAGTTGAAGTAGTAGCCCAAATCAATGAATTGAAATTAACTCATGGATGTGGGTCGCCCATATATTTGACTCAGTAAACCCAAAGTAATAGAGTAGAAGTAAAACCTTCAATTTAGAGATCACTTCCTCACAGCATCGCTTCAAAAAACAAACAAACTGAGACTTGATTTTCAAGAAAATTGTTTCTGGGTGAGACTGACAGTAAAATATCTGATCAAAATCCAAAATGGCCACATTAACATTTACCCAGAATACCTAAACCTAATAACTTTCCTTGGTAGAAATATCCCTGAAAATTCAGATAAATCCCTCAAACAGTGGAAACCTCTAGATAAGCCATAACACACAATTTTTGTGCAAATAATAACATAGTAATGGATAAATCATATGATACACTGTAGTAATGGTTTGTGGATTTGTCCCCTGGGCATATATTTTGTTTGTTTCTAACTTTTGCAAGGACTATCATCCTTCTAATTAAATAAAATACTCACCAATTTGACAAAAGTCTCCAGTCAGCCCAGTAGGGCATTTACAGATTGCCTTACCAATAGAATCAATACATTCTGAGTCATGCCTACATGGATTCCTTGGGGCACATTCATTTTTATCTGAAGGAATATAGAAATTCAGTTTAATCTTTAAATTCAACATTCCAATTTGTTGCCTAACACAATAAGTTGTTGGTTTTTTCTTTCTGATTATTCCAAAATTATATTAGATCACACTCATAGGGTACATTCCTAGAGTTTTAGCTATGATTTATATAGTATATACATGCACACAGCCACAGTATTAACAATAGTTGATTATACTTTGAATTCTGGATTCGAATGATCATTGTTATTGTGATCTGAATAAAAATTCTGTTTGTTTGCATAATTATGATTTATTGACAATTCAGTTATCATAATTGCTACCATTTTCAGCTGAATCCTACATTTTAATGGTCCTGCTTTTCTAATTATCTTGATTGTTACATCTATTGTGATTTCTAAGATTATTGAAATCATTAATTATACATGTTGATGATTCAGTAATTTTGGTAATAGAAATAGCTAAATAATTGCCACAATAATTACGTTCTTTACACCATGGAGCCGAATAGTACATTTCAGTGATTCTATAATTATATTTTTGGAATTAGATATATTGTCAGGATTATTACAGCATAACAATTGTGATCTGAATCATACATTAATATAATCAAGTAATTCTTCTGTACCTTAATGTTTGAAAAGAAAAAATATATAGCACAGTACAATCTTTAAAATAATGAGGTAACTCACTATAAACAGGAATAATACAACACACTAAATGCGAGTAGAAATAATCTTGATTAAACTAACTAGTATTTAATATTCAAAATTCAGCTAAAGTGATGTCATATCTCAAATCTACATGTAAAATTACATCTAGAAATGCAGTTTTAAAAAGTGTTTATTAACTTTGAAAATTTAAATTTCTTTAAAAATGTAACAATAAGATAGATTCACCATACACCCCATTCTATATATATCTTTTATCGACTCTTTAGATGTCATATCATGACATATTAGTAAAATCAAAAAAAGTGAAACATCTTTTCTTATAAAGGACTGATAATATTTTCTTTTACTGGAACTATTTTAATTTGTCTAACTTTCATATACAAAAGGGTAATATGAAAATTGAACCAATGAAACTGAAGAATGGTGCTGGTGCTGAAAAAGGTAGCTACCTACTACCTTGTACTTGCATCTGGGTAATTTTCATGCATAGTTCATTCTTGTTGAACCAGCACAATTGTGAAGATCACAACTATCATTACTATTGTGCCATATACATCAAAATAAAAATCTGAGTAACAGGATTGTTCTCAATTGTTTATTCTAGATAATTAAGAAAGCAGTGACAATTGTTATGATTGTGATGTAGGGCTATATATATATATATTCTTTTATTGACTCTTATATATGTCAGTCTCTCCGACACATGGGTCACTATACAGTTATTTACATGTGTTTTATATACAAATATACAGTCATAAGCAAAATGGAAAAATACAAAAATCATTACATCATGATTCTAATGTAGTGTTGATATATACATCCAGACTGAAAACACCTTTTGAAATAGGCTTGACAAACATAATTGCTACAAAATGTACATTCTATGATACAAACTAAATTTACAAATATTTACAAACTTATACAATGTTAAAGACTGGATATGAATGCTCTTACATTGTTACAATCTATGAGGAATTTGGCAAAATATTTTAATATGTTAATTTTGCTGTTCATGATCTCCTTTATTAAGAATTCAGGCATTAAGTTGCTAATAGGAATATTTTCAGCTAGTATTTTGAAGAATATTGCTCTCTGGTTTGTATAAGAAGGGCAGTAAAAAATTAAATGTAGTTCATCCTCTATTTGATTTAGGTTACAATTTAAACAGAGTCTATCTTTTAGTTGTATCTTTTGTCCATTTTTCTTTTTGTGTCTACCAATTTCAATTTCTAATCTGTGGTTACTTAGCCTTATTTTGCATAATATGTTTCTAAGTTTTCTGTTTTTTATCATAAGGTAAGGCTCTTTTTTGAATTCAACTTTGAATAAAGAATATGTTCTTAGGCATGGGTTTTTTGAGTGATCGTTGATTACAGCAAGCCATTGGTTTTTGTAAAGAGATCTTAATTTATTTGATACTTTAAGATGAAGTGTTAAATATGATTGAATGTTAATATCAGATTTTAAATGATTATCCCACATATCTTGTAAATCACATTCTTTCAAAATATTTTTGATTTGTGACACCCATGATTTCCCACCGCAATGATAGATTTGAAGGTTCTGTTGATACGCTATATTAAGTTTGTGTTGAGATTGAAGAGTTAGTAATCGACACCAATATTGGTTTACTCTAGCTGAATCACCATGATGATAGTTATGGTTGCACAAGTGTTCTGAATAGTGGACACAACTCTCAATATTGTAGATGCGTGATTGTTGAGAATCTAATCAGATTATATATGAATTGCTAAATTGTGAAGTTTGTACCATTGTTGAATACCCCCCCCCCCCTTTCTCTGAAGTCTGAAATGTTACCTTCTTCACAGTTGGCGCCTATGTATCCTCGAACACATCTACATGTGTATTTATTAAGGCCATCAACACAAGTTCCTCCATTCTTGCATGGTCTAGTTTTGCAATCATCTGGGTCTGAAAATGTAAAGGTTAAGCTTTGCAAATGTGTATTCATCATTCACTTACTATTTTTCATGACTTTAATAAAAGTTGTTTTAGAGATTTTTGAAAAAAATATATTGAAAAAATGTTGTCAAATTTTGATTTCTCAAATATTTCACATTTTCCTCCTTTTTTCAAATAAAATCAAACATTAACCATCAAATATTCCACTATACAGTGCCAAACACATTATCTTTTAAACACCAATGGAAAGATTGGACAAAGGTCACACTATTTCAATAACAAAATGCCATGTGCTTCTTAAATATCTACATTTCTAGTTTAATAATGTCCTATATAATTTTTTACATTTAAAACATATTTCTATTACAGTTTTATATACTGTACCTAAATTAATGTAAAATCGGCATGAAAATTGCCGCCATTTTCTAAAACCTGTTTCCGAGCAGAACTTTTACCCCCCAAGGGCATATGTGTACAGAATATGAACAAACTGGGCCAACAGTATTTGAGTTATGCAGACTTTGTTAACAGTTTATAAAAAGCGTGAAAACAGCCATGTTCACTTTATTAAACCTGTTTTCTTAATTATTTCGGCAAAGAACATGTGTACAATTACAATTTGTACTTAAAAGCAAAAATTAGACATACTTATTTCACATGTGGTCCCAGAAGATCCAGCAAGACATGCACAACTGGCTCTACCAGCAGACACAGTACATCTTGCTCTATTCTTACATGGATTGGGTCGACAACTCGTTAAATCTCCCTGTCCTATAATAAAACGGTTTTGCATTATATTGTAGAACAATACTTTATTAGTTATCAGAAAAATGTAATATTCAGGTTACACATCAAAGTAATATGAATCATAATTTGTATTTTACCAATGAACTTCACAGATAAGTTAATAATATTGCAATATAATCTCATGAATGATGAATGTATGATACATCAATAATGGTTTTAATGGTTGTATCAATGAATATAATTATTTTACTCAAAACAAAACCTTGTATTATAAGATTCTTTTGATTCAATTTAATGATAATATATTTCAATACAATTGTAATGCTCGATTCTATTGATTTTGACGATTAATATAAAGTACTATGTATTTGATTCTAATGATTCAATTGGCCCTGAAAAGGTTCATTTATGGCAACAGCTTATAAGAATGTTTTAAAATGAAACTTCACAGATAAGTTAATAATATTGCAATATAATCTCATGAATAAACTTTTTACTATTGATGAATCGTTTGTCACATATTTTTCTATAGTAGAGAGAGATCATTATTATCAATAATGCTTTTATTTTAATTATGGAAAACAAGATAAACAATACATTAATAAAAGCATACATTAGGCAAGTTAAGATTCTTGTTGGAAGTATAACATGTTCTAAAAAAGTCAAGTACAATGTTAAGTATAATATTTTGAGACTCTTGAAAGTTGGCATTCTTTAAAAAAGAGAAATTCTACTTGGTCGTTTTGATTTGTACATGTGTTTATATTATAAAGTAGGTTATTTTGCCTTAGTGTAGCAATCATTTCTCTTTTCATTCATTCAGTGCATATAAATAAAATAAATAAAAAAAAACACAAATTCACACGACGATTGTAACGATTTCATTCAATACACTATAAACTCATGTCCCTACTCTTTGTAATGGTATTTCATTCATTCACATGCGATCATGGTTGACTGAATAATCATTCCTTATGCATAGTGGGCCAAACTGTATATGCCACATCAGGCAAACCTTCCTACAGCACCTGGCACTGACTTTTTCGATGTTAAAATTTTGGTCCCAAGCAGATTTTGGTCCCCTTGCAAAATAAAGGATTATTTGGCCAAATATGACACCATGTAAATGAATGACATGCCATTGCAAAGAGATTAAAAAAACATGGATTTCTGGTACACTGAATGAAACTGATATACAGGGTGGGCAAAAAAAAACGCCACTTTTTTTCAAAATGCTATAACTTTTTTAATTTTTGATAAAAAATCATAATTTGCATACCAAATGGAACTTTTACTTGAATAAAATATGTCACCAGCGTCTCACTTAAACATGTGAGGTGCCATGAGAAATAAGCATAATTTGCAAAATGTTCCTGAACTGATACGGCCTGATGACTGTCAAGCTAGTAGCTCTAATGCAAACCCCAGTGAGTATAGGGTATGGTAAGGTCTCCAGGAGATGGTATGAAGGCACCCAATCTAAAAAATTGCTCAACTAAAGCTGGCAATTAAGACACGGTGAAAAAAATATAGCTAACATTTCATTGATACTGCTATATCAGCAAGGCGACTAAAACTAAAATCTATCATCAAATAGGGTGGCGGACCAATTGAACTCCTCTTTTAGATCAAATATAATCCCAGTTGAAGGACTTGTTACATTATTATTACTAAGAACCCTTGGCACTATATAACTGCAAAATTTCAAGTATGTAGGTTGGAAAATAAAAAAGTTATAGTGTCTTGAAAAAAGTGGTGTTTTTTGGGTTTTACAACTTATTTGTTTGTTGCATGTTTGAAACAAACAGTATGGCAAATGGGCAAATAAGGAGGAAGTATTAAGCACTTTCAGGGGATCCACATGGACACTTGTTATCAGTTACTCCAATAAAACTGTGTGAAAAAGAGAAAAAAATATTTTAACATAAAATCAACTCATAGTCTATCTAAGATTTTCTCCATGTTCATTGATAATTAGAGCTTGGCTGTAAATAAAATCAAATATCAATCAGAGTAGATTCTTTCACCAGGGAAAGAATATTAAATCCATATCCATAGGGCATGCAATCATATGTTTTTTCACTCAAAGAACAGTATTCTACATTTCTTCTTTTAATGTGCCTATATTCTTCAATGTTGTCCCTGCCCTTTTTACTTGATTATTGAATTTAGATAATGATTTATAAATTTCTTGATTATCATTTAATGACGGCTTTGATACATGGCTAAATAATATTTTGCTCAACCATCAATTCAAACTATAAGAGTAAAGTGTTCACCATCACTTACTTTCATCATCACAAAGTGCACCAGGGTGTTCTGGGGGGCAATCACATGTGGACACACCATTGACATGTACATGACATGTACCTCCATTTTTACATTTGTTAACAGCACATGCTTCCGAAACCTGAGTTTTGACCACTTTATTGTAAAAAATAGAATGTGTGTAAATATGAGAACAGATAACAGTTTTGACATGCAAAAATTAGATTTAAATGCAAAACATCATGCATAAGAGTTAAAACATGCAAGTTAAATAATGTCAAGTTATGACATGCAACAATTAGATGAGAGTGAAAACACCATGCATTACTGTAAGTTGAAAACATGCATTTTAATGTCAAGGACAGATTGTTTATCTCTCCATCACATTTGCTCCATGGTTATTATAGTAAACAGTGGTCATAGTTCTCCAAACATTGAGAAAATCTACTGCAGTCAATGGAAATCTACAGTTGACTCAAGGAAGCGCTATGGTTTATCTCTGTGACTGGCCACATGGTCACATGGTAATACTCCCTTTGGGGCTACTTTGCATCTGCCTTGGTACTATAGCTACCTTAGGAAAACCCTAAAGAATTGCATCATCACTCCAAAGGCGATTAATTTTGTATTATGCTGGGAATGTTATAAGAATACTCCTTCCACATGTAATCTGCATCCTGGCTTACCACCTGTGACTTGCTGGGTGAAAAATACTTTTAATTATGGTAAAAATCCTATACTAAGTATCATAGGACATTGCATACTATGTTTCAGGAAGATTAATTTTTTTTTGTTACAATATGACCATTAATTGCTTGTCATATTGCAGATATATTAATGCTCTCTGGCAATAAATTTGACAATTTACATCATAGCTCACAACTACTTATAATTTTTGCACAGAGGCAACAAGGTGTTCAAGCTTATCAATTAACTTTGTGGAACTCTGTTTAATCTTTCCTGCCTGACTGTAAATACTGTTTAACATGCATGACTAGCAACCCATTCTGTGAATGTTTCTAAGTGGTAAGACATTTCCATGCTTCCCTAAAACTCCAATAAGGTGAATGACAAATGCAACAACATTCAACATGCAAAGTGTGTTAATATAAGTATCCAATGCAAGATAAAAAACAATATTTCAACCTGGACTTGTGCCACCAGTAGTTGATTTGGTAAGGCAAGTTGGGCCTTTCCAGCCTGATGCGCATGCGCATGTGAAACGTGTTCCTGCAACTGTGCATTTACCACCATTTTTGCATGGATTGGGTGAACATTTTCCAGTTGCTGCTCCACCTAAAACAAATACTATATCTCTAGAAAAACTCAAAGATGGGTGGACTCTTAGGTTTCTCTCCTAGACAATCAGTGATGTCCAATCATAATCATGCCCGGTTATTGGAAAAAATGAATGGAGGGGAGGGGAGTAGTTGATTTTTGCTAGAACTTTCAACCAGTCTAGAAGATTTTCTTCTCGAGAAAGTTTACAATTAAATTGCTAAATGAATAGGTGCATGAGACAGGATATATGTTATGTATTCTAGGATTTTTTGAACTGATTGGCTTCCAAGATATACTTAATCCAGTGTTGAGTTCTGCTCAACTCATGTGCTGTATCTTAGAATTTCAAAAGAATCCAAAATTACAGTCAAAAATCGATCATTGCTTGAGATATCACTCATTTTCTTTCAGAAAAAATGATCTTGTCAGAACAGTTCGATGATTTTCACATAGATTGGGTACATTTTTCCAATACATTTATACTTTATATTGCTGAAGAACAAGTACAAGTCAAGCCATTTTTACTTGTTTTTGTGCATTTTCTGGTAGTGTCACTTTGGATACAAGCAAAAGCTCAATATCTCTATTCTCTAAATCAATTACTTAAGTTGCATTCATTACAATTTTATGAGAATCCTCTAAAATAACAGCATGAAGCGGCCCGCTGTGCGCTCTCATAATGAAAAGGGTGGTTCTTGTATTTTGCTAATATAGAAAGTGCTTTGGTGCAAGTAGCTTGCAGAGCCAACAAGGGGAGAAATCTGGGAGAATGCTACTAAAATTTGTATGAGCATGGGTCAGTTAAATGCTTTGCACTTTTGACCCGATATGCCGCTTAACCCACCTGAGGCCCTAAGTGTACATGTTGTGCCTCTCCAGCCTGACGCGCATTTGCATGTAAAACGCGTTCCTGCAGCTGTGCATGTTCCACGATTTTTACATGGATTGGGTACACATTTGTTGGTACTGCCACCTGCAATGCATTTATATTTTATACTGCTGAAACACCTGTACATGTTCCTATATTGTTTAAGCATTTTCGCGCCTTTGCTGGAAGTGCAAGCTTGGATACAAACAGCAGGTTTTTCACAATTAATAAACGCTTTGCATTTTTGACATGATGTGCCGCTTTACCCACCTGGAGCCCTAAGTGTACATGTTGTGCCTCTCCAGCCTGACGCGCATTTGCATGTAAAGCGCGTTCCTGTGGCTGTGCATGTTCCACGATTTTTACATGGATTGGGTGAACATTTATTCTGTGTACATGTTGAACCACTCCAGCCCGAAGCACATTTACATGTAAAACTCGTTCGTGTGGCTGTGCATGTTCCACGATTTTGACATGGATTGGGTGAACATTTGTTGGTACTGCCACCTGCAATAGATTTATACTTTATACTGCTGAAATGCCTGTTCATGTTCCAACATTTTTGCAAACATTTTTGCACCTCTCCAGCCTGACGCGCATTTGCATGTAAAGCGTGTCCCTGCGGCTGTGCTTGTTCCACAATTTTAAATGGATTGTGCACATTTGCTGGTTCTGCCACCTACAATAGATTTATGCTTTATACTGTTAAAGTGTTCATGTTCATGTTCTAACATTTTCACATGGATTGGGTTCACATTTACTGATAATGCCACCGGCAATCTCTCTCTCATTTTGTGCAATTTTAAGGAATCTTGCTTACATTTGTACATTTGTCTTAATAATGGTCACTAATAGCAACTTGGTAACAGGTGTGTTGACAATTTCCATGAAAAGCCTGTTTTTCATTTAAAATATGTCCTGAATAGAGTTATCTTGTTGAGAATATCTTTGGGAAGTCATGTCTACATGAGTCTTTGTTTGAATGTCTGCAGAAAATAACAAGTTTTTAAGGATATGGGAGACTGGCTGCAATATGAAAATAATTGTGATACTAAAAAGTTGAAAATACCATGGGTTCTGGGATCACATGGTGAATGTACATTCTAGACATCATTGTTAATTGTATACACTTAGCCACTTGTATATGTGCTACACTGTATAAGGTCATTTAATCCTTTGAGAACACTATAATTATCCTTAAGCTTCAACCAAATAAACAACAATAAGCAACATTTTACCTCTAACCCTCTAATCTGATATTGATACTGGATAGATTTGTTTCCTCACCATTTAAAGGACATAACAAGGACTTTCATTTTCCAGTCACAGTTACAAAAAGACCAGAACATGACTGAATAAAAATTAACTAAGCATTTTCATGATAAAACGTCACCATACAGTAGTTCACAATATTATTAGTTCAATCTTAAGTCAGATTTGAATTTCTGAGAAGTCTGTAGATGATTTTGAAATAAAAATTGGTCAATTTACAAACAAGGTGAAAAAATACCTTTTTTGACCCTTAGAATGTCATTGAAGGTGAAATCTCAAAGTCAGATTTGAACTTCTGAAAACTTGTAGATGATTTTGAAAAAAATTGGTCAATTCAAAGCAAGTTGAAATGTTACCATTTTGACCTTGAGAATGTCATTGAAGGTCAAATACATAATCAGATTTGAACTTTTGAGAACTTGTATATTATTTTTGTAGAGAACTTGTAGATGATGTTAAAAAATTGGTCAATTTGAAGCAAGTTGAAAAATACCTTTTGGACCTTTTTTGACCTTGAGAAAGCCATTGAAGGTCAAATCTTAAATCTCAAGTCAGACTTTTGACACTTTATGTTAAAACTTTAATACCATTCTTTTAATAAACTTTAATTTAACTAAGAATATAGCATATAGTACCTCTTGTCTCACATGTAGTTCCTGTCCACGGAGGTCTGCAGGTGCATTTAAAGTTTGTTCCCACTCTACCACATCTACCAGCATTCTTACATGGGTTTGGTAAGCAGGGGTTTACTACTAGAAAATGTAAAAACTAATAAGTATTTAAACAACAGGAAGAACAACTATAGGCATTCCCGTCGAACAAATCTTTTTGTGATTTGTAACTCTACTTCTGTCATGCACTAAAATACCTATAGCCGACAAGCTAATTTGTTCCAATAATCAAGGTTTTTAAAACATTATGACAACTTTTCTCCATTAACTTAGGGTAGAGTCACCATTTCTACTTAAATGATCAGTTATATTCCATAGTAAAACAAACTAGAAACCGGCAACTCCAGGGAGTAGCAAATCCCAACGAACACTATATGAATCATGAATCTGTATAGTCACAATGTAATATTTACCATCTACTCTTCCCGGCAATAAACACTTTTGATCATTGTAGTATCATGTAACCATACTTAAAGATTACTCTAAGTAATGGTGAATTCCTGCTCTGGGCAGCTATTTTGAATTTTACAAGGCCCAAATCAGAAATATGATACAATATGAGCAATCTACGCTAAATTGCCTTTCAATTGAGTATATTAAAGTCACACTTCCAAAACAGCTCAAAATTAATGCAAATTTCTGTTTTCCCATTCACGGCCCCTGGGGGTCAGGGTGAAAAAGACTATTTATGAAAGCGTTATATGTTTTGAATAAACTACCCACATTTCAAATAATAATATTTATTACTTTGGTTTAAAATGAAAAACATAAGATTTTTGCGTAAAACTATTCACCAATGTACATCTTTCGACCAAATATGAAGAAATCTGTCAAATAGTATTTGAGTTATCTTCCAAACGGACGGACTGATTGACGAACTGATGAACGGAGGGCTTCACTATATCCCTACCGAACTTCGTTCATTGGTATAAAAACCCAAGTGCCATGGAATGATCACTTGGTAGGGGTGCATTATAACTATGTATTCTCAGTTGTATACAACTATGAATTTTGTTCCAAAATGATTGTGTTCCGAGGGATAAATGTGCTATACTAGTACTCCAAAATATATTGCTCAGAAGTGAGTGAAAGATTATCATACTAAACTACTAATGCATTATTGAAACTAGAATACAAGCCAATGGGCAATTTACATTAAATGACAAACCTGCTTTCTGTGTACATGTTAGACCTTTCCAGCCTGTCGCGCATTTGCATGTATAACGTGTTGCTGTGGCTGTGCATGTTGCACCATTTTTGCATGGAGCGGATGCACATTTGCCAGTAGCTGCATTGCCGGTTGAACCACCAGCTAAAATAATGATATTTATATTGGTAATGATATATTGTTCATAGATATATGCACAACAATTTTGCAAGATTCATTAAATAATGGAAATATCACTTGATTTACTAAGCACATACTTCATCCATATAATAATAATTATTTCTAATGCCTATATCTTAGGAGGAAAACAAATAAGCAGTAAAAACAAGTGAACAAGTGAAGTGGTTTCTAGGATTAAAATATTATACATGCTACATTCTAACATTATTATACAGTATACTAGTACATCTTTTTGGAAAGTGTAATCAGCTAAAGGTTTTAAAGATGTAGCCCTTGCAAGTTTAGGGAGTTGGTCATTGTTAAAATAAAATGCTACATCTTATCTACAATGTATTAAGTGTCGGGAAATAGGAAAAGACAAAGCGCTCCGAGAACAAAAGAAGTGCCGGTAGGGTTTTCTAAAACAATAGAAAGAAAAGTATATATGGTATATCTTTTTCAAATTATATTGATACCATTCAAAAGATGAGCATTTAATTGACGATGTGATGTATAATATTTTCAGATTTTTTGATGACTGGCTTAAGAGAAACATGTGTTCAAAAACTTCACTTTATCGATACCAATCCTTTTGTGAAATCATGATGAATAATCATTCCAATGTAATAGTTATATTAAGGATTCCACAACTCTATTTCTTTTAGCAATTCGACCAAAAGGTCTCATTTTTCATGTCATTGAAAACATGATTAACCCCACAGAATTATTGCAGAATTCACTAGTTCCACTTACAGAATTTGTCATTTTGATTTGCAGAAAAATGTGATGAGTTGATTTGCTTATGAACGTGGTGGATAAGGACAATTGCGGATACCATGTACTTTTTCAAGGATAAAACCTTGATGCCATTTATTAAATAATCTCAAAATAATAATAAATAATCTCAAGAAATATAGACCGAAGAGCAGGGGTAATATTGTCGAATACACCCCGCAGGGCTAGGCACAAATGTTTTCGAAAGCTTTTGTGCCTAGTCCTAAGGGGTGTATTCGAAGATACTACACTTGCTCTGAGGTCAACATTACGATTCGAACATGAAAACTCACCAATATGTTTCAAATATTAACAAGGCATTAACATGACAAAATGTCACCACCTAAAACAATTTGGTCAATTTAAAGCAAGTTGGAAAATACCTTTTGACCTTAAGAAGAACTTCTGAGAACATGTAGATGATTTTGAAAAAAAAATTAGTCAATTTGAAGCAAGTTGAAAAAAGACCTTTTTGACCTTGAGAAGGTCATTGAAGGTCAAAGGTCAAATCTAAAGTCAGATTTGAACTTCTGAGAACTTGTAAAGTCAAATTTGAACTTCTGAAAAGATGTAGATGATTTTGAAAAAAAGATTTGGTCAATTTGAAGCAAGTTGAAAACAGACCTTTTTTGACCTTGAGAAGGTCATTAAAGGTCAAATGTCAAATCTAAAGTCAGATTTGAATTTCTGAGAACATGTAGATGATTTTGAAAAAAAAATTAGTCAATTTGAAGCAAGTTGAAAAAAGACCTTTTTTGACCTTGAGAAGGTCATTGAAGGTCAAATGTCAAATCTAAAGTCATATTTGAATTTCTGAGAACATGTAGATGATTTTTAAAAAAAAAATTAGTCAATTTGAAGCAAGATGAAAAAATACCTTTTTGACCTTTTTTGACATTGAGAAGGTCATTGAAGGTCAAATGTCAAATCTAAAGTCAGATTGAATTTCTGAGAACATGTAGATGATTTTGAAAAAAAATTTAGTCAATTTGAAGCAACTTGAAAAAAGACCTTTTTGACCTTTTTTGACTTTGAGAAGGTCATTGAAGGTCAAATGTCAAATCTTAAGTCAAATCTAAAGTCATATTTGAATTTCTGAGAACACGTAGATGATTTTGAAAAATATTTTTAGTCAATTTGAAGCAAGTTGAAAACAGACCTTTTTGACCTTTTTTGACCTTGAGAAGGTCATTGAAGGTCAAATGTCAAATCTTAAGTCAGATTTGAATTTCTGAGAACACGTAGATGATTTTGAAAAAAAATTTAGTCAATTTGAAGCAAGTTGAAAACAGACCTTTTTGACCTTGAGAAGGTCATTGAAGGTCAAATGTCAAATCTAAAGTCAGATTTGAAGGTCAAATGTCAAATCTAAAGTCAGATTTGAATTTCTGAGAACATGTAGATGATTTTGAAAAAAAATTTAGTCAATGTGAAGCTGAAATGTCAAATCTAAAGTCAGATTTGAACTTCTGAGAACATGTAGATGATTTAGAAAAAAATTGAAGTCAGTCTAAACAGTATTTGTTAAGTTATAGGAAGTTGTAAGAAATTGTTACAGATGCCGGACGCCAACCGCGGGACGCCAACCGCCGGACGCCAACCACCAACCGCCGGACGCCGTCGCAAAAAAACGGAGACCATAACAATATGTCACCACTTTTGGTGGTGACATAAAAAACGGAGACCATAACAATATGTCACCACTTTTGGTGGTGACATAATTATGGTCCGCCATTACTACGTTATGACATCACACATTGCACATATGATCAGGGTCAATGATCGGGAATATACCCCGGGTGAAATGTTGACTTTGTTTACTGTTTAAAGAAGGCATGAATACAGTCATGTTCGAATTAAGAACATATCATATAACTTACCCTTTGTCTCACATGTAGTTCCTGACCATCCAGTTCTGCAAGTGCATCTAAAGTTAGTCCCCACAGTTGCACATCTACCAAAGTTCTTACATGGATTTGGTATGCAGGGTTTTTTTACTAAAAAAATATGAAAACTAATGAGAATCTTAACAATAGGAACGCGACACTGGCAATTAGTAACACTCTATTGCTAATCACACCTCAAGACTGATGTCACATTCGAATGAAAAAAAGGAAAATGCCACATGTTAGATTGGCTGTTGATTTTTAAATTAAGAAAATTGAGCTGGTAAGATCTTGTTTTTTATGTCTGAAACATATCTTATTTTCTGCAACGTCATATATGAACACATCTATTGAAAATCCATTGAGGACCAAGCCTTGAATTGTGAAGGGTTAGGATCCAAAGAAAAGATATTTTATATAAAATTAAAAAATATTTATTTTACTGGATTCTGATGGTGTCCCATATGAATTAGACACAAATGGCCACGATAAGATTTTGTCTCAAATATTTAGATTTCTGCTGTTGAAATATTATTGTATCAATAAAAAAGTAAAAACATAAATCAGTTGACACAACTAAAACGTATCAATGACTAATACATTAGTTTTATCATGATCTTTAACCCATAACCCTTCACCCTATAATGAGAAATAATAACATTTTTGTCCAATATTTTATATTATTCATAGATGGAGATTCATTTGATATTTTGCTTGAGTATTGATATAGTCAAGGTTTGTTTTGTATTTTTTGTTTACCGCCAATGAAGGTGAGCAATACCTCTTGGGTATATCCTGAATATATAAGGCCGTAATTAACGTAATTAGCCTTGAAGATAGACCCAGAAACCCCTCCTCAAAGGAGACCTGTGTTCTGTTATATGCACTTATACATAGACGCACAAGTACACACTTCAGCCTTTTGTACAAGTAGTGGACCACTCAGTCAAACACCCTGAAGTACTTTAAGCAAACAAGCAAATTAAAACTTGCCTGAACTGGGGATCGAATCTGGGACCTATTGCGTAAGAGGTACCTGTGCTACTGCTGAGCTATACAGGTGGACTCAGTTAGAAAAATGACTTCATTTTTAATAGGTAAATTGTTTTTATTTGACTTCCATTTTGTATTGGCTGATTTTCTAGTGCTATGGTTACTTTAACCATACAGAAATAGCTGCTGCTACAGCATCAAAAACACTCAAATAAGAAGATTATCAGTAGAGCAGTGAGTAAAACACTGTATTAACAAAGTACATGTACGGAAATGTATAGTCTACTTTGGAAACTGAGAGTCAACGTGCATTTGTTCTGAAGTGTTTATTAATAGACCAGTTGCAAGTTGAAATGATAATATAATGATAAATACTATGAGATATCTTTTCCTGTATTGGACAGATAATATTTTCATTTATCAAAAATATTTTTCAATTGTATAATTATCAAACTCAAAAAAAGATTTCATGAAAATTGATCCAATAAATCTAATGAATACTGAGATTTTTCCTACATTAACCACAATGTACCTTCACATGTTTTTCCCATATGAGTGGATCTGCAGATGCATCTAAAGCCACCAGTTCTTAACTTTATACACCTCCCAGAGTTCTGGCATGGGTTTGGTTGACATGCGTCTGTCGCTAAAAATATTCAATTGGGTTATAAAAACATGCTAATTTGGAACAAACATTATATAAAGAAATGATTATACATATTATCTTTTCTTGAAAAATGTTTGCTCCAAATTATTATGTTCTTATAAAGGTATTAAACACATCCTCCGATCACAGGGCTTCAAAATCCAGAATATATTATTTCTTTTTACCCCCTGCGATAAGCAGTTAGCATTTCCCCGATTAAGAACTCGCGATCTGATTGGCTGTCGCAACACTGCGACAGAAATCATGTGTAAGTCATTGCGCATAATTAGATCACGTGATTCAGTTAAATCGGGCGCTTCCAAATTGGTTATAGCAGGGGGAAGAAGGAGGTACGGATTCTGGACACCTGCGTAGGAGGATGTATTAAACAGGGAACTTATGAAATGTCTTTATGATGTCGAAAATTGGGCATGAGAACCAGGTACTAACTTTAATAACATTGATAATAAAAAGATAAAAGGTATGAATGAACATATTTACTTCAAGAGATTTAAATTTAAAACTACAAACGTTCAGAAATTATTTGAGAATAATGTATAAAATATGAATTGTCTTTTATATCATATACTAGCTAAAATTAAATATTAGCTAAAAGAAACTCCACTACTTACATTCTGCAGCTTGAACAGCTTCACATCTGGTTTTCTCTCCATCATATTTACCAGACCGACAGGTACGTGTAGCTGAGCCAATTAAATTGAAACCATTTTCACAGCCAAATGTTACGCTTGATCCTTCCAACCCTGTCCCTTCTTGGATGATCATGCCATTCTTTGGAACAGGCAAAGCCTCGCATTTGGAAACGGCTATAGCAACATTACAAGATATATCCTCACAAGTGTGTTTTAAGTTAGATAAACAATTCATCTTGGGTCTTAGGAGAAAATAATGGCCTTGGTTATTTTTCCAAATACCAAACACTCATTGATTATCTCTAATGTAAAACCAAACCTTGAACTGAGTTACAAGTCTTTGATTTTGATTTCAAAGATGATACATAATTACATTTCCATATGACTGTATGATGTACATGTTTTTGTGATACAATAACTGAAACTCACTTTAAGCAATTAAATGTACATGTATAGTTTTTTACATTTACCTTCTGCATCTTTAACTTTATCTGGGACACATTTAGTTTTATCTCCATCATATTTGCCACCAACTTCACATGTACGACCTTTTGACCCAAGTAATTTATACCCAGGCAGACAATCGAATATAAAATAGGATCCTACATATCCAGTTCCAGGAGTACTTATAAGACCATTTTTTGGAGCAGTCAAAGGCTCACATTTCCACACTATAATGAAAAGATGGTTGTCGGAATGATGGCAATGTCTAATAAAGATGCAGATTATACTTTATATACCCAACAGGGATAACTGAGGTGATCATTGGAATATGAGGGAGCTCTTTCAATTTTACATCAAAAAGTGCATTTTGTGCCTTTTTGGCATACACATTAAATATCAATGAAGGTGTACTTTTTTCATAATACATGCTACATGTTGTATTATCTATAACATACCACATTTATTTTGTTCACACGTATTCCCTTGGGGTTTTGAGCAGTCACTGTCAAGTTCACATCCTGTATCTTCTGTTGGCACTCCTTTAGTTTTTGCTGGTTTTGATACCTTGTTTGAACATTTGCAATTTGAGCATGTACCAATGGCACAATCAGAGTCTTGAATACAAGCATCACCTTCAATACCAAATGAATATGATTTAAACTTGTGTATGACAATTTAATAAAGTATTACAACACATGCAAAATAAAGCCAGATTATTCTTGATTTGTAAATTTCTTCTGTAAGTTGATTTTATAGAAGGTGATGAAAAGTAAAAATGTTTACCTTTAGGTTCACATGTTGCAATTATTTGTTTATTCCAGGATCCATTTGATCTGCATTTCAGTTTTGAAGATCCTTTTGCAACATAACATTCATTACATTCAACAACTGCTCTGCAATCAGGCTCATAGCAATCCACTACTACTTTTCCGTTGCTCGGATTTTCTAAGAGAGGACATGTTTCTGAAAAGAAGAAAACAACAACCTATAAAAATCAATAAAAATGAGCAATAAGGATTTTTTGTTTAAAAATAAGTACATCAGATACACTTGATGGATCAACAGGCTCAATGAAAAGACATACATACATTCATTATAATTACAACCATGAAATACCATTCAGGAGAGCACGAAGAAAAACCCCATTTCAAGTTTACATATGTAGAGCAGCAATCTATACTGGTGATAACTTAAATAATACGGAATATTGTCAATATATAAATCATCTATGGTTAATCTCACAATACATCTACTATGACATCTATCTGCATTATAAGGTAGATCTTGAACAAAATCAATATGCATATTTTTGCTGCCATCTTTATGATGAAAATATTGCATATCAAAGCTTAAATTGAAATAAAGTATTGCTTGTAATGTCAACACTATAAAAAACAGCAACTCTATCATCATTTTGAACAGATTGCAATATACCCATAAAGCTGGACAAAATCAAATGAATGATTTTTGAGTTACCAAGAATTATGCTTTTCCTAAAAAACATAAACAGCAGCCATTTTGAACTTAGTAGCCATATTGAAAATAGGTAACTGCCTGAATCAAATCCAACAACTTGTATTTGAGTGATCATCTGGACAGACAGATGTATGGACAAATAGATGGATGAATGAATGAACAGACAATTAAACAGCATGTGGCATTTGTATATCCCTCATGAAAAAACTCTTAACTCTTCAAACTGGTTACAAAAATGGATTTGTTTCGATAATAAAATTGTGCAGTCTTTGAGGCACACATTTTCTTTTTCCATGATTTGTCGCAAACGTGTGTCGGCAGAAAAATTTTGAAACCCCGAGAGAGTGGGTTCACAACCAGGCATAATCTCTTTTTTCATTTTATAACTGCCAATAATACATTTTCTTGATCTCTCTTTACATACCACACTCATGTTGATCTATCAAGACACTGTCAATAATACATTTTCTAGATCTCTCTTTACATACCACACTCATGTTGATCTATCAAGACACTTTTTGGCTATATAAGTCATTATATACAATGGAATAATAATATTTTCCTACTGATTCATAATAATATTAAAAATTATTTTATTTTTTCTCAAGATCTGGACGGTGAATTTTCATAAATGTTATTTCAAATACTTTCGTATTTCTATAATAATCACAATTTTTTAGAAGCAAAACTGAATTTTGCAATTTTTAAAAAAAATATTGAGAGCAATGTTTTAGAAATAACTAAACATTCAATATTTCTTATTTTAACATATTTTGTTATACATCAGTATATAGTTCACCTAGATTTTTTCAAGAAAATCTGAATTGTAGAAAAAAAGTTAGCCGACATTGAAGTTCTGTCTTAAGTAAGAAAAGTGAGGAATTATATCAATGATTTTGGCATCTCTTAAACCATTCATTTGCAAATGCTTAGCATATATTATTTATTACCAGCCTGAAGAGTTCCTCCACAATGACTGTTGAATGTCAATATTTTAAACGTCTAAGATATATACATCATTTGAAACAATTGACCTTTTGTCGTCATATAAAAATGACATTAGACATGATGGAGGGACAAAATGGAGGACACATGGCAGTTTTGATCTGTTAATATTATTGTTTCTTTTATGAAAGCAATGGGTCAGATATTTATCAGGTATGCTGATTTGACTAGATCATGAGTTTATCTTTATATGTGTGAAGTTTCGGTGAAATTCATACTAAACATCGATGCCTATAAGCGCCCCCCATTTTTATCAAATTCGGGGGCGCTTAACTGCTATCTAAATCATGTCAGTAGGATCTTAAACTTGACATGTGCTTGATCTAGTCAAATCTCTTTTCACTTTTGTGAAAAATAAATCAATAAAGCATGAAACATAGAAGATAATCTCTCAAAATCAAACATCTAAAGCTGAGTGGCCTAATTGTATGTCACTACAAGATAGAATCCATTGGGTGATCACAAATCATCAATCGATTAAAATTTGCAGTACTCAGAACAAAAACACATAAGTTGACATACGATTGGCTAATGTATTTAAATTGAGAATTCAATAAGGATGTCTGTGCAGACAAACCCTTAACATGACTTGAAACCCTAAACAGCTCAATATTATGGTTGACAAGATGAATATACCAAAACATCCACTTGTATATCTACCATTAAATATCTAAGCACAAGTGCCAAAGGGAAAGGACCAAAAGTTGTAATGGAACTTAGCAAGAAAAAAGCAAACTCTCTCTGTATACCAGTCAATAAAAACAAACCCCATATATCCCAAAATCATGATCTAACATGAAAAGAAACATATAGATTATCAAAATTTATAAAAATATAGATTATCTTTAACAATTAAATGCATAGGTCCATGGACATCTGAATCAACCAACAACCAACCAACCAACAACTTTTTTTACACAAATAATTGTTCAAGAATCATCGTATATTACTACTAACATATAAAGTATCCAATCCATTGCATAACACTTCTCCTTTGGCACTTCAGCTTATAAATACACATCAGAAAGTTGAACAGTTATAACATATTGGTCAAAAGAGCAAGCCAAAAGACTCAAATACTCAACTCCAAAATAAAGATTAATTTAACTTGATTGATTTATACAATATTTATTATGTTTTGTCATTTAAATTGTGTTTAGCCTTTATATTAGTTACATTGTCAATGACCAGGCAATTTATTCTGTACATTAAACTAATTTGGAGAATAAATTGATTATTGCTATTAACAAAAGGGTAAATTATGTATATTGTTAACCATAGAGCATTCAACTGCACATCTCCATAACATTTTAAAACTGAAATCATATCTTACTTACACATAAAAATTCCACCATCATGGATGGCATTAACTATTTTAACATCAGATTTCAAGATGTTGTCTTTATTCTTTTTAATGAAACTTGACAAAATAAATAACAGAAAGCAAACCTTCTGCCTGTCTTTTATATCGTAGATTTGATTCAGCCTGAAAGAAAAAATTTATAATAAAAATCTCATTTCATCCTAGATTGCTCAAACACATGATAACTATGGATTAAGATATTGGTTTAAATTATTTATTAATTGATTTTAAGTAGTACACATACAATTACCATAATCCCAAACCAAATATTATCAATAGATAGATTGATTATTTGTAAATGCTATCTTTATCTTATAAACAACTATCTACTAGAAAACCTGTAAAATGATAATATGGTTAAATAAAAACATCCATACACATTATTTTATAATAGGATGTTATGAATTGATAAATTGAAAAGCTCTATGGCTACATGAATTTAATTCTAGATAAATAAGGAAGTATTGCAACATAGATTTGAACAGTGACATCTTTGAATCCCATTTACAATGATCAGCAGCTTAAAAATAGTAGATGCTCACATATCTTCATGAACAACTATATACCAGAAAACCTGTACAAATTTGTACTTTAGTTAAATAATTTGTATACCTTAATTTATTGTGGGGTGTTGTGAATTGATAAGTTGATGAAAAGCACTAGGGTTATATGGATTTAACTCTTGATGAGAAATGAGGAAGAATTGCATCATAGATTATAAGGTGGTGGATTGAAGATATGTAAACATTGAAGTGATTAGTTATACTTACACTATATAAATTATGATCTCCAAAAGTGACATTAAACAAAAAATTGATGAGTAACAATACAGAAGAATTGAAAAACGTCCATTTTAACTCCATATGGAATGTTGTGTGTGATCCTTAGTAATTGCTGCAAAACTACTATCCTCAGTACTATTTTCAGTGTCTGCTACCTTGGTAATATACTTGTAGTAACAATTCCCTTGTGTTAAATAAATCTGAAAAAGAAAGGCGAGTATAATAGTAATGTTTGATGAGTAGTAACTGTGATTGACATTATCTTATTATTTAGATTTACATATTTTTGCAATTTTATTTCTCATAATTCATGTAATTGCAACAAAAATATGGAATGAATAGTGAGCATATTCATGAGTTATGAATACATACAGTGACTATTATACCAAGAATAAGAATATTTAAACACAAATGCCAAAGTGAAAAGACCAAAAACTCTTGAGAAACCTAGCAAGAAAAGCAAACTCTTAGTGTAAACCTGTCATAAGAAAAAATAGACCCTATGCATACCCAAGTAGCAATGTGCCCCCCTCCCAATCCACAGTATAAACTAGGAAATGTACACAAACATAATATATACCATTGGAAAGAGTATTTAATGGTTGTTAAAGCAGGGGCTTCATTAGCAGCAAGCAACAAGCGATTTTCACTTGTAATTTTCACAAAATCGCTTGTTGTTTTTATGGTCTTTTCAACTTTTCCATAAATTAAATTTATGATTTCCATTAATTTTGCATGTTGTTTTCATTTATTTAGTCTGCTGTGAGAAATTCTAGTGAAACCCCTGTAAAGTGAGAAATTATGACGATGAATTTGGCATTTGAGCTTCTTGTGCAGGGCATCTTAAAAAGTCGCTCCATTATCCATTAATACGGGCTCCCTGTGTTATGTTAAAAAAAGTCCATGCAGGAGAGCACCATACTAGTACATTTGAAATGCATGTGAAACTCTGTAACAATATCTGGCCTTGGTCATCTAGGATTTATGTTATCCGGAATTGAATGAATGCACTTTCCAAAGACATATAGAATGTATAGGTACTTCTCTTAGCTTGTGTTTTTAGCACCCTGTATAAGCCAAAACCCAATAGTTAATGCTCACTTAATTAATCTTCATGAACAACTATACTAGAAAACCTGTACAAAGGAGGAGGGAAAGTAGTGCAACAGATTCCGGACAGTCATATGTTAGATTTTGGCTATTTTCTGAGGATTTAAACAGGTGCATATATTAGACCAATGCATTCTCTCCAGGAAAAGCATTCATAGAGATGATGAAATAATTTTGACTTTGAGACAGGGGAGATGCAAACAACCCAAGAGAATAAGAAACTCCTTCAGGGGTTTTAAAGATATCCATTATGGGTGACCAAAATTAGATAAAAGCAATGGATCGCATGCAGTTTTCCTATGGGAAAATAACATGGGAAATATTGTTTTCCAATTTATCAAAGAGGAGTTACTTATTCCTTTACATGGGTTAACTGTGTCTTAAAATGCAACATTTTGATGCAACAAAAATTGAAAAAGCAGGGGTGGAAGGGGTTGAAAATCAAGACAACATTTTAGAAAAAATGTGGGTACTGGGTTGTTTGCATCTTTCCTGTCTCAAAGTCAAAATTATTCATCATCTCTAAGAGTGCTTTTCCTGGAGATAATGCATTGGCCTAACATATGCACCTGTTTAAATCCTCAGAAAATAGACAAAATCCATATCAACCTTATGCAGCAATCTCTAAAACATATGAATACTAATTACAATTTATTAAGAACTTTTCAAATTAAACACTATATTTCCAATATAACTAACACTTATGAGTAGTTCACTGTATTTCATATGCTAACACAAGGGCAACGTGTAAATAATGTATAAACATATTGCAAAATTCTGTGTATGTGACTATGGAAGAATTATTTATGAAAAAAATCCATTTTTACATCAGGACAAACATTAAAGTAAATATACCTTATGTTTAATGTGTTTAATCATTGCTGAAGAAAAATCAGTTATGGCAAAAACGTGATTCAAAGTATTGACAGAACATTCTAGAGCTGTATCTTTATGTTTTTGTTTTCATCATTCGATTTGAACTTTGTTGTTATAATTGCATTCATTAACTTTTGCTATACTTCATTGCAAAAACAATATAAGTTAGTAATCATTGTTAAATTATTTAGAAATAATCATTATGGATGTTTTTCTATTTTACACATATCTCTTACACACAAATGGGATAGTAATCAGTCTCTATGCCAACATATTATTTGTCAATATTTTATGTCATTAATTAAAATGATCTTAGCATAATCATAGCACATTAAATCAATATAATATATTTCATCCACTTAACTAGGTTTGCTATCACTTGAATCAGAGACAGAGAATATAATAGAACTTCTAAAGTATGTGATCAAGAGCAACTAAAACAGGCACATTCCTCTTTGGACCAAGATAACTGATATTCCTAGTTCTACCAGGTTATCAGTCTCCTGAAACACTCATTCTTTGGTCAGTGTAACTTTAAAACAAGCTTTAGCTCCTCACTATTTTTTGTTCTCGCTATCTGTTATAAGTTATGTCCTACTCATAGTGTCCAACAGCATGCATTTAGTTATGCATACGATACACAATTAAATAGACCATATGGGCTTAGTTTGTTTGTATTAGTTTCATTACTGTATGTAATTGATAGCAGGTAACCAATATCACTAATGTTTCTGTATCATATTATTTGCTCTTCTCTTACCTTTGTAAAAACAATGTACATATGCTGTGTTATCTGCATATGATCATGTTTTAAAAATATAGTGAACAGAACCGACCATGTGAACATGTTAACATTTAATGATGAGTGAACAGAACTGAACATGTATGGCTATTACAAATTGGTGGTTGGGTTTCACAGAAATTCAAAATGGCAATTCACATAAAGGGTGGGTAAAAATGTCAACTTTAGAGATCTGGTACTAAACAATTGATAAACTTTAAAGTTGATCTACATTATTAAGAGAGGGTGCTTATTTCTGAGGGATTTTCCCTAGGTGTTGCAGTTGGGGATTGTATTTATTTAGAATTTTACCAAGTAGAAGAAATGAAGATGAAACCTGGCTATGGCTTTAAGTTCAACAATATTTCACAGAAATATGAACAATTCTGCCATGTTTAAGGTTTAGTAAAAAAAAGATTTTAAGGTGGGTATGAAACACTTAAAACTAATGTGATTGGTGTATCCCTACTGGAGTGGACCGACACCAACCCAGTAAGGATTTTATTCTGTGTTTTCATTAACTAATACTTCTGTTCTTCATCTAATTACTTTGACATATGTCAAAGTAACAAAAAGGAGAAACTCCCTTTGTTTGAGTTCAGTAAGAGTCATCTCTTGATTAAAGTTAATAAGAAGTATTTTGAACTTGTAGTGAACCTTACTTGACAATATTCACAGTTTGAGATGTTGGAAGCTTAGTTTTACTGGTTATGTTATCAGGTGTTTCTTTTTACTGTTTCACTGTGTTATGTTATGATTTTGGTTTTCAGACCTGGATGTGTTTGTTATAATCCAACAATTAGTTATAGATTTTCTATTCAAGAGAGATCCCTGAAACTTTCAAATCCATTCCTGAAGCATTTCCCTGCAAAAGGGATATTGGGATAAGGCATTAAAAATGGTCATCTTAAAATCCACCGTGCCAGTATAGCTAACCAGCCCTCTGGTTGCATACAAAGACACATCCCTAAAATTCAGATCAATCCCTCTAATGGTTAGCCTGAAATGAATAGACAATACTATACAAGAAAGATTGTGGAATAGCCTCCCAATTACGTGACATACTCAAAACAATCATAATTTAAAGTTTGACACAATAAAACATCAGTCAATAGAAACATTCAGTTAAAACTCTGCTGTTTCACCTATTGTCTTTGGAGATATTGTTGCTGGGTAATAAAAAGGATTATAGAACCAACAAATAACATCATCTTTGTTCCTGAACATTTTTGGCAATTTGAATGGTTTGACAAAACAATGAAATTAAAGTAAGAGTTTATAAACTCAATCTATTCAAACGTGTAAAATGCTGTTCACTTTTTATTATGATGCAATAATGATCATGATAATTAATGAATGATCTAAAAGCTGATTAAACAAATCGAAAACATCTATCATAAAATAGTCTTCTAATTAAAATATTGAAAAATTAAGAATTATGTCCACTTACCTTACTTTGTACTTTGAGTACTTTGTTTTGTTCTACCTGAAATGGAAAATGCCCTAGTAATCTGCAAAGCACCACAAACTTGATTATATTGATGTGCGGTTTTCACATAAACAAGTTGCTATTTATCTTTATCTTTTATTTACTTCCATGCAGCATGATTGCCTTTTATTAATTTACTGGAAGAAATTAGTTTTAGTACCAGATAGCAAATAAGATGAATCAACAAGATCCTCAGTTTGTTTCAACAAATGGATTTTTCAAATGTATTTATCATTAAACACAACAATTATACTTACCTAAAAATCCTAAAATGTATAATTTTTAAGACAATACATATTTCCAAAAAGTATAAAATTCAAAATGGCGTCAACATATGTACAAAATGGCTGCCTAGAAAAATCTTTAGTTTAAGGTTATAACAATTAACACTACAATTAATCAGTGTTTATAGGAGTTCATGACAAAAACTGATATTTATGAAGTCATGCATAACACTGTTGTAGTTTATATTCAGCTTATGGAGATAATCCACCTTTGCAAAATCATCATGAATGTGTTATTACAATTGTTTAATTTAGTGAGACGTATATGACTTCATTAAGGTGGCCCCAAAGGCAAATCTACATACAACATAACATATATGTATGCATGTACATCTAAAATTGATTTTTATTTCCATAAAATGGCACATCAAATGACAGACTGACATAATAAGTGAGAGATGCAAATCAAAGACTACAAATGTAAGATTTTAAGGTGCTTTAAAATATTTTTTAATAATGATTTTAGAAGAAGATGAAACTAATAGTTGAAATGTTTTTCATTATATACACCACATCATTTTTATCAATTATATTTCAAATGAACTTCAAATATGCATCTCAAAAGAACAGTAAATACAAATGAATCATTTTGAATAAAACACAATTTTGAAAACGCTGTTCAGTAGATATTCTACTCATATAAAATTTGAACATTTGAAAAATCCATCAAGTGGTATCCTTTATAGAAGTCAACATTTCTCAATAAAAAATTCTTGAATAAAAATGGAACGCAGAGCAAAACCAATAATAAGAAGAGTAACCCATTTATGGTCTATTTGAAGTGCATAGATGTTAGTATATTATAATAAAAAATAATTAATTATTCAAATAAGTTTATAAAGGAATATTGAGAAGTCATTGTCCAGTCACTTGTTAACATGACTATGTGCAAATACCATAAAGACCACAACTCTGTTTGAAGTTCAGTAGCCCCCAAAGTGGAACATGCTTTTCCTTTTCAAGTTTTTAATGGCACAATATTGTGGATAGCAACATGCATTTTCATCAAATTCAAATGTTGCCTGAAGTTGTGGGGTTCTTTTAATTATTTTAACAAATCAAGGAAACCCAGTTTAAAATTAGCTATTTACTTTGCATGATGTTTCAACATTGGTTAGGCTCTGATGAACATGCATTAAAGTGCCGATTTTCATGTAACGGAAGTTTTAATCGATAATTAATTGAATATTGTCCACTAAACAAATATTCCCCTATTCATGACCATAAAACCATTCTGTTTACAAGCAGTTTATTCCAATAGTGTATGCAAATACATTGTACATGTTAGTTGATCGGAGTTCTACAGTCTTCATCTGGGTGAGATGCATTTCTCTTCACACAAAATTTCTGGTATGGAAGAGAGCATATATTTATGTCATCCCACCAAACTGTACCTCCAGGACACATATTATAGGTGATGATACCATCTGGGAGACACCTGAAGAACCCCTGGCAGTCGCATGGGTCAGCCATATACCCTTTCTTCACATTGCAACCCCTGGCAACTACGAAAAATTGATTTTATTTGTGTGTACTTCTAAACTATTGTAATATGATTTAGAAATTGAGTAAAAACAAGAGAACATTAATAAGAAAGCAGGAGCAGGTTGCTTTAAAATTTGACAACTGCAATATACCTATTAAGGTACATTTTCAATGTCACTTGATTGAAAAACCAGCTAATATACTAATACCTTCAAATGCTTTGGACAGTGGAATTTTTTTACATTTTGGTTTGCCTCGAGGACGCCATTTTCCTTTTCTGCAAAGCTTTTGCTTTGGTCCAACTAAGAGAAAACCTTCATCACAGGAATATGCAATTGCAATATTCTCCTTTACTCTCCCTCTTCCTATGATAGTCACTCTAAGAGGTGGCTCAGGTTCAGAAACATCAATCCTGCATTCTTTGATACCCATGTAATATAAAAATGATAATAGATAAACTAAGATTCCTTCCCTGAACAATTAGGATAAGATAACAAAATATTTCATAATAGATAGCAAACATGCAAAAGATTTTGAGGCAAAATGCAATCTTATACAACAGCTGAGTGTACTGTAGACATACAAGCAAGAGATGAGCAAAAGGAGAATGAGCTTACATCATCATCATTTGAAATGTAATGTTAGCATCTACAACTAGTTTTGGAAGTATGGTTTTACTTTTCTTAATATGGAATGCATAACTGCCAAAACTTAATGATTGGATAATCATTATTGTTCACTTCATGAAAATGTAAACTTACCCTTTTTCTCTTTGCTATCATCTTTCTCTTTACCATCATCCTGCTCTTTACTATCATTCTCTTCACTGTCATCTTTCTCTTTGCCGTCTTCCTCTTCACTGTCATCATTTTCTTTACTATAATCCTCTTCACTGCCATCCCTTTGTTTACTATCATCATTCTCTTTACTATAATCTTTCTCATCACTATCATCTTTCCTTTTGCTATCATCTTTTTCTTCACTTCTTTCTCTCTCTATGCTATCATCTTTTTCTTTGCTAATATCTTTTTCTTTACTATCAATATCTTCTTTGCTGTCAACTAATTCACTGGTTTCATCATCTCCTACTAACCCTGGTTGTTGGGCATGGCCCAGAAAAACAACAAAAGATCCTGTTAAAATGAAAAACAACCAAATGTTCTCTGAAATCGCCATAATTAAAGACAGATTTCAATAATGATGAAATCAAGCTTCAAACTTATATTACCTTTCCAACAATCTACAGTAAAATAATTAATTCCATCAAAATTGTTTAGGTAACATATTCCTAGATTGAAGGTATATTTTTGAAATGTTTATTTGTTCCATTGATAACTTGGAAAACATTCATAAATGGAATATATATTTTCTCGACAGTTTCTTGATATGATTTTTTTTAAATCAAAAATTACATGTGATAAAAACAAAGCAGTTTACAATATATATATAACCATACTTACAACATGGAAGCCTCTAATTTGATTGACATTTATTTCAAATAAACATTCCTTTGGATACATTGGACATAAAAAATGCTTGACACAAATTGGCTGGTACATAGCTTTATATGCTAAGAATACAAAATAACCAATAAGTCAAAATAAACAATACATCAACAAAATTCAATATAAAAACAGGTTATTAGGGCATGGTAGGAGGTATAAATAAAAGAGCATTTTGTGAGCTTAAATAGATAAAGGATTGGCATAGATATGGCAAACTGAATTGAACACACGTTTCTCTTAAACCAGTCATCAAAAAATTCTGAAAATGTACATAATCAATCTAATGATCATCTTTTGAATGGTAACAGGAAAATTAACCCTAACCCTAATGATTTGAAAAAAATACTGTACTCCCAATAATATTTGACGCTATTATATTTCGCGTTTTTGGCATTTTGAAATTTTGTGGCTATTATATTTCGCTAATTTTTGGTTTTTTAAATTTTCGCAGCTATTAATCTCCGGGGGTTTGTCATACAGGATCACTCTTTCAACTTTGATATCAGCCATGGTTGGTCCTTCACCCAATGATTTTGGCTTATAAGAATGTTTTTATAATACAGTAATAATGATCTTTCTTCTAATTTCTCTTTTTCAAAACTCAAAATGTCATGTTTTTACCTATTATCGCCCATCACTGGACGAAAATATTGTCAACATTGAAATCCCTGGGAATTTCCTTGGAATTTCGCGACTTTCAAATTTCGCGAATTAAAACTGGGGGAATGTCGCAGCTATTATGTTTCACGAATTTTCCAAAACTCGCTAAAAGCGCGAAATATAGTAGCACGCAAAAATTACCGGGAGTACAATATGTACTTTTCTCTATATTGTTTTAGAAAACACATCAGACACTTCTTTCGTTTTTTGGCATCATATGTTCTGAATGAGACCAAACATCTATCCCAGCCTCATTGGAACATAACAACATAAACATAATGTGTAGCAGACCCAATAAAATGCTAAATACCTGTATAATGTTAGTTTGACCTTGACTGATTCTTGAATTGAGGTGAACGTGTCCAAAGGCTTGAAATGCCAAAACCTAGATGTTCACCTTTGATCTTGAGATGACCTTGGCCAATTAACATTGACCTCAGGTCACCTAATTATGAGTCACCAAGGATCACAGCCCCCAGAGTCTTAAAACTAAAAATACCTAGATATTTTATACTGACCTTTGACCTTGGAATGACCTTGACCTGAGGTCACCTAAAGGACATAGCAGCCCCAAAAGTCCTTAAAACGCTAAATACACAAATATTGACCTTTGACCTTGAGATGACCTTGACCTATAAACATTGACCTTGACCCCAGGTCACCAAATCATTGGTTGCCAGGGGTCACAGCAACCCCAAGGACCTTTAATCACTAAATACTTAGATATTTACCTTTGACATAGGAATGACCTTGTCCTAATAATGTGTTGCCAAGAGTCACAACATCCCCCAAATGCAATAAAACACAAAATTTGCTCTCCAAATTGGAGAAAATAAAGAACCATACCATACCATACCATACCATACCATACCATACCATACCATACCATACAAAAGAAAGTAAAAATGTTTTGGAGGATGTGTTTTTTGTATAAATTATTTCTTTCGTATTTGCATTTGAAAATGTTTCAATTCTAGTATATTTGATGCCAATAATTTATTTGGGCTCTCATAAGGACAGGTTATCAAGGTTTAATAATATATGTGGCCGAGTTTCTTCAGACTTTCTCCCTGACTTAGCCTTTACGGCTGTTGGTTGATATTCAGAGGATAGTCTAGGTTGCATTTTTATTGAGTCACCCTGTAGTTTACTTATGAAATATGATATCCTATATGCTATCTCTTGTGAATGAAACTTTTTCTAGTGCATTATCATTGATTTTCAAGGTTTGTAAAGTAAAATAACAGTGCTTATAACCATAGTCACATTAATCATACTAGCACTGTAAACAAATATATATGTATAGATATGTTAATATTATTACAATCTATATTTCTTTTACTGATAATCATGTACAATCTGAATCCGGATTAGTTGCATTTCTTGTTCGACAAAATGTTTGCAGTGGTTGACTACACATTGTTATATCTTTATTCCATTGTGTGCCTGGAGGGCATGACTTCTGGAATATTGAGTCCCTACTGCAGTGCAAGAATGCTGAACAGTCACATGGATCTTCAGAGAAGTTGTCAAACACAGTTGGATTTTGTTTGGTGCTGGGACAGTCAAATTCTGTAAATCAAGATAATAATATAATTTTAGCCTCTTACAGTTAATGAAGTATTTTGGTTTACAAATGTAGCAACAGTAGCATACCTTTAATTTATTTCTATAGAGACAAAGGGTCTGTGAGAAAAGACATGTTTATCCTATTAAGTGATATTATATAGTGGTGATGTAAAAAAGGATTAATAAACATACTGAATCCTGGTGGCATTTTGAGACACTTTGGACTCTGCCCACTCCAAAATCCATTTGCTTGACAAACTCTGAATTTAGAGTTTACAATAAGATAGCCATCATCACAAATGTAAGTTGTAACACTTCCCAAGTCACCTCTTCCATTAATTACTTTTCCATTTACTGGAGCTTCTAGTACATCTTTACAAACATGAACAAATCCTGAAAGGGGAAAAACAATTTTCTCTCACATACTCGTATACTATGTACTTACTGGACAATACGGTACTGTTCTATACGTTACTCAATTTCAAAATGCTTGACCACAAAACATGCCATATGTATGTTACTGTAAAGGGACTAAACTTACTAAAGTCACAGTTTGTTCCTGCCCAGTCATCTGCACAACTACAAGTGTAGCTATTATATCCATCAATACATGTTCCATTATTAGCACAAGGATTGCTCAAGCACTGGTCAAGTTCTTATAAGACAGAAATATTGAATGTTTTAATTGATCTTGGTTACTGGTATGGTAATATGTTACTTTATGAAGAGTTTATCTTTGTGTCAGATCACAATATGTCCACATATACATACTCATTGTTAATTTGTACATGGTATTAATTGTTAGTCTACAAAGCAAATGTATGAAATATGTTGAGAAAGGCATCTAAAAGTGCTTCTTGTTTATAGTATTGCAATGTCACAATAACCCATAAAATAACATAAAGGGTCTTAAAATGTTAACTATCACTTAATGTTTTTATTTCTTAGATTGCTAAGTCATTATGTAAATAGATACTTTGATGTTTGTAGTAATTGCAACAATAAAAAAATTAAAATTATGAAACACAATAAATCCGAGCATAAATATTGACATACACAACTTCATATGATTCATTTCTAAATATAAATCTCAAATAATATTGAATCTATCACTTATTGTAGATTGTATTGATTCAATCCAATCCCTTACCAGAAAGATCAATATTTGGATCAGGCGTTGGTGATGGACAAGTGACATCACAGACAGGACAATCAACTGTTGTAGTAACTGTGGTACCCTCCTCTTCATTCTAAATAATCAATAGGCCTTATCAAATCCTTTTACCACATTATGCAACATTATTCTTATCATACATGTTATTTTCAAAACTCATTTTATTTTTCGTAGTTTTAATAGTTTAACAGAATAGCTTAGATATCATTTTCAGAAGAAAGATAAGCAACAACAAAATTTTGTACATTCACTTTAGAAACAAAAATGGAGTTTATTTACTTATCTACTTAGCTCATGAGAATAATTGGTTGTGATATTGAATATGTACTTACAATAGCACAGTTTTCTCCATTTGCATCACATGCCTGACATACACATTCAACACAAAATGGTCGTTTATCTGTGACCTTGTTATATTTATTTGCGCAGAATGAATCATCTGAACACCCATCTCCTGTAAAATAATGTTTAATATTAAAAACAGATAACCAACCATATGATTATACTACATAAACTAGATTCAAGGTCTCACAATGACAATAGGCAAACTTACAAAAAAATGTTCAAAAGTAGTTTTAATAGTTTAGTATAGAGTTCTAACATCCACAACTAATAAAACTTATACACAAAGGTTCCAACTATTCAAATGATGCATTCAGCACAGTAATTTTAAAACAGGATTGTATTTGTTTAAAAGCAGAATAAGCACACTACATGTATTTGCTCATGATGTTCTGCATAATTGAAACACAGAATACATTCATTCCAAGCAGTAAACATCTATTTCCATTTCAAATTAATACCCATAGGTTAAACACTAGTAGAGATATAGATGACGGGGGGGGGCATCAGAGGCCTAACAACAAAATGAAATACTCAGTGGGTTTACCTTGGATTATGCAAACTCCTTCCTCATTTGTCCATTTAGGTTTCGACTCTGAACATGCTCTTTTTGTGCTGCCTTCCAAATTTGAGCATACATTTGTTTTGCAAGAATAATTTGCGAGGCACTTTTTCTTTTTTTTACTGCATCGTATAGACAATTCAGTGTTATCTGGAGTGGGTAGGTCTGGACATCCAAACTTGGCAGACACCATGACAACTTCTTTTGGGGCTTCTGTCGTAGTAACAGTCTGGAGGCATGATTATTACAATATTACAAGACTTATAAACCACTCTCTATAAAGTCTCACATTTGATGCTGACCACTTTAATATGCTATTTATCATTACAATTTACTCTACATGTCTGAAAATAATTAAACCAGGCCTTAATGATTTGGTAAGATCATGAAAATTCTCAAATAATAGAGTAATTATGCTAGTACCTCGTGGCAAACCTTACTTATTAATGCAATGAAACTACTCCTTTGTTTTGAAAACCAGATATGTTACAAGGTCTATTATAGCATGTTGAGACATTTAAGCATGTTAGATGCTTTTCAGGAAAAAAAAGATAAATAAATTGCATTGCACTTTTAGCTTCTTAAAAAGATGAACCCTCAAATGTACAAAGAGAAATTTCATTTGAGGAACAACAATTATCTAAATCTGTTTTCACCTTTTTCCCCTTTGGTGCCTGTGCGTACATATTTACTTACAGTTGTTTCGACAGTGGTACCTTCTGTGGTTGTGGTTATCTCTGGATCACAGTCACCTAAAGGATCTTCACATGTCTGGCATGTACAGTTAACACAGAATGGGGCAGTGCTTCTACAAGGGGCACTATCAGAGCAACCATCTCCTAGAATTAATATGGTTTGACATCAATGCATGACTAGAATGTAAAGGAGTGACAAACCCTCATAGCAGACCCTAATGCTTTTTGCCAAACTAAAAATATAGTTTGGCTGTGTATAATAGCCAAACAAGGAAATAAAAATTGCAGAATAACTACTAAAAATAAACCATATAACCAAAAAAGAAACTACTAATACATGTACAATCTACATGCTAATAAATGATCGTAATTACTCTTCAAAACCAACCTATTAACATAAAAGCGAAAATGAAACAGTTTTATATAACCGTTCAGTTTATTAATGTAAATGTACCTTGTATATCACAAACAGGAGGCGATTTGTTCCAAGACCCTTCTTTGCACCTTTGACTTACTGCCCCATTCAATGTGAAACATTCATTACATGCATAATCAGCAACACAAACTTGATTTTTCACATTACTACAATCAAAAGATACACTTCCACCTTCAGGAGCTGGAAGTGATGGACAGTTGAACTCTAACGGTTCCATTGTTGTTGTTGACTCTGTTGTTGTTGATTTTGTTGTACTTGGTTCTGTCACTGTACCTTCACATTTACCCTCTGGATCATCACATGTTTGACAAACACAGTTCACACAAAATGGTGCAGAACTAGCACATGGATTCAATGTTGAGCAACCATCTCCTTTTAAAAGCATAAGATTAAACAAATTTAAAAAACAAAAACAAAATAATTAAAAAGTACAAAGGCCAAGTACAATATTGAACAGACTGAATAAGCACAAAAAAAAGAAATATGTATTTAACTAATCAAATAAGCACAAAATTCAATGAACTAAAAATGCACAGTGTGTAACAGATGCATGACACAACATTTGACTGATTTATCTGCACAATATTCAACATGTTGCAAACAACAAAGCAAAATCAGTGGACTTGACAGCAATACCAGATTCATATAAATGACTCATCAAGCAAACTGACACTTTAAAATCCATACAACCATTGAAATTTTATACTTCATTGTCTGCAGAATCGCCACAATAACTACCTTACCTTGTATATCACAGACTGGAGGTGATTTGTTCCAAGTACCATCTTTGCATCTTTGTCTGTCTGTCCCATTCAAGGTGAAACATTCATTACATGCATAATCAGCAACACAAACTTGATTTTTCACATTACTACAATCAAAAGATACACTTCCAAATTCAGGAGATGGAAGTGATAGACAGTTGAACTCTAAAGGCTGCAATGTTGTTGTTTTCGGTTCTGTTGTTACTGGCTCTGTCACAGTATCTGGTTCTTCTCCACATTTACCCTCTGGGTCATCACATGTTTGACATGTACAATTCACGCAAAATGGAGCAGAACTTCCACATGGATTCAATGTTGAGCAACCGTCTCCTTTTAAAAGCATATTGTTTAATTCATCAAAGTATGCAAAAGCAAAATAATAAGACCAGAACAGTAGAGCACTGAGCAAAATATATTGAATTAGTACAAAACCAAGCACGTGTATTCCACATTCAAATAAGCACAATATCAAAACTGCATTTGCATTACTTTTCATGCTTTTACTCTAATGCCTTCTAAGCACATTTAAGCACAACATCTCTAAAAATAAATTTTTACATAACAAAATTTAAATAACAAAATTCACCCGTAAAAAGTGTATGGAAAAATAAAATTGAAATCCTTTTTTAAATCATACTCGTAAAAAACATGAATCATAATTGAAATGTTTGATTGAATTCCTTTCATTGTAACATTCAAATCTAAATTTTTCTAATTGGGCAGCCTTCTTGAATATTTCATGATGTCACTTTGCAATGATCTCAAAACTCATTTTGGCTGAGACATTTAGCAGAAAGATCATATGATGTTGATGATCTAGTCTTCAATATCTATAAATTAAATACAATAAAGAAAAAGAATACTGTGGAGAGATTTCTAAGCCATTTTGAAAAAGTATACATCTTAACACTTAACAAAAGTTAATTGTTATAATTAAGTTATTCACCAAATGGACATACTTCATGAAAATAGGCCAAAAATACCTTGGATTACACAAACTGGGGGCGATTTATTCCAAACTCCCTTTTTGCATTTCCTTTGACTAGTTCCATCCAACGTAAAACATGTATTACAAGTGTAGTCTGCTGCACAAATCTTCTTTGTTGTGTCACTGCAATCAAATGTAACTTCTCCATCAGTAGGTGCAGGTAAGGATTCACAACCAAAGTCTAAAGGTTGTTCTGTGGGAGCTTCTGTGGGTTCTGTTACTGCTTCTGTTACAGAATCTGTGACATTTGCCTCTGTAGATGTACCTTCTGTTGGAGAAACTGAAGTACAATTTTCTGGAAAACATCATTGATTTACTTCACTAACTCATTGATCAATGTGGTAAAGTTTACAAATGTTAGTTACATCAATACTAGTTAAGGTTTTTCTACAATTCAGATTTTCTTGAAAAAATCTAGGTGAAAGGTATACTGATTTATTCCATTGTATGTAATGACTCATATTGATAAAATATGTCTTGATAGATCAACGAGTGTGTCATATAAAAAGAGATGAAGAAAATATATTGTGGACAGTTAAAAATGAAAAAAGGATTCGAACCAAATCTCTCGGGCTCAAAAACTTTCATTCCCAGTCTAAGACCCATGTGGCATTTGATCAAAAAGGTGAATTTTTAGGGATTAGAGATGCACAAACTGACTGCCAAATGAACACTGAAGTTCTACCTTGAGTGACACTAAAGGTGCACTATGCACTTCTATATTCCAGATCATTATTTGCAATGTAAAGGATATATACAACATATGCAGGATATCTTATACCTTGCAGTTGACATTCTGGAGCCTTCTTTGTGTACGTCCCAGATCCTGCTAGGCAATTACGTTTGTCATTATTAAGCAATGTGTAACATTCATTACATGTATAGACTGCTTGACATTTTTTATCGTTACATGTTACAACAACATTTCCATTTTCAAGGATCTCTTCGGGACACCCCAAAGCCTCTGGTGAAGACACGCCTCTCTTTCTTCTGGTATTGATCATACGGCAATTATACTCATCTGAAAATGATTAAATTGTGCAACTAACAAAAGTGCCATTCTTAATAGTTAATCAACTCAATTTGCATCCACATAAACAATTAGATTACATGTCTTAATTCACGATTGAATCCTGATTTGCATGTGTAGTTTGTTGACTGAAAATTTCATAACATAATATTAATATAAATGACTTGCAAACTAGACATGATGCAAATGTAAATTGTGTTTTTGTTTATTATTTGCTCGTCAATGAGACAAGGTGATATGTAAAAATATGTACTTACCACCTTCCGATGTCAACATCCTCTTTACCCTGCTGTTGCTACTGCTCAATTTGACCTTGAAAGTTTGATGATTTGAAAAATAAGTTAGAGAATATAATTTTTGGTGTAGGCTAATGAAATTAAAGGATCAAACAAGAAAAACAGCAACTACATAGTATAGCGAATCACAACAAACAGAACTTATTTTATCACAAGTCATATCTCTCCACTTAGTGATCAGTTTTTCCACATCCCTCAACAATTTTACCCCATGTTTATCAAATAATTAACAAGCATGTAGAGCACTGCTACAAAATAAGAAATGAATAAAATGTAATTTTTACGAAAAATGGGAGATATTTTGAATTGATTGCCAAAATTTGGAAATTTGAGCATAAGTCCTCTGCCTCTAAGACATCAGTCAATGAAATTTTAACAAAATCCATGGATTTGAGTTATTGACAGACAAACAGATTCTCTACATTCAAATTCAAACTTCCTTTTATTGTGTGATAACAATTTCGATTTATGATTTTTGTCCCACATACAAAATATTTTACTTATTTCTCTCTCAAGAAATTACTCTCTCAAAGCTTTAACCCACGTCACATTTGATGACTTATCTTTCCTGTTTAATGACACGCAGAGATTAAATTCAAAGAAAAATCAATAAATTCTTTTAAGCATTTAGACAGGATCTATTTAAAGACTATTTCTAAATGATAAATAATCAAAATAAATTACTACAGAATATCCTGAAAAGTAAAATTTCTTACCTGATATGGTTCATAATTCAAGATAATCTCTGTAAACAAACCATCAAAACTACACAAAATAAAACACAAAAATACTATTGATTTGTCAGCCATATTTTTTGAAGTTGAAAAAAGTAGGTAAGGGTTGATATTATTTTTTCATATCAAATTAATTATATGCTCAATGAAGCAAGTTATTTTATAAATAATATGTGATTATGTTTTCAGCAAATTCCTATTACACTTTTTCTCATATTAATCAATATATTGATTTTTGAATAAAAACACAAGTATTTCCATTTTACCCCCTCAAAATGATTCTCATGATTTTTATGTAAGTTCCCATAACAAAGTGTTATAAATCCTCTTATGGTAAGTTTATAGAGTTTTTAGGTCTCGATTAGTTCCCCTAATTGACGTTCATTATGATAAAGAATCATTAACAACAAGTGAATGAAATCAATCACTTGAGTTCAAATGAGAGTGAGCCTTGTCAGTTCCAAATCGTATGTGTCAAGTAGGATTCTTTGAAATATTTGGATCAACAAGACTTTCTACCTTTTGACATGCTACTATATTTTCTACAACTGTTTAAATAAAATACTACGTAGCTATGATCAAAAACTTGATGAATTTGGAAAAAATGCAAAGGCATCTTGCAAATATTTTTTATGGTACAGTATACAATTGTTGACCTCTCCAGAGGTCAACCGGCAAAATTGTATACCGAGACTGTAAACCGAGAAGCTACTGTTGACAGAGACCGAAGGTCGAGGTCAACAGTGTTTCAAGGTTTACAGTCGAGGTATATGATTTTGACGGTTAACCGAATGGAGAGGTCTACAATTGTTTTGTTAGTCAGAAGAAACTAATAATACTCATATATACGACAGTCATCAATCATGGCTTCATTTCACAATCTTTTCTATGAACCACGCCAGCAATAATTTACCATGTTTTTTCTGTAAACATTGTGACGTCATATTTCCCATAATTCACAAGTGTAGTACAGTAACATACGCGGTCAATAATATGATATCCCATGATGCACAAGTGAGGTACAGGCAAAAATGTTGACCGCTAATTGACCAATCAGATGCGAGTATTTACACTGAGGTACTAACAATATTACATATTTTTCATTTGACTTCTGTCTTGTCACTTAATTTTTCATATAATATTTAGTTCAATCAACTTACAATATACCAACAATGCCTGGAAGTGAAATATTTGAATGAATATCTCTAATCTTTTTGAGAAATTATATTTTAAAACAATATTTATAATAGCTGGGATGAATAAGTACTTTTGTAATTTTCCACATTAGGAGAGTGATATTCCACTAAACCAATTACATGGGGTTCATGTATCCAGCTCATTAAATTAGCAGGACACCCTGTAGTTGTGAAAGAGGTCTATCAAATGAAAAATGCAGATGCGAGTAAGTAGTTACCAGTTTCACCACCAGGTGGCTCGTTCGGGTCAGATAGTATGGCGGGTATAGTAGAAACTTCCCTTTAGCTTAAATTACATCTATTTTAGTGGTTCAATTTTCATATAACCCTTATGTATCTAATTGTTATGTAAATTAAAAAATGTCCAGTAAAAGAAAATGTTATCTGTCCAATACAAGAAAAGATATTTCACTTTTTGTGATTTTGTAACATGGGGTCTATGGGGAATCAACCCGAACTAGAAGTTCAAAGTTAATAAACAATTTTTGAAACCATATTTCTAAATGTACTTTTACATGTAGATTTCAAATATGACATCACTTTGACTGAATTTTGAATATTAAATGACGTAAATCAAGATTATTTCTACTCGCATCTAGTCTATTCATACATTCCTATTGCACATATTGAAAGGATATACATAAAAAATCACTGATTTCAAGAGATATCTCTTTTAATTTTATCTACCAATTGTTATGAATAGCTGCTTGATAAATGCCAATTTTATATCATGGAATGGTTGAAATGATATGACAAAAATCATAAGGTGTCCTTTTAATTCCATAGTTCATCTATTTAATCAAACGATGGATTTCACATTTCATAGCATTTAGCATGTGACATACATGACTTGAATCATGTCATCATCAATCAAGTCAATGTGTCTAGGTTTATAAAAAGTAATAATTTATGTGAACTGTTTTCATTATTACAGGTAGTATTATCATTTTTGCGACACATTCCAAAAATATCATTGATATAATTGGGAAACGCTATGAAGCAAAATACTAGCCTGGTATGAGCAAAAAAGGTTTAAGCAACTACTGAAGGCAGGAAATGTAAAACAGGCTTGTGTGTACTCATATGTGAGTATGTTAATACAATGAAACGGATCATATGTTTATTCATAGCCAATTTGTTTGATTAAAAATTGAGTTGGAGCTATGGTACAACAGAAAGCGTGATATTAAGCACTTATTAAAGTGATTAGCTTCACTTGAATGAACAAACATCAAGCAATCCTTCAACTATAAATCATAATTGGATTGTTGTGTTAAAATCATCAATAATTAAAATAATTATTTGATTGAAATTAACATTTGATATGTCATACTCGTGATATGTACTCTTCTGGATACGTCTATTGATTCTCAATACTCTATACTTTTTATCCTTAACTGGAGTTTTCAAAGGTTTATATTGTCAGTCTGCTTTTAGGAAGTGTTGTCGCGATTAATCGATACATCGCGATATACATCGCCAAAGCTGATTCTGGCGATGCATCGATGTCTGAAACAAAACATCGATGTTTTAAAAAAAAAATTAATTTGCTAAAAATCACCCTTTCTTATCTTATTTTGACGCAGATCGCTTACCTTTCTCATGACTTATTTCATTTTCCAATGTTTTCTGATATTCTTTCGCTTTAAAACTGCTTTAGCTAGTTGAAATGAACCATTAATGTAAAAAAATTACTTTTACTTACATTTCACCGTTACTAGAAGTTCCCGGATGTACCAGCGTACTCTTATTAATTTGTTCTGTTCGGTATTTTAGTGCATTAGCATTCGGTATTTCAGTGCACTTTTCTCGGACTTTTTCTCGATGTACATCGCGATGTGCATCGATGTTTACTCCTGAAAATTGCCGATGCATCGATGTACGATTATGGCACATCGCGACAACACTACTTTTAGGGGTGATCAAGAAACAACATTTGTGTGACACCTATGTACAGATGCATGTATACACACGGAGGCACCATGTCAGCACAAAAGATTACAGTATAGCACTTTGGAAGATGCGATAAAATAAGGTTAACCCATGGTACATATCTGTTTTGAAACGAACTATTTTTTACAGTATTATATGAATGACATCTATATTTATTTTTAATATTCACAATCAAGCTTTCACAAAAGTGATTCATATTTGATCTAATTAATTCATCAAATGGTAATACTTCAAAGAACAGCTAGAACCACAGCCTACATTGTCTATGTTCATGTCACTTTGAATGTTTTAACTCAAGACTGCATACACAGTTCATGTACTGTAAACTATACTATATATGATGGTGTAAAGTAAATGTATATGGAGGTGCCATTCAGATCATCACTTCTGCTAAGGTACTAGTGACTTTTAACAATATTATAATATGATTTCTAGCTTATATACAACACTGAATAAGTAATATCACATGTTTTACTATTGGATGAAGAATCCAATATTTCTCATCTGTTTTGATATTGTTTTTGAAAACAAGTGATCCATGAAAATGTATTATTTACAAATGTTTCACTGCTCCATATAATGCATGCTTTGCTATAATCCAGGCATCACATAAGCAATATTGTCCAAGATTTCAGATAATTGTTCTTCAGAACATCCATTGGTTTCATGCAGTTGTTTTGTGAGACAAGTGAGAGGTCCTAATGCAGATATTAAAGAGTCCAATAGTACAGAAAGACTGCCTTGTACTGCTATGAAACCCTGCAATGTGAATGATATGGTGTATGTAGTGTACAAATATTTAAGAGTCCAATAGTACAGAGAGACTGCCTTGTACTTCTATGAAACCCTGCAATGTGAATGATATGGTGTGTGTAGTGTACAGATATTAAAGAGTCCAATAGTACAGAGAGACTGCCTTGTACTTCTATGAAACCCTGCAATGTGAATGATATGGTGTGTGTAGTGTACAGATATTAAAGAGTCCAATAGTACAGAGAGACTGCCTTGTACTGCTATGAAACCCTGCAATGTGAATGATATGGTGTGTGTAGTGTACAGATATTGAAGAGTCCAATAGTACAGAAAGACTGCCTTGTACTGCTATGAGACCCTGCAATGTGAATGATATGGTGTATGTAGCGTACAGATATTAAAGAGTCCAATAGTACAGAAAGACTGCCTTGTACTTCTATGAAACCCTGCAATGTGAATGATATGGTGTGTGTAGTGTACAGATATTAAAGACTCCAATAGTACAGAGAGACTGCCTTGTACTGCTATGAGACCCTGCAATGTGAATGATATGGTGTATGTAGCGTACAGATATTAAAGAGTCCAATAGTACAGAAAGACTGCCTTGTACTGCTATGAAACCCTGCAATGTGGATGATATGGTGTGTGTAGTGTACAGATATTAAAGACTCCAATAGTACAGAAAGACTGCCTTGTACTGCTATGAAACCCTGCAATGTGAATGATATGGTGTATGTAGTGTACAGATATTGAAGTGTCCAATAGTACAGAAAGACTGCCTTGTACTGCTATGAAACCCTGCAATGTGAATGATATGGTGTATGTTGTCTACAGATATTAAAGAGTCCAATAGTACAGAAAGACTGCCTTGTACTGCTATGAAACCCTGCAATGTGAATGATATGGTGTATGTAGTGTACATATATTAAAGAGTCCAATAGTACAGAAAGACTGCCTTGTACTGCTATGAAACCCTGCAATGTGAATGATATGGTGTATGTTGTGTACAGATATTAAAGAGTCCAATAGTACAGAAAGACTGCCTTGTACTTCTATGAAACCCTGCAATGTGAATGATATGGTGTGTGTAGTGTACAGATATTAAAGACTCCAATAGTACAGAGAGACTGTCTTGTACTGCTATGAAACCCTGCAATGTGAATGATATGGTGTATGTAGTGTACAGATATTGAAGAGTCCAATAGTACAGAAAGACTGCCTTGTACTGCTATGAAACCCTGCAATGTGAATGACATGGTGTATGTAGTGTACAGATATTAAAGAGTCCAATAGTACAGAAAGACTGCCTTGTACTGCTATGAAACCCTGCAATGTGAATGATATGGTGTATGTAGTGTACAGATATTGAAGAGTCCAATAGTACAGAAAGACTGCCTTGTACTGCTATGAGACCCTGCAATGTGAATGATATGGTGTATGTAGTGTACAGATATTAAAGAGTCCAATAGTACAGAAAGACTGCCTTGTACTGCTATGAGACCCTGCAATGTGAATGATATGGTGTATGTAGTTGCAGATATTAAAGAGTCCAATAGTACAGAAAGACTGCCTTGTACTGCTATGAGACCCTGCAATGTGAATGATATGGTGTATGTAGTGTACAGATATTAAAGAGTCCAATAGTACAGAAAGACTGCCTTGTACTGCTATGAAACCCTGCAATGTGAATGATATGGTGTGTGTAGTGTACAGATATTAAAAAGTCCAATAATACAGAAAGACTGCCTTGTACTGCTATGAAACCCTGCAATGTGAATGATATGGTGTATGTAGTGTACAGATATTGAAGAGTCCAATAGTACAGAAAGACTGCCTTGTACTGCTATGAGACCCTGCAATGTGAATGATATGGTGTATGTAGTGTACAGATATTAAAGAGTCCAATAGTACAGAGAGACTGCCTTGTACTTCTATGAAACCCTGCAATGTGAATGATATGGTGTATGTAGTGTACAGATATTAAAGAGTCCAATAATACAGAAAGACTGCCTTGTACTGCTATGAAACCCTGCAATGTGAATGATATGGTGTATGTAGTGTACAGATATTAAAGAGTCCAATAGTACAGAGAGACTGCCTTGTACTGCTATGAAACCCTGCAATGTGAATGATATGGTGTGTGTAGTGTACAGATATTAAAGAGTCCAATAGTACAGAGAGACTGCCTTGTACTTCTATGAAACCCTGCAATGTGAATGATATGGTGTATGTAGTGTACAGATATTAAAGAGTCAAATAGTACAGAAAGACTGCCTTGTACTGCTATGAGACCCTGCAATGTGAATGATATGGTGTATGTAGTGTACAGATATTAAAGAGTCCAATAGTACAGAAAGACTGCCTTGTGCTGCTATGAGACCCTGCAATGTGAATGATATGGTGTATGTAGTGTACAGATATGAAAGAGTCCAATAGTACAGAAAGACTGCCTTGTACTCCTATGAAACCCTGCAATGTGAATGATATGGTGTGTGTAGTGTACAGATATTAAAAAGTCCAATAATACAGAAAGACTGCCTTGTACTGCTATGAAACCCTGCAATGTGAATGATATGGTGTATGTAGTGTACAGATATTGAAGAGTCCAATAGTACAGAAAGACTGCCTTGTACTGCTATGAGACCCTGCAATGTGAATGATATGGTGTATGTAGTGTACAGATATTAAAGAGTCCAATAGTACAGAGAGACTGCCTTGTACTTCTATGAAACCCTGCAATGTGAATGATATGGTGTATGTAGTGTACAGATATTAAAGAGTCCAATAATACAGAAAGACTGCCTTGTACTGCTATGAAACCCTGCAATGTGAATGATATGGTGTATGTAGTGTACAGATATTAAAGAGTCCAATAGTACAGAGAGACTGCCTTGTACTGCTATGAAACCCTGCAATGTGAATGATATGGTGTGTGTAGTGTACAGATATTAAAGAGTCCAATAGTACAGAGAGACTGCCTTGTACTTCTATGAAACCCTGCAATGTGAATGATATGGTGTGTGTAGTGTACAGATATTAAAGAGTCCAATAGTACAGAGAGACTGCCTTGTACTGCTATGAAACCCTGCAATGTGAATGATATGGTGTATGTAGTGTACAGATATTAAAGAGTCCAATAGTACAGAAAGACTGCCTTGTACTGCTATGAGACCCTGCAATGTGAATGATATGGTGTATGTAGTGTATAGGTTTACACAAAATATGCAACCCTTTAATTTCCGAAACACTCTCTCAGTTATGGTAGAATCTTCTTGATTTTTTTTGTGGAGAAAATGTGTTCATTGGAATAGTGAGTTCCATAGCATCAATAACTTTGAGACTTCAAGTTCTGTTGTGTGAAAGAGATGTTGTATGAGAGAGACTGTATTGTAATACTGTCTTTGAAGGCATATAATGTATACTGTATCCTCTTTACAAAATAAATAAATATTCTCACTAACTAACTTATATTTTAGTTATTTACAAATAATTTGAACTACATCCTTTCAGAAAAGCTGATTTTGAATAACATATGAATCTTATTAAGGTTAACCTCAGTCTTAACTATCTTAACTAATAAGTTTGGATACAATGTTGAAAGCATGTGTGTGGAATGTTATAGTGTAGCAGGCTTACCTTGTGGTCAATCAGCCTTGTACCAATCAGGGTCAGCGAGTCTCCGAGAAGTTTTAGATGGGCAGCGCCATCTACAGGGTTTGTACTGGTTGTCTGGAATGTATTATGATGCATTGTGAACAATCAAAATCTATGTACAATCAAAATTGAATTTCTAGATTTTCAACAAAATCTGCTATGTACCCGTACAATGGAATATAATGATTCACAGTTTGCAGTGTTAAAATTTATGGGGTGAATCAAATAAAATGGAAAAAACTGAACTCATATATGTAGATTTTATTCTTCCACACCACTGACATATACATTGTGCATTAGAAAAATCACAGGTGTATACAGTCCCTAAACATAATCAAATTAAACAGGCTTGACTGTATTATTGTGCAGTTGCCCCAAACACAATATTAAACATTCAAATATTGAAATAGTTTATGTCAAAATTACATTTACAAAAGACATACCTTAGACATTGATGCACCCAGTTCTAGGGCTCCAGATACATTTGATGCCATACCCTTTATATGGCCTGTCATTTGTCGCTTAGTCATTGTACCGTATCTTTTCCCTTGTGCTTTGATGTACTGATTCTCATTGCTTTTCTTTACCACCTGCTGCATATTTTGTTCCATTGTCTTTTTACAAATCCTTTTAGCCTTTCTCTTCCAATTCTGAAATATTGATTGGGTTATAAAATCAGCCTTTCATTACCAATATTTTGGCAGGGGTTTCTCTAAGGACTCATTAATGTAAAATGTTATATAGGGTAAAAAATATGTACAACAAGCAATTGTTTTTTTTTATTTTGGTGATCCCTAAGTAATATCTCATGCAGTGGTATATTAGACAATTTTGTTTGGATCTTTAAAGGGTGACGCATATCGTTTAGCAAATCGAACGCTCGTTTCTGGTGTTGCTCACCATTTAGTATAAAAGGCTCGATCCCGGAATAATACTCAAGGGTTCAAAGGCTCGAGGTCGTTGTGTCAACACCTCAAACTTTTATATAACATTGGTACAGTATAGATCGTCACATATTTATAAAAGGGAGATTTTCATTTTGACAAATCAATTCCACATTTATGGGTGAAGTTTCAGGATCTTCTATTTGTGTATAATAAGGAAAATTGGCATCTAAAGGACGATTCTCGGTTTGGAGAACGAAGTTCATCAATCTAAATGAGCATTATCCCTGCTTCGGACAAATTTGATTTTTTTACATAATATAGATTCGAATGTCTTCTTTTGAATAGTCATAATTTAATTTGGGTAATATTTCTAGATTTTTCGCAAAAAAATATTAGCGCAGTACACTGATGAACTTCTTTCCCCAAATCGAGACGTTGTATTTTATTGAATCGGTCTAATTGAGCGTTATCCCTGCTTCTGACCAATTTGTTATTTTTACATCTTGTAGATTTAAATGTCCTCTTTTGAATATTCATAGTTTAATTTGGGTAATATTTTTATATTTTTCATGAAAAAAATTATTAGCCCAGGAGACTGTTCTCCAAACCGAGAATCGTCCTTTCCCCATAACGTAATAGCACACAGCTTGGCATATAGAAATATCCTACAAATGAAACAAAGCAAGACAAACCTGTTTCTAATACAAGGATTTATATTGGCTGTTGTACATGTATTCTTTGAACGCAATCACTCTTTGGATAACGTTTTCAAAATCATTATAAACGGATTACTTTATCTCAAAGACAATTTCAATAAACTGGATTTTACAGAACTCCCCTTATTTCTTAAAAATGGACTGATCCAGTTGATTCGCCTGGAGCCGCCATATTGTTTTCATACGGGATGCTAATCGGAACCCTTTAATTAACATTGCATTAGACTCAGTTATTAAAGTTGATTATGGATAAAATCAAAGAAAATTAAGAAAATCAAAATTTGGCACAACTCAGCAGATCAAACAAGATGACCTTTTTTATATTATTATTAGCCATCAAATCAATACGTATTTTGTACTATTTTGTTTTTTCACATCAAAATGAAATTTCAAAGTCACATGTTACTTAACCCTTTCCCGACGTGAATATAAGAGAAAAATGTTGGCCCTGGTGACGGATATGTAAGAGCGGTTTTTAAGGGAAAACTGAAAATCACCTATGCCCCGGGACCTATACCCTGAATTTTATTACTGAAATACAATTTTTAGTAAGGATTATCGCATTAGAACAACTTGTCAAAATTTGGTGTAAAAATACTGAATAGAACTTGAAATATTATCATTTAATCAATGTATATAAATAAAAACAATGGTGCCAAAAGGAGCCTATCGTCCTGAAGGGTATTACATAATAGGGCTCCATATGGAGCCCATCGTTGTGAAAGGGTTAAAGGATCATGATTTTAATCGGAGGTTTCATAATATAGATTAAGTATTCCACTTTTTGGGATAATTACTCACCATTTTCTCTTTTTCTGGGAGGCCATGCCATCTTTCACCAAGCATTTTACTCGTTGTAGCAAAATCTAAATTAAAGAAATAATTTGAATGAATGACAATCACAAATAAAAATGGTGGCTACAACGACATGTCACCCCTTCTTGGTGGTGACAAGAAAACAGTTGTATTCCCAGAATAGCAATGATTTATTCTAATCCCAATGTTGCATACGATCAGCATTCTCAAATCCATATGAAAGAGTATTTATATGAATACCGTATTATCTCTAATAGATGCACACACTCCACTGTGCGTTTATTGGAGAGAATCGGTAGTGCAGTTATCTTACAACTGATTAGTGCTGCTATTTCAAATTGTCTTACTGATAATAGGGGGTCTTACCAAGGTCAGGTTTCTGTTCTTGAATACGACCTCTGATGGACTTACAGTACAACATATAAGCTGTAGGCCCTGAACGCCTCCTTCTCTTCTTCTGAAAATAAATACAATACACTTTAACAAAACGGTAAGTCTACTTTTTGTAGCTGATGCTGTAAATTTTTTTAATAAACTTTTAATTTTTGAAAATGTAGTTTACACAACTTGAAGATTATCCAGAATAAAAGATTCTAGTTTCATGTAAATCATCATACATGTGATATCATTAACTCATCATACATGTGATATTATTAACTCCTCATACATGTGATATCATTAACTCATCATACATGTGATATTATTAACTCCTCATACATGTGATATTATTAACTCCTCATACATGTGATATCATTAACTCATCATACATGTGATATTATTAACTCCTCATACATGTGATATTATTAACTCCTCATACATGTGATATTATTAACTCCTCATACATGTGATATTATTAACTCATCAAATATGTGATATTATTAACTCATCATACATGTGATATTATTAACTCCTCATACATGTGATATTATTAACTCATCAAATATGTGATATTATTAACTCATCAAATATGTGATTTTATTAACTCATCATACATGTGATATTATTAACTCATCAAATATGTGATATTATTAACTCATCAAATATGTGATTTTATTAACTCATCATACATGTGATATTATTAACTCATCAAATATGTAATATTATTAACTCATCATACATATGATATTATTAACTCATCATACAAATGATATTATTAACTCATCAAATATGTGATATTATTCATAATGTGTATACCTTTGATGCAGATTGGTGCTTCCCTTTGCGTTTCACAACTTCACCAGACTTCAGGCATTCAAATTGCTGTGGGGAATCCTGGGAAAGCATCTCCTCTGATGATCCTGGCAATAATTCCCCGCCATCTGGAGAGAGTAAAATAAAATCAGTCTCTGCTTGCAATGAAATCATAAAGTTTAAATATTCACAATTAATTTAATTAATGCATGAAAACTACACTAGGAATGAATTAAAAGTAGAAAATATATTATGAATGATATGATGTTCCATTATAAGTGAATTAAAATTAGAAAATATTTATGATCATCTATTTGGAAGGAGTCAACATGCAATGTACAAATATGTATTTATCAAAACACAGATATGTTAATATGTACAGATTTTCTTTTTCAAAAACTATAAACACTTTATAATGAGATAATATATAACACATTCCATCTGACTTTCAACTTTACCTTCCCCTATTTTCACTTTCTTATTCACTTTCGGAACTTTTTGAGTTTTTGCCTTCTTTGGTTTTGGTTCCTTTGGGAGTTTAAATGTTGGCTTAACCTCTGTTGATCCCCCTAGGAATGACCCCTCAGATTCATCTTCAATTGGCTCATTTTCAACAGTTTCTACTGTCGTTTCAATTGTTTCTAGAAGCAGATGCATGCAGGCACTAAATAAACACATGGAACAACTAACAGAACAATGATACACGTAGCAACTTAGCCTGGTAGCAATTTAGCAATTAAAACTAACAAAATATTATAATTAACATGTTAGTACAAACCAGTCTTAAAGTAGAACCATCATTTGTAAAGAAAATTGTTGGTATTGCGATGAATTGCTCATAATGTTCTCTGTAATCTTCAAATAACTTACATTTGAAAGCGTCAAATGCTCCAGATTTTGAAAACAAGGTTTGCACCCATTTGATATTTTGAAAACAAGGCTTGCATCCACTTAAGATTTTGAAAAAATGCTTGGACCCGCATGAATCCATTTGCACAAACTTAAAAGTGAGAAAAATCATGAAGGCTGGTTTATCTGGACCAATTTTGAATATTAATTTGTGTTTCTCTGAAATTTCCCATACTGCAGAAACCTTGTACACTACCCCATTAATTACTAAGCACAATATTCTATCTTCGACAAAGGGAACAGAACAGATATTTTCTTTTATATATACTTTAATTGATATGAACAAACTGAATAAAACAACTCGACTAGACAATGGCAACTCCAGGCGCAGCAATTCTCACCATACGCACTAGTTATGCGCTTTTAAAGCAAATCAAGTCAAAAGAATCCCAGATACTGTCCCTTCAGAAATGAGGATGGCAGTTTTCAATGTCCATTTTTGAATCATAAATTCGTGAAAACTAAGTAACTAAAATATTTATTATATATGAGATATCTTTATCCGGACAGACACATAGATGGATAAACATATGATGGACATTTTCTATATCCCATTTGAATCTCAGTTAGAGGAATAAAAATATGTTAAATTATTGAACTGTAACAAAGCAAACATAATTTCCTAGTAAAACAAAAACAGCCAAATGTCAATTTTCTTTGAAATAATTACCCGATTCATCCTCATCATGCAACATAGATGGCAGCACTACCTCATGGACAGGTATTTCATCTTCGGGCTCATCAAAACATCGCTCTACTGTAATTGACTCCATTTCTGATGCTATACTCTTTTTCGGTTTCTTTGGAGCTTTTGGTTTCTTAACTTTAGGGGTTTTTGCAGTCTTAACTGGAGAGGGTGCCTCTGAGGCAAACACAGAACCTCCTAACTAAAATGATAGATGCTGATTATACAGCGTGCCAAATATCAGGGGCCAAATATATACAAGGTGTCAAATAAATATGTTCACCTCCTTGATTTCAAGAGTATGAACATATTTGCATAAAAGTGCATCTAGTTGAGCTAGTCAAATGAAACTTCTAGTAGAGTTGCTTCATGAAGCCAAGTTTTAAGGTGCTAAAGAACAATTCAAATATCATACAGACAAAAAAGACAGAAACATTTTGTGGATGATAAAGTTGAGGGGAAACATATTTGTTTGACACCCTGTATATATCAATATGTTCTCTCCCCTTATCTTCAAAAGTATCCATTATTGTAGAAGAGAAAACAAATATCAAAGCTGTACCAATTAGTATGCAATATTCTCAGTCATACAAAAATGATGTATAAATAGAATATTCTCAGTCATACAAAAATGATGTATAAATAGAATATCCTAAGTCATACAAAAATGATGTTTAAAGAGAATATTCTCAGTCATACAAAAATGATGTTTAAATAGAATATTCTCAGTCATACAAAAATGATGTATAAATAGAATATCCTAAGTCATACAAAAATGATGTTTAAAGAGAATATTCTCAGTCATACAAAAATGATGTTTAAATAGAATATTCTCAGTAATACAAAAATGATGTTTAAATAGAATATTCTCAGTCATACAAAAATGATGTTTAAATATAATATTCTCAGTCATATAAAAGTGATATATAAATAGAATATCCTAAGTCATACAAAAATGATGTTTAAATAGAATATTTTCATTCATACAAAAATGATGTTTATATAGAATATTCTCAGTCATACAAAAATGATGTTTAAATAGAATATTCTCAGTCATAAAAAATGATGTTTAAATAGAATATTTTCAGTCATACAAAAATGATGTTTAAATAGAATATTCTCAGTCATACAAAAATGATGTTTAATAGAATATTCCCAGTCATACAAAAATGATGTTTAAATAGAATATTCTCAGTCATACAAAAATGATGTTTAAATAGAATATTCTCAGTCATACAAAAATGATGTTTAAATAGAATATTTTCATTCATACAAAAATGATGTTTAAATAGAATATTCTCAGTCATACAAAAATGATGTTTAATAGAATATATTCTCAGTCATACAAAAATGATGTTTAAATAGAATATTTTCATTCATACAAAAATGATGTTTATTAAATAGAATATTCTCAGTCATACAAAAATGATGTTTAATAGAATATTCTCAGTCATACAAAAATGATGTATAAATAGAATATTCTCAGTCATACAAAAATGATATATGAATAGAATATTCTCAGTCATACAAAAATGATGTTTAAATAGAATATTCTCAGTCATACAAAAATGATATATAAATTGAATATTCTCAGTCATACAAAAATGATGTTTAAATAGAATATTCTCAGTCATACAAAAATGATATATAAATTGAATATTCTCAGTCATACAAAAATGATGTTTAAATAGAATATTCTCAGGCATACAAAAATGATATATAAATTGAATATTCTCAGTCATACAAAAATGATATACAAATAGAATATGTACTCACTTCCAGTTCTGATTCTTCAGATTCAAACTTTATTTCCTTTTTGGGAATTTTAGGTGTTTTGGGAATTTTTGGTTTAGCTGGCTTCTTTGCAGATTTTGGTGGGGGAGTAGCTACCACAAGTGGGTCATCCATTGGTTCAATAGCCATACCAGGGTTAGTTTCAACTTCAGCTGTTACATCCTTCTTCTTTTTGGGAGTTTTCTTGGGTGCCTTTTTGGGTTTCTGCTCAGATGAGGCAACGACTGTCTCAACACCAGGGTCAGATCCCAAATGAATCTTTAACTTTAGCGCACTTGTATTATCACTTTGTGTTTCAACATCTTGTGGCTTTAATGAATAAAGTAAATGTATGAAAAATCAATGCATGTACATTTAAATGTAGTTAGTTAATAATGGAGTACAGTATTTTGCAAGTAACGATTTGAGAATATTGACAAAGATATAATCTGTTGACTTTTAGATTAAAAATATGAAATCGCATAAACTGACTATCTAGAGTCAAGTAAATGTGTAAACTGTAGTGCTATGTCACATAGGTTAGCTGACAAATGTTAGGAAATGATACTCTGACATCTCTTATCAATAGTGACTCATAAACAAAGTCAACGAAAGTAAATACCTGCATCACTTCTTCAAGTTGAACAGATTTACTCTTCTTTGTGGTAGACTTGGTTGCAGCATCTGTGTCCAATGTAGCTACACTGGGGGCAGGGGAGGTAAGTAGGAGTTTAATCATGCTCTCATCATCCTTACCAGGTGAAGCCTCTTGTACCACTGGAGCACTTTTAGATTTCTTGGGACTCTTGGCAGTTACAGGGGAATCTTTTGGACTTCCCATACTAGCTAAAGGAGATGTTGGCTCTGATTTCATGGACTTTTTCTATGGATATAAAGAAAGTGAAGTTGGTTAACGCATTAGTTTTTACATGAGTGCTACTATTTTTGAATTAATGATTATGCATCTCCTCATAATTTGTATGTACAGTGTATTGATCACAAATTGACACTGATCTCACTTAAAACTTACAGATGAGGATGAGATATGGCAACAATCCACATGATACTTACTTTTGATGCATTCACATTTGTTTTGTGGTCCTCTAACTGCTCCAATTCTTCTGCATCCGCCATAGCATCTTCTTCCATTTCTCGTAGCTTTGATGATTTCTTCCTTATCCTCCCAGTGGATCGAGATACAACTGGTTGCGTGTCTGCAAGAATGACAGATGTTGTGATTGTTCGATACAATTTATGCAAACGACCAGAAAACATATCCAAAATTGTTCAATGGTAGATATTTAATTATGGACAAAATTCTTAAAATCACGAACCAACTTTTATAAAGCTTTTGACACCTGTTTTTTAAGATGTCTGGAGTTGGTAAGAAACTGGTTAATTTGACTTGATCTTTGAACTGGCTACTCAAGAAGTAAAGTCCTGGGAAAATCTTATATCCTACATCCCTGTTAAGTTCCATTTATTAATATGGATGGCTTCTTTCATCTTCTGTCAAAATCAATGATTCTGCACTCCCAGCTTATCCTGGGTGCTTCACCAAATGAATGTTGAGTGATTACAGATTTGTCTGTGTTTATGTTCTTTTATTCTAGCTGATCCCTATTATTCTGCCTGTTAGCCTATATCCTGTATATTTCTTGGTTAGTATTTTGAAGAATTTTATAATTATTAAAAATAAATTTCTCTATCAAGTGGGTGCAAAATACACTTGAACCTCAATACATCTTTTTTTAATTGTCTGTTCAATTTGAAGAATCAAAAAAATGGCAAACTTGATATTGAACTTATCTTTTTTATTTCTGTTGAGAATATTTGAAATCCTCTTGCAACAGCCTAATCTGGCAGATTACATTGTACCCCTGTTCTGTTTTCCTCTATACCCACCACCGATTAACCCCTATCCCATACTCCAATATTTTTCCATCACTGCTATACACTGTAATCCCCTTGTGATGAAAAGCACTTGAAGATACTACTCTTACATTTACTGAATTGATGTAACTGTATATCTCTCATCATAAAATAACAAATTAAGAGGGTGGTTTCCTAAAGTCGATGGATGAGTGTGCATCATTTCCGCGCATCTCACTTTTGGTTTCAGTTTCGATGCTGTAATTTGATTATTGACTGTATATTACTTGAACAAATAAACTGCTGCACATGATCTAAATTGTATATTACAGTTGAATGAAAATAATTCAAAGATGAGAATCAATGATCACATACATTTAAATGGTGATCCATTGGCAGCATCATCCTCATCTTCATCAACTGCATCCTTCGTCTTCTTAGGTTTTGTTAAATAATCTTCAGCATCACCATCATCCTTGCTTGATGCCTTTCTCTTCCTTGGTTTGCTAGCCATACCGTCCTCTATCACTTCACAAGTTCACATACACCTGGAACAATCATGAAACAGATACTACAAGCATTGTACAGTTTCTTTGATAATAACTTAAAAATTGAAATTTGAAAATTTCATTTAGCTAACAAAGCTGTTTTTGTTTTAACACAAATTATTCGGGGCTACATTGGTGCACTTTTCACCTAACTATCTGAAATATACAAAAGTTAGGCCCTGTGCATATGTTTCTATTTTTCGTATACTGTTGCAATATGGTCATTTGACTGCTTATCTTTTAAATTCAAAGTATTTCTTGTACTCAATAAAATTTGGAATCAGACTACGATAAATGAAATGCGAACTGTATATTTCGGAACTAGAACTATCTGCACTGTTACAGATGGCGAACACCAACCACAAACACAGAAACCACTTTTGATGGTGATATAAAAAACTTTAAAAAATTAGAAAATATACATTTTATATAATCATGATATCGGAGAATAAGCACGAAAGGAAGGATTAGCCAGAAAACATGTCAATCATATGTCAGATGAGCATAGGAACAGGCGATACTAAGAAGTGCACTGAAAAGATTGCTTGGAGACTAAATATACTGAGTCTGAATCCCGGGATCTAATCCTCATAATGGCTAATTAGACATCAGTTTATATAAATGCCTTTAGCTTACCAAAAATGGCACAGTCAGAGAGAATGTTTCTGGCGAAATTCTGGGACTTCAAATACTTTTAAGTTGGGAAACCGGAAGTGCTTACCTTTTTTAATTCCCGAATCTCTCCGAAATTAGCTCATCTTGGTGACTGTAAATTGCACAGCTGTATTCAATGGAGTCTTGTCATATTCGATCAGCCTCAATTTTAAAGTGTATATTTTATTTTTAACGTGATTTCATCGTTTTTTGTCGACTGGTAACAATCCGCGGGGCTAATGGCAAGATGGATGACTTTTGACCTGACCTTGACCGATGGTGATCACGTCATCAATATTACCAAGATGGCGGTTTCAAAATTTTCTAAAATCGCTTCAAATAATATTATGTTAATTCCTAGCGAGTTAAGATATCTCTTAGTTTGCTATTTCACAATAAGATAACAAAATGTGTAAGGAATTCGTATTTATCAATTAAAACATCACATCGACATTTGGTATTCGTAAACTAGACGATGAAGATAACGACCTCGAAATAAAACAAAAGAGCGAGGACGGGATTCGAACCCGGGCCTCCAGCGTGCTAAGCGAGGATTCTCCCCCTAGACCACCGATATGTTACATATGGTATTGGGATTTAAACGCTACTTATTTTGAATGCTACGATTCGGAAGTGACGTCACGTTCTTCACGTTTTGTTTGAGAGCGAGAACGAGACGTGTCAGAAGCCCGGCTTTTTTGTCAGTCGACCTGTTCAAAGTACATTTAGTTATAATTATCGCTTTCCAGAACAATTTAGGAAACAATATTTTCTATCTACGTCGATTACAAAGCATCTAAGGTACGTAAATTTATATGAACAACTGAGTCAATAGGGATAAATAGCCCAACGAGAGTCGGCGGTCTTAAAAAATACTTGGATCTGGATGCCAGTCCTGGTATAAATATAGTTCCAGGGCAATTCGAAGAACGTATTAGATGTCCGTGAAAAATGGTGGGAAACACCAACTTTTACTCTGGTTTACAAAGACCAATTTGAACAAATCTCTCACTCAAATTCGAATTCAAGAACACAAAATAGATCTTTTAGAATAACATTTTATTATTTAAACACGTTTCAAATGATTTATATTTTGCAAATACGGAATAAAACCGAAATTATTTACCTGATTTTGAACTGTTGTTTTCGAATGGGCGATAATGGAGAACTAAATTTGAGAACAAACCAAGTAAATATCTTCTACCACTTCTGTTTTCAATTTCATATTGGATCAGATTATGAAATTAGAAATAATCAATCATCTGAATTTTGAAATAGTATATAATACGAATGTGCAGTTATAGTATCTAAACAGATCACAAACCTTTTGGCGACGTTGACATCCGTATATTTTCCCTCACATTTAAAACTTCCGGTTCAAGAAAAATTTCACGACTTTTGTTTTCGTAACATAAACATCATTTAGTGTCATAAACGCCTGTAATTTGGTATACTGTTTAGATCGAATTATAGAACTATGTATAGTTTTGAAGGGCAATATAAAAGAAAACCTATCCAAGCCCTGGGTGGAGCTAGTAAGAAGGTAAGAAGATATTTGAGTTTTTATGACATTTTTTATTTTTTTATTTTCAAGTCCTTGTATATACAGGCCTACGGGTCGCTTATTCAGTGATTCAGTGAACTGATGCTGTCCTCCGAGTTATTATGTAACTTGGTATTTAAGAAAATTGAGACTGATAAACACTTCATAATATTATTGGTGACAGACCAGTTTGATTTTTCATTATTTCTTTCAATGACACAATGAGTCAACAGAATTGCTTTCATTCTGGACATTCTAGAAATTGCTATTTTATTATCATATCCAAACTACTATAAAATTTGTTTCATAAAAAAATTGAAAAGTCCAACTCATCAGAGCCGTGGCAGGCTGTAAGTTTGGGGCATACTAAACAGACAAAATTGAAGTCTTGATAAATTCCTAACTAAATGTCCCTTGCCTTCATTTTAGAGGTAATACAAACCTTGATTATTATCAAAACAAAATGATTGCGTTATTCTTACAGGAACAAAAAGATGTACTGTTAGAGAATGCACGAGCTGAGAGACAAAAGCGTGAGGTAAACTGAAGTCTGCAATTCGCATCATGATATTTAACCAATCATGAACCAAAGAGAATTTTTCAACTTGCAATTGTCTCACTCTTCTTAAATCAAACCCTGAAATAATACATGTAATTTCCATTAAGGTTCAGCTGGAAAGTAACATTTTGGTAAAAAATTGCTATACCTGCACATGTTATTTTCTGGTACAAAATTAAGTATGAAGGCATGTGTGTATTTCCTTGCTTTTTTCAGAAAAGTATCATTACACTGTCTACTTTTAGTAAACCTGGAAACAGGCCAATGGTAGCACCTGTGTTGTCTGGAAACTTTGAAAGAAAATTTGGAAAAATAGAAAGTGTGAAATATCAGAATTTCCTGCATTTCCCATTGAACTCCTACTAGATATTCTTAAAGAAGACAATGTAATGATACTTTCCTGAAAAAAGCAAGGCAATTGACACAAGTCTTCATACTTTATTTTGTACCAGAAAATAACATATGCTGGTATAGCAATTTTTTACCAAAATGTTACTTTCCAGCTGTACCTTAAACAGACTCAGAGAATACAATACATGATACAATTAAATAAATATTTGCACTTGCACAGCCTCCATTATTTTTGCTAAGGGTTAGGTTCTCTTTGTTCACTTTTAACGTAACTTTCCATACTTCTACATTTTGGTTATTAGTCAAGTATTTTGCTTGAAAATGTGGTTGATATTTGAAAAATGCTTTCCATAGGATAGCCGCAAACAGACACAAGCTGCTATAAAGATACAGTCATATATCAGAGGCTCTTGGGCCAGAAAGAACAAGGTGAGTGGTTAACCCTAAAAGAAGTAATACTTTTATTTATATATGGAGGAGGTCATTCAGGACCAGAAACCTCTGCACTCTCTGCAAGTGTACCAAAGAAGGAGTTACTCTTTTTCAAATCTCCAATATAAGAATTGATGTCACAATAACTAGTTATGGTGACATATATACGAGTTGTTCATAAAGTCTCTTTACACAGACTATATGAATGGTAGAGACACTCTGTATATTTAAAAAATATGTGTTATACTGTTATGTAAATTAAATGCACAAAAATCTCTTGTTGCAGAGAGAAGCATGTAGATTACAATATGATGGAAATCTTGGCCAACTATCAAGCAACAGAGCCACACAAGAACAATTGGTTTTCCTTATCAGAAACCTAGTTTACTGCTACAGAACTGAATTAGACCAGCAAAGATTGGTAAGTAGTAGATACAAATTGTAAATATGTGTAATCAGTTCAGAAATGTATGTTTGATTCAAAGCCTTCACATGTCATTTTGTTATGCCTGTACACTGTTCTAGGAAAATTTAACTAAATTCGTTTTTAAAAGCTGGGATTACCATATTTTCTCAAAAAGAAGGTATTCTAGTAGTATTCATAGTTTTACACTGCGCCTTTTGACATTTTGTAATGCTCTTTGTAGGTTAGTCTTTGCCAGATATGTTTGAAACAGAAAGACATGGTGGCATCTATGGTTTGTGAAGGAAGGTTGCCTCAATGGGGATCCATACTGGCCATGTGTTGTGGGTAAGAATAAAACACTTTTGTCATAATGGGAGCAATGTTTCACAAATCTAGCCCATCTATAACAACTGTCTTTGAGTAATTTTAAACTGGGATAAATTCGATTTCGATATTGCAAGATTGCAAGCATTTATATCCTGAACTCCATTAAGTTAACTGAAAGGTCAAATACAAAATAAAAGGTCAGATATAGGAAATTATAACACGAATGTCTCAAATCTGGAACATTCACAAGATGAATTTATAGATATGAACTTCAGTTAATGGTCCTCTTCTATAGTCCAGAATTTTGAAAAGCTCAAACAACAGAATTTATGATTAAAGTTTTCACCTTCTTATGTCTTTTGGGGCTCATTACTTTTACATTATTACAATTTTAATAGTGTACTTGTTTTGATTTTCACTTTTAGCCACCTAGCAAATATTGCAAATGAAGCCAGTCAGAACATTACAGTTCCATTGAGGGTTGTAGAGATATTTACAAGCAGTAAGACATATATAGAGTCTGGCCTTGATCGCTCTAGGGAAGTACAGTTTATGACACATCTCCATGGAAACCTAGTTGAAAGAGGTGAGTCTCTTTCTTGGCAATCGGTTATTATATCTTTCTGAATACATTTTGACCTAGTTTGCCAGATATTGATAATATGTAGAAATGTGTATAAACTAATATGTTGTTTCTTAGACAAGTGTGTGTATCTACCTTTGTTTTTATAAAATTAGGTGTACATGTACATGTATCTCTATTTTTACAGGATATTTCAAGTGTATGTATGCACTAATTAACGGTAGAGTACCTGACAGTATAGAGAACTCCCCAACTCCCCCTACACCTATGGCAGCTAGTGTATATGAACTCTTGGTGAAACCTCTAGCAGTTGTCAACTATAAACATGTTACAGATAATACAAAGTAGGTCAATATATTACATGTACACTGAAATGGTATCCCTAAAGTTTCGAATATGAATGGTATATGTATGTATGAATTGATGAATTCAACCACTCGTATCTTAATATCTTAAGCTGTGAACACCTATCCAGCCCCTTCCTACTTCACCCCAGCCTATGGGGCTTTCATTATAGTCATATCACTATTATTTCACTATCATTTTTTTTATTTGATATTCCAGACAGACGATTTTGGAGGCTTTATGTAGAGAAGTGTTCTGTGTTGAGTACTCAATACAAGCCAACAATTTTATCATACCAGCCTTGGTATATGGGAATTCCAAATTCCCATTTGCCGATATGTTGCATGCATTATTACCCAACGAGAAGACCCAACATGTCAAAGATGACGATTATAAGAGAATGATATTGACTGTGCCACAGACCCCTTGGTTACTTGGAGTTCTATTGAAGTTATCAGAAAAATATTTAGGTAAGGTACAATTTATAACTTTATTTGAATCAGAGCCATCTGATACCATTTGTAAATACCTGGTAAGTAGTAAGTAAATGATGTTATTTGTGGGAAACTAAAGTTATGTTTATGTAGTCCAAGAATTAATTTTCAGAACTTTGTATTTGGTCAGGAAGTGAAAACCATTTTTAAAGTTGGTAGAGAGGGGAGACAAATGAACTGTGACAGAGATATGGCATTGTACAATATTTGCTAAGCCCCAGAGATAAGGCTTAACACAGTAATGTTTCATACATCATTCTTGTTCTTGATATGTTTACAGGCTCAGTGTCGCAACAAGATCTCCTCTGTTACCTAGAAATTTTACAAGCATTGATACCATGTCTTCCGACCCCCAAAGATCTAGGGACGTTACAACAAGAAGACTCTGATTCTGAGGATGATGATGCCATGTGTATTGAGGTTTGTATAGTTTAGAAAATACAGATGTTATTGTGTACACTGCTGTACATACAGTCTGTACTTATGCATATGGGACATGGATTGAACTTAATCGTGAAAATGTAAGATGACTACTGGCCAATCCTTGTCAAAATAGAGGACATCTATTGCATTTTAAATTGAATTAAAAGAATCAGTTTAATACAGTACACTGTATGTATTTTACATTTAGATTGAACCTTACCTGAGATTCAATTTAAGTCATGTGCATGGTTATATGTTTATCAGTTTTACTGACTATCAAATCATGCACAATTTTTAGTACTGTACATGTACATATATTTGGACATATTTTACATGCATGTATTTTTCCTTTCAGGTTGACAGTAAGCTAACAGAGCTTAAAGATGATTGCATTACAAAGATAGACGCACCCTCCCACATAGCATGTATCATATCCACAGTACAAGACAATCCAGATGAGGCGACCATAACTGCAGTCTGCACACTTTGCCATGCTCTCATGTCAGATCAAAAAATTAGTGTGCATAAATCGGGGTAATTGAAAAACCTAATAGATCACGCCACCTATTGGTATGATGTGTTTCTTACTGTTTCATGGCTGAAATTGGATTACTGTATTGAACTAATGGTGATGGTCTTAATACGTGTATATGCTACTTTATGGTTTAAGTTAGAATTAGATTTTAAATATAAGACCTCAGAAAGATTGATAATACTGTATCTTCATGAAGAAATACTTAAATTCTTGAATTTTTTTTTGAACATTAATATATCTTTTTGTTTAAAAGTATAATATTTGTGTGATATTATGTGTATTAAAAATTGGTGCATATTTTGTTTTATTAGATTACTGAATTCACTAGCTTACAATAGTCAATTGGTGCAATACATGTGGAAATGCTGTACTGCTGTATCTAGTCTCTCAATTACAAAGTAAGTATGTTATACAATACATCATGAAATTACTGCCTTTTAGGGTAAAACATTTTGAGTTAAGATAATTAAATATTTTGATTTTCTCCAACAGTTTAAAAGTACTATTTTCCCACTTACACCAAACTGATATGTTTTCATGACACAACTTCCTAGATTCACTTATAATTTTTCAGGATTTTGACACAAAGACAAACTGAGTACCAAATGATTACCCTATATTATATATACTAGATGTATTACAGTTTGATTCATATGTATTTTTTCAGAAAACGGGTCCCTTTACTGCAGCAGCTATCACGAGGGTTAGAAATATCACGGGAGAATCTTGATCAAATCGTCTCACTTTTAGCCACCTTTTGTTCTCTATTCAGTCACTCAATTACTACCCTCCATGATTCTGAATTCCACGGTGATGAAGGTTAGTTTAAGAAATGTCATTTGTTCCGCATAGTCAAATATAATGTTTGTAATTATCCCACCGAACGAAGTTCGAGGGGGATATAGAAAAGCTGTCCGTCCATCCGTCCGTTCGTCCGTTCGTGGGTCCGGGCAATAACTCAAATACCGGTTGACAGATTTCATTCAAATTTTATAGGCTTATGCCTTATGGGTGTAGGACCTCTGCTCGAAAAGGAATTTTCAATATGGCCGCTTAATTCAAAATGGCGGCCATTTTTCTGAGAAAATGTAATCTTTAATAACTCAAATACTAGTGGATGGATTTGGTTCAAATTTTATATACTGTTGCCTTGGTACAAAGCAGCCTTGCTAAAGAAGACATTTTCAAGATGGCTACCAAATTTCAAAATGGCGGGCATTTTTCGTAAAAAAACTGTTATCTTTGATAACTCAAAGACCATTGAATGGATTTGGTTCAAATTTTAGATGCTGATGCCTATGGACATAGGAGCTCTGCTCGAGAAAGGATTTTCAAGATGGCAGCTAAATTTCAAAATGGCGGCCATTTTTCGTAAAAAAATGTTATCTTTGATAACTCAAATACCATCGAATGGATTTGGTTTAAATTTTAGATGCTGATGCCTAGGGACATAGGAGCTCTGCTCAAAAAAGGATTTTCAAGATGGCAGCTAAATTTCAAAATGGCGGCCATTTTTCATAAAAAAACATTATCTTTGATAGCTCAATTACCCTTGAATGGATTTGGTTCAAATTTTACATGATGATGCCAAGGGACATAGGAGCTCTGCTCGAGAAGGGATTTTCAAGGTGGTGGCTAAATTTCAAAATGGCCGCCATTTTTCATAAAAGAACGTAACCTTTGATAACTCAAATACCAGTTGACGGATTTCGTTTAAATTCTATATGCTGATGCCTAGAGACAAAGAAGTTCTGCTCAAAAATAAATATTCAAGATGGCCACTGAATTTCAAAATGGCCGCCATTTTTCCATAAAAAACGTAATTAATGATAACTCAAATACTAGTGGATGGATTTGGTTCCAATTTTATATGCTGATGTTTAGGGAAAAAGGAGATCTGCTTCAGAAGAAATTTCAAAGGCGATAGCTGAATTTCAAAATGGCTGCCATTTTTCATTAAAAAAGTAATCTTTGATAACCCAGATACCATTGGAAGGACATTCTCTGCTAAAGAAGAAATCTAAAGATGACAACTGAATTTCAAAATGACAACCATGTTTCATAAAGACATAATCTTTGATAATTCAAATACCAGTGGATGAATTTGGCTCAATTTTTTTTATCAAAACATGTTTTGTTCGGTGGGATTTGCCACTCCGTTGAGTTGCTGTTTTTCTAGTATTAGTATTTTTATTTGTTGTATGATGTGTATTCATTTTTTTAATTCAATTGTTGATTTATCAGGGGCTAGTTTCGTATCTCTCGTGTTACTTGTAATTATGATCTAAATGCCAAATGAAATATGCCATTTAAATATTGTTTGTTACTTTCAACAGGAGGTTCACATATGCCATTTAAAGTATCAGAACTTGTACCTATGAGTTTGGAATTAAGAAATGCCTGCCTTGGTATAATAGAACTGGCCCATCCTGACACCAAACCAACACTTAGGGAGGATTATAGAAAAGCATTCCAGAGTGTAGGAGTCAACCTGCTTGACACTCTGTCCAAAGAACAGCTAGAGTATAAGAGAAAGACTTGGGCTCATCTTTTCAAGGTATAAATAGAGTTACTAGACTAAAGTATATTTAACATAAATATGTCAGCACCATAAGTGGTAGCATATTGTTATATAGTCTCCAACTTTTTATATATCATGTTTGGCAGTTGGTGTTTTGCTGTTGGCAATCTGCATCTGTAACAAATGGCAGGTGGTGATATATTGCATGTTAATGCCTTGTTTCTTATATCAACACAACCATTTCAACTTTGAAGACTGACTTTGATTTGATATTTGTACATAACAGCACGGTTATTATTTATTGCGCTACTCTGCCTTCATATATTTAGTCACAATTTCAATTTAAAGGTAAATGAAAATGATTCAAGAAAATGAAGTGTTGAGTATTTTGTGTTTGATGATATTGTATTTGTAATCAATACGTATAAATAAGCGTATTATATTGGAGTATATCTCCAGTTATTCCCAGCTATCTATGTATTGAAGCAACTGCATTTAAAAGACATTTAATCTCATTTAGGTAATAAGCCATCTAGTGAAGCAGTTACATGCGAGGGACACTAGGAGACCTTTCTGTTCCTTTGGGCATTGGTTGGCCCCTCAAGTGAACATACAGGCTGACAAGGTAGACTTACTCCAACAATCACATGCAACATTATTCACAATATTATGTTGTCAGTTTCAAATAAATATACTTCTTTAAAGTGTAGTGTTAGATAATGCATAGTATGATACAGACGCATTCTTCTGCATTGCTGTATTAATGATTAGAAAATATTTTCTTTTTCCTTTCCAGCCATCCCAGATTTTCACATCTCTAGAGCAGTTTGTGAGGAAACCATTTGGTGCAAAAAGTATTCTGAACACAGATAGATATGGTAAGTGATTTGACTGAATTGATATTAGATCATAGACCTATCCATTGATCCAAGCAAAAACACTTAGGCAAATTGGCCTACATATGACATTGGTTTTGAGCAATGGGGTTTATAGTGTAATTCGACACACTCAATTAAAAAAAGCCACCATTTTTCATAAAAAGTGTAATCTTTGATAACTCAAATACTAGTGGTTAGATTTGGTTCAGATTTTATATGTTATTTTTGATTTGAACCTAAATAATCTTTAATCTTTGATAACTCAAATACTACTGGTCAGATTTGGTTCAAATTTTATATCTAATTTTTTATTTGAACCTAAATTTTATCATTTCTGAGTAGGAGTTTCCGATACCTACATGTTTATGGGTCCCCTACAGGGAACTAACGTCAATTTCAATCGAGGTCTTTTGGTCAAATCCAGGCTTGGCTGAAAGAGTAATTAGCATTTATGCTTTCTTATGATAATTTGGCTAGTGAGTGGCTATTTTGAAAATTGTGACCAAGGCTGTTCAATGGGATTTGCTACTTTTTGGTGTTGCTGTTATCTTGTTTGATGTAATAGCCTTTTGACTGCCAAGTTTTTGGAAACTGTTTGTGGGGACATTGCTCAGGAAAGCTGCTTGCTTTTTCTTTCCTATGAATAATTTGAATAATCATATATTACATATTGAAATCTGCTAATCATTGAGTTGCCATTTTTCTTTTTTCTAATTAGCATTCCATTTGAAATTCTGATATTGATTTGTCCTAAGCTTCTTAGTTCAGGGACCTATATAAGATAACAACAAGGTTTTAAAAAACATATTTACAATTTATACATAGAACATCATTAAATACACTTGAGCATAATAAACATTTAAAAATATACAAAAATTGACTGATGCTGTTTTAGTTATTGTCTCTATCTAGCATCTTTTCTTGAAAGTACTACATTGTTCCATATAGCAAGGTTGATACAATAGGCATATATTCTCCGTCACACCTGGAGAACTAGATCATAAGGCCATATCAGCTGTTTGATGGTCAGTAATTAGTTGGCTTTAAAATAATGTAAACCCAGAGTCATCCTTTATGTTCTGCTCGGAACCTTTGTCTTGGTTGTCCAACTTCTCTGATTTTTTTGGCAATGTCAATGCAGCAGAAACAGCATATCTGGCCTCTCTAGCCTGGAAACAAAATTATTTGGTTTAATGTTGTTGTCAATATAGCAAAGGTTTTATGTTTGTCATTTTATTTGTCAAATGGTATTCTTTATTATTCAACAAATACATGACATGTTTGCCATTCATTGATATCATGGTTTTCACTACATTTTTAGGAATATTCTAAGTTGCAACATGACACTTACTCTCTTTTCAATTCTATGCAGAGCTCTTTGAAGGAGGGAACGTTTGTCTTTTTCTTGTTGAGATTGTGAAAACTTTGGGTCATAAAGTGGAGACATCATCAGGATAGTTTCCATTGTGCAGTCAGCCTTTGTATAAAAGCCGTTTTTGCCAAATTTTGAAAAGTCTATCTCTGGCCATTCATATACATGTATCTCATTCAGATCTATCACCATTGTGACCTCTTCTACTTTCTCCTCATCTTCAGCATCATTGAATGGAACAATACGATTACTTCTCCTCCATACCTGTCTCGTTTCTTTGGATTTCCAAATAGCAGTCTTGCTCATGGCACTTCTAATCCTATGACTTCTAGTTGGTTGTTTTGCCATATTCAAGTATTTGCGTAATTCGTGTCTTTGCAGATCAACTTACAAGAATTTATCTATCAGTTTTGGTCTTGCAATCTTTTTGTTTGTGCTTACCATAGAAACAATAATTCTGTTACCAAGTAATTCTTATTGTGTTGTATGACATCACATGTCTTGTTGCTATTAAGGATAAAGCCTATAGAAACCACTGCATTAATTGCTATGTGACATCACAATAACATTTTTAGAGCCTTATTGTAAATTCATTTAATACATTTATGACATCACAGTAGAATAAGATTATTTAGTTGTGATGTCATATTTCAGTTTCATTCATAGAAGTGAGTGTCATGGTAACATTTATAGTTTTAGGTTTGTTTTATTTTATGTGTATCCCTTCAAATTTAGATTTTTTCTAAATTTTCATTTTTGCAATAAAACAATCTGTAATGTGTGGTTTATTGTCCACATCAGCCTTTTTGGGATTAGGATCTCTACTTGAGTAGAAATTCTGAATGTGGGAATATTTGAAAAAAATATAATCTATGATAACTCAAATACTATTTCAGTTCAAATCTCATATGCTGATACCTGAGGGGCAAAGAAGCTATATATTTTCAAGATGGCTACTGAATTCAAAATGGCTGCCATTTTCATAAAAAATGTTATTTTTCATAACTCATATACCAGATAACAGATTTAGTTCAAGAAGGAATTTTCAAGATGCCTGCTGAATTCCAAATGATTGCCACTGTCTAGGAAAAATATTTTTTAAGGCGCAAATACTGGTATAATTTTTTGTTCACAATTTTATAGGCGAATGCCTCATGGTTGTAGGACCCTCTTCCCAAAAAGAATTTATGACATAAAACCATGTCACACCATGGGTGTAGATTTTGCCAAAAGGAGATATTTAATAATGTTATCATGTTATTTTTTATTATAAATTAGCAACTGTAACAATGAAATATTATTTTTGTAATATTTTGGATTACCCCTAAATCTGCCTCTAATCAATTACCAAATTTCTGTTTCAGCTGAAGAAGAGGAAGGTCCCCCACTCTCCACAATGGAGGTGAAAAATCTCACAATTCTCACTGAGTTGCCATTTGTGTTGCCATTCCAGGAGCGAGTTAAGGTTTGTTTAAGCTATTATACAAAAATATTGCCTTATACATAGGGAGGGAATGTTCAATGTGCATTTCTGACCAGGGAATGATCTTTTTATTACATGATCACTATGCTATTCAATGCATAATAAAACATAAACGACATTCTATTAAAAAATGAAATAAATATAAAAAATAGAATTGAAAATATTATATGAGCATAATTCATGGGGATTATCAGCTGATTCGAACATGACTGTATTCACGCCTTCTAATAAACTGAACAAAGTCAATATTTCAACAGGGTTATTTTCGCGAACAATACCCCTGGTAATATGAGTAATGTGTGACGTCATAACAGCGGCCCCTAGTAATGGCGGACCATAATGAATATTTAAAACAGTTTTCATCGAATCCTAATATAGACCCCAAAGCAGGTGTAATATCGTTGAATACACCCCTTAGTGGTAGGCACAAAGGCTTTGGTTGTGCGGGGTGCAGAAAGCGTTTGTGTCTAGCCCTGCAGGGTGTATTCGACAATATTACCCCTACTCTTCGGTCTATATTTTTTAAATATGTAATACAATTCTCTAAGATATTTGTCATGCATAACATTGTACAACAACACATGTATGCTATATATTTAATTGCTAGATATTCCACAAGCTGATTCAGCGAGAAAAGACAGAACACCAAGACGACAGAGGAGGCTTTATGTTGGGTCCCGCAATTAGTGTCATGATTAGACGCAACTATATTTATGAAGATGCCTTTGATAAACTTTCCCCTGAAAATGGTAAGTTATTATTATGGTATGCTAAATGTTGGTCAAGCTGATCTTAAAATACCAGTAGAAATGAGATTTTCCATAGTCCCGTTTTATTACATTTTGCTTGTTGCAAAAATATACGATTGACAGAATTGAAGAATTCATAGTCCTACAACTCATTCCAGAACCCAACATGAAACTGCGAATGCGGGTCCAGTTGGTGAATGCAGCGGGTCTTGATGAAGCTGGAATAGATGGCGGTGGCATCTTCAGAGAATTCCTCAGTGTACTCCTTAAAACTGGTTTTGATCCAAATCGAGGATTCTTTAAGTCTACAAGTGATAAACTGCTGTATCCCAACTGTCAGGCCCATCTATTGGTGGATAACTACACTAAACATTTCTACTTTCTTGGTAGAATGCTGGGAAAGGTGCAAACAATTTTTAATTATAATTACAAAATAATATAAATATTATGCAATTGTCTAATTGGAATAATCTCAATTAATGTGAACTTCACAAGTATTTTTATTGATTTGTGAATTTTCTTTTATCAATAACAACTTTTGTAATTTCAGGCTTTGTATGAAAATCTGATGGTTGAGTTACCATTTGCAAGTTTCTTTTTGTCAAAGATCTTAAGTCGACATGATAATATAGACATTGATAATCTGGCATCACTCGACCCTGACCTCTACAAGTAAGTCTTTGTTCTTTTTCTGACCTAAAAATATTGGGCTTCTTCAATTCATCATAAGGCATTTGTTTTTAACAGTCTAGTTATCCCACAAATGGTAAATCTTGTAAATTAATGTTCATCAAGTTTTTAGAAAAAAAATCTCTTGATGAAAAAAAAATCAAGTTTTTAGACTCTACCAACATAAAATGTGGATAATCCTTTGATCAAGCTGCGAATCTAAGTAAGAGGTTTTAAGTATTAAAAAACCTTTTCATACTAGATTTTTAATTTTCTATATTTGCAGGAATTTGCTGTTTGTCAGAAACTACGATGGAGATGTGAGTGAGCTAGGTTTAGATTTCACTGTGGGTAATGATGCATTGGGTGAGATGGAAATAGAAGAACTGAAGCCAGGTGGTCGTGACATTGCAGTTACCAAGGATAACAGGATTGAGTACATCCATCTCATGGCTCACTACAGACTGAACAAACAGGTAGGAAACAGTTTTGATGTCACTACCAACAAGTGGTGACATATTGTTATGCCACTATTTTGTGAGTGGCATTCCAAATATTCATCAGCATTTGGCTTCTTTAACACTTTTCACTGTAACCCTAATCGTTTTCTAAATTGAAATTATTTTGAACAAGTAAAAACTTGATGTACAGTATAGACAATCTGTACATGTTACATTAAAATGACATAACCGGTATAAGAAATGGCTTATCTAGTAAGAAATGACATACTTTCATGCTTCAGCATTTACATAAGCCTTGTTTTTAAGGAGATTCATATGTACTGTTGGTATAGAGTAACAGTTGGAAATGACTGAATTCCGTTTTATGTTCCAGATTAGACCCCACTGCTATGCATTCAGACAGGGACTGGCTGATGTTGTCAACCTGGAGTGGCTGAGAATGTTTGACCAGCATGAACTTCAAGTGCTGACATCTGGTGCTCAAGTGCCTGTTGATCTGGAAGATCTCAAAAATCATACAAATTATTCAGGTATGTACTTATCTGTATTACATACCTAGCGAAGCATTTGTATGGAAGTCAATGGGAAAGTTAGCGAGCTATATCCACCGATATTGCCCGATTACCCCGATATAGCCCGCTTACCTCGTTTTGATATTAGATTTCTTTAATAACCATGATAATATCATGACGTCACGTCATTGATACAAAGTAACCATGGGAACAAAGGCATGTAATACATCAGTTATGTCACTATGACGTGAAATATGCCTTCGTTCTTGCCCAAATATAGAGCCTCCCAAGGTCGGCCTATATTAGGAGAACTCAGGCATATTTCACGTCATAGTGACATAACCTCTAAGTGTTGTCCCGAACCTATAGATATCATGCTTCATTTATTCAAGTACTATAATAACTTTTTATGATTTGATGAATACAATACAAAATGCTACTGCTTTAGCATGAAAACACAAAAATTTAGTCATGTTTCAAGTCTCTCGATCCCCCTCTACTTCACCATCTTGTGAGGGTCTGTAGTTGGGGGTGGGTCCCAAAGGCCTGTATGTAGCTTGACTAACAAAGATTTTATTTTCCAGGTGGATACACATCTGACCATCCAGTTATCAAAGCTTTCTGGCAGACAGTTGCAGAATTCTCAGATAATCAGAAGCGTTACTTGCTAAAGTTTGTCACCAGTTGCTCTCGGCCGCCATTGTTAGGATTCAAGGTGAGGAAAATAAACATGCAGATTTAAATGTTTTTAAAGTAACCTTGAATCATATTTGTCTGTACGCAGGATCTAATTCTGTATTTTCATTAACCAGTATCTTGAATGATAGGTCTTCTCTACAATGTTTAAGGATCTTTTAGGGAGATCATAGTCTCTTACTATTTCATATTCATTTGAGACTGTACCTTATAAAAAACCAATAGGATTTTCTCAAGCTTATAACTGAGCTGTCTTATGCATAAGTTCAAATCTGAACAGTCTTTCAGGTTTGTTTGCAGCACTATTAAGTTTATTGTTTTTTGTTGCAGGATCTATTCCCTGTGTTCTGTATCCACTGTGCCGGAAATGAGGCAGACAGATTACCAACCGCCAGTACATGTATGAACTTACTCAAGCTCCCTGAGTTCAAAGATGCTCAGACATTGAAGACCAAACTACTCTATGCAATAGAATCACATGCAGGATTTGAACTAAGTTAATGCTCAAATGAACTGCCATATTTTCCCTTGTATGTTTCAGTTTGAAGACGATACAATGATATCATTTGAGCAATATAGTGATATAGTCAATATATATCAACATTGTTGATAATGTTGATAGTCTTGTTGCAGATGAGGATTGGTTGTGTAAATACTAAATATGATACTAAACACCATGAATGTTTCTTATAAAATTGAAACTCTTGGGTAAAGTCAATGGATCAGGTTCTAATAAGAAAATCAGAAATTATTGTGCAATTTTTATGTCTGGCATTTGATTTTTTAAAAACAATTCTAAAATTGAAATCCACTAGAAATTTTTTTAACAAAAATGCCATTTTGATTTCCATAAGCTTTAAGGGGAGGGTCTAATTCTTGAACAAATCACCTTGTAGCTTTGTTTTCATTAGCAGACTTGACTTTCTCTAGAGCATGCTTGATTTTGTTTTAGCCAGTGACTTTACATCATATTTTTATATCACTTTTCCCAGGTCTATAATCTTCTGCTTATATATATAAGGGAGAATGTGGCTTTGTTGTTCAAAGGCAGACAGGTGTAATTGTTGTATGAGAACGCATATGTGTATTTTGTACAGGACATTAAAACAAATGTGAAAACCAATTGAGAAATAAAACTTTATTCAAGCAATAAGCTTTAGCTGCAGGTTGACACAGATTACATGTAACTGTACAAAGGATATTCTTAAATATTTATGAATTAATAAAACCATTATATTATTAAGCATTATTTTGTCTGAATAAATATCATGATTACTTATTAAGTAATAATAATTTAATGGCTGGTGTTTTGAAAATAGTCCTATCACAGACAAGTACATCAATATTTGGCAATACACATACATACAAGAACAGTAATAAATCTAGTATTGTCATCAAGTATAACTTTAATATAAAATAGGGCCACTTTCCTCAAGGTCCTACAGTTTTGCATGTAACCCAATTCTCATCCACAAATATAAACCAGTACGTTTTACGAGGACTTTTATAAGTCCAATCAATGTCGCTCAATTCACAGTCCTATCACAGACAAGCACATCAATATTTGGCACTACTTGTATAAAGACGAATATATTGAGATATGAGAAAAGTAGGAAATAAAGCTTTGTCTTTAAGTAAAATAGGTTCACTTTCCTATAGTGTTAAATGTAAACCAATTCCACACCAATACTATCAGTACATTTTACGAGGACTATAGAAGTTTCTGTCATTCCAGTAGGCCTTTATGTATCAATTTAAAGCAAGCTAAGGTATGTGATATACCAAGGTTCTAACACATGTCTCCCTTGCTATGACAAACATTGCTTTTAGCAGGAATAACTGTCCCCTTCACGGTTGTCCTATGCAGGACTCTGAGTCCTACTTCACTTACTGGAAACTGAGTCTGTTCACTAGCCTCATGTCCCAAAGCTAAGTTGTCGGATATAATAAAGTCTCCAGGCTCCCACTGAAATAAAAGGTTATAGTTATTATAAAATGTGATAGAATGATTTAATAATTTCTTTCAAATATCCAAGATGTAATATCAAATCATCTCAGTCAAAGTCTTCAGATTTAATAAGGTGAAATACAAAGTAAAATAAAATGATAAACATCAAGAGAGAAATGTAAATGATTGTGTCCAAGAAGATGTTCATCTGTTCATGTTGATAGACCGTACTCAGTACATATTTGAATCATATGTGGAAAATTAGTGGAAAAGTCCATAGATTTGCATGTTAATCATGTTTATGTGTGAGTGGTATGAAACTTACCTTGCGTGAATGAGGTTAAACTCACCTTGTGTGAATGGTGTTAAACTCACCTTGTGTGAATGGTATTAAACTCACCCTGTGTGACGGTGTTAAATTCAACTTGTGTCAACAGTATCAAACTCACCTTGCTTGAATGGTGTTAAACTCGCCTTGTGTGAATGGTGTTTAACTCACCTTGTGTGAGATGGTGTTAAACTTACCTTGTGTGAATGGTGTTTAACATAATGTCTGAGATGGTGTTAAATTACCTTATGTGAATGGTGTAAAACTCACCTTGTGTGAATTGTGTTAAACTCACTTTGCGGAATAGTGTTAAACTCCCCTTGTGTGAATGGTGTAAAACTCACCTTGCGGAATAGTGTTAAACTCCCCTTGTGTGAATGGTGTTAAACTCACCTTGCGTGAATGATGTTAAACTCACCTTGTGTGAATGGTGTTAAACTCACCTTGTGTGAATGGTATTAAACTCAACCTGTGTGATGCTGTTAAATTCAACTTGTGTCAACAGTATCAAACTCACCTTGCTTGAATGGTGTTAAAATCACCTTGTGTGAATGGTGTTAAACTCGCCTTGTGTGAATGGTGTTAAACTCACCTTGTGTGAATGGTGTTTAACTCACCTTGTGTGAATGGTGTTAAATTACCTTGTGTGAATGGTGTATAACTCACCTGGCATAATAATGTTAAACTCACCTTGTGAGAATACTGTGTTTCTGGTTTGTTGCAAATTCCTTCTTTATTTCCTTCAGAATCTCTAAGGTCTCTTGAAAGTTTGTAATCTTTTGTTTTTCTGTACCATAACCTTGTGTGAATGATGTTAAACTCACCTTGCGGAATAGTGTTAAACTCCCCTTGTGTGAATGGTGTTAAACTCACCTTGTGTGAATGGTGTTTAACTCACCTTGTGTGAATGGTATAAAACTCACCTTGTGTGAATGGTGTAAAACTCACCTTGTGTGAATGGTGTTAAACTCACCTTGCGGAATAATGTTAAACTCACCTTGTGTGAATACTGTAAGTGTTTCTGGTTTGTTGCAAATTCCTTCTTTATTTCCTTCAGAATCTCTAAGGTCTCTTGAAAGTTTGTAATCTTTTGTTTTTCTGTACCATAATCCCAAATAAACGCATCAGTCATTCCCAAATGGACACACATTGTCTACAAAATAAGTTATTCATTGAGGAATTGAAAAGTGATGATGATAGATATAAGTACATATATTGACCAGCCCATATAGTTTCTGTTAGGAGTGGTTAGTTTAGTCTAGGTAACTTTGATGGTTATTTTGATATAAATTGAACACATGCCCATTTACGATTAAACACATACCATAATGAGGGCTTGGTTAAATATGACAGGAACACTGTACAACAATCAATATGGTAAAGATTACTAACAGTATTAAGGCTACAATAATTGAATCTGACGTTTCGGTTTGGAGATGTACATGTAAGTGGAGTGGATGAAGCTTTATATTCCCACTTCCTCAAAGGGCTAATTATGTACATAAAACACATATTTCTGGAACAGTACAATACAGTAGAATCACAAACATTTTCCATAAATGACTGATGAACCATAATTTTTGCACAGTTTGCAGTGGACTCAGAGAAGTGCTTAATATTATATTTGTTTCCCGCAAGCTTAGTTCACACCAACGGCACTTTGATAGCGCTTTAAAGCAGATATGCATGCCGCTTTAAAGCACTATCAAAGCGCTGTTTGTGTGAACTTAGCTTTAGCTCATATAAGAATGTACTATTTTTACCAGTTCTCCAGTTGATGGGTGTGAATATACCAGGGGGTGATACAATTGCCCTCTCCTGTCGCTGACCATCCACAGTCTGTCCCATCTTGCAAACTGTTCTTTGGACAGATTTTTCAAAAGCTCATTAAGGGGAATGAACACTGAAAATAAAAAATACAAGGCATATAACATACTTTAGGCTTTAGGCCAATATAAAGCTGGCAACACAACTGCAGTAACCTTGCAATACTGAGTGAGATGGGCAGACTACACAGGGAGATATGCTGAGTACTAAAATAGTACTCATGGCATTTTAGCACTAATTGAGTACTCATTTCAGTAAATATTTGTACTAAATGAGCACTCATGACATGAGTACTGATTTATTGCATGTTTTAGTACTAAATGAGTACTCATGTGATGAGTGATAAAATAGCGCTAATTTCATTGATTTTTCATTACTCAATGAGCGCTCATGATATGATCACTAATTAATTGCATGTTTTAGTACTAAATGAGTACTGATATGATGAGTGATAAAATAGCGCTAATTCCATTGATTTTTCATTACTCAATGAGCGCTCATATTATGAGTACTAATATATTGCTCATGTTTCACGAGTGATAGAATAGTACTCAAAGATTAAAATGTTGATAGATTTTTTTTAATTGATGAAGTAAAATATAGGATACCTAATAAATTACATTTTGATTATTCGAAAACATGGATAAATATATCATGAAGCTTTTCCAAAAATTCTCATTCCTGTAGCTATTTCATGTAATGGGTTGAAGCTAGGAAACAAAATGACAGACACCATACTGTTCCATTCTTGAGAAAAGTGCATATATATACACATAGATTTGTTACTTGGAACAAGTGAAAGATGAGGTAAGTTGTATTAAATGAGAAGTTACTAAAATTACATGGTAAGTTAGTTCTATGTGTGTTACAATTATAAGCTGATATACACTGGTGATCCACTCGATTACGCTGGTTACCAAAACGAACCGTTTTGGTAACAAAATGTCGGAACGCCGAAGGCACAATTTTTCTTTTTCCCTTATTTCACGCGTTGTAGGCAGAATCCCCACGACGTTTTTTCTCACAACGTGCATCAGTATCATATGTTTTAGAAAATGTACATGTTTGCGATAAAATAGCTCAGAGGACAACAGAATCGTCGATTTACTTCCTCACTTAAGTTACATAAACGGTTTTTCGAAAAACAGTTAAGATCTGCACTTTTAACCCAAACCGTTCATGTAACTTAAGTGAGGAAGTAAATCGACGATTCTGTTGTCTTCTGAACTATTTGTTCGCAAATATGTACACTTTCTTAAACATATGATACTGATACACGTTTGTGTTAAAAAATATCGTGGGAATAATCCCTACAACGTGTAAAATAAGGAAACGGGAAAATTGTACCTTCCGGATGTTCCGACATTTTGTTACCAAAACGAAACGTTTTGGTAACCAGCGTAATCGAGTGGATCACCAGTGATATAGGAGTAAGTCCAAATAACAAAATTGAAGGTAGCATGTGAATTGTATCCCACCTAGAATGATACCTACTGAGTGCTTATTATTTAGTAAATGAACAATATTTTAGTGCTAAATGAGCAATTTTTTAGTACTAAAATAGCACTCAATTAGTACTAAATCATTACTTAAAATGTTGTTACTAAAAGGGTACTAAAATAAACCCTTATTTTTCACAAAATAGTAAAATAGCACTCAAGTAGTAATAAATTAGCACACTGGCAAAAGTGCACTCATGAGTACTCATGGCACGAGTGCTAATTTAGTACTAATTTTGTACTAATTTAGTACTCGGCATATCTCCCTGTGTTCTTCTTTGCATTCTTTTCTATAGAACATCAGTGCACTCATTGTGCAAAAGTGAAAGATGTACACACTGTGGGGAAGGAGTGATTCAAATTTGAAATATAACATGTGACTCAATTGAGGAATGCAGAAAAATTCCGAACATGCACCCTGACCTTAATAAAATTTTGAATTCTATAAAGTTGGGAGCAGTACTGTATATGTAGTAGAATTTGTTTTCTATCGCTCTTTAGCCTACATGATGCAACGTATATACTCATTACTCATCTACTGAACACAGGGCTCCAATTTTATTGAAGGACACTGATATCAAAGGAAAACCAACAAATGACAGGATCACGAAGCACTGTAATGGAGAAACTAAGTCAATGCATTATAAGAGAGTACAGTGTATATACACTGTATCAGTAACAGATACACAGTTTCTCCAATAGATGACACTTCGGCTTCCTGTACAATAAACTTACCTGTGTCACCAGACTTTGGTATGGATACCATATGATAAAGAGAATATGCAAAGGGAGCTTCTTGAAAACTGCCATCTATATGCCATCCAGTGCGTCCTACATTAGTACAACCTTCCGCTTCATTGTTTGACACCCTGAACACATCAGGATGTGGTGACTTGTGATGCTTGTAAAATGTTGATTCAAGCTCACCGAACCACTTGCTTATTTCAACATGTCGTTGTCCACTAACAGTGCCTTGATCTTTAAAAATTAGTAGTCTGTATTTTGTCACATCATTTTTTATTTTTTCAATAATTTCGTCTGACACTTCATTTTTCAAATCTATGCCTTTCACCTCGGCACCTAACTTACATGGTTTAATGGAGTAAGAACTCATGTTCCTTATAATGGACAAAACATTGAATATCAATGCTTGATTGACGTAGAATTTAGAATTTACCAGAAATTTCATCAAAAATGAAATGTAAATTTTGCCGGAAGTGCTATTTAGTTTCGTCCAGGACATGTAAACAAAGATGACGTCATATCTCGAAAATTCTACAAATGTCTGGAACAAACTATTTTTAGTAGGCCTGGAAAATGCTAGAAGAGAAGTCTCTAGAAATGTCTGGAATATATTTCTACAATTATATATATACCCAGGTATCAGACGTCCATTCAAATCACAAGAAGAAACACGACGAACAAGATCTAAAGGAGAAAACAAGAAGTGAAGTGACTTGAGAAGATTTGCATTGGAGATTGGAATTGGAAAATAAGACAAAATTGGAATCTAGAACCACTATTGAAAGTAATAAAATATACAGCAAAAAACAAGGTATGTAATCCTTCATTGATTATTTCTTTTTCTCTAGAACAATCAAAAAGTCATCTTTTAAACATGAGCCACTAAATAGGTGGGGTGGGGGATCAAGAATGTAAAAAGTTTTTCAAAGAGGCTAAGCTACTATTAGTATGTACATGTAATTTAGTTGGTACAATATGTTTATTCCAGATGCATGTATGCTAAGATTGATAATGATTAGTTAAAGGTTAACTTAACTTATTTTATAGTTTATACTTGGCAATGTAGAGCTTCAGTGACATCTACATGTACAATACATCTACATGTACATTGTAGGTACATGTATCAAATAATCTTTATCACCTTTATCAGTTGGAGTTATTTTATGCTAGACAAGATATTGTTTCATCATATATAGTTTATCAATCGACATAAAGCAATTTTTGCTAATGGTTTATTGATTTTTATTTTCAGAAATACAGTATGTCTGGCAAAGCACCTGTTATCGGTATTGACCTGGGGACGACCTTCTCTTGTGTAGGTGTCTTCCAGCATGGGAAAGTGGAGATTATAGCCAATGATCAGGGAAACCGAACAACACCAAGCTATGTTGCGTTTAATGACTCTGAAAGACTCATTGGAGATGCCGCCAAGAACCAAGTAGCGATGAACCCTCGAAACACAGTCTTCGATGCCAAACGTTTGATTGGTCGAAAGTTTGGAGATTCTGTGGTACAGTCTGATATGAAACAATGGCCGTTTAAAGTTACAAACGATGGGGGTAAACCTAAAATTGAGGTGGACTATAAAAATGAACTTAAAAAATTTACCCCTGAGGAAATCAGTTCAATGGTTTTGACAAAAATGAAGGAAACCGCAGAAGCATACTTGGGTCAAAAGGTCACTGAAGCAGTAATCACTGTCCCTGCTTATTTCAATGACTCTCAGAGACAGGCTACTAAGGATGCTGGCCACATTGCAGGGCTGAACGTCAAGCGTATTGTAAACGAGCCAACTGCTGCAGCCCTTGCATATGGACTTGATAAAAATATGCGGGGAGAAAAGAATGTACTGATATTCGATCTTGGTGGTGGCACTTTTGATGTGTCAATCTTAACTATCGATGAGGGTTCAATGTTTGAAGTTCGAGCCACTGCAGGTGATACACATCTTGGTGGGGAAGACTTTGATATGAGAATGGTAAACCACTTTGTACAAGAATTCAAACGCAAAAACAAGAAGGACATTTCCAACAACCCAAGGGCTATGAGACGTCTCCGAACAGCATGTGAGAGGGCAAAGCGCACATTGTCAAGTAGTTCACAGGCAAGCATTGAAATAGACTCCCTATTTGAAGGCATCGACTTCTATACTTCAATCACAAGAGCAAGGTTTGAAGAACTCTGTGCTGATCTATTCCGTCAAACCTTAGAACCAGTTGAAAAAGCATTACAGGACGCCAAACTTGATAAATCACGTATTGATGATGTCGTATTGGTTGGTGGCTCTACAAGAGTGCCAAAAATACAGAAATTATTGCAAGATTTCATGGGTGGGAAAGAACTCAATAAATCTATCAATCCAGATGAAGCAGTTGCATACGGTGCTGCAATCCAGGCAGCCATCTTATCTGGGGTGAAGGATGAGAAAGTTCAGGATCTCTTGTTGGTTGACGTTGCACCACTCTCCATGGGAATCGAAACCGCTGGTGGTGTCATGACAAAAATAATTGAAAGAAACACTCGCATCCCAACAAAGAATGCTCAAACTTTTACCACATATTCCGACAACCAGCCAGGAGTTAGTATCCAAGTGTTTGAGGGAGAGCGTGCAATGACGAAGGACAACAATCTTCTTGGACAATTTGAACTGTCTGGTATACCTCCAGCTCCGAGGGGTGTTCCAAAAATAGAAGTCACATTTGACATTGACGCCAATGGAATTCTCCATGTAACAGCCAAAGATGAAAGCACAGGTAAATCAAACAATATCCGTATCACAAACGACAAAGGCAGGCTCTCCAAAGAGGACATTGAAAAAATGGTTAATGATGCCAAAAAATATGAAAATGAGGACAATAAACAACGAGAGCGCGTAGCGGCAAGAAACAACTTGGAGGGTATGGCTTTCAACTATAAAACTGCTGCAACTGAAAATGAGGCCAAAATATCAGCTGATAATAAAGACATTGTATTGAATAAGTGTAAAGACATACTTTCTTGGATAGACAACAACAGTCTGGCAGAGAAAGAAGAATATGATGATAAATTAGAAGATCTCACTAAAACATGTTCTCCTGTAATGGCCAAGTTACATGGAGGAGCACCTAACCATGGTCAACAGGGAGGATCTTCTCATGCTGGCGGGCCAACTGTTGAAGAAGTTGATTAATCAAACAATATTGACTGAATGTGAATTGATATTGTTATTAGACTATTCATTTTTAAGTATCCGTCAAAATATGGATATAGTCCAATTAAACATAGCATAGCTAGATATACTCCATATCACATTTATTGTTTAATATTCATGTAAAATATTTATCCTGTATATTATTTAAAACAGATTATTGTATCATATAGAGATGTAGATTGTAATAATAAAAATTATGTAGGCTATGATAGGAAATTATTTTATGTTTATAGTACAGTCTTTATAAGGATCAATGCCCAGACCCAGATTTGAGGACTCATTAATTAATTATTCAGAATGAAATGTTATTAAGCTAAGCCACTGATTTAGAAATTCATTTTATGATAGATGATGGGGAAATTACCAAATTCTTTAGAATTGAAGAGTTAGCCTTTGATTGTTTCAGGATTTTGTCACCCCTTTAATATCTCAACGACTACGTATCCTTTCAAGACATAAATCATTCATTTTTGTGTTAATGACTTTGTATTTAGTGCACAAATGAAACATGCTGAAGCTTTTTTGACAAGTTTTAGAGAATCAGAAATAGCTAGCAGCTTTTCCATAGATTGGCTCAATTTCAGAATCTTGAAGTTCCATTATTGCTTCTCATGCCCATTTTCTTATCAAAGCAGCAACTCAGCAAGAGATGTGCAACTAACTTTCTAAAAATTGTCGCAGTTTTACAATATTTGTTGCATACAACATTGCATGTCATTCGCATGCCTATTTTCCCCAGTTCTGACTTTTAAAAGTACAACAATTAGTGCATGGACCAGTGTCAAAATATATTTAAATTTTTAAATTTGGATATTTCATCAAGACTTGCATCTATTTTTTATTATCTACAAAGAATCCCCCAAGATTAACATTATTTCAGCTGATATTCCTCTTGAAACATGGTGGATCATAAAAATATAAAAAGTGGATTTCCCCTTTTTGAAGCTTTGATCTGAATTTACACTTCTTAATGCTGAAATTGATAGTTTATCCATACATTTAAAGGTAGGCATGTGCCTTGATAGCTCAGAAAAAGAAATTTTCCTATTTTCTCTCTACAGGCCTTGTTGCCCCTTTAGGGAATAAAGACCAAGATACTATTTATGGCACAATATATGACTTTATGATTTTTTCTGATTATTGTTAGACCAAAATTGCAGAGCGATTGAGGGTCTCTGGCAATGGGCAGAATAAAATCTAAGGTATATTTGCAATAAATCATAGGTTTATCAAGGTCTTTGTTACGATTCTAATAAGATAATCAGACCAGAAAAACAACTTTCCATTCATGAAATCTAGGGTCATAGACCAGTAAATAGTTCTAGTAATTGAGATGTCATATATCATTATAGAATAAGCAAAAAATTCTTGACATTTCTACATCAGTGACAAAATATACGGGTATACTTAAGCTGTTTGAAGCAAAACTTGTGATGTAGGTTTTTAAATATTTATTTAAGGAATATGATGAAGTATTTCATGTTTAATTTCATGTGCATGCTCTTGGCAAGACTTTAACTTTCTTATTATGTGGAAATAACCAACATTTTCCAACCGGTCAATTATGTGGGTGGAATTACCTAGAAAAACTCGAGCTCTGCTCAAAGATCTAATTAGAAAGTTAAAAGTCTTGGCAAGAGCATGCACATGAATTTAAACATGAAATACTTCAACATATTCCTTTGATAAATCTTTTAAAACCAACATCACAATTTTTGCTTCAGACATGACAAGTAATATATGGAGGACTTCCCACTATCCGTGGGCATTACACATTTATATTTCATTTTTGTACTTAAGTAGTTTGTAGTTAGTTGTATGCTTTGTGTATGACCCCTGATGGGGATTGAAATACAATAAAGCTAATAAATTTGAATTTGAAATTTGAATTTGACAACGTACAGCTAAAGTGTACAATCATATATTTTGTCACTGTACATTCTCGATGGTTAGGCGTGATCTTTTAAATAACTTAATCAGATACCTAAATTCTTACTTCAGATAAGGCGAACTTCCTTTTTGAAAATATGGTTTCCAACATTTCTTTGTTGTCACCTAATGAAAGAAAACAGGATTAAAGAAGTATGAAATCTTTGAAAAACCATTGTTATAATTCATAACGGATAAATATTTATTCCTCCTAAATAAAATTACAAGCAATGAATGTATAAACATCTGGATATTCATCTTCACTATAATAGCTACTGCAATCGTTTTACCTGGAACCGCTGGTTATATACTTTATATAACATATAAACAACACACCACCCAATATTTCAGAGCATTATGATTATACATAAGCCTTTAATAATTTGTTTTACACAGGGCATTGACAAATGACGTTAACTTATGGTCTAAAATTTGAATTATATTGGTACGGTAGCACTTTTAAAAGTTTCAAAAGTTTGAGTTCAAAATGAATCTGAAACCATTAAAAATTTTGCCTCACTTGGCAATATTGTAAAAACATGTGCTTAAATAATTGTACTTATGCATACATAATTTCAGGGAAGGGATAAAGTCATTTGTCGATTACTTTAACACAAAAACAAATATCGTGACTCAGACAATTAATAACCTTTACTCAATTTGGTGTTGGAATACTACCTCACATGTAATTGTATGTACATGTACAACAATACAATGTTCTACATATTAACATAATTATTCATAAATAAATTACATTCACAACTTATTAATTATCAAACAATTAACAAATATAGCAAATTGAAATACATTCTTCTGTAGTGGTTATATTTTAAATGTATGTACATGTATGCATAAATGAAACTGGTAGCTAAAAGTGGCTCAATCTTTGAATAACTCCCGAAACCAAAAATTGAGGCTATCTGTAACTTATGGACTCAGTTACCTCCCCAGGACCTTTTTTCCAAGGGGTGCTAAATCAGGGTTCAAAACTCACAACTGCCAATTGTGACCAGTTTCCACTTGGCAATGGACAATGTGGCAATACGTTTTCAAAATGCTAAATTTAATAGAGAAATGTTTATAGAAAAGAAAATTTGTACCATTATCTATGAAGTCACAGATAGGTATGAAATTTCAGCTTGGGGTATTTCATGAACACAGTCAGAGATCGAACCACTTAAAATTTTCTAAATAATATGGCACAATTACTCTTTTACGAAAATGAAAAATGTGAACCAAAATATAAACATTTAGAAAAAAACTAATATAAAATTACAAAATACAACTTATTTTTCTAAGCAATAAATACATTTGTTTGTATACAATGATGGACTGAAGAAATATGTACAGCCTCTATTAAGTACTAGGGGTGGCCATGAATAACACATTGGTAGATCTATGCTTCACGCTTAATCAGATTATTGAATATCAAGTACATGTGCTGCATTTCTTTACAACTTCAATAAATAACTTATTTAACAAAAACGTCTAGCACAGTAGGCCTATATGAGTTACTGATTCACTAGATTTGAAAATAAGTTTTTTAGGGTCAATATGCACTTATGATCAGTAGGAGTGGCAGTGTATCACTGGGAGTAAGGAATATAACTCACATTCCGATTCAGGACCAAGGAATAAGCTTTTTGTGAGTTTATCTCATGACTTTCAGATATTTCAGAGCTTTTTGACAATTGATTTTGATGTTGTGATATGTTTAGTGAAATTTTGTGTAGGGTCGATATAATGGTACAGGAAAATATACAAATTCTTTGCTTGACTTCTTGTAGAGGGTGTCCCGAAAGTATTCCCCCCTATCTAGGCAGACATGTACCAATGTCTCCATAGTATGTGTGATATATCATATTAAAGCATATCCAAAGTTACATTGATTTGCCAACTATCATGGTTCAACTCACAAATGCTAAAAAGTTACAGGCATTTTTGGTCATTATGGAAAGCATTGCTGCTGTTAACATATCCTAGGGAGACAAATCAACTTTTATTTTGGTGAAAAACTTACTTTAATTTTTTTGCCAAAAACTTTTTCCCATTTGTGAGTTGAACCATGATACATGTACTTCGAAAATCGATATAACTTTGGATGAGCTTTAAAATGTTGTATTACATACCCAGCGAAGCATTTGTATTGAAGTCAATGGAGCTGAAGGTCGGCTATATATTCCTGTAAAGCCGCCAAACCTTTTACCATGACAATCTTATGACGTCATCGGGACGTCATGTTTCATTTCTTCCTAATATCACTCGCACACAGACACGTGGCATCATTGATATAACGTAGCCATGATATAAAAGTATGTAATACAACCGTTATGTCCGTATCATTGAATATATGCCTTCGGTCTTTCGTAATATAACCCTCACAAGCTCGGGCTATATTGGTGACAGACCTCAGGCATATATTCAATGATAGGGACATAACTGCTAAATATGACACATCCTATGGAGACATTGGTATATGTCTGCCTAGGGGGAGCTCCATACTTTCGGGACACTCTGTATATGATTTTTACTTATGGTTTAATCTAAATCGAATATTTGCCAAAATGAATATATAAGAAAATTGCAAATGGTGGCAGATGTAAATTAATATTCTAAATATTATAAAATACTCAATAAAAAATGTCAAATTACAGTATTCCCTGAGAAAGAATAGCAAGCTGTACATCCTTAGTTAGTGAGTATATATACATGTAATAGTCTCTATTCATTTAAAACATATTACATGTGCATGTATTCCACAGACAAACTCTGGAAGGAATGAAGCATGTGCATCATTTTCATTATGAGTCACAGTGCCTCTCCCCATCTGCTTTAGAAATGTGCTAGCATGTCATGCACATTACATAGACTACATTGCATAGACTATACATTACATGTTGACTTCTTTGTTGTTAATGTCAATAGGTTTACACTACAATTCAAATAAGTCACAATTATCGATAATTATAAATTTAAGTCTTTCAGTTTCATATTTAAATCATTAAGATAAGAAAGAATTATCTTAACATCTCAACACCCAGTGCAAATAAGCCAAATACATTACATAAATCTTGGGAGGTTGTGAATTCTCTAATAGCACATGTTCGTAATATCACATGTTCGGAAGACATAAACCAATTTTTACATCAAGCCCCTTCCCCTTTGCTCTAAAACTATAGATAGTGGGAGGGGGTTAGGAATTTGATCCAAGAGTAGATAAGAGGAAAACTGAATCTAGTTTACTTTTAATAGCAGATCAGAACCTTTTTTATTTATCAGAACAATATTTACAATACACTGCTTATTGTTGTCCTAAGTACAACCAAACAGGATTAAAGCCTCGAGCCACATTAACTAAAAGGACAAATTGCCTAGAATACAAATACAATAGATTTTGGGGTTTAATTAGCAGCAGACAATTCTTCAGTTGTTTAACCAAACTTTCCAGTTGTTTTAAGGATGTTTACAGCTGTAACCTTGTTAAGAATACCAGCAACTGCAAGTACCACTCGTTTCCCTTTGTTTTGCCCATTGTCTGTGATTCTAATGTGACCCCCAATTTTAATGTAGGAAATGTGTTTATATTGCATTGACTACTTTGTAGCACTATTCTTTTCATATACTAGTACTATCTACATCTGAATCAACATTTTAATTCACTACCAAGTTCCTGCTCTTTTACATGTTCCGTTGATGGGGCCTCATTAGACATGGCCTTTAACTCCAGTTGGTCTAAACAGGACTGGATGTATTTCACTGTCTTTTTCCGTGCTTGTCGGATTTCATCTTGTCCATTTGATTCTACTAAATCCAATTTCAGTAAAGATCTAGTCAACATTTCTTCTAACATTTTATATTGTTTATCTTGTTTAGACCCTGTGAAGTCTTCAATCTGTGTTTGATACCCCATTGCCTCCGAGAGAACTTTCTCAATCGTCTCCATTGGGGTGAGTTTAGGTGCTGGAGAAGGGGACCTAGATCTTGGTTTCACATCCTCTGGTTTCTGAAGAAATGCACCTGACTTTGCTTCAGTAGGTTTAGCAGTTGGTTCAGCTGAGTATTGTTGTTGAGGTTGCTGAGGTCTTGACTGACGTTCAGGCTCGGGTGGATTTCCAGGTCCATGGGCTATGGGTATCTCCCAAGCTTTTTGCCCAGAATCTTTGCTTGGTTTAAACTCAGTCCTTCGCAATACAGGGCTTGCCTTTGGGCTACTATGCCGAGCTGTTTCTGAAAAACGTTGTGGGCTAGAACGATGAGGACTTCCTACAAATTGACGTGATGGATTTGAATGGTTAGTGTCCATGGGCTCAGATTGTTGTGGTCCCCAATTCTGTTGCTGAGGTGGCATTTGTTGAGGGCGTTCTTGATTATGGCCTGAACCTTCATGTACAATTGGTATCTGAACTCCATCTTGATGACCTGATGTCGCATGTGACTGAAAATATATAAAACAAAGATCAATATAAATGTATACAGTCTACAGAATAGGCAAAAATATGATCACATTCTGAAAAAAAATTAGCTTACTCAATCTATATAAAAGGTATTTAATTTCCAGCGAAATGCTATGAAGAAGTAAATATATGAATCTGCATATGTTACAAAGTAATATTTACCATCTACTCTACCCTTGATTAAATTTCCACTGATTTAAACATTTGGGTGACCATTTAGCGTATCGAAGTAATAGTAAATTCCTGCTCTAGACAGCAAATTTGAATCAACATTATACATCTCAGTGGGATAGCGTGAGTACTTTGTGAGTGTATGATACAGTGAGAGAACTGAATGAGCTTTGAGGGGGGTTCTCCCCCAAGAAAATTACAAAACAAAATTGCATTTGAAGCATTCTGGGGCATTTTAAAAACGAAATTCAGACTACTATGGACTAATAAAATGTAAATTATTGGCCATTTTTATGGGTTCGCTCCCCCCCTTCCGGTCAGGTCAAGGAAACTTTTAACTTCTGGTCAAGATTTTAATTACACTAAATTTAGGAACTTTCCAAACAGTTTCGGCCTTTTAAATCCTGTGTAATATTTTGCAATATCGTTCAGTTTACTTATGCCATGCTCAGTTTGTCCCGATTTTCTCTAAATTTAATGTTCTCAGTGGTCAAGCAGGTGACCTCACTTGACCCTGACGTCACTGATCACTGTTGACCAATCAGTGCGCAGTAGACCAGACCCATACATCGCTATCGCTCTCGTTTTATTTGAACAGATTCCAATTTGCTGCTACAATATTGCGTATACCACCAAGTACCAACCACCATACTGTATTTGGGATTGACGCACATATTTCACACAACCCCAAGCACCTGCAGAGGGTGTCAGATATGTTGTTTTACACCGTTACACCGTAAAGATTTGTTGGACCATTCTCGGATTCGATAAATAAAAGATTTTCTTATTTTCTACGACAATTTGGTTACTTTTAATTCGGGTAGGGAACTTTTTCCAATTGTGGTTAGCAATATAGTTACACAACGACAGAATCTCAAAGATAATCATGCAATAAAATAATTTTGGAATGTGTTTTTGATCCTACCACCCCTATGAAAAAAATAAAAGCGCCCGCCTGGGTCGCCTGCCCGCCTGTAGGTGCATTCATGCAGCCTCTGGGTCTCTGAGGATCGTGTTGGCCCTAATGCAAGTCCATACGACAATCCTACGCATTAGAGGCAGTGTTCACCGTCCGCCTGTACAATAGTCTACAGGTAACCGGAAAAAACTTGTTTAAGGCTGTAGTTCAGGAATATAGGCCCAATGTAAACAATGTTAAATGAATAGAATTATATCTAAACTCAACTTACGTGTCGCCTTGGGTCTGACCAAGTCGTTTTCTGTTCACGATGGTTGACAAAAAATGGCCAACCAGTTTGTGGGTCGATCAACATTTCCCAATCGGGTGGTAATGGTTCGTTATTCACTGGTGGTTGTGCTCTCTGTTGTCGCTGTTGATAATGGTGGTTATTATGGTATGACATATTTTATATCTGATGATATATAAATCCAGAAAATTCCACTAATTTCAAGAATTTCCAGGCAGTTCGAGATCTTTCGAGTAATTCCGAAAACTCAACAACCAATGAAATCATTTGTTACAAACATACTTGGATTGGTTTTTGTACACATTCCAAATATATGGCAAATAAATTTCAGTACGATAAGACAAATAAGCAAATAATTTGCATTTCGAGAAACTATTATAAAACAAAATTCTGCTACTGATGTACGTGAGACAGTTTTGTCCTGAATATAATGTTACTTTTATTTTCACTAATTGCTAAATAAATTGGACTGTGTATCAAGATAAAAACAAAAGTTTATTGAAATGGCAGCTTTACATCGAGCCTTATTTACTTGGTTTATCGTGCTAATATCCATCATATTGCTTGTATTAAAACTAGATGGAAAGGCTGAATGGAACTGGTTTATAATAGTGATACCTATGTGGTTATTTGATGGTATTATTGTTGTGTACATTATTTTCAAAATGATCAGTCACTGCATCAATGGTTATTCAGACCTCACAATGCCTAGGAAAGTATGGTTCCTAATATGTATGTTGATGAAACTAACATTCCAAGTACTGATATGTGTACGCCTAGAAAATTACAACGCGATGCCACTTTACTACGCCATGATCCCATTTTGGTTGCTTATGATTGCAACGACAGGTGACATTGGACGAACAATACTAAGTAAAATTCAGCAATGATTTTTGTATACTAGATACCAATCATGCCAAAATATGGATGCACAGGTGTAACATAAGTGCCAATGGATTTCTAAATCATTCTAACATGTCTCCGAGACAATGTCACATGAGATTCGTGTGACATTGTAACACTGCTGTTCGATAAAATACATCTGTGATCTATGTTACTGTGTCCCTACAAAATGCCAGGATGGATGAATATACAATTTGACATGCTGTATGAGTATGAAGTGCAAGTCATGGTGATGTGCGAGAGTACACTACTGATAATCCATACATTATCTTTTAATATAATGTAATGTGTTCAGCTTGTTCCACCTGCAGTTATCATTCAATTTCAAGTGAAATTGTAGGACACGATCATTGATGCAATGGATCAGCGACTGCGAATTGCAACTTGGGAGTACAAGGGTCTTGAAACAACAGACCAAGGCAATCATGAATTTGTTTGGATATAAGCATCTTATTGCTACATAAGTACAATATTTTGGATTATCACATCTCAAACTATAACTGTGATTGGTTAGATCGTGTCACATGACCATAGGCATTTGATAATTCAGTCTTACACATTGAAAGGCCCAGATGGCCTGTGAAATTGTTGAAGTTCTAGGATGAACTATATGATATTGTTGACGTTGAGTCATGTGCCAGGTTGAGCTATGTGATATTTCATCTCAATATCGCATAATGGCATGAAGACAATGTTGCTCAACTGACAGCACTTTTTGGTAAAAACATTATTTCATGACTTAGAGTGTGATATTATATTAAATATCAACTCTTGATATCACCTTGTATGATATTTTTTCCTTGAAGTGATATTTCAGTTTATTATATCACTATCTAGCTAGCGACAGTATGATTGGTCAAAACCGGGTCACATGTCGTGGGATATCTGGCGATATTCAATGGCAATGCTAATCAGATAAGACAACCGTGAGATATCTAGCGATATCCCACGCTCCCGGGAATTTTCAAAGAATTTGTTTTCGTTCAGTGTAAATAATTTAGTTCAGTTTAAGTCAAAATGGCAGACGAACTGAGTAGATTCGTAAAAATATCTGAAGACTTAATGACTTAATAATATTAGGGATGTTTAACTAGACAGTGATATAATAAAACAAATATTTCACTCTATTTTCGGTGAATACCTGTAGCACTTTCACAAGGTGATATTCCACTTGCCCTTTGGGCTTCGTGGAATATCACTTGTGAAAGATGTACAGGTATTCACCTCAATAGAGTGAAATATTTGTTCAGTATTATATCACTATTTAGCCTTGTTCAAGTCAGAGTCATTTTTATTTATTTTTTACTTTTGCATTATTTTTTATTTATATTAATTGAAGATCAAGATAAGTAAAACAAAATACTGATTTAGGCAAGGCTAATCAGTAATCACTGACTCACATTTCTCACTCTCTGATTGGTCTGTGTCTTACATGTGACTAAAAATGAGAGGAGATATTCAATGGCTGTAGATATGACTATGAAAAATCAAATGATATTCACCAGTTATGACTTAGTTCAGTGTAATTTTAATTTTATATACTGTACTTCTATTTAATTTGGTGCTATTTGTTTTGGTGGATTTGCTATTTTGATTTATTTGGTGGCTACTTAATTTGGCAAACTTGCAATATTACAATGTAATAATGGTACCAATTTACATGGTACTAAAATTATTGGGTAATATGGCAGCGACTTGATTTGGTGAACTTTAACAATTTGAGTGATCCGCCAAATAAAGTACAAGTACAGTATCCCTGGGAATACTTTGTTATTATTAATTAGACATCTGTTGTTTGTTATATTCCATTAGTTCGAGTGAGGAATAGCAGTGAATAATTAAAACAAATATTATTTTTTGGCTTCATGGAATAACGCTTGTGAAAGATGCGCAGGTATTCACCTCAATAGAATTAAATGTCTGCAATGCAAATATCACCCTCATTCATGTAACCGTGCTATAACATGAAATAGTTTTACATGGGTGAGTGGACAGTTAATGTCACTGTGATTAGCAGTTTGTTTGCCATTATAAGTGTTTTTGCTATTGAAAGATGTTACTTCCACAACAAATCAACTCAAGAACGTACAATGCTATATTGGAGAAGTCATAAATTTGCAATTGAAATGATAATGTATTTGTATCGATACATCCTGTCTTTAAATCCTCACAGGCTAATTTAATGACAAATAAGATAAATAAAAATTGTTCTTAAAAATAAGATTGCTTTTGTGCTTTCTCAATATTAAAATATTACGCTATGTCACTTTGATTTTCATGTCAAATATTCAAAATTCAAATTAATATTTTTATCATAATTTTGGCAAATTTTTGTTAAACCATTGGATCCAATGGTTAAACTGTTTTTTTGCTCATGCAGATTTGTGTATTCATTCAAGGATAAAAGTCATATCATATCTCAAGTAAATCATATATATTCTCTCTATCACAATCCATTTGACTGTAATTTGACAGTAAAATACTCATCATTTATGCTGATTTTTAGTGGACCTCCAAACTTGTTTGTTGGTTCAGAAACGGTGTCTTAGGTATTTTGGACAATCTTTTAATGTACAGGATGAGCCATAAAAGGTTACACAAACAAATGCTGATAACTCAGTCATTCAACATGAGTTTAAAGTCATATTTGGTTTCTTCGAAATGTTATTTTATTCCTCCAAGTTTCATTAGTATTTTCCAAATGGTCATGATTTTATGGCCATTTTACAAAACATGATCCAAATGCCAGCCTCGTCTCTAGAGCCAAACAAAAATGCGTAGGGTGAAGTTGGTCAGACTACACATTCACAGACATCTTTTGTAATGGCTCTCACCTCCTTCCATTTTAACTCTGATGCTTCAAGGCTTGTTAGTGAAGACATGATATCCTTAAAGATAAGTCCGGAGGTTCATGTCGGGTGAGAGTGGCATGTATCGGCATTTGGAGCACATAATGTAAAATGACCATAAAATCGTGACCATTTGGGAGAGATCAATAAAACTTGTGCTTAATATGACTATAGACCAATACTGGATGACAAAGTCACATTTAGCCTGAGAATTGAGAAAAAGTATTTACAGTTTTATGGATGGTTAACAGGTTAAGGTGACCATTTTGTTTACGGATACCCAAACTTGGTAACTAATGGCCTAGTCACATAGCCCGGCCGATGAGGTTCCGATGAGCCAGCGATGCAATTTTCACCGAACTCGGCCGAACACCGGCCGGACACCGGCCGGACATCCGTGGCGTTTGTTGCTTAAAACCGCATCGGTGGCAGCTCGGTGAAATTTTAACTTCGGAGTTAAATTTCACCGGGCTCTCACCGAGCTCCCTCATCGCAGCCCCATCGTAACCACATCAGAACACACGTCGGCCGGTGCACGGCCGAGTATCGGTCGGTGTCCCGTGCATCTGAGACAACCAGAGGACGAGGTTTTTTTAACGGACACCGGCCGAGCTCCGGCCGATGTGGGACAGAGCCTTGGAAAGTATAGTACCTGAAGATGTCCGGACGGAGTCCGTTCACGTCACCGAGCTCTGCTTCCGATGAGGAGAGCTCGGTGGCACCAAAAAAATCCACCGAGCTCTACCGATGCCGGACATCGGCCGGGCTATGTGACTAGGCCATTAAAAACAAATATGGAGGGATTATCATATTTGAGATGGAATCTCCAACTTGTATGAGTAACAACAAGTACAGTCAATCAATGAGTTCCCAATTGATGGTTAAGTTCAGCTTTAGCTCCCAGGTTGGTAAATGACAGGTATCTCCATAATCATTGAAAGACAACAAAAGTAGTTTATGTCACTTTTATAGTTAATTAACATAAATCAATCATTCTATAAGCACTGTCATTTTTATTTTAAAATTACTAGTACATTACAATGTCAGCACTGAGTACTGTTGTACAATAACTAATTTCATAGGTTTTGTCATCATTAAATGATGCTGTATTGAAGTATTGAATACACTTAATTATAACTCTTGTTTTGCCTTTTAAAAGCACTTTCAATAAAGGTGCAAGACTAAACAGAGAGTACCTTTCCTACAAATTATCACATTTTTTACAATATTTTGGGTTCACAAAATTCATCATGCTTGAGCAGCTTTATTCTAAAATATTCAATAGTTCCCATAATATAATATATATATCTTTTATCGACTCTTTAGATGTCATATCATGACATATTAGTCACTTAGGTAGAGCAGTTCTTCCCATTGTCGAGTTGAAGAACTGGTATCTTTATCCTGGCTAGAACCATAGACAATTCTAGCCAGCGCCAGCCTTTTATCGAGTTAGCAGCACTCTAGTAATCGCCGGTATAGGTCAGCAGTCATAGGTCAAAGACAAATCACAAGAAGTGCTGTGACCTGGGTTTGAACCCAAGACCTCTACTTTTCAGCTTGAAGCCAGACTTCCTGCTTTTCAGACCAATGCCTTAACCACTAGGCCAACCCGGCGACCACAAAAAATTATGTATTGCAAGGGAAAAATTTGCATTCTTGTTCATAAATTGTTGAAACCATCTCTGGTATTTGCTGTAACCTTAACACATATACCTTGTAAAACGCATACTTTGACAAAAAAGTAGGCCTTTTTGACATAATTACAATCTAAAATACACCCAGGATGGCTTTTTGATTTAACATCTACATATATGAAAACATGATATTTCTATGTACACACTGGGACATCTTATTATATATGTATACTATATATGTACAGTACAGTCAATCCACATTGAATTATCACTTTTGTCTTATTTTTATACTATATATACAAACTTGATAATGGCACACTGGTTTCTACAAACACCTATTGAATATATTAAGTGGTAAAGTACAGTAAAGTATAATACTGAACAGTACAGTACCATACTATTATGTGCAGTATAGTACAACACCATACAGTACTGTGTAGTACAGTATAGTAAAATAGAGTACTTAACGGTATAGTAAAACATCATACATTACTGTGAATAATAGTACAATACCATACAGTATAGTACAATACAATACAGTACTATGCAGTATAATACAATATCATACAGTTATGTGTAGTATAGTACAATACAGCAGTGTAGTACAACACTATACAGTACTATGCAGTATAATACAATATCATACAGTTATGTGTAGTAAAGTACAATACAGCAGTGTAGTACAACACTATACAGTACAGTATAGTACGATACCACACAATACTGTACAGTAGAGTACAATACCATACAGTACTATGTAGTATAATACAATACTGTGCAGTATTGTAAAATATCATAAAGTACTATGAAGTACAAAATAGTACAATACCATACAATACTGTGCAGTATAGTGCAATATCATACAGTACTGTATATAGTAAAACACCATACAATACTTTGCAGTATAGTATAATACAATACCATAGAGTACCGTACAGTATAGTTAGTACAGTATAGTATAGTACACTACTACCTAAAATATGAATTTGCCATCAACTAGATAAATGGCAATATGAAAGCACCAGAGAAAATGAAAGAACGTTTTGACAGTTTGACATGCAATTTAAATGAAAGAAATATAAAATATGTTTATATACAAACACTGAATGTAAATAATAAAATTACAATTCCATGCTATATCCCATAAAAAGTAAAATTCCAATAAAAGTCATTTAGTTCATTCCTTGTACACGTTGTAGATAAATATCTTATAAAATTCTGTATGAGGAAGATTTGTATTTAAATGAGTTATTACATTCTTCCAAGCATAACTGAATAAATAAATTATATAATGATCCAATACTGGTATTCTAGATTTTTTCTGACCAAAAATGTACAAAACTGTACTTGATTGACTTAACCTTCTGTTAATATCTAATAAAATAGGCAAACTTAGTTGCATATTTTCCAAATGGGCATGAAATAACAATTTTTTAATTCACATACCCATCTCAATGACAATTTAATCTATTCTGACTTTGCATTGTTTTTACAGTATATGCACAAAATATGATAATGAACTGAGATGTACATGAAAAATAGTATGGCTGAATAACTCCACCTTTCCCATGCCTGCTGCTACAAAGAGCTCATCATGTCACATGTGTAATTTTTAGTTCATTTTTTGTCCCATTCAAAATTTCAATTGTAATTGAGAATACATGAAGTGTATAATTATTCAATGCCAATAATAGTATACAATCTTTTGCAAATAAAATTACCCCCAAAATTCAGACATCATTTCAGACATTCCACCCATAACCATGAAATAGTATAATTAATCTAATTACAAAATATGCATACTTTGTTTTTCTCCCATCAATCCATCAATATATCCCGTGATTGGATCAATGTAGTGATGTTCCACTACAGGCTTCATATGTTCATTCATTACAGGCCTCATATGTTCATTTACAGGCCTAATATGTTCACTTACAGGCTTTAAATGTTCACTTACAGTTACATCATTCATTTCATCAACATTTAGATTCAATAACCTATCAACTTCTTGATTAAGAGCTTTAAGGTCCATTGTCTTTACCCATTTGATTTCCATACCTTTGTGCCGATTTCTGCAGTGTTTACGACAATTTCCCCCAGTTTTACATGTAAAATTACAATAGAAACACTTGTAAGGACGAGCCTCTTTATGGACATGCATTACACGAATATGAGTTTTCAAATGACTTAGAACACTTGCTTTTAAGCCACATATGGGGCATTGCAAAGTTTTCTCTTTGTGAATCCACTTGATGTGTCCTTTAAGATTGTGATCAGAGCTGAATGCCATGCCACAAGCATCACAGACATGTTCTTTAATACCAAGATGACTGTCCATATGCTCCTTGAATCGCCGCTTTCTCTCTGTAGCGTATTTACATAAGTTACATTCGTACACGATTTGGGTCTCCTTGAGCTTAATGCGATGTTTTGCAAACATATGATCTGCAAAATGGAGATAAACATGATTTATATATAATAATTATCATAAAGATTAACAAGAGCATCTCCATTCTGCAGAAGTCATAATGTTCCTAAAATGTGCACCATTATATTTTTATTCTGTCCCATGATACACATTATGCTCAGTACTCCAGAAGATGATTTTTGTTGAAAATTTTGTTGAAAAAGAAAGAAAACTTGATAAAATTTATAACAATCTCTAGTGTCTTTAAAATATTGTCATGGGAAAAAATAAATATACAATGTTTATGCCAAATGTGTAAGTTACAGCGCATGAAAATTCTCAATCTAAAGCCCATTGCATCCATTGGAGGCTATAAATAAATATAGGGAATTACAACCTTTAGTCCTTCAGCCCACATTCAATAGAAATTCTCAACATTAAAATATATAATCACCTAGCTACATCGCAATATTACTACCTGGTAGTTACAGTAAAATAACATCACCGGGCGACAGGAAAATAATATCACCTACTATTCATTGGTAATTTCACTTTTGGTGAGATTCACGGCAGTTGTTTGCAACATTTGTGGTTCTTCTATGGGGTCAACTTTGACCCATTTGACTTTGAGACCCTTGTGTTTAATATGGCTGTGATTGGCTATATTGTTGCTAAGTGCACATCGATGGTCACAATAGAAACATTTGTAAGGTTTAACACCTTTATGAGTGTGTTGCAAGCGTATGTGCTTTTTCATATATTTCGGGTCAGCTGCCATGTGGTTACAATAGAGACATTTTATATCTTTTTCACCGTGAACTCGCCGAACATGTTTTTTGAGTTCAGCACCTTCTATGAACATTTTCCCACATATTGAGCAAATATGGTCTCTTTCATTTGTGTGATATTTCACATGACGCTTTAAACGTGACGTCAAATCAGTCACATATGTACAATGGGGGCACTTGAAAACATGGTGCTTCTTGCGTGTTGTTTCACCATGTAATGCAAACATGTGACCTGCAATGAAAGGAAAGTGGTACTTTGTTATTCATTCTGTAATGCATGACTGTAGTACAGGCATGAAGGGAAACAATTTAATCTCATAGCATTTGAACATAAGTACCACTTCCCTTTTATTGCAGTTTATGTCTTAGTTATCATGTTCAGTGACCTGTTTCCTATCATACCTCAAATACAGTCCTCATTGTTGCTTTATTTATTACGTATATTACATCCAACAGGAAATATTTTACAGCAAAATCTGTATAACACAAACTTTAAAAATCTCAATGATGTTGGTGTTTTGAAATACACCTGTGCTGTCGACAGTGGGCTTACAAACATAACCACTGAATGAAATAAACAGATTACAGGGGTTTTACCACCAGAGCTATGATTTACAGATTTTACAGTATATCGTTAAAACCATGCACTCTCAATGAACAGACGAACACATCTTAGTTTAAATGTATACTATTATTATTAGTATTCTTTCGTTTTATACACAACTATTAAAACATGACATGAATCAAAACAAGGAAGAATGGTAATATGCGACTCCTAATTTATTAACACATAAGTCAATCATGTTTTATGCCAAGAATGGGGCCTTTGCATATAGTGCCAGTTTGAGCCCGACATGCCAGGGGCTTGCAATGGAGGTGATGGGATTCTATTGGTGCTCGCAAGTGAAGGATCATCATCATGAGTTATAACTGATGGTTTCTCGGCCGAGAATGAATCACCAACTTTTAAACCAATACTGTCAATAGCCATCGTCATATTTTCTTGATTCTTTTGAATATCATTGCCCTTAACCATTGATTTAACTTCATTGTCTTCTTCCCCAATAGGGAATATTGATGACCTTCCACCCGAGAATGATCCACTTGGCTTAATAACAATACTACTTTCAAGACTTTCTTGAGTTTTGTCTGTGATTTTGATCCACCTAACCTCTTCATTTTTGTGGCGATTCATGCAATGTTTGCGACAATTCCCAGATGTTGCACATACAAAATTACAATAAAAACACTTATATGGTTTGTGATTTCTATGAGTGTGCATGATTTTGACATGGTCTTTCAAATGGGTAGTATCATTGGTCACATAATTGCAAAAGTCACAAGTCAGGTTTTTTGGGGTATGTTTCCATTTTTTATGCTTTCGAAGGGTACGTATTGATATGAACATTTGTCCACAGATATCACAGCTGTACTCTTTGATGCCTCTGTGAGACCTTTGGTGGTCCTCAAACCTCTGTCGGCGTTCACACGCAAATCCGCAAATCTCACACTCGAAAATAATCATAGTTTGACTCAAAACAATATGGTGAAGAGCAAACATGTGACCTGGAATTTCAAACAAGTTACAATCATTAATACAACGGAGTTTTTATCACTCTGAGCTTCATCTGAAAAATAAAATCTACAAATAAAAGAAATCTTAAAAATGAAGAAATATGTGTATGTCTCATCAGTCTCCTCAAAAAAGTGTGAGTTTTTGGTAACCTTGGTAAATGTTCAGTAGTAATGACTAATTCAAGAGATACTTAAAGGCCCCAGGTAAAATTTACTCCAAAGTATAACATACAGGGTGTCAAATAAGTCCTGTCCCCCATGCTACAGCTTAAACCTTAATAGATGGTACCTAGTGTGATATACCATTGGAAAGATCATCCAAAGTTATGTAAAATTACCAACTCTCAAGTATTTTGGATGAAATTCACCTATATTTTCATGATGTCCTTCATAGTGAGTGTACCCTCAGCTTTTATTGCGTCAAAATGAGAAGGATATGACCTCATAAATATGTCAAAAAGTTAACCTTTTTCGCATTCCACCTGTTACAAAAAGGTTTTCACCACTTTCCTTGCACCTCTGTTTTCTACACATCTAGCCCTATCCAGAAATAGGTTTAATTTATTGCCATTTACATATGTTGTCATCCTTAGGTCCTTTGACTTTTATTATACCCGATTGTTATAATCCTGCCAAATACACCAATTTGCCATGTTTTGAGGCCTATTGACCACAATTTATAAAATGTAAAAATTGTGATATTGATTGACATGTATCAGATTTACACCAATCAACGTAGGTTTTGGCTGTAGAGGGGGGGACTTATTTGACACCTTAAAATTGTACATCCTAAAATTTACTCCAAACCATGACATTTATTCCTAATTTATATTTTAAGAAAAGATATCAAAGCTTATCCTCATAACACCAATTTTTTTAATGAAAACAGCAGTTAACTATATTCTGATTTGTGAATAGATAAAGATGAAAAGAAATAGAGGTCATTTTTGCAACTATTACCAGAGAAGGAGACAGTTTTTAGATAGGCCTAATAGAGATTATTTCCCTGGCAAAACAGTGTACTTCAGTCCTTTTCAAGCAAAATTCTCTTTAAGCAGATAATTAATTAATCCCCAGGGGCCTTAATAAGTGGATCACCACCTACTATTAATGTCCAAACAAAAACTTACTCTGGTAGTTTCCCTTGTCTGCTGTAGCATAGCCACAATGTGAGCAGACATGTGTTTTGGCCCCATGACGTGCCATGTGAGTCTTCAGTTCAGCTTCCTCCCCATAGGATGCCCCACATTGGTCACACATATATGGGCGAATGCCACGATGGATTTTGTTCATATGCTTCTCGAGATATCTACAACATTTAAACAGAATATGTTGCCAAAAATTTCAAATACATGGATACCAACATTACTTAATTTTTTACTAACAAATTTAACTGTTTAAAATACAGTACAGTAGAACCGGTGTAAGTGGAACACCCTTGGGACAAAAAAAGTGTTCCACTTGGGAGGTGTTCCACTTATAGAGGCTCATTAACATGGAGCAGATAGGCCATGGGACTTTAAAACACTGTTTCACTTGTGAAGTGTTCCACTTATAGAGGTGTTCCACTTAGCAGGGTCTACTGTACTTTAATGCATTAAATAATCTTCAAGATCCACCTATTACTTTATTCTCTTGTTTTTACAGTATAAGCTTAATATCTGGGTATAATTGATCATTTTATTTATAAGATAGACTTACAGTTCTGTCTTTAATTTTTTTCCACACTCTAAGCAAGTGAACATTTTTCCAGGCATGTGTTTCTGAGCATGCTTCTTCAATGTATACTTCTGGGGAGTCTTATAGTTGCAACCAGGTTCAGGACACTCAAATACCTATAAGACAATACAATACAATTTGGGATAAGAAACAAAGAACACTGATTTTTTAAAATGGTTTTCAGAATACTGTTGATATTGAGAAATTGGTATTTTTATAAGACTTTAGTATAGTACATGGATAGAGCTTAGAACAATGACCAAAATATATTAAAAGAGAAAAAATTATAAACATGTGAGAAATTTTAAGTCTCCTCCTCAACAGGGAGGTTTGATTTAAGTTGAAGCAATAAATATAAGTTACCTGTAAATCTTCCGATTCTATACCATGTAAGGAGAACTCATGGTGTTTAACATGGTATTTACTGGAGAATGTCTTGTTGCACATTGTACAGGAGTAGGCCTTCATTCGAATCTGATGTTTACGTGTCATGTGATTCGTTACTTGGGACTCTAAACAGCTGGTGTAAGGACACCTCTGGCAGCTGTGCATCACATCTGGATGACAGTCTTTATAATGTTCCTTGAGGTTTGTTTTCCCGATGCATTCAAATACACAGCCAGCTTCTTCACATTTCTGTCCTCCTGATATCCCGTTAAAGTCCACGCCATGAATTTCCCTACGATGTACCCCTAAATGCTGTCTCTTGAGGAATGTTTTGGGGCAATCGTTGCATTTATATGGTTTTTCTGTTCCATCATAAGCAGGGATCTGGGCAATTCCATGATTCGCTGCTAAGTGAGAACGCAACTTTGTTCGTTTTGTGAACAATTCATGGCACTCTGTACACACAAAAGGTGTCTTGAAATGTTGGTTTACCTTTTCTGACCATTTATCAGCCAAATTATCTGGAACGTAATGTATACCTTTCATATGATCCTTCATATATTTCTTGTCACTGAATGACTTTTTGCAATATTTACATGGGAATGGTTTTAGCATAATTTCAGAGTGTCTTTGTGAAATGTGTACTGCCAGGACTTTTTCATTTAGGGTTCTATGTGGACAAAAGTAACATTTGTAGTAGTGGGGTTTACTCCTCTTCCTCCCCCGTTCTCTCCTCGTTCTAGATTTCTTCGGAATCTCCTTGTGCTTTAAATGCTCATGTACTTTCAGGTGAAAGAAGCTCATAAAGGTTGGGAGTTTGGGACATTTTGTACATTTCACAAGGCGTCTGTGCACCTTAGTACAATGTTGTTTGAGGGACGTGTGGTATGCGAATGCACCAAGGCAGATATTGCACTTTGGTGGTGGGCCTTCACTGACTGCAAGAGCTACTTGCGTCTGTCTCAGAGCCCTGGCTAATAACAACCTACACCTGACACTCTGCCTGTAGACAAACTTGTGTTCTTGCTGGATGTGAAGTTTCACTGTGGCAGCGTGTGGGAACCCTTTATCGCAGTAGCTACACATGAATGGTCGAGGAAGGGGTTTAGGTTTTAGAAACTGAATTTGCGGGAGTTTGTCCCATTGTTTATATTTAGGCTTTATATTCTCATCTAATTTCTTTATCTTGATTTTGAGGGTTTTCAGCTTTGGCTTAGCTTTTGATGAACCTTTTGATTTCTTCCCTGTATAATGAGACACCATTTCAAATTCTGCTTGTTGGTCAACCTTCCTTGGACGACCACGCTTCCGTTTGGATTTGACTGGCTCGACAGGGGTCAAATCAGAAAGGGGCATCCAATCATTGTCACTAAAGTGATCCTGCTCATTGTAAGTATCATTCATATCTGGTTCTGCCTCACTGAACACCTCTTGCTTGATGGCAATTTTTGATTTCGGGGTAAGGTCACTTCTTGGGGGGTGTGAGGATTGGGGACTTGATGGTTGGGGCTGCCCACTAAAAGGGATGGAAGGATATTCTTGGGTGGTCTGTGTAGAGGCAACTGACATCTCTATTATCTTGGCTATTGAAGACTTTCTCTAAAATAAAAAAGTAATAATAATTTTTCAAATTGATTTTTCGAGATACTCAACACTGGGAGCATATTTATTTACACTTTTGGTGCAGGGTAAATTCAAATATTCTTCTAAACAGAATGCGAAAATTGCTTCAGTGCGAGGAATTCTATTTATATATCTGTTATTCATTTCATCATCAACTATGTTAAATATATATCTGATTTTAATATGAAATGAATTCAGAAATGCATTAAAATGAATGTAATACCTGCTCTACATCACTAACAGCAGCACTCTCAGTCAGGACAGCTTGTTGTGGGAAGACAGGGCCTTCAGTTGTCTTACGAACATACTCCTCACATAGCTTCTTAGCAGCCTGAATGTCCAGTTGTTCAGCTGTGTTCTTCACTCCCCATACATTAGACTTGTTAAGCATCATTGAGCCAGTGTAGAGGAAATCCAAGAGCTGGTTAACATGGGTTGGGTTGAGGCCTAAGGGGAAATAAAAATCAATACATAAGTGATATTTTATACATGTATTATGTATAGACCATAGAGTGTGAATATGCAATTTTCTCATCACTTTCTCAAAAATGTTGACATGTTTTATTGTAGCATTTAAAAATGTATCCAGTGAAAAACATTGTCTTTGAGAGTAAATATTTAGTCAATTGCTTTGCAAAAATATTCATTTTTATAGACAGTACTTACTCATCCCTCAACAAAAATTTACTTTATTTTCACACAGGTGTTGACAATATTGGACAGCCCCCTTCCCCATAATCCTTTTAATTTTGTATTCTTTACCTGGCAAATCATATCTGTTGACGAAGAGCATGCCTTGATCAAGAAGTGTTTTGAAATAACCAGACCCACTGACTAGCATTACTTTGTGCAGATGGAATTCCACATAGCCACCAATTACAAGCGTGATGTCACAAAGAAGTTGACGCTTGTACAGGCTGTTCACTACAGGGAGCAACTCTGTTGGGAAGTCTGATGATGTCATTAACTGCTCATCCATTGTGATTTTTTAATATTCTCACAGCAATCTGGAATAAGAATTATACTTCATATTATGGTCATGTCAAGAAACAAGTGTGTAAATCTATTACATATACAACATGTTATGCCTGGGTCACATTTGCTCCGATCCATCTGCCAGCGCCTGGCCGATTGAGTGTTTTGTTCAATATTGTATTCAATCTTGAACAAAATACTCAATCAGCCGGGCGCCATAGTGAAAATCGGAGCAAATGTTACCAAGATATTAACAAGCAACTCAAGTAGCTTTAATCAGCCAATCTGTATTGCTAATGAGTTTGCCCCCATTGCTCATCTCCTTAGCGAGACGGAAAATATTGGTACGGAGGGGACAGTATCAGCAGCAATACTGAGAATACAGAATATTTCCTCTTAGGAATGATCTCCCAGGTAAAATGTATTGACCTAAGATCATATGATAAAAATGTTATAGAATGATCTGTACTCTGTAGTGCAATACAGGATGTATTCTGCTCTCGATATTCTCAATTTCGTCTCGTTCCAATACAGAATTTCTTCAAATTATCAAACAAATTATTCAATAAGGTATGATTGGCAGTCGTATGTCTATGTCAATAATCTGCAAAATGCTAATAAGCCCCAGGCGCGTATCGTGGTCATTTTGCAAGGGTACGCCCCCGTATGTGGATGAATAATGTGTGAAGATGAATGCGATTTTTGGCGTATGATTTTTTGGCCAAACACCCTCAATGAGAGTTTGTTTTCTCTCTACAGAAGTAATACACTCCCTTAATGAATTTGCATCGATAATGTTGTCATAGCTGGGGCCATTTCTGCAATAGACGTGGTATTAATTGATTAGTAACCCGTGAATTACAGGCCCCCAAAAATAAAAACACTACACCAGACGAAAATAGAGAAAGTCGTCTGCACAAGGTCGTGCGAATTTGGAAATGCTCCACACATAAGGGCTTTATTGGCTTAATCAATGTAGTTAAAGCTAAATCCACTTATCGTATGGTTTAAATGATTAAATTACTTCTTACATTCAATAATGTCAAGTGATACTCAGGTTAAAACGTACTGAATTTGCTGATTTTGAGCGTGTACTCTACCGGGATTCGCCATCATACCCCATACGGCCTTGAAGAAGCGTACAAGAATGACGCAACTCTTTGAATCACGAAAAAATTCGAATCTTTGAATCACGAAAACAGTGAATGACAATGAGGAAATCGAGAACTTATTCAGTGTTAATACACTTGTACAACAAAGGTTTACACATCATCAAAGAAAATAACAGTAAAATACTGAATTTCATGTTTTTTCAAAATATTTTTTCAAATTCAAACAGTACGCCTGGGCGTATTTTGCGTACATGACGATACGCGCCTGAGCCCATATCCTCCATCAACCAAGCAACCTCCATCAATGCCCTGAAAAAGTGAAGGCTCAGGCGTATAAGTCACTAGTCCGGCCTAATTTAGAGTATGCCAGCTCGGCATGGGATCCATACCGACAAAAAGATATTGATATGTTGGAACAGGTACAGAGAAGAGCAGCCAGGTTTGTAACCAAATGTCACTCAAGGGAACCAGGCTGCGTCACCAAAGCTCTTCAAGACCTACAGTGGGAGCCACTGAAGGAGCGTCGAGAGGCTGCTAGAGTTTTCCTTTTCTACAAAGGAAAGCAGAACCTAGCATCCATCGACGTGCCTCCATACTTCCGCCAACAGATCAATACCAACACTAGGTTGTATCATCCTTCTAAGTTCATACAACCATCAACTAGAACGGATGCATACAAATTTAGCTATTTCCCTAGGACAATAGCTAAATGGAACACTCTACCTGGTGACATCTTAGACTGTGACAGTCTAAGTAGTTTTAAATCATCATACTATGCCTATGTCAATAACTGCAATTAAAAAGGTGTGTTTTTAATATAGATCTATGTTTTAATGTAAATGGTCCCCAGTGCACAGCAACAAGCCTGCACTACTGGTAAAGAGGGGTGATGTCAACGCGGTAGCCTGACAGTCTCCCCAGGTAAAATGAGTTTTAAACCATAGATCTATTTTTAAATGTTAAGGTTTTAAATTATATTCTATTCAAATTCTATCACTGTTAAATTATATATCTGCTTTATATGGGCTTATTAGCCTTTTGCAGATTATTGACATAGACATATCGTAGAGTGTAGTCTAACAGTAGTCTAATAGCGCTTGAACACCTTTTACACAGATTGACGCATATTTTACTTTGAAATTAAAAACTCATAGAAATACAAAATGGCCTAAGGGGATGCATCAAAAGATCAATGTCTGATAGAAAACTAAATAAATCTAGTTTAGGGGGGAGGGGGTAAAAGCTATTTCAGTTTGCTATCCGACAAATTTCAACTTTTAATTTTTTTGCAATTTTGACTCGAAATGCCTTGGAATGGTTTAAAAATAAAGACTTTACCAGATGCCAGTTCTTCACCAAGATGCATGAAACATGGAATATTATGTCTATTGTTGTTGGGACATGTTTTAAGAATTATAAATAAGTTATATTACCAGATTACTGCCCCCATGAAAGTCGAAATTGAGTCGCTAAAACATGTGGAAAGTCCGCAATCAACTTTCATTGTATTTAGATTTGAGGGGGAGGGGGGGGGGGGTCCAACTCAACACTAGATTTATTTAGTTTCCTATCAGACATTGAACTTTTGATGCCTCCCCTAAAGCATGTCTAATTACTGACCCTTTAACCCTTTTACTGATCACTTATTTTTAGTAGCCTGGACAAAGCAAAAGTGTGGAAATACAATTTTGAAATGCCTTAATCAGAATAAATGCATACACATACATGTAAATCTAAATGTTAGCAATTGTCCTCTAATATATACCTTTGTCTGTACATATTTCCACGCTATTTGCTAGTAAGGATCATGCTAAAAACGTCAATCACGCAAGTGTATATTTCGCCGGCCTAGATTTTTCAAGATGGAGGATGAGAATTGACACTTATTCTCATTCTGAGTTCGTATCAAAGGTCTATGTGTCTACGACTTGCTTTTCCTAGAATATCATCTGTCATAAATGATGGCACTAAAATTGATTAATCCATCATAAATAAATTGAAATTAAGAATTGTATATATTTTAATAAAAAATGACGAAACTGATAATTGAATAATGTGTAGCTCTGTACGATAATTTCTTCAGCACGTTGTGAAATATTTTTAGAATATTTCTGTGTTTTTAGTTAGATGAGTTGAGATGGAATACATACAACAGCAAAACAATGCCAGTCTTGGCACAATGTAAGTTAATTTTTACGTTTCATTGGTATTAAAGAAGGGTGTATTCCAAAATATGGAGGGTGTGTGTGACACATTTTTTCTCAGTCACTGAGTCAGTGTGCTGTGATAGAAAAATGAAAAAATTGTATTTTTTCGTGCCCATCATTTTATTTTACATCTTTATGCATGCGTATTATCAGTTATCACACGTTTCAGCATGATACAGGAAATATTCCACGAAAGGTAATATTGTATCATCCACGAAAGCGAAGCTTGAGTCACCCTATGCAGACAGAGCCTGTGGGAAATATTGGGTGGGGCGCAAATGAGTGGAGGGTGCGGAGCTAACGGTCATTTTTGAATTTAAAATTGGGATATTTCTGAAACTAAGCCGTTTTGGGACTTCAAATATACCAAGATATGTGTATTTGACACCAAATATCAATAAAATTGTGAAAATAGTAGTGCAATTCATTTTATAGCGACGCAGTATGCCTTAAACATTTCCCAGACCTATATATTTTGAGACTATCCTTTTAATACTGCGTCCCCAGCATTCATAAAAAATGGTGTTCAAGATACACTACCCATGCAAATTATTTTTGCATCTTGGAAGCCAGGCAGTATTTTTATAAAATCACACAGATACTGCCTGGCTTCCAAGATGCAAAAACAATTTGTATAGATAGTGAACATTGAACACCATTTTTTATGAATGCTGGGGACTCAGTATTAAAAGGATAATTTCAAAATATATAGGTCTGGGAAAGGTTTAAGGCACACTGCGTCGCTATAGAATGAATTGCGCTACTATTTTCACAATTGTATTGATATTTGGTGTCAAATACACATATCTTGGTATATTTGAAGTCCCAAAACGGCTTAGTTTCTGAAATATCCCAAATTTAAATTCAAAAATGACCGTTAGCTCCGCACCCTCCGCTCATTTGCTCCGCACCCAATATTTCCCACAGGCTCTGTCTGCATAGGGTGTTGAGTGGTGATACATTGTTACCCAAGTGGAATATTTCCTGTATCACATAAGCTGAAACGTGTTATCATCATCATCATCATTTGGTACTGTAGCTGTTAGGCTTGTGTGCCTGTTGTCGCTAAGCTCTTTTTATATTTATCAGCTAAAAACTGATCGTGATATTTTAATCATTTGAACCACCTGGTCCAAGACACTTTAAGTTTGACAGGTGAGCTAGGTTAAGCATAGACCCCAAAGATCAGACTTGCAGACTGGTCTTCTTGTTGCAGTACTTCAAGGGTGCGTGCTGTTGTTCCGCCATGCTATACTATGGTGTAGTGTTTTTCTGACCAGAATTTGTCGAGCCTCGTTTTGAAGGTGGTGATAGAGTCTGAACTTATGACGTTCTCTGGTAGACTATTCCAGTCACTGATTACTCTCAAGCTGAAAGTGTTGCTTCTAAGTGAAGTTTTGCAGTGTCTCTTGAATAGTTTTTTTGAATGGCCTCTCGTGGTGGAAGTGGATGACTGGGAAAATAAATCAGGGTTTAAGTTGACTAGTCCATTGAATATCTTATAAACTTCTATCATATCACCTCTTTTGCGTCTATAATGTAAAGAGTGTAATTTCAGTTCCTTCAATCTATAACTATATGCTAGGTCCTTTAGTCTATAAATTAATTTAGTTGTTCTTCTTTGGATTTTTTCAAGCTTTCTTTCATCTGTGATAAATCTAGGGTGCCATATAAAGTTTCCGTAGTCCAAAACTAGTCTAATTATAGCTTTATATACTTTGATAATACTTTGTTTGTCTATATGTCTAAAAGTCCTTTTAATCAGGCCTAGTTTGCTGTTCGCTTTGTTGGCTATTCTTGATATATGACTGTGAAATTTTAATTCATTATCAATTGTGATACCCAAGTCATTTTCCTCTGTAGTCTCTTGTATTGGTGTGTTGTCTAATGAATATGGTTGATGTACATTTCTGGCTCCTCCTAAGTGAAGTACTTTACATTTGTTGGAATTAAATTTCATTTGCCAGGTTTCTGTCCATTTAGATAGTGAGTCTATATCATCTTGAAGTGACTTTCTTTGCTCTTGTGTTAAGCTCTCTCCATACAACTTAGTATCATCTGCGAATATTTTGATTGTATTTTTAACTACTTTGGGGGCGTCGTTGATGTAGATAATGAAGAGACAAGGTCCGATCACGGTTCCTTGAGGCAATCCAGATGATACTGGGGCTTCTTCTGACATGTCTCCATTTACTCGGACTCTCTGGGTTCTTCCTGATAGAAAATTAGCTATCCAGCGTTGTAAATTTCCTTGAATTCCATATGAATCCAGTTTTTTGATGAGCCTCTGGTGCGGGACAGTGTGATGACGATTTTATCACATGTCTAGGAATTTTGAAGCATTTTGATTTGGTCAGTTATGGATTGTGTTCAGAACCCTGTACTCCCGGTAACTACAGTATTATAACTTTTGATTTTGCTTTGAAACAATATGACGTCATACCGTTGTATTCGTACTTGTTTGTGAAATAGTATGTCGTCATATTGTTTTCCTTAGCTAGGAAGTGATATAACCAGTGACATCACATCATTGCTATTGACTCCGTAGTGATACAGCCCACTGTATCACATGAAAATTAGCCAGGTGTCTTGTGATACGGAATATACATCATCACAACTGACCAATCAAAATGTTTAGACACTCCTAATCATGTGATAATATGCATTACTACAATCATCAAATTCATATCCTGAGTATATATGTAGTAATAAAAGTTCATTTGTAAAAAAGCATTTTGAAACAGTTCAGCTACCGGCAGGGCCAGGGAGTGGCGTATGATGTAACATCTGCAAATTAAATATCCGCCGCATCTGTTTGACCGTGCACCTCTTCTTTCTTCAGATTATGCTGTAAGTGTGGAGTTTCAATAGCTCCAAATCCTGCCAACATGTGTGTAGGCTGTCTACAGTCAGAGGTCGACATCACAGAAGGAATTCCTAAGTCTGCTACACTTTACTTCTGTCGTAACTGTGAGAGGTAAAGCACAAATTTGTAATAGTTTACTTAAATTATGGGATAACATTGATTCACAATTTTTGGAGTTTATTTTCAGAACCTCCAGCGTTCATTTCAAGATGATTATCACTTGTATGACCATGTTACATATAATATATATGTAAATGGGAAGGATGTTCTAGAGTCATTAGATAGTCACACAGATTCACAACTGTAAACTTTCTTTTCATTAGGTATCTTCAACCTCCAAGTCAATGGATATCTGCAGCCCTAGAATCAAGGGAACTTCTAGCAGTCTGCTTGAAGAAATTAAAATCTGGTTTGAGTAAAGTTCGTCTGGTGGATGCTGGCTTTATCTGGACTGAGCCACATTCTAAAAGAATCAAAATGAAACTAGCTGTTCAGAAAGAGGTAAACAACTGAAGGAAAAATTGAAAAATGAATGTGGAATAATTAGATGAAAGTTAGATGAAGGTTCCTTGTCTCTGAAACAGATCCATCTATCAGGCAATATCCAGTAAACATAGCCCAACACTAAGTAGTGAACCAACAAAATTGTTGAATCCAAGAATGACATCAGATTTTATTTCTAGGTGAATAATGGTGCAATTCTTCAGCAAAATTTTGTCGTGGAGTTCACTGTAAACAATCAGATGTGTAATGACTGCCATAAAGTGGAAGCAAAAGACTATTGGAAAGCAGTAGTACAGCTACGGCAGAAGGTTAGTATGTTCAAAAGATTCAGAAGATACTGTTATAATCTCCAGAGATTTGCAACTATACAAGAATCATTGATATCTTTGCAGGTTAACTGTCCTCAAAGTATCTTCTGGTTCTTTGTTTAATTGATTTAAGGTAAAACCTGTCTAATCTGAACGCTACTTCATCTAGCCAGAATTATTTAAATTAGTAGGTTTTCACATTTATGGTGTCTTACTATGTTAGTCAGTTGTTAACTAAATTGGGACCAAGATAAAGTGTTCACATTTAGAGGTGTTCGGATTAGAGAGTTGTTTGATTTTGCTGTACATGATTCTGTTCCTGTATTTCAGGCCTCTCACAAGAAGACTTTCTTCTATCTTGAGCAGATGATGTTGAAACACCAGGCACATAGTAACACCGTTAATATCAAGGAAAACTATGGTAGGTCATTATTGTGTAAACACCATGAAAGAACCTCAGCAAAACTGTGTGATTTTGTAATGTATCCTGTAGGTCTTTGAAGTGCAAACACCATCAAAGAACCACGGCAAAATTTTGTGATTTTGTCAGTATCCTAAAACATATCCTAGAATTGTCATATGTTGTCCAAAAATAAGTTTATGTTTTTAAGTTTCTAGTCAAGTTCCTACTTTCTAACAGCCCTGAATTACCGTCCATATTGTCCTTTTCAGTTCTGACATCATATCTTCATTGGTATGTCAATGCTCACACATATGTTTGGAATGCTATACATATTACAATGTATTATATACATCTAACAATTGAGGTCTTCATGTTTACTTGTTTATTTCAGAGGGTTTGGATTTCTTCTTCGCTCAGAAGAATGATGCAAGAAAGTTGACAGAGTTCATACAGCAAGTGGTACCATGCAGGTAGGAACTCAAAAGTTCAGATCTGATCACACTTGCAATGTATTCCCAATTTCATATATTACTGTTCAATTTCAAATGAGAAAAAATCAAGAAACATCGGATATAATTTTATTTGAATACCATTGAATTAACAAATATAGTTTTACTTGTCAGATCATATTTCTATATGTATAAAATATGTATAAGATAAAAAGAACTTCTTGTGATTTTTTGTGGTATATCTGGTCACACACAGCAGTTAACATCCTCTTAATAAAAACTTGTAGGGCCTATTTGTCAAAAGTCACAAGATATCCTGACACCTCTACTTCTAAAATAGAGATTATTTCCTTAACACATACAAATAAAACTGTATGTTTCCAGGTATAAAACTGCACAAGAGCTAGTATCACACGATGTGCACAACAATACCTATGTATACAAATATACATACTCAGTAGAGATTGTGCCTATATGTAAAGTAAGTATATTTAAAGTATCACTGTATGCATATTTCAATTAAGGGACATGTTAGGTCTCTGTACAAAATCCAAGTTAATTAGCCAAAACCAGTCATTTTGCTTCCTAATACTCCTCAGGATTTCTAATCAGGAACTGAAGAAAAACATTTACATAGCATTATAGAAATTAGCATATTACAACATTTACATTCATTGATCCTAATCGCATTTCACATTGTTACAGTCTGTTATGTTATGTTGCAGGACAACATTGTGTGTCTGTCAACCAAGATGGCCCAGTCACTTGGGAACATCAGTCAGATATGTATCTGCCATAGAGTCACACAGACTCTGCATATCATAGACCCTAACACACTGCAGGGTAAGTATTTAGTGTCAAGAACAGGCCTGACAAAGACAAGGAAAACCAAAATCATGTTAGCTGACCTGGAAAAGTCATAGCATTTCAAAATTATTTTGTTTGTCAATGCCAGGTAAAATGAGATTGGTCAGTGAAATTTCAGTTTATTTCATTATTCAAGTCAAGGAAATTTCAGTTTATTTCATTTTTCAAGTCAAGGAAATTTCAGTTTATTTCATTATTCAAGTCAAGGAAATTTCAGTTTATTTCATTTTTCAAGTCAAGGAAATTTCGGTTTATATCAATTTTCAAGTCAAGGAAATTTCGGTTTATTTCAGTTTTCAAGTCAGGGAAATTTCGGTTTATTTCAATTTTCAAGTCAGGGAAATTTCAGTTTATTTCAGTTTTCAAGTTCATGTATTTTGAATAGATGCCTCACTGTACCTCTATATTACATAATAATTAACTCCTCCACAAATTGATGAAAGACTTCAATATGGATATCAAAATAGAAGTGACATAAACATATGCTTGTTTCAGTTGCTGAGATATCTGGCACCACTTTCTGGAGAGATCCATTCAAGACACTTTGTGCCCCCAAAGATTTTACTGAGTACATTATAATGCAGCTTGAATTCATTGAACCCAGCAAGCATCGTCATCCTCTTTCAACCAAGGTAAACTGATGATGATGAGAATAATCTGCAACTCTGTGTATTTAAAGATATGTTGCCTTATATGTTACCCTAATATTAGGTGTTACACTCTAGTTAGATTTCACCAGATTAAAAACCCAATAGGATTTAAAACATATGTACATGCATAAAGTATGTAGTATTTACAGGATGTAGATGTATACTAGATTCCTACCTATGCTATGTTCTATATATTACAGCATGTGTTAGCAGAGGTTTGGGTGGTCAAGGCAAGTGAGATAGGTTCCGATGAAGGCCAGTACTTTTGCAAGACACATCTGGGACATTTACTCAATGTAGGCGATTCAGTATTGGGGTATGTATTTCCAGAATAAAACTATTCACTTACTATTCACCTACTAAAATATATCCAAAACCTAAAGTTTATTAATGACCAGCAAAATAATAAAATGTTGATGGTATTTGGCCCAATCGGTATGTTATTTCGAAAAACAAAATTTTTTAAGAGTTGTTCAAGTTTCATAATGGATGAAGTGTTGATCTGGTTTCTTACTATATACTTCTCTTTATTGTAGGTATGATCTGCGCTTCAGTAATGTTAATGATGCAAATCTTGAGAAAATGTCCCCTGACAGGATACCAGATGTGGTAGGAACCTGTTTCATATTCTACTCTTGTGATTTGATAGTTACCAAAAGGATCAATTGTTTTATAACTCAAGGCAAGAAAACCTATGTCTATGTTGTAACTTTGAGTACATGAAACTCATGATGATATTCTTGTTGCTGAATAGTACAGAAGGTTTATGATTGTGTTCTAGCTTGGAGAAAAGAAGGATTACATTTGTATTGTAGCTTTGAGAAATGATGGTTTATGATTGTGCTTTTAGCTGAGTTATGTAATTGTGTTTTGTAATTTTATCGTATGATTCCTACTGATTTGTAGGTGATAGTAAAGAAAGTGTACGCAGACAAGGCGAAGCGAAATAGGAAGAGGAACTGGAAGTTGCGTCACATGGATCGTCTTATGGAGGGATCCCAGACCTCAAGTATTGAAAAGTAAGTCATGTAACGATTATTCAGTTTACAAGCTCAGTTCATTGATAAGTCTGGGCTATACACTTACAATCAGAGCCATTAAATTTTAGCTAACGATGAAGTCAGAATTTGACATTTGAATATGGATTGAATACTCTGTAAAAAGTTCTTGGTGTAGTTAACGGATTGTTTGATCCCCAACAAAGATATGTTATAAACAGGTTTAAAAAACAGGTCATATGAAACATATAAGATATGATTTGTAGACATTTGTACTGTTTTATATAAATAATATTTAATCATTTCAGTCAGTACACAGATTTCTTGGAAGATCTGGAAGAGGACCCTGACCTCAGACACAATGTCAACATTTATAAAGGTATGTTGTTTAAATAATCCATTGATGCTCATATAAATCATAAATGAACTTGTAGGCAGGCAGTTGTTTGAATTACATTATTAATTAAGGCCAATGAAATATACTAAAATATTCATTTCATCCTCTGATCAGTGTGTTATTCAAAGACATTTGTGTGTTTTACAGATACTAACAAGATTGCTGTGGATCAGGATGACACAGATGATGAGAATGTTCCAACTGTCAGTCTTCAAGAGATGTTGGATGATCTTCACATATCAACTGATGCAACTGGAGAAGAGGGTGCTGAAATGCAAGAGTGACGGAGTAGCCGTGGAGATGTGGATTTATGTGGACTACCTGATCAAAGACTGGTGTAACGTTGGAGTCATCGATTGTTGAAGAGATCATGGCTTGTAGTTCACAAATACATTGTTGAGAACTAAATATGGAAATATTAATTTAAGGCAATAGACAGATATGCATCATATTCAAGGACGAGTCTTGACATTTATAACTGAGGCATTCTGACTTCTGAGGGTTGTATATACCTGTTTATAATGGACAGACAAGAAACTGCCAGTGACCTGTTTTGTCTTCCCATTCATACTCAGTGGAGGGTTTTGGGCTATATCACTATATCCAACATTGTCAAATGGAATGTTTAAGGGATGAACAAAATACTGTTGATTTGTTGAATATAAGAATAGTGTGATTAGTTCACTACAATTATTATTTATCTATGTTATCATTCAATCTGGCTTCAATGGGCTTGGATATAATCTCCATGTGCTCTCGTACATTGTACATGACCGTACATGTATTATACTAATCTATAAATAAAATATAAACTGCAATGCAACCATGCATGTCAACAAGATATGTTATGTATTATATACATATTAGACATACGAGGGTTGATCATAAAGTTCTCATAATATCTCTCTAATTTCTTTATTTTTCAATATTTTCCTATGAAATTTTCACAGAATGTGCAGCATGGAATGCTTTATTAATCCAACAAACAATAATAAGAATAACAGAAATATAAAATAAGAAATGGTTGCCATAGTAACTTGAAACCAAGGCACCCGGGGCAAATAAAAAGACTAGCTAGAATAGCCCCCATTAACCATGTTTAAATACAATATAAGTTGTCAAATGAGATATCAACATTAAATTGTCAAATAATATGGGCTCTTAACTGTTGTGAACTATTATAATGGTCATGTGAATTGTATGATCTCATAATGGATGATAGTTATGCTTCATTAGAAGTGACTGTTAGATTGATTTTGCCCCTTTAGTTCATTTTTAACGTGTACAGACCACACACAGGGTGTAATTTTGTTGATATCTTAGCAATATATTTGTTTTAGATCATGTTTAGTCTGACCAGAGGATCTTACAAACTTAACGTAACATTTTATCAGTATGAATTTTATTTTTCTGAAGATCTCTGCATCTATCGCATTCTCTTACTCAGTCATTTCTGATCATAAGCTTTGAGTCTCAGACTCTGGTATCACATCTAACGGAGCATGAAAGCACCCCCTTTGACATCACATAACTTACATGATCGCTTTATTTAATTGTTAAAGCACTTTACAACATATTCAAGCTAACATTTAAACGTGCTTGGTAATTCATGAGAGTTTATTATGTATGTAAACATGGTTAATTAAGCTCATTCTCTCAATTATTTTTATTTGCCCGGGTGCCTTGATTTCCCGTTACTATGGCAACAATTTCGTATTTAATATTTCTGTTAAGCTAAATATTTTTTGCTGAATTAATAAGACATTCTATGCTGCACATTCATTGAAAATTTCATTAGAATATATTGAAAAATAAAGAAATTAGAGAGATATTATGAGAACTTTATGATCAACCCTCGTATGAGGATTTATTTTATATAATTCAAATGTTTTTCACTCTCTCATTGGCCATGAGCTACAAGATGAATGCCTATTTACTAGAATTTCAAAGCAGTCCTATTTAGAATATATACACCACACAGTATATACTGTATATCATGATAGTTTCCCCTGTAAGTTCATGTTCATCTTTCCCTCAATATATTTTGGGGTCCAGTTGGATACTAATAACTGTACTACATGTATTTGTTAAATATAAATAAACAGAAATACAATATTAATAATAACAACAAAATGTTTATTGATCCAATTATCATTTGGGAAAGTACATATAAGAATGGCAAACATAATATGTTTCAATATGAAGGTCAAGCTGTACATTTTACAAAACTTGTGTGTGTAGAGCTATGATCCTCTGGGGATTAGCCTCCTTTACATGAATGAGTATGTAGGTACAAGGAAAAAGTTGTAATTAGGCCCCTGGAAAAACTAATCCCAGAGGGTCATATTATAGGTTCACGTACAATTTAATTCACTAAAAACATGTAGCTTAACCTCCCTATTATCTAGATACATATACATGTACACTTCTTTATGTTTCTATGACCTCATTGTAATTCAATTTTACGATGAAGCAGTGTCTCAGATCTAAGAATTTTCGAATTCAAGAACAACAATAACATCGTTCATAAATTATATTTTGTTATCTTTAAGGTATTTGTTCATTTCACCAGAGATCAAGATAATTTCAAATAAGATTAAAAATGTAAAAAGTAATATATGACACTATATTAAAAATTGTGTTACTATAATACTATCATGCACACAAACTGCAAATATGTACTTCTGAAATGCCCAATAGGCTATAACATTAGACACAATCTTAAGTTTTGGTCAATCAAAGAAAAGGTTGAAAATATAATAGGCCTACTCAAAAGTAGAAAGAAATAGTAAGAAGGTATAAACTATAAAATATGGAAACGGTTGTGAGGATTTATTTTGAATTCATATTTTATTGTTTGTGCCTAGTTACTGAAATGAGTTAATTATTTGAGTAGCCATTTATAGTCTATGGTCTATCTAGTTAACTCAGAAAGTGTCTGAACTTTATTCAGGATTCTCTAACTCACATTATAGGATAAACATTCACATACTTGAATGCAAAATTTATGAAATTTTAATTTACACAATTGTAAACTAGCCTGGTGATTTTTGGCAACTTATAGCAGTAATATATTATATTTCCAGTTTACGTTTTTATTACATTGATACAAAACTTCAGTTTTTTTTATATCAGACAACAGAAAACTCTACATGGACCTAAAATGCCTCATACAGTAAAATCTGCATTTATAAATGGCACCTCAAAAGGTGTTCCACTTTCCAGGTTTTACTGTACTTCACCTACATGCTTCTACTAAATACAATACAAAGAAAAGCCATCTGATTTGCTTATCTGATAGTGATATATTATATCACAATAACATTTGCAAACTTGTGCTGTGCTAAGATTTTCCATTTTTACATGCATATTGGATTCCTGTGCATTATGATATCACTGCATTATTATGTAACAATGAGAATATTGTTCCTAATGTTAACTCACTGCCCTTGCTAACTACAGGTGCCTAATAAATAGTGTTATATATACAATTTAACTGTAATATATTATTTGACATGTGCTTCCAGAGCTCCATTCTTCAATATGGCAGGACAGTATCTACATTTACTCGTTTACTTATACTTACATATACTTATTTGATAAGTTCTTTTGCAACACAGGTGGAAAAGATTATGGCTTGTATCCATTTCCAATCAATATATAGGAATATTATAAGCTTATCTGGTTAGACTATGCTAAATCTATAAGTTTCTTCCATTGGGCAAGAATCACAACTTTATGTACAAATGTACAATGACATACACCATGACATAATTCTTTTTAAATGTCGTAGTTTTAACATATGTGATACAAATCCCTTTGAGGGCATGATGATATAGATCACAAGTTCATAAGTACATTTGAAGCTGAAATATCAAGAAGTACATGTCATTACTTGGTCCAAGAATTTCCAACTAAAAGAAAGATTTAATCAAAAAATGTAAATTTACAAATGAGAAATAGTCATTAAGTTCAACTACAAAATACTTAATCATAAACAATCCCTTGGCAATCAAGTACCACACATATAACACATGCTATCAAGTGCCATTCTAACAATTCCATATTGAGTTGACCTACACTTTAACACAGATTATATTTTGGTACTTGGCAAACTGGAATTTTGGAAATGTGACTCAAATGCCTACTACAATTAAAATGGCAGATACATTAACAAGTTAGCATTCTTATCAACTGTCTTTCACACTAAAATCAGGCTTTGGCAAATAATGCATTACATTTTTTGTATGCTTCCATTTAGCTTTAATCCTAGTATTCCTGGCTTTGATCTAAGACTGACTAGTCTCCGTAGTGCCTACAATACTTCAGCTGCAGTAAACTTCCAAATCAAACACATTACACACACTTCACTGTACAGGTATTTGATCCAAACAAGCTAAACTTAACTAAAGTGTAAAGCATTTATTGCAACTAAGGGAGACTTTTCACTCTAAATAGCATCATCATTTGAGGCAAAATTAGGCTTTCATTAGTCTAGTGAATATCCATTGTTTCTCGATTTCCTCAAAAAAGAAATGACTCTTTTTGTACGACACAGATCTAGAAGTGCATTGTTATTTCACCATTCTAGATGAAGCCAATACTTTGTCGATTTGCTATGTGTTAATATCGTTAATCAACTTCTGAGTCTGACTCCACCTCCACTCCTTCAACCTCATATGTGCTCTCGTGCTTCGCTAGGATTCTCAATAGAGGGCGTAGTTTCAGCCACCACTGATCTTTAGGGATACGATGCCTGAAAAAACAAGCCACATGAGCATTGTGATACATAAGATGCATGTACAAATACAAGCAGGCACATACAGCATAGTTATAGCAATAACATGTAACATTACTGAATGTTTTACAGCAAAAACATTTTATTATATTGAGGTAAATGTGATATGAATTCATATGATTAAAGGGACTTTCTCAATATTATATAGGAATGATCTGTTAAATCTTACGTGAAATCTGTCTCTTCTGACAGTTCCTCAACTGGTGTGAATACAGATTGTCTTTTGACGAGCCCAAGTAGCACCGCAGTATCAATATCATCGGTGTAGACTGTGCCTAAAATGTCCATGTATCATTTTGTAATAAAAATTAGGCTACCAGACACTGTATAATGCTACATATACAAAGTAATGCAAAACCTAATGATAAGTATTTTTTAATGAAATTGGTTTACTTGCACTACTTTTATTAAAATATTTTCAAATGATATGACATAATTTACGACAGGTATTTTAAAATAATGAACAAGAGGCAATTCTCAAAAAATATTGTGAGTTAGGATTTGTGAAAATTTATTAGGAAGCTCTAAAATTGCAAGTCTATTTTCTGGATTTCATGATTCAAAATATTTTGAGAAACAAATCTAAGTCCCAGATCAATGTATATGACTGACCATCATCACGTTTGTTCTCTTGTATTTTCTCTATGAGGAAATCTACAGCTTTGCCTCCTTGTTTAGTTGCCATGTTCCTATCAAATGGACTTGGAACTCCACCCTACAATGTCAAAAGGCTCTGTTAAGGTGGAACAAGTAATCTAGCTCATTGAGGTAGGCAGAGTAGAATGAGTCTCAAATGAATACTTACTGGTAGCTAAACATGTTAATATGTTTTCAAAAATCTACCGAAGTAAAAGTCAATATGTTATTTAGTTAAGAATAGAAGTTCACTATATGATTCACAAGTGACAAACTAATTATATTGAAAAACATGAATTTATAAACTCTAACCTGTTGCATGTGACCAAGGACATTTTTCCTACAGCTGAATATGCCCTTTCCTTCCTCTGTGTAGAGCTGGTGAATGAAGTCTGTTGTATAGTTAGAGTTTGCCTTCTCATTCCTACAATACAATTAATAACAATAAGACATATGCCTTGGGTAATCCATTATAGAATGATATACATATGGAAAATACAAATTTAAATGTAAATGGATTCTTGTTTATCATTGTTTTCATTACATTTAAGTGAACAATATCATGAAATAAAGGGCATTGTATGTCATACATTGAAATGACTTTTTTAATAGATGACACAGGAGATTTGCAATAATTTCAATGTCATTCTTTTGAGGGACATTGTCTTTCAAATCATGAACTTTTTGTTAGTCTGAAGTTAAACAATTCAAGAATTCAACCAATTTGTTACATAGGAAATGACACCAGAAACTGTTACCATTATTTTTTTAATTTGCATATTACAATACGTAAAGATTATTCTACTAAAGGATATATGCGAGGTGACATGAGAGTCTAACACAACATAACAAGTCATTAACATGACAAAATGTCACCACCTAATACTCACAATATTATGAGTTCAATCTTAAGTCAGATTTGAACTTCTGAGAACTTGGAAGATGATTTTTAAAAAATTGGTAAATTTGAAGCAAGTTGAAAAAAGACCTTTTTGACCTCTTTTGATCTTGCGACGGTCAAATCTCAAATTCATTTGAACTTCTGAGAACTTGTAGATGATTTTGAAAAAAACTGGTCAATTTGAAGCAAGTTGAAAAAAGACCTATTCGACCTTTTTTACATTGAGAAGGTCACTGAAGGTCAAATCTCAAATCTTGTAGATGATTTTGAAAAAAATTGAAGTCAGTTCAAACAGTATTTGTTAAGTTATTGGAATTTGTAAGAATTTGTTACAGACGCCACCTGTCAACCACCAACCACCGTCACAAAAAACTGAGACAATAACAATATGTCACCACTTTTGGTGGTGACATAACAAAACAAGGCATTAACATGACAAAATGTCACCACCTAATACTCACAATATTATGAGTTCAATCTTAAGTCAGATTTGAACTTCTGAGAACTTGGAAGATGATTTTTAAAAAATTGGTAAATTTGAAGCAAGTTGAAAAAAGACCTTTTTGACCTCTTTTGATCTTGCGACGGTCAAATCTCAAATTCATTTAAACTTCTGAGAACTTGTAGATGATTTTGAAAAAAACTGGTCAATTTGAAGCAAGTTGAAAAAAGACCTATTCGACCTTTTTTACATTGAGAAGGTCACTGAAGGTCAAATCTCAAATCTTGTAGATGATTTTGAAAAAAATTGAAGTCAGTTCAAACAGTATTTGTTAAGTTATTGGAAGTTGTAAGAATTTGTTACAGACGCCACCTGTCAACCACCAACCACCGTCACAAAAAACTGAGACGATAACAATATGTCACCACTTTTGGTGGTGACATAACAAAACAAGGCATTAACATGACAAAATGTCACCACCTAGTTACTCACAATATCATTAGTTCAATCTTAAGTCAGAATTGAATTTCTGAGAACTTGTAGATGATTTTGAATAAACTGAAGTCAGTCTAAAACAGTATTTGGTGAGTTATTGGAAGTTTTAAGAATTGTTACAGACGGCAACCGCCAATCACCAACTGCCAATCGCCGTCACAAAAAAAACGGAGACCATAACAATATGTCACCACTTTTTGGTGGTGACAAAACAGAAAAAGGGAGACCATGACAATATGTCACCACCTTTTGGTGGTGACACAATAAAAAAAATGATGTTGAGAAAAAAAAAAAAAGTAACTTAAACAGACAATATGTAAAATAGAAAAAACATTTGGTTAAAGTTTGGTCTTCACGTAAACAGATGTCAGGATTAAAATTATGTTTCCAATGTTTCCCCAGCCCTTAATTCTGTATTCTGATCTATGGATACAACTCTATAAAAAATGGTTACTATGGTTACCTGATGATTAACCCTCTCTGTATACCATCCGCTATTTTAGTTCCCAAGTGAGCTACATCAGCCTAGAGTATAGGTTTACAATATAAATACCATGGCAACGAAACTGAACTAAGCATCAAACATGCACGAAAAGTGTCTCAATAGATCAATCATAAGGAAGAGTAAATTCACTTGCCTTTAATGTATGAGGTTTTTATACTTGCATATCTGTGGGTTGAACTACTGGATATCTTTTTATATATAAAGGATTTGAAATTAATTGAAAGCCGTATAAGATTTACATATGCTTCTGATATTTAATCTATTGAGACCTTAAGTGTGCAACTGTTAAACTGCTCATGCTAAAACAAAGTCTAAAATAATGTGTGTATTATTCAGACTTGAAAAACACTCATATTACAAATAGCTATGATACATCTATAATACAGGTACATAGCAAAACATTCATGGTTTGCAGAATCCAAAAAACAACCTATGTAACATGCATGCATGAAATAACATATGTCAGAAGAGGCCCGATGGCACAAATTAATATACGTGTTGAAGGGTGAATTTCATGAAGCAAAACAACATAGGATTCAACATCTGAAAGAGATGACAGTACAACATATGGTGGTATACAAACAAATTGGAAACATGCTTCATAAAGAATAAGGATCTAAGCTGATATGAGACAAGACTCAGGCTCCATTCTTCATGACCTACAAGCTGTGTATATTTATGACATTCCAGGGAAACATATATACAAGCATTTCGATAATAATATTAGCTATAAAAGAATCTAAAATACATTAATAAAGGAAGGATTACAAATTGAAACGAAAATACTAGATGGCTATTTACCCCCAAAGTAAATGTGAATGTGTTCATGAATTCAATACAAAAATGATATGCAACAAATGCCAATTTTATGCCATCAAGGGACACTTGATTACTCTGTTGATTTTTAATAGGCCTAGCTTTTAAGGTAGGCCTTGACTGTGCAGAATAAGGAATATGACAAGACCTCCACATAGACTTTTTACATAATGACTTGATTACTACTGATGTTTTTGGTCCTTAAGTTTCACAGTCTGCCAATCAATCATCAATTTAAGAGTTTTATCATTGTTAGAGACAACTCTTAAAGCTCCTAAATTTAGCACACTGCCTCCCTTTATGCTATTGATTTTTAAAAGACATGAACACATGGCATTACCCTGGGGGTACCTGTGTTAGTTAGCCTACCTAATTATAAGACCTCTCTGAATCTCATCCTTAATCTTGGCTCTCATGTGAGCCACATCACCCTATATTCATATAGCACAACTCGGTTAATGTAAGCCATAACACGGTGTATAACCCAAACGCTCCTACATGCACGACGGAGCGTTACATTTACGCGGAAACGCTCCGGAGCGAAATAAAATGGCGGCTAATGAAGATTCTACTATGACCGTAAGTATTGTTTCTCTCATTTCTCTTACATATCATATGTCATGGTAAAATATTATGTACCATTCGATGAACAATACCGTGAGCAAAGATCTTATTTATTCAACTTCTGGTGGTAAACTGTTATTTGCTTGATCAAAGCTCCGTAGTGTAGATCGAACGAATCTGAAGATGACGATTTGACCACAAATTACGAATTAAACTAGTATTTCTATGAAAACGTTAATCTTTCTGTTTATGTAGTAGATAACAAACTCGTATATTCTCATTTCCTAAAATCCCAGTCCAAATCCATTACTTGTTCTCGAGAAATCGCTTGTTTTCCTCGAAACGCTCCGTCGATTTAGACCACAATTTTAGAAACGCTCTTACCATTTTGTTTTGATATCATTTTCAGATTATTAGAGAAGAGTTCCGAATCGAATCTATCTCTCAAAAACGTGTTGTACTTGTTAGGCAAATTGAAACAACTGAACCTGGTGGTGCTAAACGTGCAACTAGCTGATTAAAGCCTATAGATTAGATGATGTCATGCCTACATACATGTATGTGCTAAATCATAAAACTATAGAAAAAAACGAAAAGTTATACCGTATTATCTCTAATAAAGGCACACACTCCAATAAACGCACACCCGAATTTTCCAAGAAAGACTGGCCAATTGAAAAACAAAAATCAAGAAAAAATATAATTTATTCGAGCGGGCGTTAATAGGGTAATATTGAATTATTCACTTACCGCTATCGATAGAGCCGTTTGTGAGTATAATGCTGTTACAGACGTGTCTAAGGAATCTTATGAGCTATAACTACGTTCATGATAACCTTATAGTGATGAGTTAAAAGCTATAATGAACGTTAATTCGGGCCCGTCGCCATTACTCAAACTCGCAGTGCATCATGGGCGTTCAGATCTATAAATATTCTTCTGCCCTTTCCCATAAACAAATATTCAATCCTTTATAAATGTTAAGTAGCATTATATGGATATAAAACATATTTTCACCAACTATGAGGACCATTCAGATACAAGAAGCCTTTAGATTTTGACTCGGGTATCGGTGTCAATTTCCAAAATGGCGCCTGCTCGGAGCAATTGGAGTGGATGTTTATCATCAATATCGATGCGTATAATGTCAATTAACCCACGGAAACACATTCAGCAGATTGATAAATGCATGAGGAAAACATTGAGGTACGATAATATGTTATCTAGTTGGAGTGAGTCTAGTTTTAAAGAGGAAAATCATGAAACACCCTATTATCGCCCAACTTTTTTTTACAAATCCCCGGGGATTTTGTCATTTGAGACATCTCCTCCAGGAGAATTTGGTAGACGCACTGTGCGTTTATTGGAGAGAATACGGTATGTGAATTAATCTTTCTTCTATTGATGCCAAAGGGTATAATAGATCTTTTCTTTCTCTTCCTGAAAAGGAAAGGCAAGCTATATATTTCCTTAACTGATCTAGACTACCGGAGCGTTTCCAATTCACTGTGTTAACCAGATCGGAGCGTTTCTTGAATATGAGAATGTCATCATTTTTAGGACTGGATTTTCGGTCATCAAATCACTATTACGATAATGTATGGTGCGTTGAAGCATTGGAATTTGACTAAAATATACGTTGGTGCTCTAATCTTGGCTCAACTAATCACATGTATCGACAAAAGGGGTTTTGACCGGTAGAATGACAAATACGTTTTTGAATTTTGATAACTATACTGCTTCGTACAGCTCTTCCTAATTGCTTCAAACGTCAACAGCCAGCCACGTACAACATGAATATCACACCCATCGAATGGTATACTCGAAATATGTAACTCATACCTCTTATTCCCATTATTGGGGAAATTGTCAGACGGCTCATCATTCCCGCCAGACAGTTTTCCTACTCCGGAGCGTTTCTTTGTTTAATTTCAGTAATGAAACGCTCCGTCGTGCATGTAGGAGCGTTTGGGTTATACACCGTGCATAATGATATGAAAAATGCTTTAATGTACACTCCCCCCATAAGTTTGGCAACCAGAGGTATTCATTGGATGGCATATCAAAGCATGGCAATGTTTCAATCTTAATTTTGTTCCTTAATTAAAATAGTTTGGAAAGTTATGACAATTTAAAAATGGATTCTTTAAATCATCAAATATAAGCAGGCTTTGATAAGTGATCCAAGATGAGACTTCCAGTTGCAAAAAATATGGAGGGGAGTGTATATATATAGATGTATATCACTTATGGAGGGGAGTGTATAACGAGTCAGCATGAGTGGCAATATAAATACTCTAGTATTAAAGACTTATGGCTATTGCTTTGGCATTAGACCTTGCATAGCTCAAAAAGAAGCTCCACTCCTATCATGATCTGATACAAATTCCAAAATACATATATGCATTATGCACAGCTATTCATTATAAAGCAAAATCCGAATTCAAATTAAAGCTAGCATTTAAACACAGGAGATACATAGTGCACATAGAAGACACATAGTATGTATATGTATGTATCAGCCTATTTTAATTTCATTCCAATGAGTAAATATATAAAGATGGGAGATTCCAGAAATGTTCCATGATGTAATATACTTTACTTTACAAATAAAGAACTTGTGGACAAATATATTACTTGATTCTATAACCAAAGGCCAAAATATTTCATTTCAATTATTCAAACTAAGTATATCATTGTCTGAAACATTCTAAAAATAGTTTTTCCTAGGAACATTATCAGTTTTATTAAAGAATAAATAAACGGTGCAATGGTAATTTAATGATGAAAATATTAGTGAGATATCTATCTATATGAACAATATTTCTGCCAAGGTTTTGACTTATCACAAGACACCAGCTTCTGAGATAGAGGCTCACTTGCGAAATTTACTGATCACCTCGTGTATTACAGTTGTATTTTAATATTTGAAATACAACAATAACATGAAAAATGGAATTCCATCACTGACCTGTAAGTCCTTAATCTCAAAGTGTTCCTCGAATATATAAGCCTGGTCGGCACCCCCTGCAAGTCCACTGAGGGTTGCCAGGTAACCACAAAAGCCTCCCATTGTTTCTATGACAAAAACACGTCGCTTCGTACCAGTGGCCGATTGTTTGATACGGTCACAAATCTGGAATTATAACGCAATATGTGGGTGTATTTGGATCATCAGGTCTAAAGATATCAGTGTTCAACTCATTTTGATATTGTGTGTATATTAAAATGAAATAATTTTTTCATGTGATATTATATGATTAGTCAGCGTATTACCAGAAGAACTTATTATTAACAACTTGAAAGGTCTACACTTATACATTATATATATTTTTCCTACAGTTATCAATAATGCACATTCAGCTGCATTATGTCCATACAAATCTTAGCTTGTACTTGGTAAGACATAGTTTGTTGGGCCAATAAACTTGAATTAAAAAAAAATTATGTACATGAACTTACATCTGCAATCTCATTGAGGGCTGTATCTGCTCCTAGACTGAAGTCTGTTCCTGGTACATTGTTGCTAATGGTTGCTGGGATAACAATGGCTGGGATACAGAATTCTGGGAACTCGCTTCGCTTCTGAGACAACTGCAGTATACTGTTATATGCCTGAAATTACAGTTTACTGTTATACGAGTATGCCTAAAGTTACACTATACTGTTATATGCCTAAAATTACAGTTTACTGTTCTATGGCTAAACTTATGGTTTACTGTTATATGCCTAAAATCATATGCTTGAAATTACCCTACACTGTTACATGACTAAAATTATGGTAAACTGTCATTTGCCTAAAATGACATCCTTTCTTGAATAACAGTGGCTATAAGATTGATTGATAATGGAGATACTAAAGGAGGTTACATCATGTTTCTCCAATAGGATATGCCTTTAAAGAAGCATTTTATGCCTGGTCAAATTTGGACACCATGAAATTTTGGCCTGTCAATTATTCATGCCAAATGTCTACATATTTCACTGAACAAAGCAAAAACATATAACAAATTTGTATATTACATACTATTTCACAACAGAACACTGTAACGCATTTCCAACCTACCTCAAAACCTCCTATACACAGCAGTCCATGTATTTTATGTTTTTTCAGTTGTGCAGCTACTTTGGCATAGCCTACTTTATCAGGCAAAGTCCTCTTAGTGCCCAGGAAAGAGCCACCTTTGCCGGACCAACCCTGCACTTCAGTCCAGGACATAGGGAGAACCTATAATGGTAAATAACATGTCAGAATGTGAGCAAAATCATTTCAAAGAAAACATTTAGAGTAATTTGACCGTTTATCACCCAGGGTATTCACATTGTGATATTTGGCAATTCAAGGTTAATTATAAATAATTTCAAGAGAAGATAACATACATTTGACTTAGGTGATAGGTACACAGTCCACCATTTGTAGATATTAAAATCTTACCTCTCCATTGGCCAGTCCCTCCCATCCCCCATGAATGCCAAGGACACTGTATCCCTGGGTGAGACCAAGACGCACAAATGATCTCATTACAGCATTCATGCCACATGCTGGTGCACCTACGTTCATCACACCAAGATTAAATGGCACCTATAAACAAATATATCAATAAGTCACTTGTTTCAAAATTAGCCAATGTCAACGAGTAGTTGTTTACATGTATTATTGCATATATGTAGGATTGTAGTTTTTGATATGTAGGATTGTAGTTTCTGAGATATCATACAATAATGTATATTTATCAGGGTAACATGATTTTTTGTTGACTAACATATACAAATTTAAAATTTGACATTTTTAAATCTTTTATTCATGGTATTGTTAAATTCAAGCAAGTACCTCTATGCTATACCTGTGCTACAATTGCAATACAATATAATGTAAATGATAATAGAGAATTTATCATAAAGAACACGAATGAATCGAGTTAAGCAAGCTGTGTGCACAATACAAATATAAAGTGCAGATCAGTAGACCGTGTACATAATTTGATCTAGTTTTTTCTTAATTAAATTACAAATATTGTGCAATTATATGGTATCTGAACTCTAAGACAGAATTAAAGTAAAAATTTTTAGAATTATTTGGATCCTATACTCTGTGTTAAGTTAATTTTGTAAAGTTAGATTTAGTAAATTTTAGATTTTAAGAATTTAGCCATTTTGGGTATTTCAATATTTATGAAATCAAATATTTTCCTTTTGAAAATTGGATAAGCCTTAACGACCCATATGGTATGAACATAATTTTATAATAATGAAACTGTAATACATCTGATTGCAATAGCACAAGCTCAACATCTACATACAATGATACACGACATGGCAACATGGACAATTTGCCAATTTAATAAAATTTGATTTCCGAATTATTTCTGACAGAATAAGCAAAATTTAAATGCTTACATGATTTAAATGTAAAAGGAATAATAAAGGTGGGCAAGTATATAACACAATGTTATCCTACAAAGACTGAATTTAGATGTAAAAGTCAACATAACTTTTAGTAAATGGGAAAATATTTTCTAAAGCGAGTTATGATACCATCTAGAAAGTTCTATCAATCAAAGTTAAAAGTAAGCCAAGTTGTATGAAGTTGTATATTATGTATAAAGGCAAATGTTACTGGATATTAATATAAAGTGAAAAGAAGTGATGAATGTTCTATAATGTATTGAGAAGAGGAGAAACAAGAGTGGTTTAAGCGAAGACAATAGTGAAAATACTTTTACATGGCAGGATTCACTACAAGAAAGAAACAATGAAATACTCGCTAACCTGCTCATTAGGCTTCTGTATAAAAAATAATAATAGTACAATCAATATTCTATGTAACAAAAATCATATAATATACATTTAAAAAGAAATCATAATAAAAACCATTTTAGAAATAATGAAATAAAGAATCAATCGTGTAGATAAAAATGTTGGAAAACTCTAAGACAAATTGAATTACAATGTACAACGATCTGGTAACTTCTTTACATTTAAAATAATGTACAGGATGTCCACTATATAACCACCCCCTGGCACCCTGTACATTTTTGATATATCATACTTCTACAAAGCTATGTCTACATTATGTACTCAGAACAATTGTGCAATATTTTAACATAAAGTGTGCACAATAACATGTGTAATCCTAACAATGTGTACACTAATCTTGAAATATTCAAGACAGGTCAAGTAGAATGATTTAACTTGAAGGATTAAGACCTGCACAAACAGGTCAAGATGTTATTCTACTGGACCTTCCCCAAAGTTACATTAACATTATTCTAGTACTATTAGACAAATGTGCATTACATTGAATTGATCTAATCGAGTGTTTGACTGTGTGAATAGAATAATGCCCAATTGTTAAAATTCAAGAATTCCTTAATACAGGTCCTGTTACTACTGTTTAAGTACTACTGTTCTTTTCCACAAAATTAACATTAATCTTTTGGAAAATCTAAGTCCATGTACCCAATTCTTAAAAAATAAATTTAATACGTCAATCAACATGAACAGCTGAGTTAATACACAAATGAGATTAATATAATTCAACTAGTACCCACAGACACACACTAGCGTTCTTCTACTGGTCTATTGTTGCAATTTTACAATTCTCTACATGTGTCACCCTCTTAATGCAGAGTTTTAACTGCTCCAATAACTGGCACCTTCCATTCAGTGAGTGGCACCTTGCATTCAGTGGGGTGATACATTGCATTCAATGGGGTGGCACCTTGCATTCAGCCGACCTGTGCATCAGTTGTTGGCACCTTACAATCAGTGAGGTGCACCTGAATTCTGTGGGTGGCACCTTGCATTCAGTGGGTGGCACCTTGCATTCAGAGGGTGGCACCATACATTCAGTAAGTGACTAATGAAAACTAGGTGTTGAACCAGATTGAGTGAGGGTCACATTTTCAGGTATATATTGTTAGACCTTGGAGTGCATCATTGGAAGAATCTTAATTTCTGCTAATGTGAATTTATAAACCAATGACAATTATAACTGATGTACACTTTCATTAATTATTAGAAATAAACTTTGAAAGTTCAAAAAACTAAAACCAGAACAACGGCAACGCCAAAGCGTAGCGAATCCCATCGAACAGAAATCATCACTAGCCAAGTTGTCATCAGAAGAAGTATGGCCGACTACTCCCCAAAGTTTTATTAGACAATGTGGCATGCTTAATGTATTCACATATCAAATATGAACAAAATCGCTCCACTAATTTACAAGTTATAGTAAAAAACATAAAAATGGTGGCCATTTTTCAAAATGGCCGCCTTATACCCAAAGTGTCATTAGACAGTGTGCCATGCTTATAGTATTCACATATAAAATATGAACAAAATCGCTCTTATACTTTGTGAGTTATAGTAAAAAATGTAAAATAACACACGTAAAAATGGCGGCAATTTTCAAAATGGCTGCCTACTACCCGAAATGTCATTTGACATTGTGCCATGCTTAAAGTATTCACATACCAAATATGAACAAAATCGCTCCAATACTTTTTGACTTACAGTAAAAAATGTAAAATAACACACGTAAAAATGGCGGCAATTTTCAAAATGGCTGCCTACTACCCAAAATGTCATTTGACATTGTGCCATGCTTAAAGTATTCACATACCAAATATGAACAAAATCGCTCCAATACTTTTTGACTTACAGTAAAAAATGTTAAATAACACACGTAAAAATGGCGGCCATTTTTCAAAATGGCCACCTACTACCCAAAATGTCATTAGACATTGTGCCATGCTTAAAGTATTCACATACCAAATATGAACAAAATCGCTCCAATACTTTTTGACTTACAGTAAAAAATGTTAAATAACACACGTAAAAATGGCGGCCATTTTTCAAAATGGCCGCCTACTACCCAAAATGTCATTAGACATTGTGCCATGCTTAAAGTATTCACATACCAAATATGAACAAAATCGCTCCACTACTTTTCAAGTTACAGCAAAAATCGTAAAATGACGTGCAAAGGCAGCCATTTTTCAAGATGGCTGCCATGTATTTCTTCTATATTTACATTTCTAGCTTAATCAATGTTTAATATAACTTTTTTACATTAAAAACATATTGCTATTACAGTTTTATATGCAGTACCTAAATTACTGTAAAATCGGCACTAAAATGGCCGCCATTTTTTTTTGAGCGGCCATTTTGAAAATCGGTTTTCGAGCAGAACTTCTACCCCCATTGGGTATATGTATACAAAATATGAACAAAATCGGGCCAGCGGTTTTGAGTTATTGCCCGGACGGACGGACGGACGGATGGACGTACGTACGGACGGACGGACGTACGTACGGACGGACGGACGGACGGACGTACGTACGGACGGACGGAGGCGTTCCCTATATCCCTCCGAACTTCGTTCGATGGGATAATAAGGCTATTGTTCAACAACTATAATGTATGACATGATTGTTTCTATAGCTACAACAATAACTTGATTTTCCAGTACATCTCCATAGTTATCAACATGTGTTCCTCATTCAACCTCACCTGTAATAGCTAGAGGTAGGTAGGTATACTATCAGTCTACAGGTTATTGCTAATATTCTAACTTCTATACTTACTGTTATTGAATGGCCTGTTGCATCGCAAACAGATTTTGGCGGTTTCAGCTTACTTAATTTGCGATACATGTTAAGGTTATTCTGGAAGCTCCTGTTAGAACACATAAAAGGAAAGATTGGAAAACAGCACAGTACAAAATTAATCCATTGACCGAGTCTAGTCAACTGGGGATCATTAACAGAAACTTTGTAAACGTTATGAATTCGTAAATCAATTGTAACCATGGATCTAATGATGTCACAGTTAATGGACTTTACGAATTCTCAACTTTACAAAGTTTCTGTTAATGGCTCCCTGTCAATCTTGGATTGCAAAAGAGGGGGAACACCCGAGAATCCAAAGGTGATCCTATCTTTATACAAAGATTGGCCTACATAGGTTCCTCTATGAATCATGGGACATTTCCTCCTCTTGAATTGCACCCTTAGCAACAAAATTGTCTATAACTGTTATTAGTGCATGGAAATAACATATAAAAGTGGTTGTAATGGTGTTAGTTTAGCTGCCACTACTCCTCTCATCTGTAAATAAATGTTAGTGGAGTTTCTAGGTGTCATGAAAACCCCAGTAGCCACTACTACCTATTGGATAAAACAAACCAACAAAAAGGTGGGAGGTATGGCACAACTAGAAAAAACAGCAACTCCTCGGAGTAGGGAATCCTATATTTTATCAAATCCCTGATCATTTTGGATCAACATTACATGATAGAACTTGTGTTTATTATATTTGTCTTGAGTAATGGCAGCCATTTTCAATTCCGCATTCCTTCTTGATCAGTGTCCTCTGCCTCGTGAAATGGGACGTGAAATCTGACCAAATCTAACAACTTTTGTTTCAGTTATTAAAAAAGATATACCTTAAATGAAATGAGGCTGCCATTTTGAATTCAGCAGTCATTTTAAAAATTCCTGTTTGAGCAGATTTTTATGTCTAGAAGGCACAAGCATATAAAAAACCAAAACCAAATCTGTTGACTGGTATTTGGGTTATCGGATACAGAAAAATTGGCAGCCAATTTGAAATGAGTCACCATATTGGATTTTCCTTCTTGAGCTGATAACTGACTGATATTTGACATTACCTCATAGAATTTGGACCAAACCCAATAACTGGTATCTAAGTTATTAAAAATTACATTTTCATGAAAACAAGCAGCCATTTTGATTTGAGCACCCATCTTGAAAATTCCTTCTTGAGAAGAGTCCTATTTCCCATAATATAACATTCATTATCATATAAAAAAATCCGTCACTTGGTATTTGCGCTATCAAAGATTACTTTCTTACAAAAGATGGTGTCCATTTTGAACTAAGCTGCCATTTTGAAATTTCCTTCTTGAGCAAAGATCCTATGCCTGTCAACTGTTGCTTGAGCTATTGCCTAGACATACCAGTGAGCAAATGAATGGATGGACAATCAGACAGATGAACAGACGAACTGACTGATAGCTTGTCTATATCCCTACAGGATGGGATAAAAACAGGTAGATATCAGACATAAAGGTGAGACAACATTTTTCAAAATAATATCGCATTTACTTTTAGAAAATTTCAATTTCTGGTTGGGTGGGGTTGGTCTTTTGGAAATGGATATTGGTTTAGTTTAATCTGCCAAGAATTAGGTTGCATCATAAATCTATGCAATTCTAAATTACTTTGACTCTAAAAGCTTTACTATTCCACCATAATTGGTTCCAAGCATATATATGCATTAGTGCTATCACTGTAACATGATCGTACCACAGTATGCTTGAGGCCCTTGCTGGGTGCCCACCATTTGTTTGTATGCATTCTCTCCTCAGATGATTCCACACCATTTGATAGCACTTTGTCGGTGAGAGATTTTGGTGGCCGGGCATGATTCAGTAATATAAACATGTCCAAGTTACCAATAAACGACCTAGCAAAGTGAATTTCACAAGAAAGTCCCAAAAGTATGAGAGCAAATATTTACTATGTACATATGTATAAAGGGAAAAAGCTTTACTATTTTTTAATCTATAAAATGGGTCATAACATAGGTCCTCTTCCATGTATTCATCTATAAGGAAAATAGCTGGTAATGTGCTGTAAAGAAGTGGGAAGCATGTACATGTACATGTATGACTGCAAAATAGATAAACGAGAACTCAAGTAATAGTAATTAGTGCAATAGAGTCAAACAACTAGGATATAGGTAATAATAGGAGGAAATATGGAATAAATCAGTGTTGAATTTCATAAACACAATGTTAAATATCTGAAAAACAGAGGTGGAAAGGCAAATATCTGTGACCTGCAATTGTTAACAAATTCAAGCATATTAAATCACAAATTCACGATGACTCACGAAAAAACCTGGTCCCTTGTCCCTTGGACTTGGACCTGGGGTGACTGGTGACAGTTTGTTTAGTTTCATATACATCTGAAGATTGTGTTCAAAATTTCTACAAAATAATGAATAATATTGAATTTGCACCGTTTCGAGATAACTATCTCATTTCAACTTGAATTTTCCAAAAAGGTCAAAAATGGCATATCCTGCCAAGTTTATATTGATAATTACTGATTAGAAAATATTTTAAAATAAATACAGAAACCGAAGCCACTCATTAAATAATCCACTGACCTTCCTCTTAATTGGACAGCTAGTTCAAAGTTCTTTTCATCCATAGCTTTTTGAACACCCCTTGTTTTGTCGACACAGTGCATGAGGGGCACTCTGACAGTTTGGTTGCCATCCAGGGACACAACACAGGGTGGGGTGTCTTGTGTTGCCTCCATCAATGCTAACACTGCTTCAGCACCCATACGACAACCCTGGAAAATAAACCAATGCATATTACAAGACCCCCAGAACCATGTTTATTGTCTATTTTTGTTTGTTTTGAGGCAAAACTAGAGCCTGCTAAATGTATCCCGATTTCAACTTGAAAAAGTGCTATTTTGCTTTCATAATTACTTGCATAGAAAAGAAAAGAAAAACACTTCTAAGCAAATATTTTCACTATACTACAACTCATATCAACTGTACCATGTTTCTCCCTATTAACATTACAGCAAACAAATACTATAAAGTATTGTTTTATCTCACCAAAACTCTGTCAAATGCTGAAGGACTTCCACCTCTTTGTACATGTCCCAAGACTGTCACCCTTGTGTCATACTTCAGGCGGTCTGTGATCAACTAAAATATACAAGCATCTTATTAAAATTATGGAAGTGCACAATATAGTTGTTTGATATACTGGCTGGCCCAAAAGTAGGTTTACTGTTATAAAGAGATAGTTGAATTACTGTAAAACCTATTTTTGGGCCAACCTGTATGTCATCCGCCATGCTCCTATAACAGGGCTCCGAAATCCAGAATATCTTTCTTCTTTGAGAAGGAGGAACAAGTTCTGTAGGGCTGTGTTCTGAGGATGGCATCGGCAAGTGCATTGCCTTTTAAGCATTTTGTCTCAATGTATTCACATTGGCTAACATGTTCTATTTTTTAGCAATTGAACTATAATTCACATATACACAATTTTTTTAATACATTATTTATTGTTATTGAGGTTGAATTGTTCAATATTTAGTTCTTACTGTGTTTTCTCTACAGCAACATACATTTATGATGCTTTACTTAGCTATATATATATGTAGACTATTTCAAAAAGAAAACCTAGTTCAAGACTGACATATTTCCTGTTTTTTTTATCTAATCAAGATGTTAATAGAAAGTAGGAGTCCTGTTATTATTGAGAATTGAAAAGCTGACACATGATTTTTGCTGGGAGTTGATAGGCTTCATTAAATCAAACTGATTATAATTCAAGGAGGCGTCCTTCAAGATAGCAGTGAAACAGAATATTGAGTGATAACAGCTTTCAATTCAATTCCTCTTTGTGGTATTTATGGTTTGAAAATGGAAAGATTAGACGAGCACCTTAATGATGCAACAGTCAATTTACAAAATCCATGCAACAATAAATGACAACAAGATGTACAAGGGGCATTCTATAATGTCCTTGCAACTACTGTACATGAATGTATATTTTAGGAGATGACATGACAATCCTATTAGCAAAGTGGAAAATATACAAATGGTGACTGTCTCATATTAATTTTAATCAAAGACAAACATGCCACAAAGAGGGAAAATATCACCTCAAAAATGTTGTCTATTTTTTATACAAGATGCTTAATCTATTGGAGCCCCCTACCCCATAAACAAGATATAAAATAGAAGTCATTCACAGTTCCCCTCAAGTGAAGAATCATCTTCCCACAAATAGTCAGTCATGCCAAATCCTGTAGCCTTACCCAAGTCAGTATTTTTTTACTTATCTGATCTTAAATTATTACCGCGGTCATAATAGAAATCAAGATAAGTAAAAGAGACTGACTTGGGCAAGGCTACAAATCCTGGTAAAATGTTAATACTGTAACTACAACTAATATTATCAATAAGAGCTCTTAATTCTAATATGAATGATTAAGGTATTATCATATCTAGATATAAATAGTAACTTAAAAATGCAACAAGACTAGAGACAAATTGAGATTAGCTTCTAAAAATTATCTAATTTTACAATATTTTTTGCTTGCATAATGTTTTGCTCATTTCAAAGCATGCCTATTTTCTAAAATATCAACATTTACAATCTCTTTGCTATTCTTTGCTGCCACTTTAAATGTTTTCCATTAACTAAACCTCACAGTAACATGCCATTCAGAAATACTGGTTTTATTTTCATCTATCTTCACATTAACTTTAACCATCATTAAATGCACAAAAGGTGTATTGGCTGCTTCTACGCATCTTTCAAGATCAGGCTTTGCTGAGCTTATGACAAGAAATGAAATACCTTAGACTAAGGATGGCTTCTGCGTCAAAGCTGTCTTTTTTGTTGACATTTTAGAGCTAAACAAGACATTACTTATTAATAGAAAACTATATCCTGATTGCTAAAACCAATAAAAGTGCAATGCTTTACCAATGCATTGCCTAGTATTATAAAATAGGTTAAAATAAATCATGCACCAAACAACCATGCTAAAAATATCTCCGAAGTCTAATAAACTTATACCAAAGCACCATATTATGCTACGATATTAATTTTAGAATGTGTTTATTGAATAATGACTGCAAAACCTATGAAGCAATATAAATCACAATCGTAAAGTCTAGCTGCTATACAGCCATGCTGTGTATAGTTCTACACAACAGCACAATATTCACCCAAGATGAGTCCCTGGTGATGTATATGATAACCTTACCTTCTGCACACCATTGGCAGTAATGGCCTTGCCTGCCATATCAATAGCTCCTTCGGCTATAATAACAATATTCAATCTCTGGCCCATCACTCTCTCCTGGAAGACCAGCACCAATATGCTTTATCTCAACTAATACACACAATTCTAACACAAGATCATTGAAAAGCTGATGGACTTATGACAACACATAAACCAAACATTGACCAGAAATCATATGAGTCAAAATCATTCTAAAATATGAAATTTGAAATGCTTACTTTGACTTATTCTTTGTGTCATTTAGATATTTGAAAGTGCAATTCTGGCCTTGTAGATTTATGTGTGGACAATTGGTATCAATTTTGCAATTGATATCACCTAAACAGGACCTATAAAGGACCTAGATAGAACCTAGACATGACATAGACTTGAACTAAAACAAACGTAGGAACAAAAACAACACAATCCCTGTTGCTAGCATGTGGTCATTTTGTAAATCATGAGCAGCCTATACAACATGAAACAAGTCTCATTTAAAAAAGAAAAAATAATTCTGATAACAGATTCAAGACTATTGTTTCTCACTTTTTTCATGATATATAGGATGAACATTATCTTCATAATCTGCATCATGATTTATGACCACAACTTTTTGCATAATTGAATGAATGCCTTCTTTTGTCTAAGCTCAACATTTAGTTGAGCAAATCTCAGGAATTTTGCATGATTCTTATGCATTGATATGTAACCAATTGTTGATCCAATAGAAAGCATCCTATCTTATGCCAAACAGTTGATGAGACTGACAGCTACCTCAAATCTGCCAAACAATGCATTAAGTTTAACACAGTTTTTGTAACACAAGCCTTTAAATGGCATCTTTATTCTTTTAACTTGCACATTTATAGCTTTTGTCAAGAATTTATGTGTTACATTAATTCATTGTTTTAGCAGACTTGATTTGCAGGAAACGAAAGATGATAGAACACATGAACACAAACAGATAGAACACACATATACTAAAGCAGGAAAGCAAGCAGGGTTTATAACTAAAACATCACAAAGGAGGCATGGAGCTCCCATCATCCTTGAACTTACATCTTTTACTAAATTAGCTGTGATTTTATTCCCATCACTATCTTGGGCTCCTTCTGCGACGATGATGATATTTAGGCGATAACCTAAAGCTCGTTCCTGAATACATATATATGCAGACAAACATAACAGAGGGGTCGCTGCTTAATAAATAGCAAAACATGCGCAAAATCAGCAGTTAAGGGAAAGTGCCTTCTTTTGACTTTTTAAAATTGAATTCAGTTATAAGTACTAGATGGCTGAACAGTGAAATTATGAATTGAAAATTACCAAATATTTGGTTAGGTATACATATACTTATTCTTTTTATCTAGTTATTTTTAGCTCATTTCTCAATCATCAACATTGGATTTTGCAAATTAAATCAGTTCCATTGAATATGTTCTAATAAATCTACTCAAAAAGGTATTCTGTTTAGTGAACTCAGTTTTTGCAAAGCAAGTTTTTATTTGACATCATGAGTCCTTAAAGGCCCAATATAAAGTTTAAACCACTTTGGCTTATATTGTAGTCTTACCCAATGTTATCAAAGTGTGATATGTGAAACTTTTTTTTTAAATTTCAAAATGTGGTTTTTGATAAACTTTTTGTTCCAAAATTTGTGAATTTATTTAAAACCAACTTTTAGAGGTCACTCATACCTTCTAATTAGCCACAATTCATACCAATGCATAGCATTCATCCTCCCGTGTTTTTTGCCGAAAAATTAAGAAAATCGGTTCATAAATAAGCGAGAAATGAACTTATCAGTGCATAAAAATGGTTCTGAGAAAAATGCATTTCAAAATTTTAGTTCTCATAGAAACCAATGGTACAATGATATCTAAAACATAATTTATTCTTCCTTTTAACTTGGTTAGACAATCAAAATTGGTTTTTTATGAAAGTCTAACATATTTAGAAAAGATTAACATCGAAAAATATTTCAAAATGTTTTTGGTACCTTAGTGACATCACTAATGTTTCAAAATATTTTTGATATGCTAAAACATTGAAGTGGCCTATTAAATATGGCATTTTATTATTGAAATAGTGTGTCCTTTGTTCAATCTTTGCATTGGTGTTAAAAAGATAATCTTTTTTGAAATGCATTAAGAAATATTTGATGATTAAGAAATTTCAATTTTTTTTGAAAAATGGCGGGAAATTTGAATATTTGAGAAATGAAATGCTCACAACTTTTTTATTCAAAATCTTTTTTGTTCAAAAATCTTTTAAAATTACTTTTTAAGTCCTGACAAATAGTAAATGAATGATTAAAAAATATTTTTAAACTTTAGACGGGGACTTTAACTTGCACATTCTAGCTTTTGTATGGTTTTCTTTTCTAAAGCAAAATAAATATATAGTCATGAGTCACTCAAAAAACAAAGGCATTCCCTTTTGAGAACATGCTTGCTAATGAGATTGCTAATAGCATAGAATCTGCATGTAAGCTGCATATTGCAGTATAAACAATACTGTAAGTGTTATAATCTAAGACTTCTGAAATAATATTTAAAATAAATGTTTGATGGCTAGTGTGAGATCTTATGTTCCTATGATGGGTGTGCATTAATGATTGCAATATGATGCGTGCATCATTAGTGCCAAGCACAAAAAGCTTCAAAGAAAGGAATATACAGATGGTATAAAATGCGTGTTCATATATAAGGCATACATATATATGTCTATAGAATATACCTGCAATGTAATTATCAATATTATAGAATGCAATTGTCAGATAATCAACACATTTAAACATGTGTTATCAGCATACTAACAATTGTTATAACAAATATGTACAAGTATTTAATTCACTTAGGAATAGGTTATGGAGAAGTATTAGTGTTTTTCTAATGTCACCCTTCGTGTTTTTGTATTCATTTTAAAATATCTAAAAATGATTATCTTTAAAATAACTCTTATAATCAAAAGACCACCATTTTTAACAAAATAATAAATGATTTAACATAACAACTTGAATCTTGTGCCTAAATAGTACATCCATAGTTATGAAACATTGAATAAACTGAATAGAACACTGCATATCCATTAAGTTGAACTTACATTCGCAAGTTTGCTACACAATACATCCTCCCACCCATGCTCTGGTGGCCACTCAGGAATGAAGACCCAATCAGCTTCACTGGCCAAAGCAGCCACCAAGGCAAGGTAGCCACAATGCCGACCCATCACTTCAAGGATGAAACATCTCTGATGACTGCAAATAATCAGTTTAACATGGTAAGTAACCCCCTCCAACCAACAAGACCAATATTTTAAGCTTTTGTTTAAGTGTTTGTTATTGTATGAAGAAATGAAGATTTTTTTGTTTGAAACAGAGATTCAAAATGCAACAAGGAATTTATATCCTGCTGGTTAAAATCCCTAAGTGGGTTGATAGGGATTGTGAATATGCATCATTCAATGTTTTCCTCCCGAAATTACATTCATTGACTCATAAGTTCTAAATCAATTTCAGAGTAACCACAAAAATGCAATCCTCTAATTTTGGACTAACTTTCTCAAATGTTGGTATGCAGCTTCTAAAATTCATTTGCGTATAAAGAGTAATTTCTCCAAATGTCAAAGTCATTGACGGAAAATAGGTAAAACACTGTTTGCTCCACTGAACACTCTGCTCAGTTCTTACAAAATTAGAAGGCTGCATTTTTGGGCCACCCAGTATTTTCTAAATTCTCACCTAGATGCTGTTGTGGCAATGGCATCCACAGACTCAATGATCCTATGAAGTGCAGAATCAGTACCTATTGTCATATCAGTGCCACAGAAATCATTGTCTATTGAGCCTACCATACCCACTATGTTCAAATGCATGCACTTGTCTGCTTGAGCTTGTGTGATTTTTTCTGGAAATCAAAAGATAACAATTATTTGAAGTTACATGGGGGGTGGGTAAAAATCATTTCACTACTCTAAATCTGAAATTATCATACACATGCATATGCATGTATTTTCAAGATTGATCATTCATATTTATCCATTACTCAATTTCAATACATGTACATGTGTATAGATGCACTTTGTTAATGTAAGTGGAATCATGCCATTGCCTTCATAATGTCACAATGTACTCAATGAGGTTTTATTATATGTTAAAATATTGAAAAGAAAATCTACATGCTATTTAATATACAATAGAACCTGTGTAAGTGGAACACCCTCCGTTCTGCCAAAAAGCGTTCCACTTAGGAGGTGTTCCACTTACGGAGGTTTTGGGTTTGCGGGGATTTAACGAACATACAAGATTAAATATAGAGTTGATATGTATCACTGAAAATAAGATTCTCCGATCATTGCAAGGCAGCTATATAGCATTAATTATCCATTTGTTTTACTCAAAAAGGTATCTGACATTCTAAATCCTCCTCATTCTGCCAAAAATGTTTTCTGACATTCTCAATCCTCCTCATTCTGCCAGTCTCAGACACTAAGATAAGGCAATTAAGTTTTAAAGACTCGTTCCTAATGCTAATAATTCTTTTGTTTTTTAACTGACATTCTTAAGCTTACTTATTAAGTATGAAACAAACAGCAAGAGGTAAGAGGCAAGAGCACCACATGTCCATCTCTTAATCCAATTTGCTGAATGATAATCTTATGAAATTCTAATTTGCTAATTATCAAATTAATTAGTGGTAGCATCACATGTTGATCTCTACAGGAGGTTAATCCAATTGACTATATGGTAATCCATTAAAATCCTAATTTGCCAATTATCACGTTATTACCTGTTTTTATACCCAGGTATCACTGTTGGAGGTTAATTTTGTTTACATAAGTATCACTATTGAAATTTATGGAAAATTGACTGTTCCACTTAGCAGGTTAATTTGTCAATATGGGGTGTTCACTGTTCAAGTTTGGAGGTGTTCCACTTACAGAGGTTCAATTAACATTAAGTCAATGGGTTTTTAAAACGGGACTTTGAAAAAGGGTTCCACTTGCGAGGTGTTCCACTTACGGAGATGTTCCACTTAGCAGGTTCTACTGTACTATGATTACCTTCTTTCACAAGGTCAGCAAGCAGACCAGACCACTCCTGGCGAAACATGTTAGCTCCTGTGAGACTTCCATCTCCACCAATCACAACAAGGTTTGTAATGTTCTTCTGGATGAGATTATACGCTGCCTTCTTGCGACCTTCACGTTCGCGAAATTCCTTACAACGAGCACTACCAATGATTGTGCCTCCCTGGAATCATGATAATATTTTGTTTTATATGAGGAAATATGAGGAAGTTTTAGTTTTCAGGATTAGAAATTTCTAATTTAGAGGGAACATTTCCCTAGCTCTATACCTCAATGCACAAAGCAGTATGCTGTTTATATATTTAAATGAAATGCTCTACAATTACTAGCTTATGACAGCTTGGGCTTACCCTTTGAATAATATCCGAGACACTTTTCCAATGAGCTTCAACAATATTGTCTCCTCCATCAACCATGCCTTGGTAGCCCTACAATATCATTAAGATTAAGTACATCATGATGTATAAGAATTCATACAGGAACAGTCTACCATTTATCAAGTCTCTTTGAATGGGATCATGAACACATACATGTATTATTTAATTTATTTACAGAATTAACTTTATACAGAAAGAAATCTAATTATGGTTAAAGAGGTAAAATTGATACAATTAGTATAATAAGAACTTCATATAAAAGTTTTAACAGTAGATAGTCTTGCATAAAGCCTTTGTTATACCCCCCCCCGCCCCCCTACATATTTTGAGGTGGCAGGTAAATGGGGTGGTACAAAGACTTGATGCAAGGGTAATCTTTACAATTACCAAATTAGCAAAATATCACAATATTCAATTTTTAGGATTTGTAATTAGTGATTTACTAGACTTAGATTTACTAGACTACATGTGACTACTATAGAAAACAGAACATAAAGAACAATGTGCCATGCATTCACACTACTGATTAGTATAAATAAATAAATTACCTATTTTATATATCTAAAACATGCAAGAGCTAGAGGAGAAGAAGTTTTAATTAAGTAAAATCAAAATTCAAAAAATTATATAACAAAACAGTAAGACAGATTAACAAAAAAAAAAAAAAATTATGATTAACAGATTAACTTATACAGTTGTACTGGCCAGCACACTGGTTTGAATTAAAGAAATACAAGGTTCTTAATTTGCCTAAAATGGATAGAAGAGGTACATGTACTGCATTACTAAAGCAGGCAAATGATTAATAATGGCAAAAGATTAATAATGAAGAATCAAAATAGGGTGTTGATAAATGATAAATGCAGAATCAAATCATACATAACTCATCTTAAGGGTTTATCCCCACAATAAAATCATTATGATTTCTTGGTAATAAAATATCCAAACGAGACCATTCATTAACCTACATGTTCCTGACATGTTTCGATATCACTTCAAATACTGCAAATTATTTTGACATCATTTATGATGGGTACATATCCAGAATTGCTTATGAGAACTATGATTATCAATATGATAATTAAAGATGCATTGTCCCATTCAAGAAAATAATGCATACAGAACAAACAGAAGATTGAATATGTCTATTGGCTTCCTGGTCATCTCAACCCCAAGTCAACTCAACCCAGTAAAACTCAACCCCAAGTCAACTCAACCCCAAGTCAAGTCAACCCCAGTAAAACTCAACCCCAAGTCAACTCAACCCTGTAAAACTCAACCCCAGTAAAACTCAACCCCTATATTTCTATATATTGATAAACTTACAAGAAAGTTTATTTCATAAAAATAATTTTGATTATTCAGTTTGTGATTTTCATTATTAGACCACTGCCTTTTTAGATTATAGTTAATAATGAGTTTATCTCCAAAATCTCAACATGGTACTAATAGGATTAAAATATGGGTCATTTTATTAATCTTGCTAATACATTTGTTTTGTTGTAATCCCTATGAGGTTGACACTCGTGATTATTTGGAAAACTGGAACATGACCATTGCTTTCCAGGGGCATAGCCAGCTTTCAGTCAGGAGGGATGCGATCGCCCAAAAAATCAGGTTTTCAGTCAGAGGGTGCCGATCGTGGCATAAGCCAGCCAAAAAATATGTTTTGACAAAAAATGATGCAACTTCCTTCAAAATTGGGAGAGGGTGTGTGCACACCCCTCCTGGCTACGCCTATATGCTTTCAGGCTATTAATTAGTAAATGTTAATGGTTTTGTTAATGCATGTTCATATAAATGAAAAGTTATATTACATTGTTAATTATTTCTAAATTATCTGAAATTTGATTTCAAAAGATGTCTTAAATTAAATAATCGTGACAACTTGATGAATTATCCTTGAGCTTAACCGTTTTTTGGAATACTTTTACAACTTTCTATTCAAATTATCATGCAAAATGCTAGATTTTCAGAAATGAATGACTTAAATTATTCATCATAAAAAATTAAATTAGACATTGCACAAATGAATAGGGTTGAGTTTTACTGGGGTTGAGTTTTACAGGGTTGAGTTGACTTGGGGTTGAGTTTTACTGGGGTTGACTTGACTTGGGGTCGAGTTGACTTGGGGTTGAGTTGGACTGGGTTGAGATGACTTGGGGTTGAGATGACCTGTCACCGTCTATTGTGTCTATATACAGGGTAAGTCAAAAAACACTCATGTATTTGTTTTTGAAAAGCAATCAACTGAGTTCATAAAAACATTTCCACTGAAAAATAAACATCAATTTGAATTTTTCCAAAATAGCAAAAATATGTCCTCAGGTATTTTCAATGGAAATGGTTGAAATAAACTAGGGGTTCTTTTTGTCCCACCCTGTATATGTAACAATTTTGGTAAATATATTTATGGGACTTTCTATTCTCAACGCTTCTCCACTAGTTTTGATAAAGAAATGTGAATGGCTATATCAGATATTTTTTGACAGCCAGATTCAGCCCTAAAAAATTATGTCAACATAATAGACTGATCTGAACTGGCACTGTCAAAAACACGACAGAAACATGTAGTTATAACAATTAAGTTGATTGGATATCATATCACTAAAATAGCATTGATGTGTGCTCCACAAAAATGCAAGCACCCTATTAGCCCCTAAAGCAATATTTCCATCACCATACCTCTTTGATGAAGTAAGCCTTACAGCCTAAATACACTGCCATTCTTACAGCAGCTCGCACAGCTCCATTCATGCCTAGAATATACATGAAAGGGCTGGGGATGAGTGAAGCATACAGTATAGTGCAAGGTAAAGACAGGTTGTGCCACAAGACATTAATGATCATGTGTATGTGTAATCTACCACCACCCACTGGGAATTTAACAGGCTTATATATACAAGTGAAAGGAGGACAGGTCCAGAGCCCATGGTCAAAGCTCCTTTCAAAATCATGGAGATTTTCACCATTTTGAGCACTTTTCAATTGATTTCAAGCCACTGTCATATGAGAACCCCCCTCGGAGTATTTCCTTATCCTGATGATGTTTTTTCTAATATATTTACATTCTCCATCTCCCATTTGCTTGTCACCATGTCTATGTGAGGCTGATGAATATTTCTAAGTGATAATCCCATGATACAGTGAAGGATGTATGGATTTTTGATGTTCATTCCATAAATATTGCTCACTAACAACATCTAACATTTGCAATACATCTTATGCTGGTATTACAGTACAATACAATACAGTACAGTACAGTACAGTACAGTACAGTACAGTACAGTACAGTACAGTACAGTACAGTACCGTACAGCAAAGTACAGTATACCATGTCATAGAATGCAAATATCTAAGTCAAATAACAAGGATTAAAGTTTGTAATACAAAGCAGCTAGTTCTCCCTACCTCCTTTACTAGAAAGACCTTGTACTTATTGAAAATTGCCATTCTGACCACAGATCGTATTGCAGAGTTCATGCCTTGTGGCGAAAAGATGAAGAAAGAAAATTAAATTAAAATGCATATACAGTTTCACAGTACCTGTTATAAGGAAAGGTTTAGCAATATTATAGACTATATAGTATGGTGTAAAATCTCAATAAGCAATCCAATAACATTTGTTAATTTAGTTACTTTGTAATTTTCATGTGTATCTTATTGTAATTTTGGGGCAAAAATATGAAACACTAAGTTGATTTCTTGAATCTTGTTATATCTTCATCCTCAAAGGAAATTTCGATAAAAATGTACCTGACATTTGTAAGTCAAAGATACTGTAACTTCTTAACTAACAAATGTTATTGCAAATAGCGGTATACACAGTGTAATATATATTTGCACTTTAGTTCATACTGCACATATCAATAAGAGATGTACATATATGTGTGTATGTAAACACCAAGCAGCTGTACCAGATCCAAAAGAATCTACACGAAGGGGTTGTATCAGAATATCAAATACATGCACGATGAATAATGACTGGATCTAAATACCAATATTTGAAAGGTTAACAACATATCAATTTATTTAATATACAACTTCCAAAGTTTCCATATATGGTACATGTATACTGCTAGAGGAGGAATGTATACATGTATTTGATATTTTGACAAGACTGTTTCCCTCATCCTTGACACTTGACTAGCAAATATGAAATAACCATATCCTGAAAAATACCTCTCTTATAAGGAAGGCTTTTGCACCAACATAAATAGCAAATCGTACAACAGCACGAACTGCAGGGTTCATACCTGAAAACCAAAAAGTGATTTAAGAACATGACTTTGCAGTGTCAGTGTGTCACTACCTGCCATTTGTTACAGGTACAGACTGTCAAAACCATTTGTAACAGACACTGAACATCAACTGTCAAACACCATCGACAAAAGTTGGAGATTTGAAAATATTTAAAACATGGCTCTCAAACTTTTACCAAAAATTTTGCCATAAAAATGGGTCATATTTAGATGATTTTGAAAAAATAAAACAACGCGATTTAGCTTTGGTGTTTGTAACAGTGTAGTTAAAATATGTGTGTACCTGTGACATGGCACAATCAAATTGTACCTCAAGGCATCAGTTGCTCTCTGGCATCATTTGACAAGTGTAGACACACTCCTCAGAAATCTCAGAAGGAATCTCCAGGAAGTAAAGTCATTGTAGCATTACAGCAAATTATTTTTTGAGTGTAATGATCTTTGTATCTTTACACAGTGCTTTTTGCATATTAGCTAATTCAGATGAATTAAGAAAATAAAGCGATAATAAATCTCTGATGTCAGATGACTACACTTCTGGTAAAAAATTGTGAAACCGCACCCCTCTCTGGGAAAGGTATCTGACAGTCCTGGTAGTCAACAAAAATAATATATTTTCTTCTACCCTAGACAGAAAATGAAGACATTAAACAATCTTTTCTATATTCTTTCTACTAAGCTACTAGGTAGGGTATTTGATAGGGATGTCATGATATCCTGATATTGTCCCGTATCTCAAAACTTTGGTCTCGGGATGGGATGGGACAACCCCAATGTACCCAAGATTTTGGTCAATGTTCAGGATATACTAATTATCCTTCACATATTGACCATAAAACTTCCGAATTACACGATGAATTATGATATAGACCAATATTTTTCTTTCCTATCTCATCTATGCCATCTAGTGGCAATTACTAAAAGTGATTATATTAAACGAAAATTTAGGAAAGAACATGTAGAGTAGTGGATAAAGGTTTATCGATAATAGAGTTTCCCTTTGAAATATGCATTAATTTAACCAGCGAGAAAAGTAGCAACTTAAAATTAATCTCAGATAACAATTTTTGTGCAACATGCACAGCCCTCTTGTAACATTCAAAAGATCCAAATGTAAGCTTACATGAGTATAACCAGAAGTAGACAAAAAATGTAAGTTGTTAAAGGTTCAATAAAGACCATACATGTAGAAGAAATTTGGGAATCATTTTACCTTTCCCAAGCTATTAGTGCAACGTTTGGCCTAATGTCTTATTTGCCATACCTATTTTCTTAAAATGTATGCACTTATCGACGAATACCACCAATCAGACTTGCAAATAGACTTCTAAATAAGCAATGGAAAGGATGGACGTCCCACATTTTGTTTTTTGAAACATTTCTGAATCTCCGCCATTTAAGATTCTTATTGCAGCTGTGATTAGGTAAGACGGCGTGTCAGTATGTTTACAGTATAACCGCAGTTGTCTGATATAACTGTATGCATGGTACACGATATGACCGCCATTGACGGTCTATTACCGGTGACTCTTGCAGTTAGACTGGTCCACTGACGAAGAAGAATCAAAATAAATTGAAGACTAAAACACCTCAAATCTACCCATATTCAAGGTTTTCTTGACACACGCATGGTATAAAGGAAGCAGAATGTTGGATAGAACGTTAGGTGAAAACGGGGCTGGAATCCAATGACAATATCACTGGGAAATCATTTAAAGGTACATGTACGTGAGCATTTTTTCTGTTGATGTCGGGAGAAGATTCCCGAGGATTTAGGATGCCAGTTATTGTGAATATCGGCAGAAATTATGTACGTTCGAGGGTTTTCTTTGTAGCTAATGAAAATAGATGTTAGCCTTGATGAACTATCCAAACTTCGATATATTTTGACACCAGGTCCATGATCGTTGGATACATGTACATCTCTGCATTCAACCTTTAACTGTTATGCTATTAACTATTTTATTGGTTATGTCATATCCCATCCTGAATGTCCTGCCCGAAATGCCTAATTCCCATCCCCTCCCGAAATATTTTTGTCCCATGACGTCCCTGGTATTGGAATTGATCGATCCAGGGTACTACACCAAGTTCAACAGTGTCAAGATATAGGGACAGAAAATATTGACATTTTAAAAGTACCGTTTTTTTCGTTTTGTTATTATGGAAAGTCAAACATGACTATAGATGATGTTTTATGTAGGCATTTATGTATGATACTTAACCATACTCTACGAAGAATGGATGATTTTTGTAGGCATTTATGTAGGCATTCTTAAAACACGTTACTTTGCCTTAAAAACGTTACTTTATTGGACTTTAACTTTTCTCCTCGAAGAATGGATGATTTTATATTAGCATTTTCAAAACACAGTACTTTGCCAATAAAACGTTACTTTATTGGACTTTAACTTTTCCCCACAAAGAATGTATGATTTTTTATGTAGGCATTCTTAAAACACGTTACTTTGCCTTAAAAACGTTACTTTATAGTCGAACTTTTCTCCTCGAAGAATGGATGATTTTTAGGTAAGCATTTTCAAAACACAGTACTTTGCCAATAAAACGTTACTTTATCGGACTTTAACTTCTCCCCACAAAGAATGTATGATTTTTTATGTAGGCATTCTTAAAACACGTTACTTTGCCTTAAAAACGTTACTTTATTGGACTTTAACTTTTCTCCTCGAAGAATGGATGATTTTTAGGTAGGCATTTTCAAAACACAGTACTTTGCCGATAAAACGTTACTTTCGTGGACTCTAACTTTTCTCCTCTAAGAATGGATGATTTTTTAGGTAGGCATTTTCAAAACACAGTACTTTGCCGATAAAACGTTACTTTCGTTGACTCGCGTGGACTCTAACTGTTTCCATGCCAAGTTGTTAAAACACGTTACTTGGCCAGTTTATTCCTTCAAGTGTCGAACATTTTAGCCTTGCATTTTTAAAAAGCGTAACTTTGGCCGATTTCCGTAACTTTCTTGTACTCTTAAGTTTTCCTCCATCGAGCGTTGGTAAATTTTAGGTAGGCATTTTCAAAAAGCGTTACTTTGGCCCTTTTCCGTTAGGCCGCGCCTGGAGAGCCTTAAAATTTAAGGCTCTCTAGCCAAAATGCTAAAGAGCCTTAAATTTTAAGGTTCTTTAGCATTTGGGGTAAAGAGCCTTAAAATTTAAGGCTCTTTAGCATTTTGATAGCCAATTCTGCTAGAGAGCCTTAAAGGAATTCCAGGCGACAGAAATGACGAAATATTGCTTCTGGGACAAGATCAAACGACTTTGACATATTCTATACCCAACCTATTTTGTAATTTAACAATCAGCACAAATATACATACCATATTAGCAGATATCGGACAAATTCAAAAAGAAATTTTTTTGCTCGATAAAATCACTGATTATTAAACCGGAAGTGACTTCTCTGAGGTCCGCGAAGATGAAGAAGAACATATAAAGATTTCAGTCATTTCAACTATTAAACTTTGCCGTCGATTTGAATGGTTTTAAATGATCTTCTAATGCTTACTATGACTTCTATTAGTACTGTTTTGACTTCCCCACTTCATAAAAAAACATTATCACTTTTTGCTCGACTCATAAATTTACTTCCGGTCTACCGAGAGAAATAAAAGAACCTTTTCAATCCCCAGTCTAAATTTGGCTTTTTAAAGGTTCAAACATCTATTTTGAAAAGTTAATGTTTGTTAATTGTTTGATATTCATGCATATATATCCAAAATATATGTCTCTGGTTCACCAGAGAAGGTGTAAGACCAGGCAATCACGTATAGCCAGAAAAATGTTATTTTTACCATTTTATCCACTATAAATCGCAACGTCCGTTTCGTAAAGATTTTGATGTACTATAGAGTCATTTATTGATGGATTGGAGGCTAGGATAAAAATGTTGTTGTTGTGTTGCATAAGCCGCTGTTTCCTCGACATTTCACCTCTTTTGTACTGTAAATTTTCTTTGTGCTGTCTCATGTGCTTAAATTCTGAGGAAGATGTAAAAATATCTTGATCGTCAAGTGAAAAATTCTAAAATCAGCATTGAAATCTAATGGGCAATAGATTTGGAAGTGTATTCTGTGATGTCCCTGCATTCACGATAAACTGCGTCAAGATGTGCTGATCTAGAAGAAACAAGATCCTTTCATCCCCAGGTCTTCATCATACTTTTTGCCATCTTAAAATGGGATTCCCTTAATTCTCGTGACTATAGCAAAGCCGATACAAGTGATTAATTTCATTAAACATTGATGATTGAGCGATGGAGCAAGCCCAAGAATTCTAGAAAAAATTGTGTACATAATTTCCGGACATCAGAGAACCGGGCGGACAACAAACTTCCGGCTTGTTATTCAAAATAAAAAGTGCTCCGTCGGGGAATCGAACCCACGCCGCAGAAGTGGAAAGCGAGTACCCTAACAACTATACCAGAGTGTTTTTCCATGGTGGGGCTAAATTTTTTACAACTCTATAGTGATATACATGTGTGAAATTTTTAAGTGGCATTCTTGGTTGAAAAACTTTCGAGAGTGTTGTTTTATTGTTTAGATGACGAAAACTTCAATAAAAAACAATATAAACACGGATTATAAACACAAAGGCTCTCTAGCCAAAACACTATGTTCACAGCTAAATAGCCTTAAATTTTAAGGCTCTTTAGCATTTTGGCTAAAGAGCCTTAAATTTTAAGGTACTCCAGACATTTCGTTTCCGTTACTTTCTTGGACTTAAACTTTTTTCGATGTGTAACTTGAAAATCTTGTCAGTGAGTGGTATTACTAATTATTGTAAAATATAAGATGGACCATAGTGTAAAGAGAGGCTAGTAGTGTTTTTCCATCTATTAATTCACTTATTCCACCTTGAAAATCTTAAATTCTTGCAGAAACTTTTGTACAATGCCTAACTTTTGTTTTGGTTTGTTTTGTAGTTCGATGATCTTCCATGTTATTTTCGAAATAATAACATGGATGAAACTCCCTAAATAGGTACAGCTTTACTGCACGTTATACCTAACTATCTGTAATATACAATAGTTACGTCTTGTACGTATGTTTATATTTTTTTCATTTTCTGTTGCAATATGTTGGTTGCTTATTTAACGTTCAATGTACTCAATTAGGCGGTTAAAAGACCAAAGTGGATCCTTTTTCATGAATGTACGTTAATTTATAGATTAGTTTAGCCGATAACAGTGTTGAATGACTTCAGAGTTGCAATTTTAGCGATTCATACGATAAAAGATCGATTCATCCCAAACACCCACTTTACCGGAAGGCGCTCTCTGACGTCCGCGCCATTTAGGTCACTTATAACATGGCATTATTTTTCACTTCCCTTTATTAGTACGTTTGAATGCAACCATCTTAGACATTGATGCAGCAATTTTGATCATGATCATGAAATGAAATGATCATGAACGAATAACAGATTGACAGATTGATATGTGAAAATTTGGAAGGTGTATTTTCTGATACTGAGCGACATCTTTATAAAACACAGTTTTCAATCCGACTATAAGTATGAGTAATTCATAAAGATGTCGTTCGCTTCAACTACATCTCATAAACGTCGAACTAAATCACTAGTTTTCAAGAATTATATACACATTGTATTATTCAAAACACGAGCTAACAAACAATACAATCGTTTGCATCAGAATATCAATGTATTTTTCCATTTAATATTGCACTGTTGTCTTTTGATTGCTTTTTATCGACTGACGGAGACAAAACTGAAGTTCGTCAAAATGCGATTCAAAATCATCTATTGAGTACTTTGAATTTCAAAAATAAGCAATCAAATGACCATATTGCAACAATATTTGGAGAAATAGAAACCTCTGTACAAGGCCTAACTTTAGTATTTCAGATAGTTACAGCAAACGTTTGGCATTCAGTAATTTATTGAGTTTCATCCATGTTAATTTTTCGTGTCGAAAATGTCATGGCAGAGAAGCATCGAAATATAAGAGGCCACACATATGATAGCTAACTACAAAACAAACCAAAATATACAAAAGTTAGGCCTCGTACAATTGTTTCTACTTTTACAAAATACTGTTCAATATCGTCCTTTGATTCCTTATTTTTTACATTCAAAATACTCAATCGGGCAAAAAAGTTTAAGTCCAAGAAAGTAACGGAAAAGGGCCAAAGTAACGCTTTTTGAAAATGCCTACCTAAATTTCACCAACGCTCGATGGAGGAAAACTAAGAGTACAAGAAAGTTACGGAAATCGGCCAAAGTAACGCTTTTTAAAAACACCAGGCTAAAATGTTCGACACTTGAAGGAATAAAGTTAAAAGTAACGTTTTACTTGCAAAGTACTGTGTTTTTAGAATGCCTACATAAAAAATCACCCATTATTCGAGGAGAAAAGTTAAATCCACGAAAGTAACGTTTTATCGGCAAAGTACTGTGTTTTGAAAATGCCTACCTAAAAAGCATCCATTCTTCGAGGAGAAAAGTTAAAATCCAATAAAGTAACGTTTTTAAGGCAAAGTACTGTGTTTTGAAAGTGCGTGCATAAAAATCATCCATTCTTCGTGGAGATCAGTTAAAGTACAATAAAGTAACGTTTTAAGGCAAAGTAACGTGTTTTGAAAATACCTGCATAAAAAATTATTCATTCTTCGTGGAGATCAGTTAAAGTCCAATAAAGTAACGATTTTAAGGCAAAGTAACGTGTTTTAAAAAGGCCCTACATAAAAAACCATCCATTCTTCGTGGAGTATGGTTAAAGTCGAATAAAGTAACGTTTTACTGACAAAGTACTGTGTTTTGAAAATGCCTAATATAAAATCATCCATTCTTCGTGGAGATCAGTTAAAGTCCAATAAAGTAACGTTTTTAAGGCAAAGTAACGTGTTTTAAGAAGGCCCTACATAAAAAACCATCCATTCTTGGTGGAGTATGGTTAAAGTCGAATAAAGTAACGTTTTACTGACAAAGTACTGTGTTTTGAAAATGCCTAATATAAAATCATCCATTCTTCGTGTAGATCAGTTAAAGTCCAATAAAGTAACGTTTTTAAGGCAAAGTAACGTGTTTTGAAAAGACTACACAAAAATTCATCCATTCTTCGTGGAGAAAAGTTAAAGTCTAATAAAGTAACGTTTTTAAGGCAAAGTACTGTGTTTTGAAAATGCCTAATATAAAATCATCCATTCTTCGTGGAGATCAGTTAAAGTCCAATAAAGTAACGTTTTTAAGGCAAAGTAACGTGTTTTGAACAGACTACACAAAAATTCATCCATTCTTCGTGGAGAAAAGTTAAAGTCTAATAAAGTAACGTTTTTAAGGCAAAGTACTGTGTTTTGAAAATGCCTGCATAAAAAGCCATCAGTTCTTCGTGGAGTATGGTTAAAATCGAATAAAGTAACGTTTTACTGTCAAAATACTGTGTTTTGAAATTGCCTACATATAAAAATCATCCATTCTTCGTGGAGATAAGTTAAAGTCCAATAAAGTAACGTTTTTAAGGCAAAGCACCGTGTTTTGAAAATGCTTACATAAAATCATCCATTCTTCGTGGAGTATTGTTAAAGTCGAATAAAGTAACGTTTTACTGACAAAGTACTTTGTTTTGAAAATGGCCTACATAAAAAATCATCCATTCGTAGAGATCAGTTAAAGTCCACTAAAGTAACGTTTTTAAGGCAAAGTAACGTGTTTTAAGAATGCGTACATAAAAAGCATCCACTCTTATTAGAGAAAACTTAAAGTCTATTAAGGTAACGTTATAAAGGCAAAGTAACGTGTTTTAGAAATGGCTACATAAAAAATCATCCATTGACAATGAACGAACGTTTTAAAGGCAAAGTAACGTGTTTTAAAATGCCTGCATAAAACATAATCTATTCTTCGTAAAGATAATGATTATATCACCAGGTTTCAACAGCCAAGGTAGCCAACGTTCCTTAATTACTTTTCATAATAACAAAACGAAAAAAACGGTACTTTTAAAATGTCAATATTTTTTGTCCCTATAGATCTATCGTGACATGTATAACCAAGTTGGAGTCCAACTTTAGACTGATTCATAAAACACATAACAATGCGATCCATAATGGATCTAAATGACATACCCTGTGCATCACCACCACTTGTGAAGACTGCAATTGATTTGCCAGCATAGGAATTTTTTTCAACTTTGTGACCCTCTCTCCCAGCAGCAGCAATTATTGACATCCCTTTACTCAGATGCCTCCTCCTTTCTTGAGTTGCACAAACCCCGTCTGTGACAGTAGCGTCAGAAAATGACACCGAAGCATCCATGGTGTTAGGAGGATACTTCGTCTTCTCTAATTTTCAAATAATTTAGCAGATATTACAAGCTAAATTATATATTTTGAAAAAATGACCTTCAACAGCAGACAAGGTGATTAGTTCTTATTCCAATCACCAGGTTTAACTAAATTTGTCCACTAGGTGGCGTCCATAATTATTGAACCCCGAATGAGGGGCCCTCTCGGTAAGAATAGCACTATTTTGATATAGATATTAATACGCACCGATAAACTTTGATTGTGATATATCATTATTGGAAAAAATATTGATTGTGTAATATAATAATCAAGGTATGATATGTAAATATAACATATTTTCAAGAATTTTGCCATTTTTGTTCGAACTATTTTTTACTGCCCATTTACTCAACAGGTGCGCTTAGGTCTCCCTCTTTCACATCGTGGTAAAATTCGCTACCATGAGGTAAAATTCTCCCATTACTTTCCCTTTTACAGATATATTCAAATTGATATCAATTTTTATTTTGGTTCACTTTCAACATGAATGTTTCAACCTACCATTGAGATATATTTGAAATAATTGTGCTGCTCACACACTATAGAATCTTGAAATGTAAAATGGGTGATAATTTTGAAGTTGAAAAAAATGGCTGCCATGTTTTAATTTTGTATAAATAAGTCTAAGGAAAACTACATCTATAGTACTTGCAATTACATTGTAAACTCACTACAAAGGTTATATCTCTCTCTAATGTATGTGTATTATTTCAGTACACTGCGTCTGCAGAAGCGTCTGGCATCTGCTGTGCTCAAATGCGGCAAAAATAAAGTTTGGTTGGACCCCAACGAAACAAATGAAATAGCAAATGCTAACTCACGTAAGTACATTTTGAATTAGTTCTGACTAAAGTGTTTATTAACATAATCATAAACCTCATCTGATGATAATCACCAGATCATTGTCGAAATGGCAGCATTATATGCCTGATGGCTGATACGTATCATCTCTTCTCTGCTTTTGCAAATTATGTAACAAAGTCATTTCACTTAAATCTGATCTGCAGTAGAATTTCTGGATTTTGGAACATAAATGAATTGTCCTCGCATGTATCTGACAGAACTCAGTCACTTGAACAGAATAGAATTGACCGAAATGAAAATCAACACACTCTGCTCATATTATTTGTCCCTGTCCTTGTCCCTTTAGAAGTTGTGTTTATTGCGATTCCAAAAAATCAGGGGTTATTTGCAAAATCCCAAATCTCATTCCAAACAATGCAAAAAGCAAGAAATTTTAAATTAAACTGGAGTTGATGCATAGTTCACCACCTTCTCGAATGCTGTTCACTCCAGAGAGATATCGGAGATCCATTTATATTTGTTTCGGTAAAATTTAGCGTGATTCCTCCAAGTATTGGTAGGTATTTTCGTAAGAAATAGATAAAAATATTGTATACAGATGACTGATTGGGGTGTTCTGCGGAACCATCGATTCCAAGTTGAATTTATTATTATTGTTTCGATTTGCAAGTGATCCGCTATCTGCTATCTGTTCCATTGGCTGTGAGACGAGATGTGTGTTCAAATACACTGTTTAGTTCATAGATTATCTTAGCAAGTATAAATGTTGCATTGTAAATATAAATATCTAATTTGTACTGTTGTATTTTTCTCAGGTCAGAATATCAGGAAACTGATTAAAGATGGTCTGATCATCAGAAAACCTGTAGCAGTTCACTCCAGGGCTCGTGTGCGCAAAAATGCCATTGCACGAAGGAAGGGTCGTCACTCTGGCACTGGAAAGAGAAAGGGTACAGCCAATGCTCGTATGCCACAAAAAATTATCTGGATGAGGAGAATGCGTGTGCTTAGGAGACTTCTGAAAAAATACAGAGAAGCCAAAAAGATTGACAGACACATGTTAGTATACTTGGTTCTTTAGGAGTACCCATTTTAGTCTTTATAAGGACTTGCAACACATGACTGCATACATGCATCTTTTCATCATTTCAAAATTACTCAGTTTTTTCATTGTAGACATCAAGTATCAAATTAGCCTCCCATAAGTAAATTGTTTAGAGCATAGGTTTTCCTTTTTGGGTAATCATGTAATGGTGTCTTCTCATATCAATACCATTATTTAACACTGACTGAATCTTAGTCCTTCTGAAATCATATTGATCTTGAGGCATCAACGCCTCTAAGTTAAGCTGAAGAAAATGAGCTTCCTGGCAAATTTAAAACAAAAGAAATAAATTCGAGGTTAAGTATTGATGTCTTTCAAATAATGTAGTATTCTTTGGTGTCTCAAACGGACAGGCCAGTCAGCCAAATTAATGAATTAAACTAAAAATATGATTTAGTATTTACTTTATGTATAATTGCATTGTATTCCACAAAAATCAGGAAATTCCTGTATGTGTTTCAACAAAGATAAAGTATTCTTCTTTCTGATTTCCAGGTACCATCAGTTATACTTGCAATGCAAGGGTAACACATTTAAAAACAAGAGAGTCCTCATGGAACACATTCACAAAGAAAAGGCTAAGAAACTCCGAAGCAAACAGCTCAGGTTGGTTGATAGAAAACAATTGGTTATTGCAACCTTATTGCGACAGCTCACATCACAGTTACTAGAATTACGTGTTTACTCAGACATTTAATTTCGCATAATTTTGCATTTCTGGAAATGCCACATAATTCATTCACCACTCGGAGCATAATTGTTTGTATAATTTACATTTTTCTGAAAGAATGTAGTCGAATTTATCTTACTGCAATACTTAACATTTTCACTAAACCAAAGCAAGTCAAATTCCTATATGAAATGATCATTTCATTTAGGGCCAATGCTCTGGGACATAAACGAGAATGAACCAGTGAGCTGTAAATGTATCATATTTGCTGTCAATGAGTTCTACCTCGACATTTCAACTCTACCAAAATTCTCTTGATTACCATTTTGATCAGTTACAATAAATATATCACCTGTCACCTAAATTGTTCTCTTTTCTTCCAGTGACCAAGCTGAAGCCCGCAGGACGAAGACTCGTGAAGCTCGCAAGAGACGTGAGGACCGTATCGCACTCAAAAAGCAGGAGCTTCTCAAAACTTATGCCAAGGAAGATGAGGCCGCCAAGAAATAGACTGATTCAATTTGTACATTGTAAATTAAAAGATCTAATTAAAGGCGATAAGTGGAAACAAGAATTACATATTTGTTGTTGATTGATAGATATCACTGACAAGGAATGTCATGCAGCTGAAGTAATTATATGGCCATTGAGAAGTGGCGACATATTGTCCAGAAATGGGCGTGACATGGATTGAGAAGCAAAAACTTACTATTTATCTCCCCTTAGGCTTTTTTATCGCTCCCTTGGGTGCTATATTCTGATCAGTTTTGCAGGAACGTTTGTCACTTACTTTTGTCTACTCATTTACAGGTCAACTTTTCAGGGGTGTTTCATTGTATGATAATCTCAGTTGATCAATTTTTGGGGGTTTTATGTCACCACCAAAAAGTGGTGTCATATTGTCGTGGTCTCTGTTTTTTGTGACAGCGGTTGGCATTCGGCAGTTTGTGTCTGTAAATTCTTATGCAATAACTTTTTTTTCAAAATCATCCATAAGTTCTCAGAAATTCAAATCTGACGAATGGTTTTAGATCCGACCTTCAATGACCTTCTCGGGGGAAAAGACATGCTATAAATTGACCAAATCTTTGTTCAAATGTGACTTTAGACTGAGATTTGACCTTCTCAATGTCTTTTTTCAACTTGCTTCAAATTGACCAAATTTTTTTCAAAATCTACAATTTCTCGAGATTTAACCTTTTTCAACTTGCTTTAAATTGATCTTCTTTTTTTAAATCATCAAGTTCTCAGAAATTCAAATCTGATGATTTTTAGATTTAAGACTTGAGCTTCAATGACCTTCTTAGGTAGGTATTTTTTCAACTTGCCTCAAATTGAACACGTTTTCAGGAAAATGATGTGAGCATCTAGGTGGTGACATTTTGTCATGTAATGCCTTGTTTTCATATTTATGTTGTTATAAAGTTCATCATATTTCTGATTCTCTATTAGTATTAGAACTATAAAAATGACGTTTTTCCTCATCATTCTGGTATAAGGCATCTACTTAATTTACCACAAAACCTATACACTCTACTATACCTAACCCCTAGAAATGCATAAGATACTCTGGTTGCCTAATTGTATTGTTTAGTATATTTTAAGTACCTTATTAACATCTAACAGTCATCTGATAAGCCATAATAAGGAACAGACAAATAAAAACAAATAACGCAATCATTACAAATGGGTTGCTCATGAACACCAAATGCAAGGTATGGTAGAGTGATAGTGAACCCACCAATTACTTAATACAGAGCTTAAAGAGAGAATCAGATATAGCGAGAAGGCTAAACAAAAAATTGTTTCAATTTTAGAATACTTTTGGCTCATGTCATTCCTTGTCATGTCTATTTTCTAAAAATCACAAAAGTGCATACTTTATTCCAGGAAAACTAAAGATTTTTACAATAATGTATTATTTTTCTATAAGAATGGTTACCATTCTTATTATTTGGGAGAATTTAAACATTTTTCACCCATTTTTGCACTTTGAATCATTAATAACTTCACCAATTTATAACATATTGTGAATCTTTTGGGAGATATTGTATTTGATATTGTAAGGAATAGATTGGTAGGTCAATTATACATGTTGCTTGTAATTTTGTCACCCCCTATAGATCAGATTCTTCCTTTAATACATCCAAAGATTTAGCGACAATAAAATCCCATGAAATTAGGACAGAGTGATAAGAGTTGGATTGATGGTTACAGTATGTCCGCCATTTGTGACCAAGGTGTGAGTACTAAAGTGAACCTACTGACTGACTGTAGATTAAGGTTTACTATTGACCATAACCTGAAGTGAATCTTATACAGTTAAATATATCGGAAGGTTCATTTAGATCATTCAAGTAAATGAAACCTGAGACCTAATAAGTTGCACACAAAGCAGACCTGTCAATACTAGTAGCAAGGTATTATAAGGTAGCCCCTGGAAGGTAGCTACCAGGATCACAATCAGGTTGCCTATTCGGTCCAGATCAGTGGATCTACTTTCATATGAACGTTTAGTGAATTAGATGACTAAAAGATACAGATGTACTGTAAACAAAATTATCTGCTTGGTATCTCAGGATCTATCTAACCTCGAAATCAAATCCAGGAAAAAAGTCATGTCGCTGATAAACAAATTCAAAACTTCATTTTTAAATTTAGATTTCAAATATAATACACTTTGACTATTTTGAATATTAAAAAATCAAGATTACTATAGTCTTTGGAGAAGAGGAGGGAAAGCCCCATAGTTTTAGACGTGACAGACATAATTACATCTCTTGCTTACCACCTTTGTTTTTCACTGGCTAGTTTACGAATACAACACGTCAGTTTGATGCTTTAAGTAATATTTCCATATTCCTTACATCTTTTTTTATCTTGGTGTTATTGTTTATAAAATATTAATCACCGTGCCAGCGGGGGTGCCAGAAATTAACATAATACTATTGGAAGCCTGTTTAGAAATTTTGAAACTGCCATTGAATGATGTCATTTGCCTTTCGATTAGACCAATCAGTGACGATGTCTCCTCAATACAGATTTACATTATACATGTATCTCATACTTGAGAATGAGTGGGTTTGGGGTAGATATCACCCGGGAATATATATCATATCTGAGGAGCGGGCAGGATATATTATATATGTCCCGCTCCAGGGCAAATGTGGGCAGATATAATATATCCATCCCGCTCCCGGGAATTTTTTAAAAGTTTTAACAATTTTTTAAAAATTAACATTTGAAAGTTTAAAATTTGTTAAAAAGTTTAAATGTTACAATTTCATTGTACATGTATTGAACTAAAGGAATATTACGAAAATGTTAAATCCAAATTCTGCTTTACAGTATAGGCCTATCTTGTCATTTGAAAAGGTTGGAACCCCATACCCACTTAAGTATGAGATACACCAGTTATGTACGATCGGTTTTGGATATAGGGTATATCCCTCTGGAAATATTTATATCTCCCCTTGGTCCCTTCTTCCTCGGGATGATAAAAATATATTCCTCAGGATATAACCTATATCCAAAACCTCCCAGTACATAACCCTTATATGTCTTCTCTGAACCCTGGAGTTATTCCCCTCTTTCTTTAGAGGTAGCAAATAGTGAAACTCATCTCTCCTAATCATAAACCACTGCTGCCACCTTTATATCGGCCTAAAACTTCTGGAACATTTATAAATCTCTCAGGCGCTGGTCATTTATAGATGTCAGACTTGTATGATTTTTAGGGGTCGTATCAAGAAAGTTTCCTCAAATTTTAAGTTATGTTTACTGATTATTTGGACTATATTGCTGTAAAGATCATTAGTCGATGTCAGTAATCTGTAATGTAAAATGTATTTTACGTGTTCAAACACGACAGCGCTGAAATGTACTGCAGATAAATGCCAAACAATAAAAACCAATAATCGTTGTTTATACGATCCCCTTCAACTGTGGCCGCCATTTTGATTCATAATCTCAACATCATTCCAGTGAAATCTATCGGTGCTCTAAAAACGATGTTTTCTCTTCTCATTGAAGACAAAAGTATGATATAATGCTTCCAATTAACCCTATAGGACCTGGTAAGTCTTTATATCTAGTTTCTATTTAGGTTCTAACTAGCAGGACGGAGAAAAGGCTGTTACAAATTGAATATTTGAGAAATTTATGAATCACTCAAATCAGAATGAGGAGATCAGAAAATTGAAAAATGTGGAATATATTCTAAACATTAGATGTATTTAAGATATTTTGAGTTTTTTTATTTTGCCAATAGTCCACGACTCTCAAATGAGATGGTTTTGATATATATTTTCGCCTCTGCTTCTCTAACAAGCATATATTGTCTGGCATGTTTCACAAACAAAGGCTGAACAAAAAGTGAGAAACACAAAACATCAATGTGTTACACTGAACCAGTGTAGACATTATTCAGAGGTCGCATGAAGTGCTTTAATGGAATAGCCTTTAGAATGTTCATGCTTTATCTGGAATTTGATTTTAGAGGCACGGGGGGTTGTTTGCTGAAATTTTTTATGCTCTGTATCGAAATATGGTGTTAAAAACTTGTTGTCCAAAAATTAAGAACCTTAGGAACATGTCGGGTAAATGGTCTTCTTATTTTCGTACAATCATCCTTTGTAGAGACTCATCTTTACAACTATGATTGAACATTTGATTTTAAATAATGAAGAAAACATTTCTTTACAAAATGTTAGCAAAACAATAGAGAAATTCATAAAACATTTTCCCCTGATAATTAGGACAGTCTTTGCTTTGAGCATTTTTATTATCAAAGTCTCTTCGATGTTGTCTTTCAACTTTTGATATTTGATGATTTTAACTATAAGTTTACATCTAAAGAAAACTGTCCTCTCAGATTTTATTAAAAAATGTTCATGTCCCTTTGGTAAAATGAAAGACATTTTCACATCAATATCAAAAGTCTGCCAGTGCCATCAATTTCTTTTATCAAGTTTAATTGTATCATTAATAGATTATGTAAATCTAATATTCAGTTCAATTTGTCATAATACCCTTTGTCCTGAGTTGATTTAGAGTTCACCTGTATGAACAGTTTTGGTATGATGTTCTCACAAGTTATCTATTCTCTAAAAAGCCAATTTAGCCTTATCCGCACTGGAGTGTTCAGGTGAATTTAAAAATCTAAGAAGTTATAGAAATTCAAAAATTCAAAGAACTTTCAACTTATTATAAGATGACCTTTTACAGTTAAAATAACCCATAATATATAAAATTTTCCTCATGTTAACAAGAAATACAAACTTTCAAGACAATCAAGGATTCTAATTTATTTCTTACTTATTTCGTACACAGCGAATGGTTTTATACCAAGCTTGTCACCACCAGACTTTAACCAAAACAACAAGGACTCTTTACGTACAATGCTGCCAGGTAAATATAACACTAAGCAGCAACGTTACCTCTAAATTGAACAGAATACAAAATATATATTCAGAAGTACAATAGTAGGGGATATTCAACCCTGCGCTGTCTGTAATATAACGTTATTCATTGCATGCAATGTTAGAGGCAACAAACTGTACCATGTACAGGGGCAATGAAATGCAGATCAGTCAAGCCCCCAAGGACGTAACATATGGGTATACTGTAATTAAAGCTTTTACCCATATACTGGGGTGATAAAAATGATTTCAGTACCCCTGATAATTTACCTATCATTTTACATGTTTGTAGTCACCTGTCTATAGATTACTTTTAAACTCAGTCTGTCTACCTATATGTATCTAGAATAAAATCTATAGTTAGTTTCTTTAGACATTCATCTTCATAGTGTGTAACTATCCATACTTTGTATAGGTAGGATTCTATTCCATCCAAGAACAGTATAAACTCTTCACTTAATTGATACTAATTTCTCATATATTATTACCTGGAAATGATTTTTTATTTGGCTATATCCATGTCTGGAAAACAGTTCTAAAGAAGGCCACGGGTCATTTGTTATTTAGGGAATACTCATGAATATTAAGTATCGAAACCTGCTTCTTATATCACTTCAAATGGTCTCCAACCTTTTTTATGACATTTGGCAGACGGGTTGGTGTATGGCATCTATAATAGTTTGCAATAACTTACAAAGTTGTGACATGTTGTGTTAATGCCTTGTTTATAATATAAAATTATCAAGATGTCTTGAGTTGATATCAGTGCAATTCTTTTATCAAAAATTGTTTTGATTCTTGAATATAGGCCTACCCTGTGAACTTCATGACTTTCTTCCTGGTTATTAGTTTTTTTCAATGATCCGTGTCTAATTTAATTCATTTTTCTTTCAATTGCTATCCTATCTTGTTACTTTTTCAAATAAAGAATAAGTGAAAGTTGCATTATATTGCAGGGGCAAATCAGGAAGTTATCAAAGGGGATCCGAAAATGCATTTTGAAAATATTTTGTTGGAGACACATTTGAAAATTTTGCCCCATTTTTCAAATAAAATTACCTTATTTTCCAAAAAACAAATTAGGCATTATTTGAAAACGAGGCCCAAATTATATAGTCTCATCCATATGACAATTGGCCCATGTTCTTTTTATATCCTTTTGTTTTGTTGGTGTTTATTATAATTTGGGGAATCCCCATATGACTAATTTGAAACTAAGTCACAAGATTTGTAGTGGTACTGACATATATTTCTGTACACACTTCCTTACCTATCTTCCTCCACCCCTAGCCCCACCCATGCATAGCAGATGAATTCCTAAATTCCTTACTTGGGAAGTATTCTTTCATGTTTCCCCAGCTAATCACTCAGTACTCAACTACCTACTGAACCCCTGATGTACTGTCTTGTTTAGTTGTGAAAAAAGAAAAAATTTTTGTGAAATACCATGTAATATCATCATGGGAAGATCTTAAGTAATATCACAATGGGTTACAATTTACTCTTAACAGTGAATTGATATTGGTATTTCTTGGGCCAACTAGTCCAAGCCATGATGACATATTAAAATTTGAAAGCGTTTTCCTTACTTTCCTGGTGCGTCGTAAGCTTTGACCCAGAGGCTCGATGCCAGTTGAATGATTTGGGCCTGCTAATTTTTTCATCTGATAATGTTTTGATTTGGCCCCTACATCCCAAATCCTTATGACGCATCCTACTTCCTCTTTTCCTAGTTTAATCAACTTTGTACGTGTCATTAATACAATGCACTGTGTGTAATTACATCACAATAGAAGTGAAGTTAGATTAAATTCACAATTTGCAAAATATTTTATCTTTCTTACTAGTACTTTGGAAAATTGCCTGATGAATTGGAGTTTAAACAAAATGATAATCAGTTGTTTATTTTTGAAATATTATTTGCAGTCTGTTTTGCACAAAAACAAAATTATTATGTTCCTCCACCGATATTATCAAAAATAGCTTGCATTTATCAGCATGTTAAACATTGAGAAAGCACCAATCTATCAGGCACATTTTATAGTCTGGTGGTCGATGGTATTACCCATTTTATTTCACAATCACAATTACACATCCATTTTATGTTAATTGTAATTTTATGTGTAATGGCTTGTAATTGTGAATAAACTACTGTCCAGGGCTAAAGCTGAAATGAGTTAGAATTGGTTGCTGGTTTGCATCAATATTTTTAGGTGAAAGGGTACTTTTACATTTTGAAATTTTGTATTTGTTTTACTGCATAAATGTCTGGCTCATATGCCAAAATGATCTTTTCAGCATGTTTCTCCAAAACAAATGTTTTATCATCTTTGATATTCTTCAGTATCAATGGATGTTTATATGAGACACATTCTACCAGCATTATTAATATTTATTTCATTAATAATTAGTTGGTCTTAATAAGTCATTAAAATTATGAAAAAATGTTATTTTATTTTAGGTCAACCTGGCCTAGGGGGACAGCAGGTTGGTCCCCCAAGAGGAATGCCCCCAGTTGGGATGCCACCGGGCCCACCTGGGGGACTCCCCCCAGTAGGTATGCCACCGGGAGCTATGCCTCCAGTAGGTATGCCCCCTGTTGGAATGCCCCCTGCCCAACCGCCTCAAGTGCCCCAACAACAAGGAATAGAAGGAGGAAGATCGGAGGGCAGTCCCATCTCAGGCTTCCAATGTCCAGCAAGACCTAACCATGGTGTTGATGGTAGACCCATCATGCTGCGTGCCAACCATTTCCAAGTGCGTATGCCACAGGGCTTCATACATCACTACGATATTCAAATCACACCAGATAAATGTCCAAGAAGAGTTAACCGGTAAGTACAATATTAATGCATTTGAAAGATCTAAGTAATTATTATATCACTGTCATATTCCCCACTCTCTTATTGGTCTATACCATACACTTGACTAAAAATAAGAAGGCTTATTCATCGCCCAAGCACTGAAATTAAAAGAATGAAAGATGCACAAGTATTCACCTCCATAGTATGAAATATTTTTGGATTATCATCCCTTTTGCTGGTATGCTCTGGCTCTGGCTTTTAAATTCTTCATATATCTTGAAAAATGTTATTCTCTGGCACTTTACGAAAATAAGATGTTCCCCTTCTGTGTATAACATGAGTGTATTTGTTGAAAACAGGAAACATATTTTTCCCAACAGGTGCTTATATTTGCCATCTGCTGTTTTCTAATAAAAGAGCTGATTATATGATCTTGACAGTTGACAAGCACCTTCATCATTAATATTGGGTTGCTTAATGATTTCTATTTATTTATTTTCTTCCTCGAATGTTATTCATCATTCTTACTAGCCTATATCTTGTTTTGTAATGCATGTGAAATTATTGATGGTGCAGTAGAATAAACTATGAGTTAACATTTTGACAGTCAACTTCCACCCCTTCCTTGCCAGGTTCACAAAACTGCAAATTTTATTCTATTATGTTATCTAATGTCCCCTTGTGCCTGCTTTTTAATTAAATAATTTAGTCATTATTTATTTTTATTTTAGTGAAATCATAGAAACAATGGTGCAAGCCTACAGAAACCAAATATTCAATGGCCAGAAACCAGTATTCGATGGAAGGAAAAATCTGTACAGTCGAGATCCTCTACCAATAGGGCGAGATAAGGCAAGTGAAATATGTAACCTAGAAACTTTAAGCCATAAAGTCTATATGTCAGTACCCTGCGTGCAGAGTCTAGTTAAACTACACTCTGCCTAGGAGAGACTATATTGCAGTTTAGTAGCCCCGCCCCCACGACGGGTACCGGTGACAGTTTGGGTAATAAATCACTTTTGACCTACGCGCTGACCTTTCTTCCACCAATCAGCGAGCTTGAAAAAACATACGCCAAATGCGTTCTTATTAAATATGCGCATGTCATTGGTCAATTCCGGGCTCAACAATGACGTCAGAAGGAATGACCATATATAGAACGTCGGTCAAATTTGGCCGACGAACACTGATTGGCGCGGTGAGTTCACAGGTTTATTTTAGTTTGAAAGAGTGAAGACGAAGCTCTCTTTTAAGAAGTGAAGTCAAACGAATGCAAAGGGTAATATGTCAGAATTAGAAAATGTTCATACATTCACAAATTGTGTCAACTTTTACTTTGTTTCATAAGTAGTGTACTACTGTAAGACATGTGCATATTGAATGCCTATGGAGCTACAAAAACTAGGGAAGTGTCCACTACAGAATTGTTTTCAGTTGAAACATGTGTTCAGTAAAATGGAGTGTAGCATGTTTTACTGCACAATACTTCCTATATGTCTGGCTTCAACGTAAATAATATGAATTGAAACCAAACAAACACTTTTATTTTAGATTGAAGTTGAGGTAACTTTGCCTGGAGAGGGTAAAGATCGTGTATTTAAAGTTGCAATCCGCTGGGTCGCCCAAGTCAACCTATATGCTTTGGAAGAGGCACTTGAAGGACGAAGCCATGCAATGCCATTTGAAGCAATCCAGGCACTGGATGTCGTCATGAGGCATTTGCCCAGTATGACGTAAGTCTTAATTATAACGAAATAATTATAAGAATATATAATTAAGTGTATATACAGAATATGATTCGGTATGAAACGCTGAATTGGAGATTCTTAAACTAAATAAAATATTCGCTTTCAGGGTGAATGTTCAGCTTCAGTATTCAGGTTTTTAGGCAAATTGTTTTGTATTAATGTCAAATAATACACAGAAATTCTCATTTAATCTCCAGTGTGACTATTGGGATTGATTACATTGCTGAGATCAATTTTCTGCTGCCAGTCATGAAGGAAATAATGTTCTAGGCATGATTATGACGCACATGCACCAACATCCTGTAATAATTATCCCATCGAATGAAGTTGGGAGGATATAGAGAACGCCTCTGTCCGTCTGTCTGGGCAATAGTTGGAATTCCATTGACCCAATGGCCAATATTGTTTATATTTTATAACATATGACATATGCCCTATATGAGTAAAGTTGATTTTGGAAATGGCCACCAGTTTTAAAATAGCCACCATTTTAGTGTCAATTTTACAGTATTTTAGTTACAATATGTAATTCTGCATTACTTAAAGTAAAAACATGGCAGCCATGTTGAGTGATTTTTTGTTGAAATTTTACGCATGAATACTTGAAGCATATTACACTAATGACAGTGTAGTGGAGCGATTTTGGTGATATTTTTTATGTGAATTCTTATTAAAACTTTAAAGGCATGTATTACCTAATGACACTTTGGAAAATATTGGGAGCCATTTCCAGGAAATTATGGCCATTTTTGTTTGTGTTATTCTACATTTTTGCTATAATTGGAAAAGAAATAGAGCAATTTTGTTGACACTGTTAAATTATATATCTGCTTTATATGGGCTTATTAGCCTATTGCAGATTATTGACATAGACATATCTTTTAGCAATACATCTATGGTTGCCATTTTGTGACATGATTTCTAGCAGTGTTGTCTGACACTCAATAGATGTTTGATAGGATCTTTCTCTTTGGCGTTGCTGTTATCTAGTTAGATATCCATTTTCAGGTCGTTATAGAGAAACCAAGCCTGGTGATTTTCATTACTTGAGTTTTCAATTTTGTGACATTCCTTTTCAGGTCCCTGGAGAGCAGATCAGATTTTCCATTGATCTGTGAATAAATGTGCATCATATTAACTGCTTTGATTACTTACTAGGTATACCCCAGTAGGGCGTAGTTTTTTCTCACCCCCAGAGGGTAATTATGACCACCCATTAGGCGGTGGGAGAGAAGTTTGGTTTGGGTTCCACCAGAGTGTACGTCCATCTTTGTGGAAGATGATGTTGAACATTGATGGTAAGACTGAACTGTGTATATTTCCATGTATTGTTCTATGGTATGTGGCGGACCTGGCTAGCTGGCTTTTTCAATACAGGTGTAGGATGTGGCTACTTTGCATTTTTGATAGCATGCATGGATGATCTGTTGTGCTGGTGTTTCTTTCATTATTACCCAAAGCATTCACATCAAGAATTTCTTGTGAAATACAATTCTTTCTGGCTTAAACAACAACAATATCAACAATATGTTCACAATTTTTATATATAGTATATTCACATATTTATTTCACAAGATTCACACAGATTGATCTCTCATATTAATCTTGTGACATCATATATTGGGATGTTCAAAGTCAAATTGTATTTCACTAAGAAGGGAAATCTTGGTTCATACATGTTTGCTTGGTGTGTTTGTCTGCCTGCTTATATATATTGGGATTCCATCCCCCAAGTGCACCTAATAAAAGAACTTTAAGGTACACCTTAGGGATGTTCCCTGGAGGTTTAAAAATAGTATTTTTGGTACTTTTGTCATTCATAGTTTTCTGAGGTTCTAATTGGCAACAAAAGATATAAAACTTAAAAAATTATATTCTGTTAGTGTGCTTTTTTCCAAGAAATATTTGACAAAATTGGGCGTGGCACTACCTCATTGAATCCCATGTAAACAATCAGATTTCACCCGAAACACAATTTGAAGTATTTAACTTTTCTTAAACTCACAGGAACACTTAGTTATGATATGTACATTACATTTGGAAGAAAGAAAATTTACCAATTAATGTTCATAATTTTCAACTTTGTCCAGGGTACATCCTTAATGGATTTAAAAAACAGTGAATTCAAAACATTACAGGCTGGCATCTTGATAGAAATTGAGTTGTATGAATCCATGTTTTTTGGAGCTTGGTGATAGCTTAAGCTTGGGGATGGCTTTCTTAGTTATAATATAAGCAGGCAGATGCGTCATGTCACCGTTTTTGGTGTACTTTGTTTTAACTTCAATATTATGGTTACCTACAGCTTTAAAGAAACAATCAATTGAGTAGCCTAATTTGAAGTTTAGCAAAGTGCATATTCAATGACTGCCCCAGGTTCCCATGGTTTTTGTTGCTTGCTTTGAGTTTTCACCTTTACGTAGTCATGTGTTTAATTGCACAGATATACCCCAGTCGGCCGGTCTTTTTTCTCACAACCGGAAGGCTACAATCACCCCTTAGGTGGAGGCAGGGAGGTTTGGTTTGGATTCCACCAAAGTATCAGACCAACTCTATGGAAAATGATGCTTAACATAGACGGTAAACAAACGCAATGATATATTATTGTAATGGCCTTGTTAGTATAAATGCTTTCTTGGATTGGTGCTAGAATCTTAGACATTGTATTAAGTTGTTTTTATGTGTTACTTGGTCCGATGCATGTATATAGTAAGATAAACTATTAAGAGGAAAATATTTAAATAATATGTGTTTTTTCGCTGCATATTTACTCTAGTATTCACATATTTCTTTGTTAGTTATGTTGATTAATAAAAATACCTAGAGATATGCCTGCCAGTAAAAGAGCAAGATCTCTAGTAATAAAAATTAAAGTGATCAAATTTACTTTGTTTATGCTTATTTGAGGAAAGCCAGAAGGATGAGGCTGGTAGCATCTAATTTCACAATCTATTTTATTTAGTTTCTGCCACTGCCTTCTATCAGGCACAACCTGTGATAGAGTTCATGTGTAAAGTCCTTGAAATGAGAGATGCCAGTGAACAACGTCGCCCACTTACTGATTCGCAACGAGTTAAATTCACCAGGGAAATCAGAGGTAAATGCTACATTCTGCTTTATTATTTTATTCAGTGTCCGCAACTGCGTTCTATAAAGCTCAGCCTGTCATCGAGTTCATGTGTGAGGTCCTTGACATGCGAGACGCCAGTGAACAACGACGTCCACTAACTGATTCTCAGAGAGTTAAATTCACCAAGGAGATCAGAGGTAAACAAATAAACAATATCTGTGAGTTGTGAAGCAAACAAACAATGTTGTTGCGTGTTGGTGTTTGTAAACGTAGTACTCATAAGTCTTGTATCAAGCCATTGTGTACCCCCCCCCCCCACCTCAGCATTAAATGCTTTATGAACCAGTGTAAGACCGATTTGGCAAATTAGAGCGCAGTAGTAGAGACAAGAGAGCAACCCCTTTGCTTTCAATAAAAATATACCACCAGTTATTATATGCAGTTCATCTATCCATGTGTAATGCATTCATTTAGGCAATAAAGACGCTAACACCTGACACCTGGCTATTGCCTCATGAATAATTGGTTACACCCAAAGTACTTACAAATAATCCTCTATGAAAAGAGATATGATAATGGGGGAAATAACCTTGATGCAAGACTATAAACGCATGAAAGTTGATGTAAATATTATCTTTAATAAAGCTGGAAACTTGCTTGTAAATTTTACAGGTCTGAAAGTGGAGATCACACATTGCGGCACCATGAAACGAAAATACAGAGTTTGCAATGTTACACGTCGTCCAGCGCAGACACAATCGTAAGTTAATTTATCAGTTTATCTTGTGGCTGTATTTTTGATGAGTGACTGGATTTGTTATCAAATAACTTGCGTGGTTAGCCATTTCCCACACTTGTAAGAGTATAGGCAACTTGGATTTAGTGAGTGAATCCATAAATTGGTACATGTACAATTATAACCTGTGAAGTGAACACCTCCATAACTGGAACACTTTTAAAGGTCACTTACCCATTAGCTTCATGTAAAATGAACTTCTGTACGTGGAATGCCTTCTAAGAGGACCATTTACTATTTAAAGGTACCAAATGTGTTCTACTTACACAGGTTTTACTGTATATCATAAAATCTACATGTGAAATATGTTTTTTCAGCTTCCCACTCCAGCTTGAATCTGGACAAACCGTGGAGTGCACAGTGGCCAAATACTTCTTTGAACGATACAAAATGAAACTTCAGTAAGTATAAATGCAAATTTTTATTGGAACTGGTAGTGTTGGAATCCCCATGTTGTTGATTATACAGGGTCTTGATAGTTCATCCATGTTCCTCTACATTGAGAAAACGATACCTTCATCAAACTTACTTTGATGTTACTATAACAAAATAAGAATAAACATTTAAACTTGTTCAGCATTTTCTTGTCAATGTCAAATGTTTTGATACGATAACATAAAAAAGTGATTTGATTTGTGAATCCATGTTAAAATTCTTATGTATATTACAGTGAGATGTTTCCTGTTATTTCAGATTTCCTCACCTGCCATGTTTACAAGTAGGTCAGGAACAGAAGCATACCTACCTTCCCTTAGAGGTATGGAGTTACCTTATCACGAATTAAACCTTATTTAAGAGGCAAATTAATCATTTATATACATACATATAAAATATGAGCTGAATAACTTCAACGTCTATGATGAAAAAAAATTAAAAATTACCACGGTGTGTTTTGCTATTATTTGATTCATTGTCAAATGATTATGTGCTTATCTCAGTTCACCTTATGATCACCTCAGTTATTCTATAGCTATCAATTCATTTTTCCATGACTATCACTTTATTGTACCACATCTTTCACCTTATTTATTCTGCAAATGTACTCCAAATATTATGTTCCACTCAATAGTTTCCTTCCTGAAAAAATATTAGCCTGACTCATTAAAACTCACTCTTAAATTGTGGCCTCGGAGTTAATTTTACTCCTAACCTATACTATGTGTATTACATCATGTGCATTATTACATCATGTGCATTATTACATCATGTGAATTAGGTGTGCAGGGTCATTGCTGGGCAGAGATGTTTGAAGAAGTTGACTGACAACCAGACCTCCACTATGATCAAGGTAGTTATATTTTTACATGTTTATCTTGTAGGTTTGTGTTATAGTGGCTGGACAACGCTGTATGAAGAAACTCACTGACATGCAAACATCAACCATGATCAGGGTATTCTTTTCATTCACATATTATACATGTGTTATATACCTGTTATTAGTAGCAAGCATGGTAAAGTTTGAACCTATGGACCATACATGCGTCATCGTGTGCTACTCTTAAAAGTGTCATAAATGGATACGTGGTGATTAGATTGCTGTTGTTAAACTCTGAAATGAGTCATACAGCAAAAGTAAATTTTCTGTATTCACATACAGATTTTTTTGTACATGGTGATGTATTCTTAGCCGCACTTTATTAGCTGAGAAATCTAATAGTTTAGCCTATTGTATGTAATTATCAAAGAGGTAATTACAAGTACCTATATGTAACCTGAAAAAAGTACAGGTTAAATGAATATGTTACTGTATGAATTTGTTCCTTCCGAAATTTCGGTTTTCTGAAAATTATGACATTGATATCTGGTAAAAGTTCAAAATCAATTCATGGAAGTGACCCGGGAATATGTTGATAAAATGCAATCAACATCTTCATTGCAACCATGTATATCAAACTTCTACCATGCACTATTAGATAAAGTGTAATGTAGCATGCATGAGTACACATTCATCCCTTCTTATCCGCTATTGAAAATTGTGCAATGATACAACTTTTTTATTTAAATAGTGCAATGTTTAGGCAAGCAGAAATTTATTTTAGAAAGGCCTGCTTTAGTTCAGTTCATTGTTCTACGGAAGTTGTAGAATTTATGTATACTCATGTATTTCTATTAGTCATACTCAAGTAGATAATCGAAATGTGATTATTAAATTTTTGTCTAACTAAGTTCTCTAATTTTTTTATTAAATGTATGAACTCGTATTTCATCAATGAAAATTTGGTCTAGAATCTAGACTGCATGTTGATTAGATGATTATTCCTATTTGCATGATTTGTTGTCTTTCTTTGAGAATATATCTTCAGAATATGATAAAGGATTCCTTTTCAATATGTAATTCAGATTGAAAGTTCTATATACATGTTCATGTGTCAGGTGAGTTGATCTGGATGAATAATAAATATACACATGGATGTCTGGGATATGACAGACCATTGAATCCTCAAAGCACTAAATCCTTTAGTAGGATTATGAGCCATTTAGGTAGGCATCGGTATAGATTTTGGACATGGTACACATGTAAAAGGCCCAACAGCCAGTTTAATCACTGTACACTGCCTACCTAAGTCTTTGTGACTCCTATTTGTGAAGAGTTATTTTATGTCTGACAATTAACATATATTGTATTGTTATATTGTAGGCAACTGCCAGATCTGCACCAGATAGAGAGAAAGAGATCAATAGCTTGGTAAGTCAGCATTCCCCATTAAAGTAATTATTACCACTAGGAATACATTCAAGCTTAAGCAGTCTAAAGGCTCATTGAATTTCCCTGTCTTAATGTTAAATAAATGATATATAAAATGTTATCATATGGACTATCATTGTTGGTAAATGCTTAGAAGTGAATATACATTGTTCAACACATCAGTGACTGGTGCTTACAAATTGATTGCTTTATACATTAGATACATATCACTTTGTTTTCTCATATACATTTATTATACATGTATGTGAAATTGATTATATGCTGGAGATAAAACATGGTAAGATACTCAGATACGCAGCTGTAATTTTGCCAAGCTAGAAATTTTTTGTCCAAAATTAAGGTCGAGGATAAATATAAGTTAAATGATCAAACTAGCCTTTCCTTTAACCCTTATCCTCCCAAGACTAGATTGTTTCATGATTCTATACTTCTGCCACCAGAAGTTGTGTCGATGCCAAAATTATTTCTCCCAACTTCTTTGTGACCAAAATATTGTTTAAAAATCAATGATACCAGAAACTTATTTGTAAGGTAAATAAAGAAAATGTTGGAACATACATATCAGTACATTTTTAAGCATTATGAAATTCCTGACATTTTATTACTTGTCACTGGGAGATAAGGGTTACATAGGAATGTTAGTTTTGCCTAAATGTTTAATTTCTTCATTGTACAGTATGCCAGAAGGAGGAATTTTTGTAAGAGTTTACTTGGTTATAATATAAAGCCAACAAGTTTGACCATTTCCATGTATTTCTATATTCATGTGTTTTTGTGATACACTTTTCGAAACACTCAAAGTTTTAGTTTTTAGAGAATTTTGTCTTTTGCCCATTTTTATATCACTTTCTTTTCTTAAATCTTTATATCTAAAAAAAGAGATGATGAATTTTTTTGTCCATTTTTTATCAGTTTCTTTTCTTATAAATTAATATCTAAAAAAGAGAAATTAACTTCCAATCTCCTTTCAGTCTACTTCTGTTGCCCTTGTATTACAAAAGTCATCCCCAAGTATCATTCTGCTGTGTTTCTCCTTTTGATTAAATCTCCTGTCATTAGAATTGTGTTGAAATGATTAGCATTATGTTGTATAACTCAAACAAGCTTAAAATTATATAGAGTGAGCTTGAAAATATTTGCACTCCATTCAAATATGTCGGAGAAGTTGACCAGAGTTGACGGGAGGACAGTAATTGCACCCATTGATCTTATTTCTTGCCATGTGCCTAGGTACGCAAAGCTGACTTCAACAATGACCACTACCTACAAACATTTGGCATCAGCGTGGCGAACGCTATGACCGAAGTTCAGGGTCGTATCTTGCCCCCGCCTAAACTACTCTATGGTGGAAGGGTAGGCATACATTATACAACCCCCGATCAAAGACCACAATAATACAGTCATACAGCATAATGAATCAAATTATTTAATTCGCACAATAAAATTAATTCTCATCAATGAAGTCAGTTTATTATGCTCCATTCATGTATAGTTTGGGATTTTTCATATAAAGAAATGGTTGCATTTCTTTCAAACCATATTATGCTGTGTGTTTAGAAATTATTGTGTCCTTTGATGTTTATTTTTCAGTCTGACTGGCAATAATAGGCTGAGAAACAATGCATATGACATTTCTGTCAATCCCAGCAGTTGATATGCATATATGGCCTAATATTGCATGTGATATGGTGAGAGGTGTGCAATGGCTGGTCACTCACACTTAACCAATCGGGTGCCTCTGTCTGTCTACTTATAAGCCGCCATTTCACACCTCATCACCATTGCTGTCTCAGTGAGAGGCATGTTTGTGATATGAAAGGTCCCGTCACTTCTGAGTGTTCGGAGTGCCCTCTGGTGATGTATGTTTGTGATATCGTGTTTTGCGACCCATTCTGTTGCCATTAGGTTCGTAAAGCTGATTTCAACTCGGATCCCCATCTACAACTGTTCGGAGTGAGTGTGTCCAACAGAATGGTAGAAGTCCAAGGCAGAGTTATCCCACCCCCCAAACTACTGTACGGAGGAAGGGTATGTTAAGAAGGACCACGCCTGTGATGCATGCGTTGTTTCAAAATACAGACAAGCTGAATGTTCTGAGCTGCCAATCATCATCTATCCCATAATGCACCTGGTGCTGTCTGCTCTTTCACTTCCAGATAATTCCCCATTCAAAAACTGTCAATTTTTGGTCTAAGAAGTATTGGAGAAAAAAAATGAAAAACAAGAAATAAAATCTGTTACATTTTGGGGAAATGTCTTGCAGATGAGAGAGTGGCAGGCATATTGTTATATGTATGTCTTGAGGAAGTGTAGATGTTTTATTCGAAAACCTACGTGTTTTGTCGAGATTTTCTCTTTGTTTAGTTTGTCTAATACTCTAACATCACTTCATAACCTCTGTACAAGTAATCATCAATCCAAGCACTGTTTTAGACATCAAACATGGTTTTTGAGAAACCGAAAACTTAAAGAAACTGGAAAATGATTATTACTTGTTTTGTTAGATCTAGTAGCTCAGATAATTTCAGTTTTGTTGTCTTTATAGTTTTAGTTTATTTTCTATTTTGGTTTCAGTATTTAGCCATAATATCCCAAAATTATCTTTTTAAAATATTTTTAATGCATGTTCATTATTATTTAATTTTTGTATGCAAATTCTGAAATCACTTGTTTACACTGGACATGTATTATAGTGCAAATTATCCATTGCAATGTTGTTCCTTTAAATTAGTGCAGGTAGGTAGGTATTCACCATATTCACCTCATATATTGTTATCCCATATGTGCTTTTAGAATTCATTCCCAAGTGGCTGAACAGATTCTCATTCATATATTTAGTCCTAGATCATTTCCCAATTTTTTGTTTTGTTTTTATGTCACCACCAAAAGTGGTGACATATTATTAAAGTCTCCAACTCTTTGTGGACTGTGTTCAGCAGTTGATGTTCGGTGGTTGGTGTTCAGCATCTGTAATAAATGGCAGGTAGTGACATTTTGCATGCTGATGCCTTGTTAATAATTGAAATGAAATTGTTTAGTTTTGAATTATTATGATTTCATAGTAATTTTATTTTGACTTGAATGTAACCTATTCAATCATGATTAACCAAACGTGTGATGTGCTCGAGTGAAAGTGTGTGTGTTTGGATCAGTGTGATAAGAAAGAAAATAAAAAGTAATATCTGGAGTACATTTCATCAAGAAAGGTTTTAAACTCAATGATGTACAGGTGTGTAGATTTGAGTAAGCTTTGTATTTGGTAAATGCTCCAGATGTAACACTCCCATGTGATCGATGTATGAATGTGGCTTTATTCCCAACTGGCTTACATCTTGATGAGAACATCTTTCATTTACATGTGCTTATGTAAAGCTCACATGTTCTTCACATGAAAACACATATTTTGCAATTATAAACAGAAGCACTATGAGATACAAATTCGAACATTTTCTCATCACCAAATTTTGCACTTTGTCATTTCATCTTAGAAATCAGTATAAAATTTTTATGTTGAAAATATATTTACTATTAGTTTTATTATATCCATCACACTATTTGCAACTCAAGACAACACTAATAAAGTTTTTAAAGAATTACCAACTGAACATAAAATCTTGTTACCATGACAACGAGAAATCAGATTTATACAAACATTGATTTTACTTGTAGACGAAAGCCCAGGCTATTCCCAACCAGGGAGTATGGGACATGAGAGGTAAACAGTTTTACAGTGGAATAGAGATCAGAGTCTGGGCAATTGCATGTTTTGCACCTCAGCGTACAGTCAGAGAAGATGCTCTAAGGTAAAAACAATATAGCCCCCAAGAGTGCTTTAAATAATAATTATTCAATAATTGTATATATGAAATTATAAACAGTTTGTTGAGGGGAGAAGTACTCATGAAAATATAGAACAAATGAAGTAAGAATGATCCATCCCCTGGACAAAGATCACATGACTGAGGTCAAGGTCACGAGGTAACTGAGACTTCAAACTGTTAGAATCGAAGAGTTTTACTTCTGAAATGCTAAGCAAATAAAGATAAATTCAACAAATAGTAAACTTAACTCAAGGGTACACAAGAACAAGTTAACTTGTGTTGCTTTGGGCACTTTAGAGAAACAATCATTTTCGATAAATAGTAAATAAAAAATTTTCCAGTTTTATGATGAGAAAAAAGCCTTGCTATTTAATATTTATGAATTATTTTTCAGAAACTTCACATCCCAGTTACAACGTATATCTAACGATGCAGGAATGCCTGTAGGGGGTCAACCATGTTTCTGTAAGTACGCCACAGGCCCTGACCAGGTAGAGCCCATGTTTAGATACCTGAAGAACACATACCAGGGCCTACAGCTCATCGTCGTTGTGCTTCCTGGAAAAACACCCGTATATGGTAAGTGTTGAAATTTTATTACAGTAAAGACATTTCAATTGAACAACTCTCTACAAAGAAGTTAGTCCCATTTACATGTAATATAAATGAACCCCCACTATCTATGAGGAACTATTTGGCCAATACTGAATGTGTTCTGTTGACACAGGTTTTATAATATGAAGTAAAACCTGTTTCTTTGAATACCAAAAGGGTTCCCTGGGGTTTGAAAAACAAAAATCCCTGGCCTGGAAAAGTTCATGAATTTCAGAATTTCCTTTAAAATGTCTAAAATTGATTTTATGCTGGTAGCATGTCTGTGATGTTCTTTTTTGTGTAATGCCAAGAATAACAGTTCCCTTTACTACATGGAAGTTTCTATGTATTTTAGCTGAGGTTAAGCGAGTGGGTGATATTCTATTTGGTTTGGCCACTCAGTGTGTTCAGGCAAAGAACGTCATTAAAACATCCCCACAGACCCTCTCTAACCTATGCCTTAAGATCAACGTCAAACTAGGTGGCATCAACAGTATACTCATGCCTAGTGTTAGGTAAGTCATACATTTCTGCTATAGGTTCATTGTAAACAAAATTATATACTGTATTCTCTGTATTGGCTTGGGAGTTTATGAAATTCGAAATACATCCTTCAGACCATTCAAATAAGCGCCCATAAATGAACGTTAAAAATCCCTGGTAGTTTCATATGTGGCAATTTTCTTGCCAAGAATGGCTTATTCTCATTTGAATTTATATCTTAAATTTTTAATTGAATGACAGATCATCATTTTCAAGTTCACAGCCCTGAAGTGCGCAGAAGCTTTCTTGGTTACATGTTGAAACATTGTTCTTAAACTTGAACATTTCCTTCATTCATATATCAGGCCAGCAATATTCCGAGAGCCTCTCATCTTCATTGGTGCCGACGTAACTCACCCGCCAGCAGGTGACGTGACAAAACCCTCAATAGCAGCCGTTGTGGGCTCACAGGATGCCCATCCCAGTCGATACGCCAGCACTGTCAGAGTCCAGTCTCACCGGCAAGAAATTATCACCGATCTAGCCGCCATGGTCAAAGAACTGCTCGTCCATTTTTACAAGTCCACCAAGTTTAAGCCCACCAGAATCATCATGTACAGGGATGGTGTCAGTGAGGGCCAGTTCGCTGAGGTTAGTAGCTTGCTTGATTACTCATTGAAATCAAGAATCGCAACATTTTTAAATGTTATATTCAATATTGAATATAACATTTTTGTTAACTGACATTCAGTATCTTTAACAAATGGTACTTTTGTGACTGCAGTCATGTGATGACATTTTTTAAAGTTAAAATGGTGCTTTGTTGCTGTTGAAATGAGAAGAATATATACTATTAAGAGAATACTTTTACACTTGCTTGTGTTCTTCATTGAATTCAGGATTACTTTGTGCTTCCATCTGTTCTTTTTTCAATTAAATTCAAATTGCTTCTGGTTTATAAGTAAAACATGATTGTTGAAAATCTAATTAGCCATGAAATGTATATGCCCCTGGCCTTTTTCTTTTTCGTGTATTGTATGAAACATTGTTTGATTGACTTTTAATTTAATAAATTGAATTGAACTGAATTGAATTGAATTGAACTGAACTGAATAACAATTAGAGTAAAACCTGTAGAAATGAACACCTTTGGTACCTCAAATTTAGAAGGTGTTCCACTTGCAGAAGTTCATTTAGCAATATTCAGTTATTCAGTAATAGTTGAAAAGTGTTCCATTTATGGGAGTGCTTCTCTTACAGAGGTCTTCCCCTTCACAGGTTTTACTTTAGATAACTTCAGTTGTTCTTGAAGTAAGTAGTATGTTAATGATTTTATAAAAAATTCTTGTTAGGTTTTGGTGCGTGAGCTACGTGCCTTACGTGAGGCCTGCATGAAGCTGGAAGTTGGTTATCAACCAGGAATCACATTCATTGTGGTCCAGAAGAGACATCACACAAGACTCTTCTGTGCAGACAGGAAGGACCAGGTAATATAATACAGAGTTTCATGTCATCATTGAAAAGTTAAGCTACATGTTTTTTAAGAAAACGTGTACATGAGTGTCTAATATTATGACCCCAGGGATTACAGAAAGGACCAGGTAATATAATACAGAGTTTCATGTCATCATTGGAAAGTTAAGCTACATGTTTTTTAAGAAAACGTGTACATGAGCGTCTAATATTATGACCCCAGGGATTACAGGAAGGACCAGGTAATATAATACATGATTCATGTCATCATTGGAAAGTTAAGCTACACGTTTTTTAAGAAAACGTGTACATGAGTGTCTAATATTATGACCCCAGGGATTACAGAAAGGACCAGGTAATATAATACAGAGTTTGATGTCATCATTGGAAAGCTGAGTGTGTGATGTGTAATATTATGACCCCAGGGATAACCATCCTCATCTCACATGACTCTTCCAGGGACCTAATTACTACTATTTCCCTTATGCCTTTATTCTCAGTAAATACAATGAAAAGAAGAATTTATGTTAACTGAAAATGTCTAACTTCTGAAGTTTGTCCTGATTGGTTAACAAATGGCTACATATTTTTGGGCATTGACCTAATTTCTACTCAGCTATAAACTGAACATAGACATAAGCTATTGTAGAATGAATCATCACCTTCTCTAGATTCTAAATTGATTTGTGTAAGAGTGCTAACATTTCTCATGTTTGTTGTTAGATTGGGCGCAGTGGTAACATTCCAGCAGGTACAACAGTGGATGTAGGTATCACCCACCCCACAGAGTTTGATTTCTACCTATGCAGCCATGCTGGGATCCAAGGCACAAGTAGGCCTTCTCATTATCACGTCCTGTGGGATGATAACCGATTCACAGCTGATGAGCTGCAGATGTTGACATATCAGCTGTGCCACACCTATGTACGTTGTACCAGAAGTGTCTCGATTCCTGCACCTGCTTACTATGCACATCTTGTGGCATTCAGAGCCAGATATCACCTTGTAGAGAAAGATCATGATAGGTAAAGTAGCATATACCTATTTTATGTCTAGTCCTGTTTTACTAAGTACTTATTATTGTGAGTTCATTTTTATGTCCCCATCATATGTGATGGAGAGATTACTTTTTAACAACTGTCAGTCTCTCGGTCTATTACTAAAATCTAGAAGTTTAGGGTATCAAATGAATTAGGGAAATTTTTTAGTCCTTAACATTCATTTTTACATTCACAGTAAATGAGCATTTCAAACTTTTTTGCAAAATCTATACACTTAATGATGACTGCATCAGGCTGACGTGTTTAACCATGTGTAAAGTAAAATTTTGATTCAATCACACAAGTAAATTCATAGAGGTAATAAGCAGTATAAGGGTTCACTGGGTAATACATGGTGCCCTTAAAAGAACTTTCTAAAGATTTTTTATCTCTCTTAACTCTAACTTCATTCTATGTATACTATAGCCTGTCTAATCTGAACGCAATTTAGATCTGCCAAAAGTTTTCTGATCACCAGGTATTCTCCTTTTGAGGTCTTAAGATCAGAGCATATGAAATAATGGACTAAAAAAGATTCACATTGAGAGGTGTTCAATCATATAATAGGTGTTTGGATATACATGTTTTACTGTAGTTTAACATGGGGACATTCTACACTCTTGTGCTTTATTATTTCAGCAGAAACAAAGCAAATATTACCCAACAGAAAATGTCATTAAAAGAAAATGCCTATTCCAATCCATAGTTCACTTGTTATAATTTTTATTTATTTACATTAATTTACATATTGTTTTGATATTAAGTACATTGAACCCCCTTTACATTGTATACTGGCTTTCCTCTCTCTGGGGGGTGGTAGTTTGCCTATAAACCCGTCTGTTAAGTTTGTGAAAGAAGTTTATAACTTTGCAGTCTGCATGATACTGCAACAAGAAAGATGTTCAACATGACATAAAACATTAAGTTCTCAACAAACTCCAGTACTACAGTAGTATTGGAGAATATGTAACAGTGTATCTTTGGTTCATAAACTTCTTACTCTAGTTCCATTTTATATAAATGATTCAGTCATGTTGGTCATGCTTCTGTGCATTTGCTTTATGCATGTGTGTCTAATGCCCTTTAGTTCAATTACTAGTGTATTCGTCACTATGGTGATGCTCTTGAAATATTTAATGAAAGCCAAAGTTTCATCAGTTCCAGTTATAAAAATGGATGCTAAAAGGAATAACTGATACACATGACTAATAAAAACATGCATGTCCTCAGAGTTGATACTAAAGTTTCACTATGCTGCCAATGGGGTTTCTATTCAGGATATCTTAATCACACTTGCTAGTTTTCTGTGTTCCAAGGTGCAAATTTCTGCAAATAAAAATAGCAAATCTGTAAAGATTCTGCATTTATTGCAGCTGTTTTTTGGGGTTTAATTTGAAGTGTAGAAAATGTGTGATTCAATGAAGTAATTTTCTTTAATGAACATATGACAATTTAATACATGTCGATGTATTATATTTCATTGCTTCTGTTGTGCACATATTGATCAACATTGTAGGAAATGTCTAGAAATATAAGGTTTATGTATCCTAGATGAGCCGTTTCTGTTTTGTTAATTTGCAGTATTGAAAAATTCTGTAAATGAAAATAGCATTTTTCTGTTGTGTGTAGAAAATGGAAAACTGTAAGTGTGATTAATAAATGACAATTATTGAAATACATGCATCATGTTTTTAATGTATATCAGAATTCACAAACTTAACCAGTCAGATTGATGGCAATTTTTCCCACCTTAATCTTGATTCATTTTTGAAACAAGTGCTTTAGATTTAACATTTAAAAGAGCAATTAAACGATTCATAAATTCTGATATTACAGTATACTTAGTGGTAGCGGGATGCCAGTCATCTAACACGAATTATAAGCTTGTGTTGTGCATATGTTTCTTTTATTTTATTCTGCACAGTGCTGACAATGGAAGTTCAGGGAATGGTCACAGTTTCCATGCTTACGGGTCAACATCTGTATACAGGTACAAAATATAAAACATTTATTTCATTTTTAACTTTTTGTTGTTTTCTGTTATTGCTTGCATATAGGAAATAACATAAGACCCTGCCCAAGAGGCTTTGTACTCCCAGAGTTTTTCTTGATTTGTTTTTAAAAATCTGAGTTAACTGTGAATTTCAAGGGCATCATTGTGTATTGTTAATATGTTGGTGTGCTGTGGCTGCTGTGTGTGTTGTGTGGCTATTAACCACTGCTAGCTTATAGTCTACTCTGTAACCTGCATTCACTTATACCTCCTGTCAATATGCAACAACCATATTATCAATCCAATACCACTTTTTATGTTGAGACACCTAATCACTGTGTCCAATTTTAATTATATATTTTTGGGAAATATTGTCCTGTTTCTACTCACTACTAAGCGGGTAGCAAAAATTTCAACACAAAGGAGTGACACCAGTAGGTTCCTGCCAAAATGATACATTATTGCTTGGAAATTTTGAATGTGCTTGTTTATAAACATAAAAACACAAAACCATGTCTCTTCTATCAAAGCAATCCAACATATATTATCAGATATTCAATAGACATAGATACAATTTTTGCTTTTTGAGAGACATTATAATTCAAGAAAAAAGATGGCAGTGTGGGTGGTCTTAAGGAAAGCATGGTGACCAGAAACAAGAATTACTTTTGCTTGGCCTAATTTATCTTCTGTGAAATTAGCTTTCATTATGCTTAACTGCAGTTTGTGCTTTTTATTTTTACAATTTACACATAATTTCCATGTATGCTTATTAGCATGATAACAGAATGCCCCTTTATAAAATTGGAATAAACCATTTAGATCAGTCAAAAGTCCTCTTACCTTACCTAAAAAATAGAAGGATTGGACTACCACTAGGGCTAACCCAAACTCTGATTCCTTCACATTTACCTTTATTTGAAGTAGACGTGTAATTAATTAATGATGTTGTTTGCTTTCAGTGGGGAGGGCAGCCAGTTGTCTGGAGATCCATCGACTGACCACAACCCCCAGGCTCTGGCGAGGGCCGTCTCAGTGCATCCTGATACATTCAAAGTCATGTATTTTGCCTAGACATATCTTAAAGATGTGTGCTGGAGAAGGGTCACAAAATGAAAGCGCAAAGTAGATTGGTCTAATCAAAGCTGTATTTATTAACTGAAAATCTCACCAGGAGTGCCGGGTATTTAGTACGCTCATTGGCTGATAGATGGCTGTTGGAAAAGGAGTAATTAAAACATTTGAAGACAGGAGTTGTTTCTCCACTTGCACATTGTATGCATGAGTTTATATCTAAGGTTTCAGAATCGCCTATTTAGTAGCGAACGATAGTGCACATATCCAATCCATCAAATGTATATTTTAGGTATTTTATTACTGGTTTTTATTTTACTGTGGTTTTCATGGTCAGATATGAGCTTCACCAGAACTTCTCACCAAATGTATTGTCACCATGAGGGAATACCACCAAGTAGGTAACATTGTATATATAGTTAAACAAATCCATGAGGTTTTTAGTTAACTTGGTTTTTAACTACAGACATTGTCTGCTAAAATACAATGTGCAGCTATTAATTTGCTGTCAAAAGCATTGCAATATCCATGTATCTCAAAAAGACAGACACAAGAGGGTGTTTGACAGTACTGAATATAGTCTGAAAGATCTCGCATTAACCTGCTTTATTTATAACAATGCCATATCAGTCTTAATAGCATGTAGCGCATTAAAGTACTAGTAAAAAAATCTATGTAGCAAAACTTGTTTCATTCTGGACTACGAAATAATTATTACGATTTTCTGTTACAAGAACGTGTGTCGTGTGTTTATTGATTAAATGAGTGAACTGCTATCTCAAAAATGACAAATAGCTCAATTTAACAGTGCAAAGTTAAATAACAATATTCAATAAGGACTCGTACCATTTTGCAATTGTTAGAGATTATCTATTTTTCACTTGAGATTAACTAGTTTATAAGCCAGTGCCTTGTGAAAGCCAAAGAAATCATAAAATAACTTTTGAAAAAGTCTTGAAAAGAGAAATGCAATTGTCAAATGATATGAGTTCAATATCTTCCAGTCAAAAGTATTATGAGAGATTGCAATATTGTGTAGCATATCACTGTGATCGGGCAGTCGTGTTATCTCCCTCAGGAGCAAGGGAGCTTATGCAATTTACTGACACAATTTACTGTTGTCAGTTTTTCCATTCAAAACAACACTGCGTTTTGCATGCAATTGCAAATGGAACAAAACCACATGTATTATTATGTAACACCTTTGTAATATTGTCACCCACTAAGCCTAAGACAGCTATGATAAGCTACTTTTTCAGGTAACACAAAGGTTGTTCTCGATGTCGGATTTAGATCAATATTACTAACTAACATCTTATTGTCCAAAAACTGAGATAATTCCCTGTGGCTTAATGAATAACTTTTACTTAATTGTTTCATCCACAGCCAATCTAGCTGAAAGTTGAGTTCAGTTCATCTTGCAATACATGGCCATGGTATTTATACTTAAGCTTGGTTATGCGGTCGGTTATTCCAATTAAATTATACTGTATCTGGTAGAGTGCAGTCATACACTTCCTTATACCAAGTGCATTATGTGAGTGATCTTGCAATCTACCAATCTCACTAGTTCTTCGGTACTGTATCTATTTTGCAATAGGTGGTTTTTGTTAGGTAAGAAAACTGATCTCTTAAAGCCAAGTGTATGTGAACACATGGTTGCAGTGGTGCCTCTTTCACTATGTATGCAGAATGCATTTACTCAAAAGACATTTTCACTTAGGTGGAGCTAATGACCAAATACATAAAACAAGTTTTAATGTGGAGTATTGCCCTTTGAGGGTGTTAAACCATTGAATACAACATGGCCATAGTTTGACATGTGTACCAATAGATTTCAATATTTGACACTGTCTTTGGGCAAAAACTATATGCAATAGCAATAGTAATATTAGAGTTAATTCTGACATTTAAAACACTATTTTGTAGTCATAAAATGATCAAAGTTTAATATACATAAAGTTGCGCTAAAGGATGTTGTCATGTAATGGCTGTGAAATAATGTCATCTCTACTGTATCCATGTATACGGTATCAATTTATAGCCATATATGGTATCCATGTGTACAATATCATATGTACTATATCCATGTATATGGTATGGATACTTTAAGTATCAATTAATACAGTATTGATCATTACAATATTTATGGATATAGTATCAATATATACAGTGTCCATCATACAGTATCAACATTTACAGTATCCATGGATACAGTTGAGATATGGAACCTCTTAAGGGAATATGTCAAGTGGATAGATCCAATGCAAAATCATGTTATTATGAATTTTGTGTTGCTTTATTCCATATTTTATATTTTGTAACACATTAATTTCTGGATACCTTAAATAACCATCCCTATCCGTACCACAACTTGGTATCCAGGAATTAATGCGAAACATTGCCTCAAATATGCAGACTAGGTGATAACTCAACGTTTAATAAATCTAATAAGGTATACATGTTAGATATATTATTATATATATATATAATGCATGGTGACTGTTTAAAGAAGTCATTATATGTAAAAGGGCTGCCGGTCTTAGTATGGACCTTTTGACAAGTGTCAGTTAGGTTGTGTGATCACTAGACTGATGTGATGCTAAAATTGCCTATGCCTTTTAATGTAAATGGTCAATTTTACTATCCAACAATTCAATTCAAGGGATTCAATTACAATAAAGTTCAGTGTTTTTGTTATAAGCATGTAGCCATAAAGCTTCCAAAGACAAAAGACAATGTATTGAAAAGAATGTTCAGTTTGCGATTTTGTAAATATAGAAATAATTCCATTTATTCAAACCAAATGAAGCTAATGGCTATTCGAATGATATTTTGTAGTTATTCGTGTATTTTAGTCCTCTGTAATATACTGGGTGGCCTAAAAGTAGTTTTCCAGTTATTCAACAATCTCTATGTGAACTGTAAACCTACTTTTAGACCACCCTGTTTTGTTTGAATGGCCCATTTATTAAAATGGTCATCAAGGTGAAGGGATAGGTAAAGGCTGTGACTAAGACATTATGATGATGATAAGCCTATTGTGTGCCGAATAGAAGTAATATTTAAAATGCTTGAGGATCTCATTATAAAAATTGGCTGCTCAATACATACATTGGTATGATTAGTTAATATTTCTAAAATTCTTCAATTTATATTAAGAAAAGTTGTGATAAATTAAAATATATTTTTAGATTTTTATCTAATCATACCTTGTCTCAGTCAGGTTAATTTCTCGTTTTGGCTTTTTCAACATTTTCTGCTAAGAATTATGAAGCTGGGAGTGATTGTTTTACATTGTGGACACATAACCCATTTATTTATGTTGTGATTACTTCACACATTACAATGTTATTACATATTTATTATGTTCACACCAATATTTTTGACAATTGAAAACTATGTATTATTCAATTAATACAACATTTTCCAGGAAAATACCATTTACATTGCTATTTAATTCAGTTATAAATAGATTAGCCTTTAGCTATTCTGGAGAGAATTTGGATTTTATACGAGGGTCAATATGATATTGACCCCAGAAAATATTAGATTGACACACTAAATCGTATTGTCCCTCGAATAAAATCCATACCCTTCCCTCTTATATTAAGTAGCCTCTATCTCATTGTACCTTTTCATTGAATTAATAGCAGAAATTTGTTATTAATCTCATTGTAATTCCAAAATCTTTAATGTAAAGTGTTTTTCTCAAACGTGAAAAGTGTATTTTAAATTATTGCTGTTTTATATTGATAAGGTATGATAAGGTTTTTAGATTTTGTTTGATTCCATTGAAAATGCAAATCCACATTTGTAATTGTATATATAAACCCAAGCCTGGAATTAAAAATAAGTCTTGATCATGTTAAGTTTGAAAAAGTAGATATTTTTAAATCAATTGCACTAATTTATGAGATCATCCTTATAATCGTTTTCATCATTGAGTGTGTGTCAGTTTCTTGTTCACCATAGAAGTGTGGTTTAAAGATGAATAAAATGATTTAGCATTATGTTATTCTATTGACAACATTGCTCCCACCCTTTGAACCACCCACCCATTCATATCAACCAACGTACAAACAGAACTGTGAAACAATTAAATGAAATTAGCTAAACAATCCGGGTATCAGAGGTATGTGGTTTCTTATCATTTACTACATAAATGAAACTTTCATGATCATGAACAATTTTGTAAAATTCTATGAGCTAATAAATTATGCTGTATATTATATGCCACCTATACAAATATGTGTTGTTGTTTCCTTTAAAGGGGAATTTATGAAGGCCCCATCTAAAGTTTGAAAATACAGGGTGACACAAAAAATGCCACCCACCTTACGTTGCATAACTTGTTTGTCTATGAACATATAGACTCGTCCTTTAGCACATTTTAAGTGGTTCAAAGTGTGAAGTGGGTCAAATTTTATGAGCATCACAATATATGTTCCATATGATGTCCACTCCTTTGCAGGCAAACTTGAATTCTATGGGCAAACTTGTTGATTACCCTTACACATTGAGATATGGCCCTGATTTATCTTGTAATTGCTCTCTTTAAGTCAGTTGGGGTTTGGGGATTTTTGTCTCACATGGTCCAGTGACCCCAGATGTAAAAGTCTCATCAGGCCCACTCAATCTCAGATCTGAGGTTAACGAGGAAGTCTCCAGTGAGAATATATTGTAACACTCATATTTGACCGACTTGAGCTACATATCTGAAATATCTCAAGGTGCTCACTCATTATGTCTACTTAAAATGTGCCATTTTTGTGTCACCCTGTATGTTCTTATCATTGTCTCAATTTTTTCAAACTATGCTAAACTTTCAAATTAAACTAATGTAAATTGTCTAATAAGGTTGAAAAGAAGAATATATTGTGTTTTATTTAGATATTATTATTTCATTGGATTCTATGAGAACTAAAATTTTGAAATGCATTTTTCTTTGAACCCCTTTCATACTGATTCATTCATCCATTCTCGCTTATTTATCAACTGATTTTTTCAAATTTTTTCTACAAAAGACACCAGGACAAATGCTATTCATTGGTGTGAAATATGGCCCATTAAACCATTTGTGAGGTCTAAAATTTAGTATTAAATAAATTCACGATTTTTCTAACAAAGACTTCAAACCCACTTTTCAAAATTAAAAAACAAATGATGATTCTCTTGTCTTTTGAACTATTTGTTCGCAAATATTTAGATTTTCTTAAACAATTGAAATTCACACGTTTGTGATAAGAAATGTGGAAATTCTGCTTACAATTCGTTAAATAAGTGGAAAAAAAACGTATCTTTGGTTTCGCCATTTTGATACTAAAATAGATGGGTTTCAATAACTAGTTTGAAGAGTGCAGTACCAGTGTAGAAGAGTTTGAAAATAGAGTATTTTAAACAGGTATAATTAGTGTTTAATATAAAAACAAGAACCACCAAGAAACAATTTTAGTTTTATGAAACAAAGTTTACCAATGGGAGTTTTTTCCACCACTTAGAAATTGCAATTGCTAGGAACATGTCTTCTCTTATGATAAATCCGAGTCTCTCACAAGCTTCAGATAACTGGATAAAGAGACTTTGATAAATCAAAATGAGTGAAAATGGGACATGTTAATATGTGTAACCATTATTGAAACAAAACTGGTCTAAAGGTGAAAGTTATAGAAATATGTAGACAATGGATGATGTCGGATGGTGTGGCCTTCATCCCCTTTTACCTTCTGCATGGAGTACACAAAAGAGATTGGTCTATAACATGAATATGAAAGATTTCATGCATATACAATAATATAACACAAGTACTATACATGTACAAAAACTTAACAAACAATAAATATTTATGATACTCATATATTATTTATTTATTATTAATAAATATGAAAATTAGTAGGCTAATGCAAAAATTTTGAAAACCTGAACAAATATCAACTCTGTTATCTACATAAAACCTAAAACCAAATCTGAAATAAATATTACTGAATGTCATCTGATCAAGTTCTGTCCATTTGAGTTAATGTTTTTGCCTTCCAGTAATATAACAAAAGCAGATTAGATATGACTGTGTATGTGAAAGTCAGTACTGACTCTGACCCTATGTCAGTACCAAGTATCACATTTCACATTTAAGATAAAGTTGAAGTCCTTTTACTAGTATTGAGATGTTGTTTCAGTTCATGTCCGCTCGGAGGTTCTAAGTTCATTTTTGCTACACAAATGCTATGCAAAAATATTTCCTTGTATTTCATTATTCCCAAAATAACAATTTTTAAAATTAGATCATAAGTTATATTTTGTGCAGCAGAGTTCCACGATTCTATTCCCGATTCTGGATTTTATCTCCCCCACGCCCCCTGATAGATCTCAGGGATAGGTTGCTGTGGAATAGTTCCATCTGTCCAAAACTGTTTAATTTCACTGTGTTCAAAACACCATGGAGCAATGAGAATCTGAAATAAGATCAAGTATGTATTTTTCATTTTGCCGTTCTTAAACATATAATATACCAATGTTATTTTCCTGTGCTCTCTGTTGGAATGTGTTGCCTTTTGGGGTCAAACAAATGCAGCAATTTCACTCTAATCTCTTGATCATAACTTCAATATTAGACAATAACGCATCATCTTGTCACATAAGCATCCTTATCAACATCATCGATTATGTCTTTCATATGCCTCAGGGATTAAACATAAAGTCAATCATTGTGTTTTCATTAAAGCAGATATGAAATGGTATTTTTAACCTAAAGGAATCAAAATAATGTTTTGATAGATGTATTTGGACATGTTTTCTCATCAGAAATGTGAAAACTATTTCACTCTAACGATTGTTATAGCTGCTTAATAAGCAATATTCGAATTGGTTGTGACGTTATTGGCCCCCACGTGATCTCTCACTGGTCCCCACGTGGCCCGTTTTGGTCCATTAGATCATGACGTCATAATGCCAAAATGCTTTGTTACTTGTTTACACAACAATCCTATGGTTGCCGTGACATTATGATTACTATGGAACCAATAAACCAAAGCTATATTTTGTATATGACGTTACTAATCACGTGGGGGCCAATTTGATTTATCAGTTAGTTTTATTTCGTTATCTATGACCGTTAGCAGTTATCTAACATTTATTTTATAATGGCTATCGCAAGAACTCTACAGTGGGCTTACAATGGAGAAACCCGCATTTTTGTAGCTGCAAGTTGCAGAGCTGTCAAGTGTCCCGCGAATGGCGGGATTATCCCGCGAATTTGACCAAAATTTGGCTTATTCGCGTGTCCCGCAATGTCCCGCGAATTCCCGCAAATGACGGCTTTGACCTCCGCGAATTTTCAAAATTGTAACAATCCCCGAGGCTAAATAATTGTGATTATATTGTGATATAAGAAGCTAAGCTTTTTGCACTTTTGAGGAGTCAAGTTTACCTAATTTGAAAAGTGCTGCCGAACTCCCAGTGCATCAGATCATCGAAGACTGCATTTGGAAGGAGCATATAGTACACTTATAAAACTATGATTTTGATCCAAATAACACCATAGTTGGCTTCTAGCATGCCGTTTGGTATCAAAATAAAGAGGAAGAGTGCAAATTTCATTTTAATTACGGAAAAAGGGATGTGTGTCACGATTAGTTCCAACGTTGGCCTTTTTACTACGCGTGTCACGGCCTTCATCTCAGAACTGAACAAATGTTAGCAAACGCGAGTTCCAATAAATGGACACTGATATCTCGAAAAGAAACCTGACTCCCCATGATTTGATGTAGAATAATCGAACCCCTATACGAATAGGTACATTAAGATATATAACACTATGGGGGTAAATGTTTCATAGTTGGTCACGAACGCCATAAGTGCAAAGTATTCACAAGAATTTTTGAATTTCGTGTCGGATTACGGTACTCACACCTAAAGCGTGGTTTTTGATAGTTTAATAATAGTTCTATGCGTATTGTGTGGAATTGTGTGGAATTGTGTTGACGTTTACTTAAGTTAAGTGCATTATATTTGATAAATCAGTATCTGAAAGTTTGATTCAAGAGTACTTTATCATTAAAAATCCCTTGAATGTCCTGCGACATCCCGCAAAAGGTTGATGTCCCGCAAAATCCCGCGAATTTTGTCTTTGTCTAGAAAAATTATCCCTCTCTGAAGTCTTTGGTGGTTACCCTGTTAATTGTCCCGCAAGTAGCGTGTTTGTCCCTTGAATGGTCCCGCGAAATCCCGCGAATTTGATCAAAATTTGACCTTTTAGCGCAATCACGCAAATCCCTTAAATGTCCCGCGAAATCCCGCGAATTTAGGTGAATGTCCCGCAAAATCCCGCGAATTTTTGGAACTGGGTCTAAAAATCTGTCCCGCGAGAAAATCGGTTATAATGAAAACACGCGCTACGCGCTAACGCGCCACGCGCCAATGCGCTAGTAGAAAATGATCCTTCCCCACGATGTGTGCGCATGTTTTAAGCGCATGTTTATGATTGGTCTATACCCTTGGCCCAGGGACATGTATAATTAGGGTTATGACTCCCTGGGAACTTGTCAAAACATTGACACTTCAAAGACTGTATAAATCACCGCTAACCTGTCAATCAGACTTTGATGTGAACTTTGCGGCCGCAGGAAATAAACAAAGCCTCTCGAAAATTACACTTTTCAAGTTACGATTTCTCTAAAAATATAAGACCAATTAAG